ATTAGTAATAGCCAATCATCGCCATCAAAAGTAAGAGATGTCAAGTACGCACCCGCAACTTACGAGTTACAGCATATTTGCCATAATTCTGATATTTTCAGCTCGTTCTATATGTAAGTTTCTCTCTCTCTCTGACATAGTGATCAAGTACACCATGTCTTACTCACAAGCATCTCAATCCCACTACTCCTTCTACGCTAATTCAGATCTAGGTCTAAATACCGACCTTCTTTATTCAGATAATATCTCTAAGCTTATTAGCAGCCAAACTCCATTGATATCTACGTCTCAAATTTCATCTCCGATTGCACCCCTCTCGCTTACGCGTGTTAGCCTCCCTCTTCAGCAGTATTAGGTCCTCTATTCCTCTAAGCCTAGCAGCGAGATGGAAGAATCTCGTAAGCGCTTTATAAGTTGGTGGTTAACTACAGAGTCTAGATCAACACCTGATATACAAGACTCTATCCGTTGGGATGGGAAAAAGACTTCAAGTGTCTGGGACAATTTTAATCAGGTTACACATAAGAAGACTGGCAAGCCAAAGGTTATGTGCATATCATGCCTCTGTACCCTTGTTCATCCAAGATATCGCCGTACTAGGTCATCACCGATAAATGCACATATTAAGGCAGGCACCTGTACTCGGAAGCCAGTTACTCAGAGGGTTGATCAGCTACTAAGAAAGATAGTATATTACTCTATTATTAAGATTTTTAATATCTCTTTTACTAATCTTGATAATTATCCTAAAGCTATCGATCCCAAAACACCAACCTTTCTCCTAGGAGCGTCTCGTTAAAGCGATCCTAGACTTTATCTTAGCGGCTCACCTACCCTTCCGAATCGTGGAGCATACCCAATTCAAGGACCTAGTAGAGGTCATTTAACAAGCTTAAAGCAAGATCGATATACCATCCGCGCGAAGTATACGACGTTATCTTGATTCTACAGTTAAAAATGACTAGAAGGAGATTCTTAGAAGACTTCTAGATAGGAGTCGCCTTTTACTAGCGCTTGATTGCTAGACATCGCCATTTTAGTAAGCTTTCATGGCTATTATAGGCTACTTTCTTAATCAGGATTGGAATTATTGTAAAGTTCTTCTTAGATTTAAGCATCTTTATGGGTCTCATACTAGTGAAAATCTAAGTAAGACCGTTACTCAGCTCTTGAACAATCATAGAATCACCAATCGTGTCTTATCTGTGACAACAGATAACGCAACTAACAATAATACCTTGGTGATAAACATCCAAGAGACTATTCAGTCGTAGAGCCAACTAGATACCTTAATCTTCCGAGTTCCGTGTATTACGCATATGATCTAATTAAGCTTAAATAAGCTTCTTAGGAAGCTGAAAGTAACACCACCTAATAAAGAGATTGAACTAGAGTGGCCTGACGAGCGAATATATTTATTCCAGACTAAACAATCTGGCTCAAGTCGGCAAATTGCAGATACCTTAAAGAAGGTCAGTCCTCTATCTCCCTTAGGCTTCTGAGTTTATTCTAATAAGAAAGTCCAAGATCCGAGGTCTTGCGGTCTTTATTAATGCGAGCCTATAACGCCGGGAGTCATTTATAGCTCTTTAAACTAATAAGCCTCGTTTGGTTCCTATTTAGGATGTCCAAACCCGATGGAACTCAACCTTTATAATACTCAATCGTGCTAAAAGGTTATAACCATTCTATGACCAGTATTGTATAGATTATCAGTATCTACACTTTAAACTTGATCAAGAAGAGTGGCGACAGATTGAATATCTTCTTCTTCTTATAAAGCCTTTCTTTGACTTCACCACTATGTTATCAAAGACTAGGGATATTACCACACACAACATCTATAGTATTTATAATAAGCTTTTCTCTTATCTAGATAAAGCTGAGTGTAAGTTAAAGAATAAAGGTGTTGTCTGGAAGAAGCATATGCTCTAGGCTCTTTAGACTGCTAAGCGGAAGCTCTTAAAGTACTACACTACGACTGATTATAAATCATATGGCGATATCTATACACTCGCGACAATCCTTTGCCTATCAAAGAAACTTCGATATTTCGCATCGTCAGACTGGCAAGGTGATATTGACTATATTAATCACTATCATAGAGTTCTCAAGCGAGAGTTTCAACGATATAAAGAGATACTTCACCGTGATTCAGATAATACAGTCTTATAAGATACCACGAGAGAGGCCCCGGATAATGAATATAGTGATCTAGATGCTGCTTGTGCATCTCAAAACCAGCCCTAGGATAAGCTCTCAAAGCCTGAAGATGATGAGATCGCGAGGTATCTTGCCCGCGGGATTAAGATTCAGAAGCTAAGAGCATTCTAGAAAGACCATAAGCTTAAGTTTCCTATCCTTGCGAGGATAGCACGGGATATTCTCTCGATCCCAGCTAGTGGTGTAGGCGTTGAGCGATTATTTAATTGCGCTCGCGATATCTGCCACTATCGTCGCGGTTAATTGAAACCAAGTACCATCCGAGGATTAATGCTCTATCAATTCGCCACTAATTTTGACGTTAAGCAGAAGGAGATAGAGGTTATTAAGGAGTATCTCTCTATTAGGGAAGCTGCGTTATTAGACCAAGCTCGGAAACCAATGCTCTATCTTGAAACTCTTAAGCCAATTAGTGACAACGAAGAGGAGGATCAAGAGCCTAGCATACAGGACACACAACAGAAGAGGAGCTGTAATGATGATTTAGATGATGAGAGGAATAATGATCAAAGTAAGCAAGTGCAGCGTAAGCGATCAAAGAAACGATTATCTGAATCTCTTGATGAAGATGACGATGACCTTCCAGAAATGCCAATAGATAAGAGTATGCTAGGACGGTCAGGACGAATTCGAAAGCAGCCTAGGTTACCTGATGGATTTCAGATTGATTTAAGGTAGTTGATATTATATGGAGATAACGGAATTTTATTTACTAAATTGAAATCTTGAAAGTTAATAATTACACTATGATTACATTAAAAATACGTAGGAAACTGCATAAATTATACATACTTAAAAGAGTCGTGAGGCTAGGCATGTTTGGCCTGTTTGATATCCACTGGATATCCTCAAATATCCAGAGGATATTAGGTGGTATACCATATCCACAAAATTGAGGATTGCGGATATTGGGTGATATACTATATCCGCAATCTGCGGAGAGGATATGTGGATATCCATGGATATTGAGGATGTTGCCGCAGTCTAGTGGTAAGTAAGTAAGCCTATTTTATAAGTTATATAACTAACCTTACCTGATTAGATATTATTAAAGGATACGTTCGGATCTTCTAGAAAGATCATTAGAGAGAATTCCCTGTTCTTATAAGCATTACCCGTGATATTATGTCAATTCTAGCAACTGGTGCCGGAGTTAAGCGTCTATTTAACTCTACTCGGGATATATGCCACTACCGCCGGGGGTCGTTGAACCTAGAGAGTATTCGTGATATTATGTTGTATATATATATAACAAGATTTGATATTAAGGAGGAGCAGCGGCTGATTCTCTAGGAGTATCTCTTAGACCATAAGATAGCAGCTTCGGCAGAAGCACTTGATATCTAGACATATACCTTCGAGGCTATCAGTGATGACGAGGAGGAGGATGTTAAGTTGCGTCCTGATACACCGGCTGCTATATCAATTATACAAACAACCCCAAACGCACCGCCACTCTTAGCAGTCGCCGCTAGAAAGCGGCCTACGGTCACTTCTAGTAATGAGGAAGATTCTGATGCCGATGGATTTGTGAACCCGGAGGAGAACCTATCATTATCCTTCCCTGATACGCAGCATCGTGTATCAGGTAGGATACGGAAGAAGTCGAGACTACTAGATGGGTATATAGTTTGACTCTTGGCTTATTAGAACCATGACTAGACACTATGCTATAGATGTAATATAAACCATTTAAAATTTGAACCCCTATTCGAGGATGAACCTATGGTATGCACAAAGGAGTGTACATGTAGTATCCTTCTGTAAGGCCATACAGTGATGAATTTTTACTTTACAATTACAATGAAATACAGCCTGTTTCTACATAATTTATGCAATTGACGTCTAGTCACGTCTTTTACCTGTTTGTCATGTTTGACGACCCTCAGGGTCCCCGCGGGTAACCCTCATGAGGGTCGGCCTCGGTACGACCCTCCCCGCGGGTCCAGGTCTCGGACCCTGACCCTCCGCATGGGGAGGTGAGGGTCAGGGTCATGGAGGGTACCCGCGGGTCCTAGCCAGGTCTAATCGAACCGAACGACAGGGTAGGAGGCCCAGAAGAGTATATTTTCCTTGTCCAGGAGCGCATTGCTAGGTATGACCCCGACCGACATCAACTATTAACTAAGGTGTAGACCTAATATCTAGCTATTCGATATAAATTCGGGTGCTTGCGTGATACATACCGTCCGATCCCTCTTGAAGAATGTCAATCTCGTGGAAGATAGGCTACCACCAAGTCAACATCTCGCTTCATTCGACCGTACATATAAGACATCAACCAATATAGATTCAGCAAGCTTTCTTGTTCCACTTCCTCCCTGGAATGGACTACCGCTTACAAGACCTACAACGCACCGCAAATGGTGACCCGAAAGGTTTGGAACATCGCAGCCTGCTGACCAGTCGCTTTATTTCAAAGTGCGCTAATTACCTCAGGCTAGGCCTCGCCAAACCCGCCCCAAAACCCAGACCCGTGGGCGGGTTTGTTTTTTGAAAACCCAACCCGCGACCCATACGGGTACCCAAATTACCCGCGCCTCCCAAAAGGGAAGTATCTGTCAGCCAGCACAAAATTATGCTAAATCCTTCGTTTGTAAAAACGTATCGCCCCGGTACGAGTAGACTATATGCAACCTCAACTTTTCCGAAGAGCCTCACGCATGAATCAATAATACCCTAGTACTAATGAAACGTCTCTAGTCTCTAAGTTTGGGACAGGTGGATTTTGAAGGATATGTTATCGATATTTAGCGCTGAGCAAATAGCTAATACAACTAATAGCCTTGAAGTCGGCTTGAAGGCACTGTCATCCTCCCTGATGATCTCTTTTGAGATCTCTCCCCTAGACTGGTAACTGGAGGTGGCAGCGAATTTTCATCGTCGCTCTCTTGCTCCGGATCAATAGCTATTATTGTCGCATCTTGTAATCGATCTTGAGACGGAAGCTCCTGCGGGGCGGTGCTTTCAAGTCGCAGAGCACTATCAGCAGTGAGGCTTGTATCCGCATCTTCGACTAGGTCACCCTCGTCTATATCGCTAATAGCTGTATTTTCGTCCTCTGCCTCCTTGTTTGCCTTTTCTTCAAGATTCTCCTGGTCCTCCCCTTCCGCCATCCTATGATCCAGCAGACTCGACTGCTGGCCCTCCAGGGTGAATTTCTCGGAGCACATATACATCATCAAGTCTTGGATCGGAGTCTCATTCAGGGATCCCCGGCGATAGTGGCAAATATCTCGGGCACTATTGAACAGCCTTTCAACTCCTGCTCCAGTGGCTGGAACTGAGAGCAAATCACGAGCTAGCCGCGAAAGCACGGGAAATTTACTCTCGTTCTCTCTCCAGTATACACGCGGTGGTATCGAAGTAGTTGCTGGCAAAATCAGTGGTCTTTCAAGTCCAGTGAGTCAGATGTGCTTACACTCATGGAGATAACAATCAACCTCGTCATAGCCGACTCCTTCGCTTGTTTCTACGGTATGTGATGGTTCAAGAAGCCGTTCCAACTCTGAGACTTGTAGCGACGGACGCTGGACAGCACGAAATAGCATCTCTGGGTTTTTTGTTGATACCGTGCGAAAGATGATCGCAGATATTCACAATACATTTTTGAAGCCTCGCCAATGCACTGTGAATACTCTGTGTCGTCAAAAGCACAAACCTTATATTGAGAAGCAAGTAAAGCCGCCGTACCGTAGAGAAATCCGTGGTCACGATACGTCTTTTCGTAATAATCCCTGAGCTTTTGCTTTGCCATGAGCATTGCACAGTACATGTCTTTTTTTCAGGGCGTCGTTTTCCTTCTCAGCTTCCGATTTGAGCGTTCAATGTGTTCCAGAAGCTTCCTGTACACGAGAAAGACACTATGGATAGTCACGTCTTTGGTCTTTATCAGAGCCATCGTAAATTTGAAGAACGGCCTTGTATGAGGTAGACACCAACACTGAAATTAACATGACCAATTCTGCGGTTGGGTTGGTAGGTAGCCAGAGGTGCAATATTACTGAATGTTAGTATAATTTCGATGGGGTTTTCTTTGACTAGAGTAACACGGTCATCATCGGTGAGTGAAATGAAATTAATGGCATGGCCTGTTGCCATCACTCCCGTCGCAATAACATACGGACCCATGGTGGTGAATGTTGAAACGCGTCATCAATGCTGTTTTGCGGCATCCCCACCGTAGCTTAATCGGTGCCAACAGTGAGGAAGGCTTTTTCAATTATTGGATCAGCAGAAAAAAAAAGCAATGCCTCCGAATGCAGTGTTCAATCAATGATGAAACGTTGAACCAGCTGCAATTAGAGGATCGTCAGTGTTTATGCCCTCACAATTTATAATGATCATTGCATCGATGCAAGCAGAACGACTGGCTGCAATGCTATAAATACCCGATCACTCGCCAGGAGAACAGTCGTTCGCAAGGATTCCTTTATTACTCTGGTTCAATAAGTATCGGACGCTTTTAGTCTCCGTAGGCTACTCTTTGATATGGAATGACCCCGAAATGTCATGAAATTGTGATTCAACTGATCTGTTGTATCACCCCAGCTTGTCTACGCTCAATACAAAAGTCTGAGAGCAACAGATGAGTGCAGCTGCTTCGTCGTTTGGAATAGTGCTGACATGAAACTCCGCCACTCCTCTAAGAATCCATTTAATGGATCTTCGATAAACTCAAAAATGATCGAAGCTGCGAATGCAGTGAGTTATGAGGTGGCTCAAATAAGCTAACTATCTACTGTTGATTAATAATAGATCGAATTCAGCCATTGAGCAGCCGCTTTGACCTTGCCAGAATGCAGCGAGTAGCAACAGCCAACAAGTTACCACCAGTTCATCATAATGTACCTTTGTGTTCCGAGGTAACATATCATTCCTTTCTTTGTGACCTATAATCCTGTCACACAAAAAAAAAACACTGTATGCATATTCTACATACTACTATACTAAGCCAAATACATTTAGTATCAACCAATAGATGCAATACAGCGACTAGGAATTAATTAGCGAGAACAGCGATCAAATGCTGCCTAGTTTATACTAGGTTATCACTAGTTTACCCGACTCAGCGACCCCCCTGCCCTGAAATCTTGCCGATTAGCGCCAACGCCTAGATTAATCGGGCTTTTTAGTTTGCGTCCCCAATTACCCTGGAGGATCGACTACACGGAGCTGAAAAGGTGATCAGATAATTACAGCTCGATAGGCCATGTTCCTCCTTGGTTGCATGAGTCCCATGGACTGGATATTTTCGGAAGCCTTTCAGACCCCAAAGTCCTATGTACGATGTATTCTGTGATTTCTCCGTCGTCGTACAGGCACCCTCCTCCCCCTTCCGATTTCTTTCAGCCCGCCACCCCAGCCCGGAAGTAAGCGCCCGCTGGTGGAACCCGAAGTTCATAGCGGAAGCTACGGAGCTCCCATTCAAGGTCCCCTCTTCCTAATTTGGATTATCCCAAGAGAATCCAAGGAAATTGCGATCTAATTGCAGCCAATGGAGTAGAGGAAATCCACATCTCTACCATTCCTTGGGACTATTATGGATTTATTGTGCGCTAATCTATCGGATAGTCAACAACTTGTAGGGAAACAGCAAAGAAAAGAGAGATCGTACCTGATTGCACCTATGTACGCCAAGGCCTGTCTTAACTATATCTCTTTTGAAGACTCATGGTCTATGCATTCGCCTCCTGATAGCTGGTAGTATTTGGCAGGTGCAGTGGGTGTTACTTTGGCCGGTCCGGCGATCTTGCTTACTCGGAATCAACTTATCTCATCTACACAAAGTTGATGGATAGACAGATATCGCTTATTACACTGCTAGATAGACTTTCGCTGTAAGTGAAAATTTGCCTAATATCTGAATTATATATTAAGTAACGATGGATGGTAATACGAGGAAATAGAAAGGGCCCGCAAATGCCGACGTAGGCCGCCATCGCTCGTCAAGTACAAAAAGTAAGAACCGAATCAAAATCAAGACAGGTACGAGGGACTGAAAAAGATGCAGAAAGATTGATCTTGCCGCCCTAACCGCACCATAGCCTTAACTACTCAACAAAGAGTGTGACTGATATTTGAAGACCAGATTCTTGGGGTATCACAGCTTGGCAATGGAATCTGCGGATAGCCCAGGGCTTTAAGAGCTAGACTCAGGACACTGCACTTCATGGTACCAAAGCAAGACGGTCTTCTCATCGGCGGTTGTAACAGGCCAGTCAAGGTTTCCGTCGATTCCTTTGGCCGCATTTCCGTTGTGGCCCCCTGTGTGGATAGCGCAAGGGATAGTTCCAACATCACAATCTGATTCACCAGTGAAATGGAAGATGTAGTTTACATAAGAATCAATGAACAGTGTCTGCAATTTTATCCCTAAAAATCATGGAATTATCTTTTTTCCAGCCTCGTTTTGGTGTTAATTGTGTTGAGCTGTGGACACGCGAACGTCGTTGAAGCTTGGCCCTAAACCGACGCAATATTTTGAACTTATCAACATCATTTAATTGTTATTGTTGATTTATAGTTGTAACTTTTGTTACTATAACTCCTGCAATATTTTGTCCGCTGGCTTCCAGAAAGATTTGGCGAATGTGGAAGAGGTATCGTGATCTGAATATATATCCTCAGGTCGGTAAATCATACGTACGTCGATCCCATAGTTGTAATGAACGTAGCCACACTTACGATTACACGGGCATTTAATTACCGTTAATAGGTGGCCATATAGGCCCAAGTCCAAAGGTTATAGACTTGAATACTAGGATTTGACTCTGAACACCGTGAGGCCTGATCAACTTCCCCGATCAACTCGTTAATCACTATTACTATCATCAAATGGACTTGGAAGACAGTCAATTTCTAGTCAAAATTTAGCTGCGTCTATTGACTTTTGTGGTGATCGTGAAACCGAGTACATAGTCACCTGCGTCTGCATAGCCTATTAGAGACACCAGGGATTGATAGAAACCGTATTGCCCAGATCCTTGACATTTTCCTGTGGACCAAATGGTTCTCTTAAACAGCTCGCCGGTTTAGGAAAAAGAAGGAGATCAGTAGCCCAATGAATTACCCATTGATCTACGATTGGGTCACACAACATACATGTTCCGTCACTACTTCCCTAAGAAGATACTTCATATAGGCGGCTTTCTATAATAGTTCGGGGTCGTACCGCACTCCGTTCGCTATTTACACTCGATGCTCACCCGACGTGACAGAGGCTCACGCAGGTAATACAAATTAAAAGGTATTCTATCCATCTCTTTTAGCGCCTTATACTTTGCCTTCTAAGACATCAAGAAAGATTTTAACAAATCGGAAATATTGGACCTCTAATCCTTCTCGATGTTTAACAGGCTAAGATGTTCATGAATACTCCTTAACTCCCTCAATCGGCTCTCCTCGCCCTCCTGTAACAGCCGTAGATGCTCGGACTTCAATTCTTTGAATTCATCATCCAATTTGTGATGCCAGGGGTACAGCACACAGACTTGGAAGCAGAAGGCCGAGCTTGCGATCACAAAGTTCGTCAGAGAAAACCCGCGCGTTATAATCATCGTACTCGCTTGACGTGAAAGCGGAGCCTAGGATGATAAGTTGGTTATGCTAGCTGCAGCTAATTAGTAAATCTTAATATAAATCTTATGATTGCGACGATAAAATACCTAGGAGCCTGATAGGATAACCCTGGACGAATGGATCTCAGATTTTGGATCTAGAGATATTTCCACGGAAATGATGAGGGGAGGAATCACAAGCAGGCGATTAACTTGATGTTAGGTGTAAAACAGAAGTAAGTTCAAGTCTAGGGGTATTTTTATATGGTAAGGTTAGCTAATCAGATGCGTTTAATTTCCGGAAATTCGGTATTTCGTTATATAGTCATTATTGAGACATTCTGGCCTTTCTAAATATCAAACGCGCTAAATTACTGTCGATAAGCTTAATGATTACTTACTTTTTTGATTGAAGTAGGCTGCGGATATGATTCATAGCATAGCCAATTTTGCCTAGAGTCAAAAATTTCCACTTTTGATTTTTTCTTGTTATCTAAGAGTTATTAAAACTCATATGTTCTAGTAGACGTTGCCCTTTTCACTCAGTCCGGGAACGAACTTTCGGCCGAAGCGGCATTTTCTCGGAACTAGCAATCGGCGCCAGCTACTGTTTAACTGTTTAACTAACCACATTTTTACGCTCCTTAACGATCTGTGAGTGCTAATCATATACTCTGATTAGTTTTTGGATTATACCAAAATCAAAATTTCATAGCTTGTGGGGGTACTTGTAATGTGAATGGTTTTTTATGTCTTCTTTTACACTTACATACAACTAGGAAGGGCTCTAATTTGCTATCCTTATTCGAGTTTTTTTTGTGATAGAAACATAATCTAGCTCTAATGAACACTTCTTAAAAGATTGAGCATATAGAGCATGTGATATTTACAGTATCCGGAGAGATTGACCTGTTTTATCTTGATGCCTCCCACTCTTCACTACGTTCAATTGTTCTCTTGAACGAGACCTGCCTCACCTTCTTGTATTCGGTAAATCTATCCTTGTGGGCACAAAATGTCTCTGAGCACTGCCGGGGCCGTGATCCGGATACGTCTCGTCATTCTCTTCCTTACTAACATCTGGTTGGTTTTTGCCAGTCTCAATTTAGCCATTGCACGCTTTACGATCGTTCTGCGAGATTATGCAAAACCCGACTTCGTGATAGAATTATAGAGCTTGTTTTCACAACGGCTCTATTCAATTCGTCGCTTTAGAAAGCCCAGATCTGTCCGTGGTTCGAGCTGTTTTTCCCGTGTACTAAATTTAGCCTCAGTGTTAAACGCCGAATCTCGTGTCAAGGACCGTCTTTAGGCCAGCTAATGGTCATATTATAGTTTGTTTGTCTCCCTAAATTACTATTTAGAGACAGCAGGCAACTAATAGTGACCAGAAACCAATTTGGAGGGACTGGGGCTGGTCGTCGAGTTAATAATTTTGGATCTTTCTCCAAATAGGCCAAGCTGTGAAGGTATATGGATCCTAAGATCATGGATTGTAGAAAGGGCCTGAACTGCTCGTTTTCGATACCATAATACCAGTGCCTGTGCATCGCGGAGCTGTAGGAGAATATCGGTGTTGCTTGCTAGCCACTCATTTAACTCTTGAAACTGTCGCTGCTTATCCTCGAATTACATTTTCTCGGCAGATTTGACGACGTAGCACTCCTACAGAGAAAATGTAAGTTGAGTGGTTTAAGGGCTGGTATAGCGAGGATGTCATTTTAGCGTAAATGTATTATAAAATCCGCCGTAAGGGTACCGGGTGTTTGTAAGGGTCTTTTGGACCATACAATGTGTTACGAGCCAAATCTTGATGAAAAATAGTGCATTCAACTAGAATACTAAACATCGGGAAAGAAAGAAAGAAGAAGAAAGAAACAACACGCTGAAACAATTAAGGTAGTGATGCCTGAGGCATCCAATCAAACAATGTAAAACACGAACTACGAAAGGCGGTGGAACACGGTAGAATCGGTTCCGGATCATTGATCCTGATTTCTTCGTGACACAATGGAAGACAGATTACTACGACTACCAGGCACTCTTTCTAACCTTTGGCGTTTTCCCCATCAGTGTTTTGCCTGGTTGGTTTAAATGAAACTATGCGGAGCAATGGATGCGACCATTTAATGGGAAAGTTCCGCCTACGAAAAGGATTCCGACGTAGTGTCACCAACGAAGATGGAATCATAACTACTGACACTAACAGAGATAATGTGCCCCTAGAAGCTTTATTCAGGGGCATAAAGGGAAACTAAACCCGGGCCCTTTTACAGGAAACAAGAATTAGTATCTGTGAAAGAATACTACATCGTGAACGCTTGTAAGACCCCGTTACGAGGGTCTTGGGACTTAGGTGGATTCGGGCAATAGAATGGAGAAAGCAGTAGACAGGTTCAATGCTGAACTAATCGCTGGAGTCCAAGACTCCAGCCTCTGAACTGTTTATATACAAATGTGGGGTCATGTGAGGTCATGAGCCCTCGCATTGTGGGTCTCAGCCCTGGGTCCAGTTCGCACCTGCGAACTGGCCATCTCGCAGTCTCACATAGACTGCGAGATATATATCGTCAGACCTGCTTAGTACTTGGGTCCTGACACTCTTCTATAATAAGCGCTCTATATACCCTTTTTAGGACTGAAAAGCACCTAATATTAAGAGGTTATAATATATAAGATATATAAGCAGGTATATAAAGAGAAATAATATCATTCTCTTTATAGATTTTATCGAATTCAGGTGTCAGATAAGATAAGTGTCTATCCAGAATTAGCAACACGTATTTCCCTTTCCGTATAGGAAGATAGGGTAAAAAGTGCTTTTTAAGCCAGTCATTACCAATCTTATCACTCGTCCATCTATTAGGGCTTTTATTCACGCTCTAAAGTAGTGGTTTTAAGAGCTAGCGCTCTAGAAAGACCTTTCCTTTAAAAATGATATATAACGGAAGCGTAACGCTATTAGCACTAATACACTTAATTATAGTGACCTATTCTCGATTCCTAGGCTATAATACACCTCTTCTACTATGGTATTCAGTAGAAGTGATGACTTTTTGAGTGGAACTGATTCCTATCGCAAAACCAGACTTATTAAAGTTATAGATATCGTCAGAAGTGATACCATATTTTTGGATGGTATGTTCAACAAGTTTAAACTAAGGTAGAATAACCCTTAGGTCTTTAGAAAGGGCTCTCTTATAATTGTATTTACGAGAGAGACGAGTAGAGAGTGTTTAGTGTCTTTTAACAAATTCTGTCGTCCAATTTTTGCCAACTTTCGGAGGGGGGTCGGAGGGTATCAATTCACGCGATCGGAGCAACAAATTAGCCATATCTCTTAACATAGCATGCGTGAGAGCTGCTCCTCGAGAATCTATAGAAAGCAGCCATTTTTCCATAGATTTTTCTTCTAACATAGTAAATTTATAGCCAGAGGGGCGAGATTCATCCCAAAATTGTCGCCCCTTGATTCGGTGCTTTAAAGTTGAGACTGGCACATTAAAAGCGCGCGCAGCAGCAGCGGCAGACAGATATTGACCATCTCTTATAGCTTTGATAGCTAATAAGAGAGGCCCCTCTTGCTGTACCAACTTTTGAGACTTTTGAGAGCGAATTGGTGGCATGGTCAATGTTTAAAAACATAGGTTGCTACAGAAGTGTTTTTTTAAAAGTGTCGCTCGGGCGACCGGGACGCTCGGGCGGCCGGGATTCACGTTAGCTGGGGTTACTACGCCGAACCATACGATAGACAACTCCTTTGTCTAAGATTAATATAAATAGTGTATAAGCCTAGCCCTCATTCAATGGATATCGCTATAGGCCTCTATATATATTAAGTTATATCTTTTGTACCCAGCGCTAAATTATATTAGGCCATCACATGAGAGCCAGATATTCTCTGTTTTTCAAATGGTAATCCTACGTTGCAATCCTTCGCGCTGGACACTGAAGGCTCATACCCATTGACTGCTACCACGTCTTGACTTTTAGCCAATGCTGAAGCGCCAGGATTCTCTTCAGAGGTGGCACTGTCTTCAGCTGCCGCAGAAGCTCTAGTAGATGCTTGTGCAATAAGACGTATAGACAATTACGCCCGAGTTGAAGAAGCGGATGAATGTATTGGTTGAAAAGTTCGAGTAAATATTCTTTCGTAAGTGAGTCAACGTTTTCGACGAGGCGATAGACTGATAAGATTTGGTCGGTCGATGAAGTCAATGTACAGGGACGTAAATTAAGAGTGCAGTTTACGCAAGTTGGAAACATTTGAAAAGCTTCGAACGTAGTTTGCTGAAAGTCGAATGTCTCACTCATGATATGAGTCCAAAAGCGCGAGGTTGCTTGACCCAAATTCTTCGATTTCTCCAAGCTTTTGTTGATCAATCTGTTCTTATGCTCCTCGAACGTCTCGTCGGTCATCGCGCGCAAATCCAGCTCATATAGGTAATTTGCTCCACTTTGTAGCGCAATCGTGCGGCTTGACGGCCACTGGCTCTTCGGGAATTGATGTGGGAAGAGTGTTGACTCCACAAGCTTTGTAATTTTTAGCGTATACATCTTGCCATGGACAAAGATCTCAATGTGCATCTGTCGCAGCAGTTCGCGAAAGACAAACGTTTAACCGCTGCCGTCAATACTGGAAGTTCCTCTAGCAGTTGAAAGAGAGCCCAGGATCTTTCGCTGATCAACATGCGCGAAAATGCATTAATTTGTCGGTACTAATCCACGTAGTCAAAGTTCTTATACGCTTTCCTCACTCTCTCCTTGGCCATGTCTAATATCTTTTGCTTGATCTCCAAATCTATAACTCTCAATGATACCTTCTCCAAAAGCACCGAAATCTTGTCGTTGAGACCGCTTAGCTCTATGTTCAATCCCTGTGCGCTTTCGGATAGACTATAGCTCAAAACGGCTCTATCTGCGTCGTAAACATGCTCATTGAGGCTGTCTTCGACCAAATCAACGTATAAATGGGTCATGACGGCATTCATGGGAATGAGCGACGCCATGTGGGTCCGAAGAAAGAATTTAATATTTGGCTTTGGGCACCCAGAATTGATCGTCCTTTTAGAACCACACACGGACATTGTCGTCATGATGTATCAGTGTAGGGTGCCGAGCTGGCTCTGTGACATCCTTTCGTTTAACCCTCAATCGTTGTGGAACAAATTCGTTCACAGCTGGTAAGTGAAGCCTAGAGGGTTTCTCTGTGACTGGAGCCTGTGCGGTGGCCCGGAGATCTTGCATAGATTCTTCAGGAATTTGTCGAGCTTGTATTTGGTCTCGTACCATTTTTCTTTTGCGTTCCAATCTCCCAAGAACTGCTGATCAACAAAAAAGAATTGAAAATTATCAGGTCGTAGATGGGAAGGCGGTGCTGTGCCGGGACCCAGAGCAGAAGCCCCAGCCGAAAAAGAGTCCACAAGACCCAGCTCCTTCAGACAAGCAAGAGCACTACCGGGGCCCCCATGGCCAATCAGATGTCCCAGATATCGACTGGGTTGACAGGCAAAGAGTTCTTCGTGAAATCCATTGTCTTTGCTCCATCACCGGTTTCACGAATATTTGAGTCATGAGCTCAGGCTCCTCTAAGACTTGTATAGTGTCCCACCTCAAACGGTGCAGTTTCTTGTTCGGTACGTCGGAGAAGAGCTCCAGAGTCCAGCTCTCTGATTCCTGCGGTGACTCTCTACCCAGAAAAACTAGCTTCATACGGTTCGCAGAATAATGAGCGGTGTGAAACTCGATGAAGCGCTTCCAAATATCCACGCCCCACAACACCGGTTCCTCACGCAGACATTTATAACTGCCAGTGGCGAACTTTTGAAAGGGATGTTTCTCACCCGAAGTATTGCGACTCAGTTGTTCCAGGCGCACGTGTCGCTTTGAGATTTCTCTTATTCTCTGATACCACAGCACGGAGTTCGCGATCTAGAGTATCGGTGAGAAAGAGTGGCTGGATGAAGAAATGCGAGCAACGATCGAGAGCGCCATGGAGAGGAGCCTTTTCCATCGGAAATTGGAACCTTAAACTGCTTTAAATTTGCGGATGAGCCCGAACTATTAGATGTTGAACCTGCAGATAGTTCTTAATAGTGACTGGTCGATGTTGAGGCCGTGTAGGCGTTGGAGTAACCACCATATTTAGCTTAATGAGTGCTATGTTCGGTCTCTTCTGGATACTAGGCGAGGCAATGTCAGTATTTCTTTCATCAAGAGGTTATTAAGTTTCCAATTGCTCTTGATACCGGTCGCTCACCTTCTTCGTACCCATGAATCAAAAATGTTCTACCGCGTGCGCGGTGTCCGACAAATTATCCGGATCGCTGAAGCTACCAACGTTGATATCCATAGCAGCGGCGGCTTTATCCGTGTCTGGATCGTGGATTGAAAGCATCCATTATTGATTGAGCAATTGGATCACTCGGTACGAACGGTGTCCAACAGCCGTTTCTCCATGATGTCCGAGATGCACTTGACAGAGCCGGAAGGAAGAGCTTCCCCATGATTCCCCCCTCTCTATGAAGCCTATTTCCTCTGTGATACCTCTCTTGTGACAAGGTGCGATAGCGGGCCGAACGCTTTATGACTGGAAATTGGAATTGCTGCAGTATGATTTATGCTATCAGAGAGACGGAAAATGATGATGAGAGCAATAATGACCTTGGAGAATTTCACTGAAACTCGAAACTCGAGCGGTTCCGTCGACGATCGAGTCTGATGCGCACGGAGAGACGAGAAAACAACAGAGGTTGGTGAAGAGACAGGTTAAATATTACATGCAGGGGCGACACAATTCGAAAACAGGTACTATACAGACGTGCGTACCAAAAGTCTTCCGTACGACACCAAGCCACTCATACCCCGCTATGAATGTAACTCGCAAAGATTTCGCTCAAGATGGTACTTTCAAGTACAATTTACTCATTGCTTTTTACCCCGCTTGTCCATTTTCACGTTCATTCTCATCCCATACAGAATGGCACAGCCCGACCATAGCGTGAATGGCACGGCACGGTAAGACGGCGTGAGGTCAAGTTCTCCACTGTAAGCAAGCAACGCCGAATGGGATGAACTCATGTAAGGCTTCCCGGATTAGGTGCTTCTTGTCGCGAGGGATTCCAAGACTGCATCATGCAGGTTCTGTGGCCATGTCAGGCCAAGTGTTGGGTCCGTACCCGATCGCCCAGTCAAGCACCTGGCGCAAATCTATGATGGGTGTTGCTCTATCTGGGTAGTGGGTTAGCTGGATCTCCCACAAACAGGAAATCATCGGGCCTGAGCGACAGCCCGGGAGGCTTAAGTACGGGTGACGCTTCCAGTCGCTGTGGTTAGCTGCCTGCTGAACAAATCTGCGGCTGGGATCTGCTGTTCTCATCAGAATCAACCGGCCTTTCTCACGACATGCTTGCTGTGGTCGTCGGCTTCGCTCTTCTCGTATCATGGATCATTGCATCAATTTATCGCAACCACAATTCCAGCTTAAAAGACATCCCCAATGCTCATTTCTCCGTTCCATATACGCGCCTGTGGTTGCTGTCGCTCCGGTGGCGAAATATGGAGCATCGTAGCCGAATTTATCTCCATCGTCGCCTCGGTCCAGTCATTCGAATTGGACCCCGTGATGTGAGTGTTAATTGCATCGATGACGGGGTTCGCACAATCTATAGCAGAAGGTTCGACAAAGATGCGTCATTCTACCATGAATTGTTCGATCAGTAAGTTTCCAAAGAGATTCACAACTTCCGAATCTAATGGCACAACTCAAATCTAAATGAGTACAGGACCGGGTTTATGGTCACCATGACAGGTAACGAGGAGCATAGAGAGCGTAAGCGTATGCTTACCTGCCCTTATTCCAATTCGAACATTCTCGTCTCACAGACCCTCGGCAGTGTCCTCTCTCGCGTATCGTGTCGTCTTAGAAAAAAGATAGCAGGGTGGACAAGCACAGGTACCTCTGTCGATGTGTACCAGCAGGCTAAATGCTGCACCCTGGACGTTGCTTCCGGCTGGCTGTTTGGTAGCGAGAATTTGACTGATACCTTACAAGACCCAGGCTTCGAGAATGACCTCACGACGTTGGCCTCAACTGCTTCCAAGATAGTTTCCCTGAAAACAAGCCTCGGCTGGCCGATGAGCTATTTTACAAGCCGGATTGGCAACAAGCTGCCCGATCCCGACATCACTAGTCGATGGCAAGCGTGGCTCACACGAGTCATCACAGATTCCCACAGGAGGCACTCCACCAAGTCTTCTTCCACCGCGTGCCTGTACGATTATTTTTTCCGATTCTTTCAAAGCCGTCAACCCCGACATACCGCGTAACGAAATGGCTTCTTTCATCGCTGTAGAGTGCGACAACCATCTTTCGGCAAGCCATCTCGGCCTGGGAACTTTGTTTTCATATACCATGTACGAGCTATCACGAAATCCGGACTGCCAGCGAGCACTCCGGAAAGAGCTCCTCACTTTGGCCGAACCTAGCGATCAAAGCTTGGCCCGTCGTGTTGCAGATTTACCAGTGCTTGACGCCGTCGTTACCGAGACCATGCGAACACGTGCACCCTGTCCTGGCCCCTTTCCTCGTGTTGTGCCAGACTCTGGCTGCCGGCTGGCGGGGAAGTTTGATGTCCCCAGCGGCACCATCGTCAGCTCCTCCGCCTGGGCCCTCCACTTCAACCCCGACCCATTTCCGTCTCCGGAAGAATGGCGACCGGGGAGGTGACTTGAAGCAGACGAGAACACGGTCGCGGAGATGCGGAAGTGGATTTGGACATTTGGAAGCGGCGCGCGGGTGTGCATTGGCACTCATTACTCTATGCATGGTAGGTCCCATCCTTTTACCATTGCGTGATGTCCAATGTCTGTTTATCGAATAAAGTTCTGACGGTGCAACTCAAAACCAGTCATCAAAGAGCTTCTTGCCACCGTCTATACGGATTACTTGACTTCACTGGATTATGAATTCACAGGAAATGTGGAACAGAAGGATGCCTTCTCGGCGGGGCCTCTTGCTGGTTGCTTGAAGCTGAGATTTCGACAGCTCACAAAGCCCGATCTCTGTTAAAACACCCAGAAACTAGCTATCAGGCTACAACAGTAGTACTGCCGTGCGGCTCGTGGCATACAGGTCGCAACGTCAGGAAAGACTAATTTGCAAAGTCAATCAATGACAATTCACCTAACAAAAGACAGATAAAATAGGTAGGTTCTTTAGCAACATCTTGTTAGATAGAAGGTTGATTTTTAGCATTGTATCTGTTAAAACGCGTGTGTATTTGTTGACTGTCTCACTACGTCCTCCACGAACCGACGGCGAGTCGACGCAGGAATCCCCCATTAGTCCATGTGTAATCTGATCCCTCAAAAATCCTTCAAAAGCTCCAACTGTTTCTTCCCAACGTAGACGCGACTGTTGCTGTCAAGCGAAGCCTCGTCGGTCAGCCGCCTTGAGCTGGTTGTTCCGGTGAAGATGTAGCACGTGGGATTACATACACAGATCCACATATGGAGGAGCTTCTTGTCACATGTGATGGATCCTAAGCAGATAAGAGCCCTGAGAAATTGCGCCTCTAGGACCTGCGAAAGTAAATTGTTTGCATCGTGGGGCCGATGGTTCCGGGAGGTGCGTACGCACTCCTTTTTGCAGCGTCTTTAGACCACACCAGGGGTCCGGCGCTAAAATCAAAATCACCTCGCACCCATGCTGTCAATTGAGTGTACATACAACCTGCATCGAGAAATTGATACTGTTGTGGATCCTTGGTTGAGAATCCTCCCGTCGGAGGGCCGCCAGACTCCCCTCAGGACCTAAGTGAAACGTGCGAAGTGGGGACACTGGAGTGGAGTGTACATACCACAGGTCAACGAAGGGTCCCCGCATGGTCAATCCAGTCTGATTGCCCTAAGTGTGAGGTTAAAAAATCCTCCCTTGGCCGTTTCGGGTCCGCGAGGGGGTGCCCCTTTATAGTCATAGAATAATCGACTCATTATCCCGGGGTTAGATCGGAGATAGGGAGCCCGCCCGGCCTAGTTCTAACATCAATTGCTATGTACATCTATGCTAGTATGCTGTCACATTTATGTCCAGTGAAAATTGGAAGGTCGTTTCCACACACCTCCCATAACATACCATCCCTCACACGCAAAATAAAAACCGCGACAAAACTTAAGACAAAGCTGATTAGGGCGACCTCCAAGTGACTTTCGTGAAAAGATGAGATGTTGCCGCAGCATTGATAAAAACTTTTCGTATTCGCTTTCGTATAAAAGAAAGCCTTCTATCTAGACTAAACTAATGTACGACGCTGATACAGTCAACTACTACTCCAGACAGCAGCTTTTCTCGTCAGCGATCCATTCTTGACCACTGATCAAGACTATCGAAAATAGTAGCACCACGTTCAAATAAGCCGTTCAACAGGCATTTTCGAGAAAGGAGCGACCTTTAATACGTTCTTCTAGCTTTAAAAGTGCCAATCACTAGCGAAAGGTGATTCAGGTTGTGCGCACATATAATTGATGGTCCTCTCTACGGAGAAAAAGGAAGGCTAGCAAGTATACGTATGTAGCAAAGAAAAGACAAATGGCTCAACCATGCCTTGAGGTCAGGCCAACTCCTTCCTTCAACAGTCTTGAGTGTGATAACACGGCTTTCAGTGTTGCTCCTCCACATTCGCAATATTGGATTTCGCGGAATTGAATTGGGCCCTGAGCAAATTGAGCTTCAAAGGCTCGTCTTCAGTCTTGTTGGACTCGGTGTCGGCAGCAAGATCGGCGTTTGCATCATGAGCGACAGGCATCTCAGGTTTGAACAGGTTTTGGACTTCCTGCATCGCCTGCCATGGCTGATATCTCTCCTCAGTTGCGGTCGTATTGGCGGATTGAGGCTGGAACCAGTTAGGTATGTTATGTATCATTGAAGATTTCCAAGTTTCTCCCACCATGTTTGAAGAGTGCGAGTTTGTAAATTCTGATACGATAATGTTGAAAGTTGTCGTGTCTGAGATTCATCTCTATGAATGATGGAGATGGTCGGGGGGGTTGATATAGCACTTGAGGTGTCTATATTTTGATTGAATGCGTGGGTGACTTGGTATCCTCGGCCATAAATTTTCGCCGGTCGTACATAAAACCCATGGAGCACGCGAGTATGCGTGAAGGTGACGTGGACGACGACTCCGAATGCGGGCGCAGTCGTATGTACCCATGCTGATACTCAGTAGGCGATAAAGCTATGGGATCCGGTAAATCCAGGTGTCTACTCTCGTGTTTCGGCCCGATCCGAGCGCTTGGCCCCCCAATATTCGTTCTTCAAGGTGATTCGTTCGCTTCTTTGTACCGCGTTGGATGTATTACATTTGCTCGCATTCTCAGCCGTGTCCGTGAGCCCATTTTGCTTTCCCACATGGTGGACCTTGCATAAACGCCTCACTACATTACGGACTTCATGCCTGGATATTCGGAAGGATCGAGCCATTCGAACCCCTGGCAAGATGTGCACACGCTTCTTGTTTTCATGCATATATGAGGTAGCATCATGAGGTGACGATTGGAATGAGAGGCGCCAACAAGCCCGCACATTCATACCAAGGCACCTTAGTGCTGTTCGTATTCTCTTGAATCAACAGGGACCTTGATGCTTGATGGCAGCCAAGCACTCAGCTACCCGCAGAAAAGCACCCTAAGACATACAGTTTCCCAGCACATGTTTTGTCGTCCCCCCACTTTGCCACAATGCGTCTAGACCACTGCTTTCCTTTCATGGCCACAATATCTACCACTTCTCAATCTATTTGAATGAAGGGGCTGATCATTTGGTATGAAAGGTAGAATATAAGTGGAGTTTCAGATGTGGGGGGGACAAAACACGTATGAGCCGACTGTATGTCAAGTATCCTGGGTCATAACAGATACTCGCGCGCCATCCTTGTGACGCATTGGTAGCCTGTTACTAGTCACCATCGACCCTGACTACTGACTGTTACTTAGCAGCTATGGAGGGAGACGCTATTGCACTTTTATGGGTGAATATTGACCCCCATAAGCGTAGTATCCTCGGTTGGCAGTGCTTCTGAGGAAAGGCACCATCAGGTAGGTGAGCTGCGTTCTGCCCCCAAGGGGACCGCGTCGCTAACCGGTTCCAGAAACGAGAAAATGGTGTTATCTCGAGGTCTGCGACGCAAATGATGCGCTGGCTAAGATTACAGCCCCCTGTCTCATTTTTCGCGTAATAACTTAATTATCCACTTCATTTTCTGTCGTCTATATCACATTAGCAACACTTAGAAGCCTGTTGCCTACCTCGTGGAGATCATACAAGGGCAATGGAATATGAAGATATGAATATTGTATTGCGGACGGAGGAGAGAAGGAGAGAGAGAGAGAGAGAGAGAGCGAGAGATATCTATCTATCTACTCCATGGGAGACTATCCCAATGTGGGATGTCACCTGACATCCCCAACACTACCCCTTCTTCTCTCTCGCCTTAACACACCGGCGATGCATTGATCCAGCTAGACTTTTCAAAAAGCTTTTGGGCACTGTGTCCTATGCTTCTTGAATGGCAATATGTAGCTTTTCTATCTTTGTATTTTTAGGGCTGTAGTATTTCTCTATTGCTCTATACGCGCCTAGGCATCCTCAATAGGGTTAAGATCAGGTGAATATGGAGGCCATTGCATATCTATAAGATTATACTGATTAGGTATATTGCGTATCTCGCGAGACCAATCGCAGCCTACCGTCTCGAATCAAGATACGTTGGAAGCTATGAAGGATTCCAAAATTATTGATTAATGCGAGCAGGCACGCGCGATACATAGAACGAATCGGCTACCATTATAGACTTCTAGTACTTATCTCAACGGGCACATGGCGCCTTTCGTATACCCACGAAAGCAGTGCATAACATCAAATCTTTACATTGCTTTAACTGAGGCGGTACCGCGGTAGTATGATACTTTTTGAACTGATTACTTATAACCAAAGGCCCAGAATAGAATCCTACTCATAGCTAATTTTTAATGGTCCAAACGACCGTTCTCTAGTCCTTAGGCGTCCATTGTAAATAGGCATAAGCCTATTCAAGATTATTTGCTCGATTATATGGCTGATCATGTAAGCGGTGGGTTTACCTACGCTTTTTTCTCAGTGTAGTTGCAGCGTTCAAGCTCTCAGTTCAACAGACTAATGGGCGGAAAGGCCATTATTCATGGTAAGACGGCTATCTCTTAATATAACGATCGTAAGAGCAGTATTTTTATAATCTATTTATAGCGTAGACTGCGGGACTTCGAAAGAGCGAGTAGCAGCACTAACGGAGGTAAACCGGCCATTCCTAATAGCCTTAATTGCTAGTAGAACTCTGCCTTCCTGCTTAACTTGTTTCTAGCTTTTTGACCGCGGATTAGCGGCATGGTAGGTGTTTAAAATTGGGAGGCTTAGTTAGGAGAAGAAAAATTGAAGTGCCTGCCAGAACGGCCGGGATGCCGGAACGACCAGGATCCATGTTATCGTGGCCTTATGCACTGACAAATAGTGATCTGAACGATGAAGCGGTGATAAAGGCGGTGGTCGGGTGGTAATGTGGGTACGGGAAACATGCGGTGGGGACTGTACGATGATCGAGGTCTAGCGCAGACTATGACGGACAGTGTCAACGTGACATCACAAAGGAGGGTAAATGCGCTCCACATTGTAGTCGGAACCCTGGACCAAGTTGCATTGGTTATCATTCTATTTTTGTTAGCAAGTAAGTATTGCGGAATCCCTTGGCCCCACTCATGGCGGTCAAACAATTCGAAGGATGAAATCCCAGTCTAGCACGTCTCACACGCGCCGTACGGAGTAGGTACAGGTGCGTACATATGCATATGTTATCTTCAGCATTAGGATTTCCGAGGCCTCCCGGCTCTACCTAATACCCACTGTACAAACGTACGTCGAGAAAAGCCTAATGTGAGACGGACGAGGTCCCGGTCTAGCGCTATAGGTTCGGGTTACACTGCATTAGTGCGCAGCTGCAGTCAAGCCCCCTCGGGGCCTCAAGTGTCTCGATCCTCGTCCAATCCTCGTGGGCCATACCTAAATAAGCTTTCGGGCCGCTACGGATTGTCCGGAAGCGAGGTGGATCTTGCCATACGTACTCCGCTTCGCTCGGCTGCCGAGCTTGATTGGGCATGGCGTGGGATGATCGCTTAACAAAGCTTAGTGAGAGAACATGGGGCTGTGGCTAAATCTCTATGTTACGGGACGAGGATTCCATCTCCCCTCACTTTTCGTACTGCGGATGAGCGATTGTCCTCTAAGTCAAGGGCAGGGATGAACTGAACGGGGACTAGTAAGATCTCATGGATCAAGCGCTCATCTTACTTGGTGCCTCGTTGGAAGTGCTCAAGTGGATTATGTTGGCCTCCGAGTATAGCCAATGGGTTAGATTCTTGTTGGGAAGCGACCGTGGGAAACTGCGGGGTAGCGCATTGAGGAATTTATCCAACCCACCCATTCGTCTTTGCCAATTTGACATTTCTTCAGCTCGGCGTTGCCTTTTCTCTGCCATCCGTTCGACTTCCAATACGGAGCCCTAAGTCCGGCCTCTGATTCGAAAAGCATTAATCGGCGTTTGCCGCAAACTATAAAGAATCTAATCCACTTATATCGCTGGAATCGCGTTTCGTTTTCTAGGCAGGATCTGAACAAGAGCGTTGTCATTGAAGAAGTTCCGGAGGCTGGATGGACCAATATAGCAGCAATGGCTGCTGTCGACTCTGATGACTCGTTTAAAGCGAAGATCCAGTATCTTGCCAGAGACGACCAGCACCAGCTGGTGAAACCATATTATTTGTACTTCAAGTACGACTCCGAGATTGCTCCAACAAACACATCCCCCGATGATCGGTTTGTCCACATATTCAATGCTCGGAATCTGGGCATTCCGTCGAGAGAGATGTTCTTCAAGTGGGGGTTTGCTCAACTGCGTTTTGATTGTCCTTTGACACCTGAGGAGTATTGCTATGACAAGAAAGTGGAACAAGTTTTATATCCCAAATGCAAATCGATTGCCCGGTTCCTGTTCCCAAATGCTGCCCGAGTTGAAGTCCTAGAGCACGCAGTAAGCAAAATTACCCGAAGACGGAAGGCTCCAAAAGGCTGATCGACCGGAGCCAGGTTCGCAAACGTCATCCTCTTTGGCTATCTGAGGGCATAGAACGACACGAGCTTAAGACAAACCAACCGAGTGATTATGTACACATTGGTACGCGTTCTTCATCGTACGTATAGCCTTTTGAGCTTCGTATACTGATCGGTTTGATTGAAATCAGATATGACGGCCTCCTCGGCTGCAAAATGCAGTATCAAGTAATTCAAAATCCACCGGAAGAGTTATTCAAGATTCCTCGTTGTAAATTAATAGGTCCAGACTCCCAGAAAACTGCATCCAAGAGCTTACCCTTCATTTCACCAGCCTCTAGAAGCCAATAAGAGGGCCAGTATACGACTTTCCGCTCACGCTTTGCGACCGCCGTACAGTAGACTACGCATCTCAGGCAACTGCAATGGATATCGTTACGGGTGATTACGTTAACGAAAATACTCGGATATACTTTGACGAGAAGCACAAATGGTACTACTGGCACGGCTTGCAGGTTAACGAGGTAATCGCCTTCATACAGGCAGATTCCCAAGAAGAGAACCGAGCAGGTATGATGGACTTTACCCCTATCATCTAGAGGATGTGTCTTTTTAAATTTTGACACTGGAATTCAGGAGTTCCCCATACGGCTTTTCGAGACACTCGGAATAGTGACAACAAGCAGTTGCGGGAGAGTATTGAAGCTAGAGTGTTTGTTTATTTTGACTGAATGTCCCGACTCTCAAGCAACCTGATCACACACTAGCGATGTAGAATGAATAACGTTTACTGCGGATAACAATCAAGCTATCGTTCAGACTTTCCAAAGCGTTCTTTACTGTGAAACCAGTCTCCGTATCTCATCAGCAAACCCAATGGGGGAATGAAAGCGGCTGCGATCAAGGCTAGCACAGTGTTACCCCAGCCCTTTCCAATGCTTTCATATAGAGGAGGGCCGATCAATGGCAAAAAAGCCCCAGCAATCGCTCGGTAGATTACACCAGCAGCTATAGCAGATGCCCCATGGATCTCGTAAACATCCACCACGTATGTTTCGGCCGGTATGGCGGAAAGCGTCATGCTGAACCCCGCAGCACACGTTCCGATGAGCGGCACGATGTATTGAATATGAAAATTTAATGTCCATCCGTAAATTAGAAAGCCCACAGGAAGAATGATTGCGGCAAGAAGCAGATGCACCAGCCGAGACTCCGGCTTGAATGCGTCGCCTTTCGTTTCCCGCTGGTGGATCATGTAGCGGTCGGAAGTGAGACTGTAGAAGATCAAAGCGATGGTGTTGCCGATGGCGAGACTTAGAAACGTCAAGCCAATGGAGCCGCTAGAAAAGACGGTGGGGTACGTCGATTCCATGTTTTCCGTGAGTGTGGCAAGAATCAATGAGACTAAGGCGTATGTTATGGCCATGTAGCTCGTTGTCAGAATGAGAATAGGAGACTGGATCAGAATCTGCATTGGTTTTATGGCGCTTTCGAGCATGGTGGATGCATCGACGCGGGCCTGATGTTTGGAACGATACTTCTTGTCGTCCGCACGCTCCTCTTGTAACCGCTCCGCCTTCCGCCTCAGAATGACGACTGTGTATGTCTCCCGGAGTACAACCAGTAATAGAAAGCTGAAGAATCCGAGTACGATGGCCGCCAGCCAGATCGACCATCGCCAACCCAGGCTTTGTGCGATATACGCTCCTGCGATAGGTGAGATGAAATCTGCTATCATCTGAGTTCCCATGACTACTGCCATGGACCGGCCGGTTTGTTCCATTTGGAACAAATCCCCGACGATGGCGGGCCCGAGCGTGAGAATCGATAGGAAGCAACCCGTTAAGAATCGGAACGCAATCAGCATGGGAATGTTTACGCTCAGGGCGCTGGCGATCAAGCAGCAGAGCGCGAGGAGATTTCCAAAATGGAAGACTGGAAGCCGGCCGAATCTTTCGGAGAGCGGTGCAATGAAAAATGGGCCAATCCCTTCCCCGAGCTCCCAAATCGTGACGAGCAAGGTCTGGTCGAGCTTATTGTGCGAATGGAACTCTTGCAAGATCTGCGGCGTCGTGGGCACAATCGTCATTGTCGAAAAGACACTAATTCGGTCAGTCGACGACGGCAGATATACAGACTGGCGAGACAAGAAAACGACGCCCACCTGACGAAACCCATCCACGAGACAACGAACACAATCAGCCATTTATGCATTGATGACCAATTCAAAGGGTTTTCCGGGTCGTTCTCCTTGAAGTCCACGATGACGACATCTAGATCACCGTCTCCGATGGCATTTTCCAATGGCTGTTCGGTGGTCTTTTCATTCTCGCTTCCCGCCGCAGCCACGGGCTCATTGCCTGGCACTTTCTGCAGCTCAATTGAAGATAAAATGGGGACTGGGTGGGTGACAGCCCCATCGATGAAAGACATCAGTGTCAAGAGGGTGGCATACGCCAACAGTGTCTATTCAACTGCTGAGAGAGCAGGCAGGAAGGGAAAAATACGAAACAAAGCAACAGTTTAAGGGCCGACATGGTTAATCACGTGAACAGCCTAACGCACAATCCTTGTCCGGAAAGAGGCGTAGGTACCTTGAGAAAGCTTGGGCAGGTAATCCCCTGAAATTTTACATAACATTAGGTTACAGTTCTTTCGATTTAGAATCGGCAGAATCCACCAATCAATCGGTGGCGAATTTGCACATATGTATGTACATACATCTTCAACCTATCAGAATCTATTCCTAGTTCTTATCGATAAGACACATGATTGGTTCGGTTTACTCCATCCTTCCGTCCACGCTTCATCCGTCTAACCGGCACGCTCCAGTCTGATACCATCGGGCAATCAGTACCCATGCCTAGCGAAGAAAATGAGCCACAAGGCACAGCGAGCCAGCACGTGAGACGACCCAATATATCGAACAACCCCATCCAGAACCTCTGGAAATGGCAGGTCGGGGAAGACGCTGCATACTACAAAATAGAAGAAGGCCTTGGTACCGAGAAGCAAAGCCAATGACATCAAAAGCATGTTTAACGACGTCAATTGAAGCAGGACAGGTCACTGAGGAAAGCTGATCAATATGTGGCTTACCCAGGTGGGAGATAGAGCAGGCGCTTGGGGAGGACTGTGTTCATTTATTCCCTTTCGTACTTTGTAGGCCTGGCCCCGGGTGGCATACTGCGGGCAGTGGCTTTTGATTTTTGATACTTGCTTGATGATTACTCACTCGTAAGGAAAGCCGCCTTTTTCTTCGTTCAGTGGCCAACTGTTGTCATAATGTTTTTCGTTCTGTTGGAGGAAAAGTCTGCAACACGAGGCGACACAAGGTAGGTAGCGTCAAACGAAATAGAAACTCATCATCGTTAACCTGGAGGGCCATTGGTGCTCCGTCGAGAAGGCCGTCTAGTCTGATGTCTTATAAATTGATTCATACGGGAACCAGGATGCTGACCTACCCTAGATCCATATATACGAGCTCTGGATTTGGATGATTCAAAAGTGCCCACCTATGGTCACTTCTTTCGAAATGAACAACTGATCAAGAAGTGTCCAATTATATGTTAGCTCAGGAAGATTGGAATCCATGGCGATACATCTATGCCGGCAGTATAAGAAATTGAAATCCCGTATCTTCGGACGAAATACCGTAGCTAGAGTACGATACAGTAATTCGTGAGAAACCTTAGTGATTTAAAATACCTATGCTCGGTGAAATTTATATTCAAACTAAAACACTGTAAAGTATAGGGGGCTCTAGTGTTTGCAGGATAGGGCCTGTCAACTATGTAAGATGAAGAAGACTCCGAAACAGATGTATTGTGCGGAAAGTACAGAAACTGATTCTTGGGAAATCCTCAGGTTTCCCCAGAATGGACTATTTAACCTTAACAGAAGTGGGGAAGACCGTTGGTCAAGTAACACTTGACAAGCGACAGTGATTTAATATACTTATAAGGCTTAAAAGGCAATCTCGTCGACAATATATATAATAACAACATCCACAACAACATCTATATATTCAAAAGGCCAGTCATCCACTCCCTATTCCCCTAAAATAAAACAAGCCAGGCTACCCGTACCAACACAGCTATCTACAATAACAGCTAGAACAACAGCCATAGCAGCATTTACAACAACATCCATTTATTCAAAAGGCCAGTCATCCACTTCCTATTCCCCCACAACAAACAAGCCAGGCTAACCGTACTAATATAGACATTATTCTAAGTACTAAATTTTATAAAATACTAATACAACAGATAAAATACTAAACGAAATACTTAAGCGATAGATTAAAATACTCAAGCAAAAAATGAAATACTCAAGCAGAAGGTGAAATACGGTATTTCATGAATTACCGTAGCCCACCTAATACTGTATTTTCAACGGAGTCACACGAAATACTGTATATTTTAGCAATAATAGCTACAAAAGTAGATGAAATACCGTGTTTCATAGGGTATTTCAATTTCCCATCCGGGCTCCTAACGAACTAGACGAGGGCCCCTAGCGGGAAATTGCGGAATATATATCATTAGGCAAGAACGGAAGGGCACAGATTTGTATCTCTATATATAATGAAGAATACCAAATTTCATAACGCGAAATACTCATATCATACATATCTACCGAAAGGCAAATTGAGACCAGCCTTGTGATAAGATTGTATCTACCAGCTGACGTCCATTTATATCCAAACCATGAGTGAACCAAAGGCGATGGAGCGTACTCTGCCTCGTGACCCTGCCTTTCGAAGGCGAGATATCCAGGTGCATAGTGTTCCACATCACCTACATGGTCAAGGGACACAACTGGATCAAAAGCTCTGCTTTCGCACTCTCCAGCATCGCCAATACAAGAGCATCCGGATCAAGACTAGATCGGTTAGTCAACATCAATCTTCAAGGCAGAATTGGAGGGGCCAGCCAAGATTGAGCGGGTAGTGATGGTGAGTGGTGAATCCCATAGCACAATGCTATGTGATCATAGCATAGGTTTGAAAGTGCCACTTACTGTAACATCTAGGGCGGAAAGGTTCCTATCTCGAAGAGTCTATCCTCACAACGCTATAAGAAATTGTCGTTATATAAGTCAACCAAGAGCGCACCGTTACAGTGCTATGGTCGGAGTCGTAATTCGTTTTGTATTTCCCATTTTATGCGAAATCCACTACAGATACTATTCTATTATCAGATTGCTTTGATCCACTATGAAAAAGTGTCGAGGTTCAGTAATAACAACTATACCATGTCGTATTATGGAAAGGCTATCAAAGTCGGCATTCTCTACAAACATCTACTACGCCCCTTCCTCTTTACGCGTAAGTGGCGGTCCTGAACTGCCGCCCATAGAGTCCCAGACTAATATTAGGCTTCTGTGACCTTCGAAGTGTTTAAAGTCACACCTACGAACACCGTTCACCACCAATCAAAGACAGATCAGGTGGGTATCTAAGTTAAATCCCTGCCGCCCCAGGTTGAACCAAGATAAATCCCTCGGGTAGGGAATCGCACATAGTATCAGCTCGACTGCGTCGCTCGCGAAGAGTATCGCATCATTTCGCATTTTGACTAAAACTGGTATACTTTGCTATTTTCGTGATGATTATTGAGCCGTGACTAATCATTTTTATCTCTCATGAGCACTCAACGCGCAAAACCCTTACGGTGCAGATAAAAGAAAAGACGTCCACGGGTGATACATGCATTTCAATTTTCAGTTTTTTCTTTCTTTTCCCCATTGCTATTCAGGCGGTGAAATAGGAAAACAAAAGGCGAAAGCTACGACTTCCAATACAATGCACATTCCCCGGCCTAGCACAAATATTTCTACCTCACTAAATGCCCTACCCAAAAAGGCTAGACCAGATCAGCAAGCACCACATTCGCGTGAGCAAACGTGTAGCCGGCTATGCGCAATCAAGAATTTCCACTCTATGATAAGCAGTCTCCCAAGTTGGCTATCTTCCCAAGCATCCTCAAGCCCCTAGGTGTCGCCAGTCTTTTCCAATATTTATCCTTTACGATTAGTCACGACCGCCAAGACGCTGGTAGCTTGAGAACTGCAGTAACTCCTCTAGTGACAGGTTCCTTAGGTTTCAACACTTTTGCGATGTGACTGTACGTTAACCATCACTTATCAGTCATGTTTGACACCTTTAAGACTACATTGCCAGAACCAAGAACTTTAGAGCGCAGAGGTTTCGCACATTTCTATTGGTCATGCCAGCATAGCATCCGTCAATAAATTATAATTGACCGGTGGCCGCTCTGCACCTTGGTACCGGATGCTATTTGCATATAGAGAGAAATATGGGTACGGAGTACGTTCAAAAGTGATGAATGTTTTACATGTTAAGTGTCTTAGTTCGAGTTTAATCGCCACTCGTTCCTAGACAGGCTGCAATTGACCAAGTACCAGGTTTGAGCTTGGTTCATATCAACGTGATCTCAATCTCTAGTTATGATATTTCCTTGCAGTACACCGACAATGTTCCGATGTTGCCCAGGTGACATTGTGAACCATCAGCCCAGTCCTATCACTATCACTAAACTCATCGCTACCTAAGTTCAGCTGAAAGTTCTTCAACACATCCAACATAAACCGCTTAATTCGAGCGGACGAAAGAGAACTGTCCACCTGCACCCTGGTTGTCAAGAATGAAGGTTCCCTTGGCTTGGGCGCAGACGGAACCGTCGCCATTGTGTACAGTCTTGGTACCGCACTGAGCCAGGGCCTCGTACTGGACAAAGCCAGACTGTCCAGGAGATACAGTGAAAGTCTGCGAGTTACCGTTTGTGACAGCAATCGAGTGGCTGGTCTCGACCGACGCAGTGAACACGTCAGAGGCTCCCACCGTGATGCTGTACTCGTCGGTCACCGTGATAGATTGGGTTAGCTGAGCTGCGCAAGACTGGCCCTGACCGGGGCAGCTAATGAACGGAGAGACGCGGGCGCCTTGGGCATAGCAGGTCTGGCAGTCGTCGCAGGTAACGGAAGTAGAGCCGCTGCAGCCGTCACGACGGACAATGCTGTTCTCACGGCGCTCAGAGATACTCTCGCGCCTTTTCTGGACCTGCTTCGCCTCCTGAACCTCGCGCTTTGGCACGCTTGACTTTTTCTGAATCGCGGCTACCAAATTCCCTGAGGGGATGCCAGATAGATTGTTGCAACCGGTCTGATCGCACTCGGCGGTCACAACATCGAGGGCCGGTGTAACCGAGTCGTAACAGCCGGACTGGTGAAAAATACCCTGGAGCGAACCACACTGGATGTGCTGGTCTTCCTGCGACTTGGGTAACTGGAAAAAGGCAATTCCATTGGTTCCACCATCAACAGTGACCTGGACGTGCCCACGAGGATCGTCATTGGGGAAGAAGTTATACAATGTGCAGGTGTTGACTCCTTCAGGGGATATGTCGATGGTAGGGCCCGTAGGACTGGAACACGAGCCTGCCTGCCAAACAGCCTTGATGGCGGCATCGGCGCCGCAGGCAAAAGCGGCGAGGGCGAGGATGGACTTGGGCATGGTAAGGGCTGAGGATATGGTATGAGTGATTATGGGCCTTCAAATGATCTGCAAGGAATTTATAGCCGACTAGTAGGTCCCTCAGACGTCTTATATATTTGTCGTCCACCAGAGGCCAGCTCACAAGATTTGACATCCCAAACGTTGGCCCCCAAGTCAAACACCAAACCTTAGATTGAACTTTCAAAAAAAAGACTCAGCCGAACTTATAAAATCCTTCAACCCATTTTCCAATTCGGTATACCAATTTCCGGTTCGGGAAAAGAATTTGCTCATCAGAAGTGAGAGGTGCCTAAAGTGCGCTGACGTGGGGGCCAAAACTTAGAGATCGGCATCGGTGTTCATCCTGCAGCACTATCTAAGAGTCAATCTGTACTTCATTTGTAACATGTTTTCTTCCATTTTCCTGTTTAGGTGGTTGGTATATCCTGGGATAATCTGATTCCCATGGTTTCCCGGAATTTTGTAGCCCTATACTACAGTCTGACCCTGCTGTCCTAGCTTCAACTAAACCCCATTGAGAGAACTTCGCAGACTCCAGCATTGCCTGAGCTGAGTTTTGGAAATTGGTGCTCAATTAACTGATTGGACAAAACGTGCAAAGCGATTTCAGTCAATCCGTCTTCAGGAAGTAGAAATATAGGTCCCAGAAAACTTTAGATGGCTACAGTACCCTCTGTCTTTACCTAGTGGAACGAATTCATGTTACTCCGGGTAGCTAAACGAAATCGTACTGCCAAATTCCGACTCCATCGCATTCCTCAAAATAATACATGTATATGTAGATCGAGTGTAAATTACTAATCTTTGTGATAGGTAGTTGACAGGTATGATAGTAATATACGTTCAATTGTTTGCAATACTTTCTGCTTTATGGTCTTGATCTCAACCGCCCCGCGCTGAACTAAAAAATTGATTCCATTGGAAATATCCAACTCCAGGTACTCAGGCGGAATATCTGAACCATCCCCAAAGGTTGTTGGTAGATGGACACCCACGTCGATATCTTTGCGGGTGGGAGTACAAGTGACTTTCTATCCCTTTGTCTTCCTTAACTGTCATCTAGGCAAACTAATGTCATTATATTCCCCGTCGACGGGATAAGCCTAAACCGAAGAATATCGAGGGGACCCTTAACTGCTCACTGTGCCAGAGCGTGGAGCTGAGTTCCTAACATTTCTTTGACATTCAACACTCGTTTCAAAATCTCCCACTGTGTTTGGATGGGATTTCCCTGTGTGATGTTGGGCCCGTACGGATCAAGCCCTGTGCAGAGAGCCTGAACATCGCGCATTTGTCTTGGCAAGTCTTAATTTGAAGGTGTGTGTCCAGTGTCACCCTCACGTTAGTCATTTCTAATTCAAGCATCTCTTTTCCTGCAGAGTTTGCAGTTCTAGACTAGACTTATTGACAACGTTGGCCTTCACATATTTTCAGGAGATAGGATAGCACCAGAGATGATGTGATACGATCACTAAGCTGGAAACTGATATTAACAGTGAAGAAGTGCAACCTCATATTTTCAATTTGTTGTGCACAAGGTTGCTGAGAATGTGGGATCCATGGTTAGTTGGTTGTAGCTCTAGCCCAGACTAGACGCCTTGAAGATATCCCCAAATCATGTAACAACTGGTTCAGATCTATGCTTTTTTTTTTCGTAACATTCTATGTTGTTCACATGGTTCTAAACTTGTTCTAAATACGGTACTAGCCAGAAATTCATGCGCCTCAAAATTCTTTTTTCGCCCTTTGTCCTTATTTTTCTTGCCGTTTTCTATTGATGACGGCCAGCAAAAATCTTTTGAATGATGAGAATCAATTGTATCGGCCATTCCAGAGTGGATAAATGCCGATGGCAAGCAAGGTCACCCAAAGCCACATGAGGGCCACCGTGATCCAGTCGAAAAAGATCTGAAGGCTATTAAAAAAACCATACCAATGGAGTAGGATTTTTCGGGATGTATCCTCACTGTCCTAGTAAAAACAAATTTTGCAGCATACATAGGCAGTGGCCAAAGGATCCAAGTCCAAAAATGTAGCTACTGCCCAGAAAAAAGCGACCCGAGTCACACGTTTGTTGATTTTGTCCTCCAATACCTCTGCACTATAAACTACCCTGTTTGCTTTTAGAGTAATCCAGTTGAATTTCTGGGGAGCTGAGAGAGTGATTAAGACCGATTAAAAAAGTGGACTGATTGCAGACCCTACTGTACCATACATGCATGGCACTGTTGCTCCCATTGTCGTAATGTTCATTTGGCCGTATAAGTGATGAGATGTTCCCAACCAAATAGCAATGCCCGTTGCCATGCCCAAGTAGGCCGATTCTGTGGCAGCGGCTTGACTTTGCTTCTTCCACATTATTGTAAGAATTAGTGGGAATAACCCAGGGCAAGTGATGATTTCTTTTCCATCGCATTAGCGGTATCTTAATGAGCGCTTTGACCACTCTCACCAAACATATATAGGGTCCATCCCATGTCAAGTCCTATGTAGTGGAATACTACAGTAAGGCCTGCAGCAAGCAGACCAAATATTATGATACCAAATTGACTCCATTGGATAAGCTGTGCACTCTCTGCATTCTTGTTCCAATACTTTCGGTACAGATCAAATGCTATTATTGAGAAAACTGCGATAACTTGTGCCGACAGAGTCGACGTCACAGCCTAAATGGTCATGAGAAGAGTCGCAATATCACCCCCTCTTCCTGCAACTACCCTGGCCCCATACGGTAGAGTAAGCCCACTCGTGATTTCATTGGGCGTCATTTGCTAAAACTGGTAAGTAAAGTGGGAGATTCAGCAGCAAAAGAAGAGCACTCACACGGGAAAATTAGGAAATGATTCGCTAGTCTCCAATCCCAACACAGCCATTCCCATAATTGTCCCCGGAGTCCACGGGATGCTGAAGTAGGATATTCCTCTAATTACATACCCAGGGATGACTGCGTTAGGCGACACGGCAAACGCCTTAGTGAAATATCCAGCGTCCATCTAATTGCGAGTCAGCGAGAAAATGTTGACAAAATTTTGCTGCAATTCAGACTCACTGTAACTGCGCCAAAGTTTGACACCAGTAAAATAATTCCACAAAATATGCCTTGTTGGGATTACATGGTCAGAAGAGAACCCTCGTAGTTGCCGTCAATCATGTGGCGAGGCTGGGCCCTAACTACCAGGTCATACAATCCTCCAACTGACCAGATGGATATCGGCTCTAGTCAATACTTTGGTGGTCAGGTAGCAGCACAGTATCAAAATGATTGGTGTATGAATAAAGTCGGTCGAAAAACTGCATTTTTGTTGTCTATCAGCGCTCATGTCCGATGATAGAATGAAGGTAATTATTTACGTTGCTTTGATGCCCCCCATTAAAGTATATATAATGACCCCGGTAGGAAGTAGAAATGCCATGCCGCCCGGATAGGAAGTTGAAATACCCTATGAAATACGGTGTTTCATCTGCTACAGTATTTCGTGTGACTCTATGTAAAATACAGCATTTAGTGGGCAAAAGTATTTCATAAAATACCGTATTTCAGTTATGGTTTGAGTATTTCATTCTAGTATTTCATTCTTGCTTAGTATTTCATTTTTTACTTTAGTATTTTAATCATCGCTTAAGTATTTCGTTTAGTATTTTATCTTTTATATTAGTATTTTATAAAATATAGTACGGTTATACTAGCTTATATTATTATAGGGGAATAGGGAGTGGATGACTAGCCTTTTGAATAATATAGATGTTGATATAGATGTTGATATGGGTGTTAGTAAAGATGTTAATAAGGTGTTGATATAGATGTTGATATAGGTGTTAGCATAGATGTTGATATGGGTGTTGATATAGATATCTGTGTTGGTATGGTTAGCCTGGCTTATCTTGTTGTAGGGGAATAGGGAGTGGATGACTGGCCTTTTGAATATATGGATGTTGATATGGATGTTGATATGGATGTTGATATGGATGTTAATATAGGTGTTAATATAGGTGCTGTTATTATATATATTATAGAAGATATTGCCTTTTAAGGGTTCTAAGTATATTGAATCACTAAAGTAGTTGATAAAATTCGGTATTTCGAGCTAAAATAAAGTATTTTAGTTTAAATATAGTATTTCACCGCGTATAGGTATTTCAAATTACTAAAGTATCTCGCGAAATACCGTATCCTACTCTAGCTACGGTATTTCGTCCTAATATACGGTAGTTCGACCCCAAATACGGTAATTCACTTTCTTATACTGCCGGCATGGTGTAGCCGCCATAACGTGCATTGCTGTGCTTTGAGTTCGTAAGCATTCATTCGAAACACCAAACGCTTAACTTACAGAGATGTAATGGTAGCTGCAGCGCCCAGTATCATGTTGATCGTGTTGAAAAGGTTATCGATGATAGCAAGGAAGATGAAGCTGACATGCGCCGACGTTCCTAGATTTGGGATTAATTTTCAGTTTGAACATTATGGAGGTAGATTCAATATACCATATCGAAGTTTGATAATCTCGAGAACAGTATGTGCATTGGAGGCAATGGTTTTGCAAACAACTCATATGTACGCAAAGCAAACGATCATAGGCGAGCACCCAGCGGCATACTAAAAGGATCCATTAACGCCGTACTGATAGGCCACCAAAGTTGTACTTAATAGCATTGTGCTCCACAACCACGACTTTGAACGAATCTGGTCAGTAGTATTCCAGTTAAGCCTTTCAGGATTCTTACCAAGACCACTGCGGAAGCAATAAGTCCGGTGCCAGCTTTTTTATCCGTGACAATGAATCTATGTGGCGTTAGGCGAGACATGAAACTTGTAAAAAGCCGAGCATCCTTACATTTCAACTTTGCTGTTATCTTCCCCAACGGTTGATTTCAATAATCTTGTCACAAGTACCATGCCTATAACTCTCAGTACTTTGAAGAAAGTGGTTGTGTTGTTACTCACCTGCTGCAACCAATAACCCGAGTCCAATGACGACACCGTATCCCACGCTTTACGATAATGGCGGAGGAATCTGTGATATGTCTTCCAGAAGTTTTGAAAAAACTGGCTGTCAATGGCTCAATTGTATGAATATTTGTGGACAAGTACAAAGAGTAGCTTAATCAAGTTATAAGGATATTTGATAGCACAAAAGAAATTGCGGTCTCTAGGTCTCATCAATTATTTGATTTATCTCACAATAGTTGTCATTTCCTAATTCTGCCTTGCATGGCAGTAATAAAGAGAGCACGATTAATGTCAAATTATAGCGTGTGGTAACAACATAGCCCATTTATAGGTAGTCTGGCGTGCCCAAATTTTCTTTTTACTAGTTTCGTAAGAATCGAGTGAATTAGAGCTTGATTCAGCGTTTACCTTTCCAAATGCCCTTCGGGTTGGGCTTGATCCGACGTGCTTGCGGTAATCTATAGCGACAGAGACACGGGTGGGTTCTCTCGGAGCTTTGGACATACAAAATCTAATGCGACGCGTTTGAACACGTAACAATGAGGGTCGCTCATTCGATCTGAATTGTCAAATTAGTTAGTACGATTTTTCGCACAAGACACCACCATATTTGACAAGTGACTCTAAGCGCATATTGCTCAGGTCTGTAAATGAGCCGCCTAATCCTTCGGGTGTGCAACGTTTTAGGAGTTGTAGGTTTAAACAGATACTTTTTCTAACATCGCCCTCGATGCCAGCAGAGATGTAAAACCCTAATCATCTTTCTGCGTGTCAATTTCGGCAATGTTGCCGTCACCCTAGATCACGAGGCTAGTGTTAACCTTATTTTACCAATCTATCGCAAATGCAATCAATGCAATATTTTACAAAACATGGCATGGAGTCCGATAGTAAACTTTGAGGCCCCAGCAATATTGAATCAAGCTTATTATTTCTTCATGAAACTCTGATCAACCAACAGACCAAAGGTTCTCCTTTGAGGACAGACAAAATAACGGCCAGGGGTTGGATACTGTAGACCTGATCAAAAAATTCTACAATATAGATCAATTTGCCAACTCAGACACATACGTTGGCCATGAAATGATGGAAACTTTGAGAGCTCAACCATCGGACACCTTGTACGAAAAGCAGAAACGATCAAGGATGGTAAGGTATATCGATTGCTTCAAAGTTCCTCATTTGGCCATGTGAATTGAATGAACATTTTCCACATTGTATCATTGTATCTAAAATCAGCGGTCGCAAGCATGATAGTGATAGCACTGTTATCGCAAAAGTGTCTGTAGCATATAAGCTAAGCTTAGTCTTCGTCTAGGATGGGGCCGGTTTCGCAAAATGAAATATAGTACTCAGATTTCAATAGCAAGGTCAATTACATTCCACTTTCAGCTTAAACAAATATAGACACTTAGGGGGCCATTCTAATAGGTACATATCTCGACCATTCTCCCTTCGAACTCGGATTTTAAAATATGTATCTCTTCTTAATCACATCTGATGCCCTGTCGGCCATAGCATACAGAGTGCTGGTCAAGTGGCCACAAATTTGGAATGGAACGACGGAAGCGTCAATGACTCGAACATTCTTGGTGCCATACACTTTGAGATCAGGACCAACGACGCCGCCCTTTTCCCGAGGAAGCATACTGGCTGTTCCTACTGGGTGGAAGTTTGATCGATCTAAGAAAAATTGTCAGCTCCATAATCTGGTTGCTGATTAATATGAACCGATAATACTCACAATTTGACTTGACCCAGTTCTCCCATGTAGATTTTGATGCGTCTCCCGGGACATGCTCGAAACCAGGAGCAAGTTCCTCCCCAACAAGATCGCTCAATGGAGGGGTGACGAATGCCTTTCGGATATACCGCGCCACATCGACCTGAGATTTCAAGTCCTGCTCAAACATGAAGTAGTTTGGGTTGATATCGGGTGTTTGAGTCGCATCTGCGGAGTTTATGTGAATGCTACCTCTTGAAAATGGCAGTAGAGGCCAGTATTCACTTGAGAACGTATGTCCAATTGGAAGCAAGACGATTTCTGCGAAGGGAACGTGCGATTTGAAGACCAAATCATGTTGAAGTTGAAGAGCAGCCAATATGTTAGCTTCTAAAACTGCTCCATTTGAGGAGAAAGACACATTCTTTGCATAATCCGCGAGGCTTGAGTTGACCGCAGAAGAAACAGCTGAAAAATCATCTCCATATATCTGCTCGACCGAGGGAAGAACCGAGAAAGTTGGAAGACCAAGCCAGAACTCATTTCCTTCGTAAGAAATACCATTGTTTGTCTGGTCTTGCAGATTCTCGCCCACAGATGAGAGATTGACCTTCAAAGGAATTTCATGCTTCTTCAGTATATCTGGGTTTCCGATCCCAGAAAGCTCTAAAATGACCGGAGACTTTAAAGAGCCTGCCGATAGAATCACTTCTTTGGTGGCGTATATCGTCTCGATACCATCGACTCCTGTAACTTCGACGCCGACTGCCACTGCTTCACTGTCAGAACTTTCGTCCCAAATGATCTTGTTTGCGTAAGTGTTGGATATAATTTTCAAATTAGAGCGATTTTCATAAGGCCAGTAGTAAGCCCTGGCAGCATCATGACGGACATTTTCCTCTCTATCAATCGTATCGGGATGGACTGTCAGCCCGATCATGCTTCCACCGTTGATGTCTCTATTATAAGACACGCCCAGTTGCTGAAAGGTTTCATCGAGCACAGGAAGAACACTGCTGTTGGTCATTGCTTTTGACCACCCGACCTTGAGCGGACCGTGTTCTCCATGATAGCTGGGGTAGTAGTCGGCGCCCCGGGCAAATTGATCTGGTGTGGGCACTTGGAACTGTTCTGACTTCAGATAATATGGAAAGAGGTTGTTCCAGTTCCAACCTTTGTTCCCAACCTTCTCCCAAGAATCGATTTGCGCCTTTTGCGCTCGTGTGTATGCCATCCCTGCAAAAACATGAAATTAGCTCCAGTCCAACACTCGAACTATAACATTCTCGTGGAAATCACCATTGATCGTGCTTGTGCCACCAATAGCCTTTCCAGCACGCATAATTTGTTTTGATCCTCCCGCATATATTTGGTCTTCGGTTTGGTATTTCCAGTCGATAGCTGTTCCGAAACTCAGCCCGTAACCTGTAGTGGTAGAAACGTTGTAGTTGTTTAGAACTGAATCTCCAGCTTCGATAACTGCCACAGTGAAATCTCTCATCTCTGAAAGCCTGTTAGCAACTACCAATCCGCTGGTTCCGCCACCGACAATAACAAAGTCATAATGTGAATTCGAGCTATCGTAACTCTTTGCATCCACTGGCAGTAGCCAAAAGATCACCGTTGCAATATTAAAGACTAGCATATTCCATTTAACAGAAAGTTGTGGCTCAGGGAACAAAAGAAAATGGGTATCCCTCTTTGAAGCGTTATGCCTCCTCAAGCATACATAAATAATGGAACAACTAAACACCAAGATAATACGATTGGAATAATGACTCAGCCCCCGTGATTGACCCGAGGGTTGCCTGGCAGGCCGATACTGGAATGTGGTGCCAGTGACATTCTACAACCACAATCCCCGCTGTCATCCCTACATATCAAAATAAACCCAATCTACTCGTCTTAATTCATGACATACCTCGAGGCAAATTCTAGCGAGCTTGAGTCACCATCCAATTTTGGTTGGGTTGATTTATATTTCTGAAGATATTAACCGGGTCTCGTGATAGTTGCAAAGACGGCACCCTGAGACGCTCACAGGGAGGGAGGACGGGGTCGGACAGTAACCCTACGACAATTGTATCACAAGAGCGACACACCCATCAATCTATAACATCATATCTTTCAGACTGTCAACAAACAATTCAGCTCTTCTACAAGTTCCATCCAATTTGAGGCCGTAGAAATTAAAAGGTAAACATAGCTTACCGAGATATACTGAACGTTGTACAAGGAAAGAATAGTTGATACACATACATTATGCCCATATGTTTACATATAAAACTTGCGATTACTGCGTCAATCGTTAGAATGTCCGCCACCATCGAACATAACCGGCCCAGTCCTAAGTTCAGAGGTTGGTAACAAATTTACCACCGACGATAAATGCAACAACCTAACAATTTGGATGTTGGGTTAAGTACCAAAAAGAAGAAATTTATCTGAACGAAATCTTTTGTTTTATATGATTCCCGTAAGGCCAAATAACGTAGATCATGCTACCATCACCCTCTCCATCTCTACGCCTGTTCCTGTGTTTTGATATCTTGGTCCTATTCCTTGCAAGACTGCAGGGTTTCCATGGCTAGAAACGAGATCCTTAAAGATCTTGCATGGTTTTCCGTTGGTAGGCTACATCTAAGAGAAGTTGAATTATTCTGAGACGAAAGCTGACCAATAAGGATATTCCAACAAAAGAATTTGCCTAGAGATACCTTGAGAAATAATTTCCCCTTTTTGAACCAAGAGGAAAAAGAAAAAAACGACAAAGACATCGCCTATAGACCCTTTTAGCCAGTTGCAATCACTTGGTTGAGATCCAGGACTTTCAGTTTCTGCAGTATGCAACTCTGCTCAAGTTGACTAGACTTGACCATAATTGCGGATAATCATTTTCAAAATTCTTGTTATCCGATTCGTTGTTTGCGCCTCACCCAAACCTCCTGATCAGTGCTTCCAGATGTTGAATCACGCAGCTGTACCTCCCACACCTTGAGTTTGTATTTGCCACGATCTGATTGACCGGAAAATAAGTCAAACGACCAATCATGCTTAGGACATGTGATTCCAGCGCTGAGAACGATTCCGAAATCTTCAATATCAAACAGACTCCCCTGTGAAAGTGGGAAGGACGAGTGGGGGCATTGCTATAAATAATGAGCGGGATGGTTCAGAAACAGGCGTTGAACCGGACTTACATGATCGATAGCATGGTATTTTCCTTTATACTTGAATACCAGGACTTGATCTTTCAGTTCTCCTGGTAAATCAATGTCCTCAACTCGTGTCACAGGGCCATTGGTGGGAATGGCGAAAGCTTTGCATTTTGGGGCGACTCGCTGGCCATCATCGTCGAGATTTGGTAGCTCGGACGCAAGGCCAACTGGGTACCAAGCTGCAGTGGGCCGCCTCGTGAATGGATTCATTTGCAAGAGAACGTTGAAGTGTTGTTGTATCTCGAAGAGTCTTTCACGTTCGCCCCACATTGTCCCGACCCGATATAAGTATCCCGTCCAGAGCAAATTCCTGCACCCTACATATGTTGCTATAGAAAATAGATAACTATGTACACATATTATCCAAAATACCATATAGTACGTTGATTGAATGATACTTTCTGGTCTTTTTCTAAGTAACCATTGCAAGCACTAATTATCTGTTGGTAGGTGAATCTTACGGATAAGATTACTTTATCAGCTATGCGAAGGTACTTCATATATCTAGACGTAATCCTGTCTATTTTATTTAATACACATGAAACCACATCCTTCACGCGCACGTTCGCACGCTTTCTTTAGCTTCTGCTCCTCAACATCAGTCCATTTGTACGTCAATTGATCCCAGGGCTTGCCAGAGTTGAACTCCTCGCGGTGTTTCTTGTGGACAGACTGCAAACGACTGACTTCACGAGGGTCACCAGTTCCAGAATATACCATAAAAAGAGTGCAAGCGGGAAGAGAATCATAAATACGTGAGATGTTGGACACGGTCTTGGAAACAGTATCGGCCAAGATATCGGGCTGCAGTTTATCGGTTAATTCGCCATTGATAGTTGTTGGTGTAGTCTCTTCCGGGGGAGGAACAAGGGTCGTAGATTCGTTGGCATTGTTCGGATCAGGGAGCCGATTGCACCATCCGCGAAGATGTTCGAGATCACGTATGCGAGCCCAGGCAAAATCGACACCACCGGCAGGGATGGAGTGATCGGATTCATCGCCGTTGATCACAGCAGAGACACCATTCACAACCGCATCGTCATCCAGACATCCGATCGAGACGGTCGCCTGGGCACCAAATCCACGTTCAGGATTACCCCAGTCAACAACCGCTCCAGTTCGTTCTCCGCCAGGGCAAGGGACATGATTCGGCCGAATGGACCGTGAAAGTCGACGAAAGATGCTTTCGTTGGAGACATCGCTTGTGCCCCAGCGCTCGCCTTTCTCGCACTTCAATTTCACTAGTTCAAGAACAGCACGCGCATCCTCAATGGAGTCATGACCTTCCATTCCGTTCTGTATCTGCTTGCCTAGATACTTCTGAGTGAGCCATTTCAAACTGCATTTGAGTGGTGGGCCACGAGGGTGTGGGTAAATGATGCTCGTATCGACGATAAAAGGATGTACGAGTTTCAAAGCGTTCAAATCAGAATTAAGAGAGTGGCCCACAAGGATCGCACGGGGTGTGAGGATGGCGAGGAGCCGCTTCTGAATATCAGCTAGGGTCGTTTTGACTGGCTCCAGCATCTCTGCTGTGATCCCAGAATACCGCGTCAGGTAATTGACTACTGGACGTGGGGGTTTAACCAGCTCATCCAGGACTACCTCGCCATCCCAGCCAACCATGCTGATACGTGTGAGCTCGGACTGTCCCCCTTCAGTGACACACATCTCACAGTCAAGGGCGAAAACGTCCCGACCAGCAGTCATGCTACCCTTTTCGATATCGGCTTCAGGTGGCTCAGCGGATTCCAGCGATGGAACAAGTGTGTCCACCCACCCATCTTCGGACGAGTGAGCGCCTCTTCGACGAGCCTCCGCCTCGGACGACCTTTCGTCATCGGAAGTGAAAAACGCAGGGTGCAAAATATACTCGTTCTCTCGCAAGTCCACACGTGAGGTGACAAAGGTTGTAATTGGTGTTCTTTTGGGAACAAAGCCTTTTTCAATTTTAGCAGGGCGTGCCCCCTTCCCACGGGATTCTTCATTCTTGGATTTCGGTGCCGCAGACATCAAGATAGCTTGTAGTGGCGAATGAACTTTATTGTACTTATTATCGCCTGGTGCCTTGATAGGCCAAATATGGGGGAACATGTCGGCCAGCGGTTGAAGGGTTTCGGGGAGGTTCTCGCGTACGAGGGGTTGAGGATTGAAACGATGTGAACGGTCTGGAATCGGAAGGCCCTGTTTCCATCGGTTGTAGTCGGTGGCCCGTTCGTCTTCAGTTGACTTCTCCACAGCTTCTGGGGTTGGGTTTTCTGGTAACTCTTGCTTCCCGTTGACAGCGGCTTTATCCACGGAGATTGTACCATCAAACATGCCCATCTCAAGACCAGGCACCATTAGCACAACCACCTTCCGCACATGGCCAGAATGCTTCAAGGAGATCCATTGAGGAGCGATTCCATCGGCGAAACAGTAGAGAAGCAACCCTTGCAAGTCCGCGATACGGATTGGTGACTGGAGCTTTCCGTCTGAGTAAGTGAGGTCTGGGTATTTGGCTTTCTCGCCATCAACTCTCTTCCTTTTTTTTGACGCATTGATGTTCGAACTATCCTTCGTATTGTCCTGCATATAGGGTAAAGCTTCAATCGAACCGAGTCCCTGAGAACGTGCTTCTTCGCCGACCGTATCGCCCAAGCTGAGCTTTCTTTTCCTATCACTACCCATGGTGGTGAAGCGATTAAATGCTTTGCGCTTTGAACTTGTGAAAGCTAGGAAATTCCAATAGAAAAGCCAAACACGTGAAGATAAGCGATAAGCTTGATTCAGAGTCACCTGATCAGATAAGTCCCGTGATTTCGGTACACCAGAGAAACCAAGGACGCTGAACGATCTGATAACCGGAGGATTGGAAATCTGGGATCGCCGTGCATGAAGGTGAGCCTTTCTTTTTTTTTGAATATTCCTCATCACGCCATCATCTTTGATACTTCTTTGTTTTCTTCTTCTTATTATATTCTCATTTCAACTCTTCTCTGAGATTGTTCTTCAAATACTTGCCGCATCTGGTCTTCACCTTTCCTTTCCCCCCATCACCCTCCACCATGTCGGCGCTCACCGAAATCACATCCGAGGCGGACTTCTCGTCGCACCTTTCCTCCATCTCTCCTTCTGCATTGGTTGTGCTTTACTTCCATACCCCATGGGCTGCTCCTTGCGCTCAAATGGGCGCTGTGCTTGCGGCCCTCGCTTCACAGTACCCCGCCACTGCCCCGCCAACCATCTCGTTTGTCAGCATCAACGCCGAAGAGCTGCCCGATATCTCCGAGGAATATGATGTCTCTGCCGTGCCCTTCGTCGTGTGTCTACGCAGTGGTCAAATCTTGGAGTCGATCAGTGGAAGTGACGCAATCAAAGTGCGCGATGCGGTCGAGCGTCACGCGGGTCGTGGAAACATCGCGGGCGGTGATGCGATGGACGGCGTGAGAGCTAATATTCCCCCACCACTATCTGCTGTGCCTCGCGAGGATGGTCCGATCACTGCTACTCATGCTCCCGTAACTGCTTCTCACGCCCCTCCCCCCGACGCAGCTAACGCGACCGCCGTCGCATCTGTTCCCGCCCTGACCCCCGAACAATCTCGTGAGGCCTTGTTTGCTCGTCTGGAACAACTGGTCAAGGCAGCAAATGTCATGCTGTTCATGAAAGGAACGCCCAGCAGCCCGCAATGTGGATTCAGTCGGCAGCTGGTTGGTATCCTCCGCGAGCGTAGTGTCAAGTACGGCTTCTTCAATATTTTGGCCGATGAGGATGTACGTCAGGGCTTGAAGGAGTATGCTGAATGGCCTACTTTCCCTCAATTATGGGTAAATGGGGAGTTAGTTGGTGGTTTGGACATTGTATGTGCTTCCCCTCAATCAGGTCCCGCAGTCATCGACGTCAATTACTAACATACAGGGACAGGTCCGTGAAGAAATTAACAACGACCCCGAGTTTCTTAATGAGTTCTCAGTCAACAAGCCTACCGCAGCCAATTGAGTGGTTGATTGGAGCTGCACGATACCCATGATCCCCTTTGTCTTCGGGCTAGATGCTAAATCCACACATAATGATAAACGTTTTTGTCCTGACAAGGTCGTCATACGGATTTGGTGATTGTCTTGCAGAACACCCCATTCCTTGACATAAACCAATATTACCATTGGTCCAAATCCGCAACATTGGATGGATCCATACGCTACTACCATAAATCACCCTGGACCTTCTTGGGACCGAGATAGTTTTGATATATGATCATCTGAAACTTCTTACTGTCGGTAAAGTTATCGGTAAATCGAATTTGCACATTTTGACGATTTGTGCGATTGTACTAGACATGATCTCGATATGACTGTGAACTGCAGCTACCTATTTTCAAAGCTGCCGTAAAGAATGACAGTACTAAATACAGGAAAAAGGTAGACAAACACATTGATTCGGTAACATAAACTGTGTCTAATGAATGGAACAAACTAAAGCGGTTGGTTCAAATATATATTCTACTACTCTTTTCAGTCATGCGTGTGTGTTTTCATTTGATTCGCGTTCTCATTCAGCCATCGTTTTCCATCTCACATGTTTCCTGAAGGTCAACGGTTTCCGGAGGGAGAGGACTTAGGAGGTAGCTTCATTCCACCGCCAAGCCTCAGGGTGCTGTCGCTTGCAGACGGCAAATCGGGATAGCAGAGCATCCGTGTCGACATACGCACCTGCTAGCCAACGAGATCCTTTGCTCGCGTTGAACTGCCGACGAGCATGAACAATCCGTCGGTTATCAAAAATGACACACGTGCCTGGTGCGAGCTTCAACTCAAAGGTGGCACTTGTCGAGTCAATTTTTGTGGTAAACGTTTTGATAGCATGCACTAGCTTGCTCACGAATCTAACATCATGGTCCCTTCCATCCGGCGATGGGATCGAAGATTGGAAGGGAGGCGAGTAATTGACATGGAGCAACTCTTTCGTGACAGGGTCGAGTTCAAAGATAGGCCGCTTGTTGTAGTAAACGTGGCTCTCATGATTATATTCATAACCCAAACAGTGCTCGGATAGTAGTTGGTACATTTGTGGGGCTTCCATTTTCATAGCATGTGCTGCCGAAAATGAATCCCCAAATAATGACTCACCCCCTGAGCATGAGTTTTCTAGGCAGTGGAGGAGCTGGTATCCCGGTGGTTCGTTCATATACATCAAGTCCATGTGAAATCCAAGGAATTGGTTTGTGTATGCCACATTCTTCGCCTGAGGGACAGTGCGCACGTCGAATGTTGATCCATAGAATGTGTTACGCAGTGGGCCCATGCGTGTGGCAATCTTTTCAACCATCTCCCGTGACTCTGGGATATCCTTCACGAAGATGAGGCCCATACGCTTCAAATTCTTCATCGCTACAGTAAACGCATGATCATCGTTGACATAGTCCTCGAAGGAAACCCAATGCTGTAACCGGTTCATTCTGGACTGTCCCCACAAGAGCGGTCCATCGTCGGGGGAATGAGCCCGCTCATGAGTGTTGAATATGGGTCTCTTCAAATAATCCCCGGTCCAGACAGATGTGTGGTCAGTTGAATATCCGGGGATATCATTAGCCCACTTGATTGACAGTTCTTTCCCATCCCATTTGATCCACCTTGGACGAATGTTTTGGGGGATATCACCCGTTCGGAAAGTTCTTTGTTTAGAATGTGGATCTTTACACAACGGGCATAGACATGCGTCCCGCAGGTAGGCAAGAGGGAGCTTAATCGGTTTCTTGTTGTCGAGCAAGTATAACTCGCCTGATCCGAGCCATACATTTTCTTTGTTTTCCGTAGGCTCAATGAAAACGCCATCAGAAGTACACAGCTCTCTCCGAGCAGGAACCTGGGATTTGGTGCGTTTATATAATAGCGGTCGAGGTACGTCGGCCCGACTAGCTGCTGCTGCGAAGTTGCGCGCAACCGAGTATGATAACACCCGATATGACGACGTGGACTTTTGCCGAAGTAAACGTGAAGCCCGTGTAAAATTCATGCCGTACCCCTGAGCCAAGTACAAAATGGAATGAGGGAAAATTGAGAACCAGAGCTTAGATGAATCTCGAAAGTTGGGCCGAAGCTAAGATGATTTGGTTACCTCGGCTCAAAGGTAGACACCTTGATATTGAGGCTGAAAATTTGGCCTCAGGCGTCACAGTTCCTCAAGTTCCAGGCCGACAATGGAACTTTCAAGCTTGCGTTTTTTTTCCCTGCTTCCACAATCCAACACTCGCCATGGGTGTTCGTATCTCTACCTAATTCAGATCTTTTATACGGACATTCCTAGACTGCGAAATTCTCAACTCATGTCGGACGGGGGCGAACATCTCAAAGATGAAGGCACCAAGCGACAAGTCGTGTTGGCCGGTGGCATTGCCGGATTGATTTCACGGTTCTGTATTGCACCACTCGACGTTGTCAAGATTCGACTGCAGTTGCAAGTTCACTCCTTATCGGATCCTATTTCACATCAAATCATCAATGGGCCCATCTACAAAGGGACCTTGTCCACAATGCGGGCCATTGTGAAGCATGAGGGAATCACTGTACGTGAAGAATCTTCATGGTCGTCAAGTTCATGCCAGTTTAATCTAACGTCTTTCTTCTTTTCCTTTCTAGGGTCTGTGGAAAGGAAACATCCCCGCCGAAATAATGTATGTCTGTTATGGCGCTTTCCAATTTACCGCATATCGTGGCACAACCCAAGCACTTGCCCAACTCGACTCCTATCGACTTCCCCCTCTGTCGAATCTTTCATTTCGGGTGCAGTTGCTGGTGGATGTGCAACAGGGGTTACGTACCCGCTAGATCTCCTCCGCACACGATTTGCCGCACAGGGCCCAGACCGCGTTTACGGCTCCTTGCGCGCCTCTGTGGTGGATATTGCTCGACACGAGGGACTTCCGGGCTTTTTCCGAGGCTGTTCAGCCGCGGTTGCACAAATTGTACCGTACATGGGTCTTTTTTTTACAACATATGAAGCGCTTCGGCCTGTTATGACGGCAGGGGACTTATTACCCCTCGGCACCGGGGATGCTGCTGCTGGTGTTGTGGCTAGTGTATTAGCAAAAACCGGTGTGTTCCCGTTAGATCTGGTCCGCAAGCGTCTACAGGTACAAGGGCCGACTAGAACACGTTACGTCCATCGCAACATTCCTGAATACAACGGGGTGCTCCAGAGCATGGCGATGATTGTTCGTACCCAAGGCGTACGTGGTCTATACCGTGGCCTGACAGTCAGTCTCATCAAGGCTGCACCGGCCAGCGCCGTGACTATGTGGACATACGAACGCACATTGAAACTTCTTCAAGAGCACGATATCGCAGCTAACAGCTGAATGGAGCCCCACGGCATGAAATTGTATCACCACTAATCACTTTGCATGGAGCATGGAATGGAGTTATATATTCGCAACATTACTGGGTGCTTGGGGGCTAAGGGTGAGTCGGTTAAATTCGGACACAATATCACTGGATCATTCACGGATGTCACTAAATTTTGTTTTATTTCCTTTTCCCTTGAATCTCCCTTTGGTTTTCTCTTTTCTCCATCAAAACCGTCAATACCAAAGGGACACATCCCCTAATCAGCACTCAACTCTCTCCCCCTCTTGACTGCTTTTTCCGGCCACCTTTCGTAGTCTTTCTCGAGGACTGCGAGATCCTCACGAGCCTCAGATAACTCGCCCTCTTCCATTCCCTCGCCGACATACCAGTGGACAAACGCGCGCTTGGAATACATGAGATCAAACTTTTTATCAATGTGACTCCACGCTTCGGCAATGGCGGTTGAATTCGATAGCATGTTGTCTGAGCGACCGACACAAGCGAGTTCATCATCAGGACGATGCATCAGCTTTTGGTAATTAATGCCTAGCTTGAATCCGGTCGGGCACCATTCAAACTAGCTGAAGGTGCCCCGGGTCTTGAGGGCGTGTACGGCCTGACTGCAGTCGTGAGGGACTACATCTCCCTTATAAAGAATAGCGATAGCCATACACTTGCCATTTCGTGGATCGCAGGCAACTATCTGATTGTTGGGCTCAAAACCTGTGAACCGGTCAGTCTATAGAATCATCTTTCGTAAAACCTATACGAACACTGGAAAGTGAGATCCTGCACCTTCAAACTCCCATGAGAGCTACGCTGGCTGCTGATCACTGGAGCATATGAGATCAAAGGATAGTAAATCCGCGGATGTGGCACTAAGTTAGTTTTGAATTCAGCCAGATCGACATTAAGTGCACCGTCAAAATCAAAGCTGGAGATGATAGAGCTCACCACCTGGGCAATAAGAAGGTTCAGGTGTTCAAATCCAGGGCGTGGAATATCCAGGTGACGGCGGCAAATGTCGTACACGGCTTGGTTATCAACGTAAAACGTGCAGTCGGTGTTTTCGATCGTGCTGTGTGTGGACAAAACGGCATTGTAGGGTTCCGCAACAGAAGTGGCAGTTTTCCCGGATGGGCAGATCGAGAATTCAAGCTTGGACTTGCGGCCATACATATGGGTGATATGCTCCAGTAGCAGTGAACCGGATCCAGACCCTGTCCCACCACCAAAGGCGTGGAAGATCAAGAAGCCCTTCAGAGATTGGCAGTTCTCTATCCTAGCATTAGCCTAAACCGAACCCCATTTTAAGGACCCTTTCCAGGTTCAGATTGCGGTGAAATACCAGCTACGTGACAAATACTATCAGTCACGGCTTCCAAGAATTCCTTTCCAACAGTATAATAGCCACGGGCATCTATTGACTGTTAGCTTAGCATGCTTCCCATCGTTGATTAGTCCAGGGACGTACAGTTGTTTGTAACATCTTCTTTCCACTGATTAACTGGTCTGGATGAAACAGATGACGGTGAGTGCCAGTCCGGATTTCATCGATAGGCCATCAGCATTAGCTGTGGTAGATCTCTTGTTATCGTTTGTGGTCTATCACGTACAGAAGGATCAAGATCGACGAAAATGGGAAGGGGCATATATTTGCCGTTCGAGGTTTCGATAAAGAATTTTTCATAGGAGCCGCTCTTTGTATCTTCATCAGTAACGTTGGGGTTGATATGGCCATCAGGCTCAAGGCCATGCTCAAGAAGATACCTATACAGCCTGGCCAAGGTGGATGTGGCAGAACTAGTTGATTTTGGTTAACGACACCATTGCCTTGATTTTTGTCACGCGGATGGAGTGAGATTCAGCGTGTCATGGAATGGATGGAGTGAGCCGCATTAACAAAGAGAAATCATACCTCTCCTCGCATGATGAGCTGTAGGGATAAACGTCTTCGAAAGGTACTCCAAGTCAGGACGGAGGAAGCGGGGAGGTGATGATAGAAGACGTGGTCAGGGACTGATATCAAACACCAAATATCTCAGTGTTTTCGTTTTCTATCAGCCTGTCTAACCTCCTAAAGGCATGTTGAACTCAGCGGGAATGCCATATTGTTTATATCAACTTCAATTAATATTATACTGATACAAATTCGGATTCTTTTAAGACTGGTTCCACTATATACATATACTCAATTATAATCCATGGGCAAACAATTCTTTGAAGTGAATGAGCCACTCTATATTCCACTATCGTTTAAGGTAAAAGTCCTAGCCCTGGGAAGTTCACATCGTGCGGTTATCAAAGCCTAGGGTGGTCATCTTCCACAATCTGGCCCTTCTTTATAATCGTGTTACTGCCAACCCGATCAATTATAGTTAGTTAGCGCATAAATGTACATTTATGTAGGCAGTACAGAACGGACATTTCTGTTTAAGCTGTAACGTCTCGTTCAACTATGGACAAGGAGAAACTATGGACAAGGAGACAGAGAGTACAATCCTGGTCATACTAAAATATTTCGCGAGCCATTAAATCATATAATAATCGGAAGGACTAGCAACATCCTACTGGTTGCTTTTCAAAACAAGAACAGACCTTTTCAATGTTAATCCAGCGGCCAGTGTAAGAAGTGTAAGAAGCTCAGGCTCACCTAGGCACTAATGACCTAGTTATGCAACCTTGTGAACTAGAGATTTCGAAGGTACCTAGGTACTCAATGAGATTAATCTCACCGTACGGAGTACTCAGTATAGCTGTTATCATGTTGATCAAATAAGCCTTACCTTACCGGAACCTCCTTACTGAGTAAGACTGGGAGAGTAGGATTTTCTTTATGAAGGGGAGACTCTTCAATTCTATACATGTTCATTAGGAAGTCTGAGATATATTTCTATAGGTCACGGAACATCGGGCCGAATGCTGTATATAAACCAGAAAACCGGCAGTAAATGACGGAGAAATAATTGTAGACAGATAAAGGGATGGATATATACGTATGATAGAATGACAGATTATAGTTCGATGGGGACCCAAAAATCAAGATGGATGATATGTAGTGAAAGAAGGAAAAGAAATGTGAAAATGGTCTATGGTCAGTCAAGGAGGAAAGACAATGGTCAGATCAGATCATGGGAAGGAAGGTCTGAATCAATTTGGATGCTCCTTCGCGCTAGAGAAAGCCGCCGGAGGGATTTCAGTAGGCGCATCAGAGCGACCTTGTTCCATCAAGTCATCGCGCTCGTGGCTGATGCTACTGCGGTGGTGGAAGAAACGATTCCGGCTAAGAGATGACTTGCCGCTGCGGAAGCTGTGAGCGTCGGTCGACCGGCGACCTTCCTCTGGGTTGGTAGGAGCACTCAAGTTCGAAGGACGGCGATGGCGAGAAGAGGAGGTACGGCTCCGGCGTTCTTCTTCTTCTTCTTCGGTCTCTTCCTGGATGCGGCGCTCAGCGGCATCGCGGTTGGCGGTGCGGACGACATCATCGATACGAACACCGCGATCTTCAAACACATCTCCCATGATATCGTTGGATGCCATGTTGGACATACCCAAGGAAAAGTCGACGTGCTTGCGCTGCGAGATGGACGGACCACGAGCACGTGCGGTTGCGGTATTCATACCCTTGCGAAGAATTGATGGGTGACGAACAGCGCTGCTGTTGCTGGTTCCGGTGTTTTCTGGAAGGTGGCGGGATCCACCTGACATAGGGACCTCTTCGGCTTCGATCGGTTCTTGCCGGTTGTTGTGGGAGTTGCGCTCATTGCCATAGTTGACGTGGAAGGGGATATCGAACTTGGCACCCTGGAGGTTCATGCGTGGGCCCTCGATACCAATCTCCTGGAGGGCAACCATGAGCATACATATGAATTTGTTGCGACGCTGGAGACGAAGACCCTCGTTCTGCCAGTTGGATTTATAGAAAAAGACCACGTTGAGTGTGAGCGAGAAGTTCTCGGTGACAGCACGCATTTCAGTGAGGATGTTGCTCTGGAAATCACGCTTCTCGCTGCGCACAAACTCCAATAGTCGCTGGCGCAAGCCATCAAGCTGCTCGATGGTCGTACCGTACTTGATGATGATGGGCACAGCCTCGGCGAGCGCGCCCGACCGGCGCTGGTTCAGAATGAAGAGCCCGTTGAGATAGCTGTTGGGTGCCTGTACCACATGGCCCTGCATCTTCTTGAACTCGGTGTATAAGAGAGTGATTTCCTTGACGAAGTAATCATCACCAAGACCGGCATCACCCGCGTTGCCATAGATGGTTACACGATCACCAACATCGAAGGGGTGCTTGACAAAAACGAAGATAACCGATTGGAGGAACTCCTGGGCAGTGGCAGAGAACAACCAAGACAAGGCAAGAATAGCAGAACCAGCAGATGTGAGTACACCGGCGGCCGAGGTTGAGATGAGCGACAAGAACACGATCAACACGATCACGAAAACGAAGAACATGAATACATCATCCAGCTTCGACACAACGGAATCCAGATCCTTCAAAGAGGCAGTGATGGATTTGCGCTCGCGACCAATGTCTACACAAACAGCTTCCAATTCTTCCATGGAGATGTCACCATTCATGTCACGATCGAACATGGTGAAGGCAGCTTCAGCTTCCTCGCTGTCTTCGAACGCAGCCTTCAGATCACCACCAAACACGGTGTCAAAGCCATCTCTCACAAAAGTACGGTACAGACGACGTGCCAGAACTTGGCAGCCTCCAGTAGTGCGCAGAAGTGTCAGAATGACCTGGTAGGCATCTGTGCTGCGAGTAGCCGTGCGACCGGTGACATCAGCTACGACCGCGCCGGCCACATCGCCAACACGGTTTCCGACCTTGTTCAACGCGCCTTTTGCTTTCTTCTGGGCCTTGCCCGCGTAGTGCATTGGTGTCTTGATTCCAGTCGGTTTTTCCTTGTCGTCTTTCTCTTCGAAGGCCTCGTCCTTGTCGGTCAACATAGAGCGCGAGTGCTCATACAACTTGGTCAAACTGCCAATCTGGAATTTGTTGATTTCGATACGGTCGGCATAGGTTCGCAGGTGGAAACTGATGGCGATAAGCTGGATGAGAATCTTTTCGATGAAGTTCAGAATAGTCCACACGAAGATCACAATAATAATCTTGTTGAGGGTGTTTTCCCAACTTCTAGTAGTCTTATCGCCATCCACATGGTGATTCTTCATAGTAGGCAGAAAGGAAATCTCGACACCGAGCCACCAGAAAAAGAGTGCCGCGTGAAGCTCGAGTTGTTTGGCCATGTCGCGCCATTTCTTTGCGTTATTCGTGAATACACTCGCCAAAATACCAACAATCGGAGGCAAACATTTGCCAACAAGCTAGTGCAATAGACAGATCAGTAAAGGTCTCACGAGAATGTTTTTTTTTCCTTTCTTTGTTTTCTTTCTTTTGTTGTTCAACTTACTCGTCCTGCCCAAAGAGTCAACCAGACAATCTCGAGCCAAATTGAGAACCACATCAATTGTACACCTCCAACGCTAGCATTTGGAAATTCGAGAGCGCCGACCAGCAACGGAATCAAAAGGAGAAGGACCACAGGGGAGATGTAAGTGACGTAGCGCACGAGGAAGCTGGACTGGTGTAGCTTCTTAACAAAGACGGCGATTTGAGTATTGGGCTTCTCGGGAGGCTTGTAAATTGCAGCCTTTTCATGCAGAGGGTTTGTGGCCTCATCGAACTCGTCGACTTGCTCCGAGCGACGCGAGCGGGCGCGTTTAATAGAGTGTTCTTCGTCCGGTTCATGTGTTGAACTTGAGGTCATGCGCTCGGCTTGTAGGAGCATCAAATCGTCCTCGAGACGAGTGGCCTGCTCCCGACGCGCAGATGGTGTCCGCATAGGCGCATGTTCATCATCTTCCGGGAGATAATTGGTGTCAACCTTGAGACCGCCTTCGCGACCGATAGCGTCACCAATCTCACGACCAATCTCACGATCGGCATCAGGTTCAGTCACATAAGTTCCATCATCGGAGGTAGGGGAAACATCCGAGTCTTTTCGTTTATCCTTGGACTCTCGAAGGAATGTTTTCCGTTCCTCCACGGGGGATGACATCGTGGGGGGAGGGGGGCACCAGGCCGAAGAATGTGGGTAGTCGATGCTGGGAATGCGGTAGTTTAGGTATAAGACAGACACTACACTTTTAAGAATAGAGAATGAAAAGGAAAAGAAAAAAAAGGTAAAAATAAAACGAACAGGAGGTAGAGGTAGAGACAGGAGAAGAGAGATAGAGAGCTCTAAGATCGAAGAAGAGAAATAAATGAGCGATGATCGAGTTGAAACCTGGTGGAGTTGCGTGGATCCAGCACTGAACATAGTCTGGACCGCGATGTCATTTTATTTGGTTTCTTTTTTTTTATTAAATTTGTTCATATATACGGAGTATGTATATTTGAAGATATTTTATTAGAGATTTAGGGGATTTCAAGAGAAGATCTATTCTATTCATACATACATACATACATACATACATACATACATACATACATACATGCATACATGTATGAAGTATTTTGAGAGGTACATATGTGTGCATATATGTACACAGAGAAATAGAAGTATCAAAAATAACACCAAGATCCCTAACATCTTCCACTTACTTACACTACTCCGTACGTTGTAAAATCATTGTACAATAAGCTACAAAGTTGTACATCATACGTATATCCTCCACATAATTTCATACGCAATGCATTTTATGCATCCTTGGCAAAGCCTCGGCCAAGCATCAACTTCATACGACAGGCCCATCACGGCCCGCCAACGTTTTGTTGATCCACCTAGGTGGCGAGAGGAACGTTAAAGGGGTTTCCATGGAAAGGCAGATAAAAATTGTTGAATTTTGAATCTTTCATGGACTTGACCCTTCTCTTATACCTAGGTAGGTATGAAGTTCTAAACAACCAAGCCCTAAAAGAAAAGTACATTAACCCTAATAGGCCTTTATAGATGCCAATATCAAGATGAGGTGCCAAGGACCGCCACTTTTTACGCCCCTGCGTCAGGGGACAATTAAGAGATTTGTGTTTATTCTTTATCTATTTGACATGGTCTAGAATTGTGCTCCTGTTTTTTTGACTTTATGCGGATAGTATCTATGTCTATATTTCGTTTGCATATTGTTCGCTCAATGCCTACAACGTATTGGATTCTGTACGGGCTTTTCAAGTATATTTCACTCACAGAACTACAATCTTGGAATATTTACTACATTACGTGGATAGCGGGGAACATGCGATCCGATCGATCTTTGTGACAAATGTGCGTCGTTGTGCTTATGGTGCATATACAGAGCCAATGCATTCCCCGGTCGGTCGCCTCGCTACAACATACCTCTTGGCTAACTAATTCCTGCGCTCTGATAGAACAACTTCTCCCCTAGGTACTCCGTAATCATGCCTGCAAGCATGAAACTAAAAAGTTTGGGTCTTTGTATGGACCGTGTATGTTGATCCTAGCCATTTGACAGCGCCACTGACATTACCCGAGGTCTTGTTTAGCAAGATCTCCGTGAATCAGAGGGGTTAGTGTCCAATTGTTTCACAGCGGAATACTCAGATGTGGAAACGGTCGATCAACGCCCGGGCGGGAGTCCAGAAGTAGCACGGGCCTATGATACCGGGTCAAAGTTTCTGGATAATTTCATATATTGTGTCCAGCAGAAAAAGTTTGAAAAAAAAACCGATATTGAGGTTATCCTGCGTTACTACCTAGGTATATAGCTGCAATTTTGTTATATGAGAGTGTCAAGCAACATCTAGTTTAGTAGCTAGGTATTTTCCAAGGTTCTCGACTGTGTGCGAACATCTTTTTGCTACATAGAATATACCAAGTAAACAACTCAAACATGAAGATAGGGAAAAAAAAGCAGCGTCAAGCTGGCGTTTTGATTTCAATAAGAAGAATATCAAATGTAGACTACCATCACCGTAAAAATGCAGAGGGCGAGGGAAGAAGAGATAAAAAAAAGAAATAAAAATACCGGAACACCTTGCTCCAAGAAAGCCAGACAAACATTCAGACATGAGAGACGTGAGAGAATGGATATGGTAGAATATCCACAGGGGATGATGTGCCCGGGACAATAGATAGACACAGGAGAGTTTACAGGGAAGACGAGTAGGTGACAATATGTAGACAGAAGGGAATGATATCGCAAAAAAAAGAGACAGACAGGCATACAACGCTTTTGCACATAAACTGAAGCACAGCGTCTATCTCCTGAACGCAGAGCTCAAGTCTGATCGGTGTCGTTCGGGTGGGCGAGGAGTCTGCTCGGGATCTAGGCTAGGAGAAGGATGAAGAGGTCGTGGTGTAGCCTCTGAGTCGGGGGTAGGACTGGGACTGCATTCAGTGTCCACACCAGAACCGGCCTCTGGAGTCAGGCAATTTCCGGAGACTTTGACTTCCGGGGTGATGGGTGGAGCGGCGCGATGAGACGTGGTGTTCTGAGGCAAGTTCCAAGGAGGTGTGGTTTGACCTTGACTCAACCTTGCTGGACTGGCCTTGGACGTACGTTGATGGACAACTTCCGAGTAGATTGAGGTATCCTGGTGCCCCAGAGATGGCCGGTTGTGTTGAAAGGGATCACCCGACCTGGGAGGTGAATCTCGAGGGCTGGCCGGCTCTTCGCCTTCCGACTCCTCTGGAATGCTGAGGGCCTCGAAACGCTCCTCTAAGCTCGTGCTGGCAGGGGAGCCTAAAGACCCATCGCTATCCTCAATGTCGGCCGACTCTGCAGCTTGGTACCGAAGAGCCTCCCTCTCTTTCTTCAAGAGTTCCTCACTTCCACTGACAACACTGCCTCGACTATTGGTTCGCATCATTTCAATTCCCAATTTAGAACCAGGGCGACGGTTCCTAGATGGTGGACTGCGACGTGTCTGGGAGTTTCCAAGCTCTTCGTCTTCATCGTCGCCCGACTCGGCGCCCTCATAGCGTTTCTTCTCAAGGGATTCTCTTTTGGCGCGAATCGCCTCACTTGAACGTTGTTTGCGAGGTGTAAGTCCACCCGCTGGATCCATGGCCGCGGGCGCTGACGTGGTATGAAGAAGATAAGGCGCGGGAAGAGCCTTGGAATCTGGACTACCAGGGTAGGCAGCCGATTCTTCTGAAATTCCCAGCCCATCTTGACCGTGGTCCCAATCATCTGAGTTGCGGTTGATTATTACTGGAACCTCCTCGGGTTTGAAAGAATCCATCTCGCCAAACACGCTGCTGCTAAGTGAGTCATCACGACTAGAACCTCGATAGGAGCTAGGTGGGTGAAGAACAAACCCGGAGGATGCGGAACTAGGACTGTCCTCGGTGGTGGGGGGGTTGGTATGAGCACTGGAGCCCGGGACCGGGACGGGCTGGAAGGGACTGTAGTCTGCCGGAGGAGCTTTCCACATGCACCATTTGGACAGAGCTTCTGTAAGCTTGGGCAAAGTTGGGGGCTTCTGGATTAAAGCATCGAAATTGTGATTTTCTGGCAGGTCTTTTAAGTAGCCCGTGACAGCGATGATGGGAGTATGTCTGTTTGCACTACGCGTCTCGCGAACCATTCGAGCGAAATCAACACCGTTGACTTGAGGCAAGCGATATTCAGTCATGATAATATCAAACTGAACCTCACTTAAGGCATATCTCACGGCTTCGGCACCATTTGTGACTGTGATGGTCCGACATCGAAGCTTTTCGAACAGGCGCTCCATGACGAGTCGGGAGACAGGATGATCCTCACAAATCAGTACGTCCAAAGGACGAAAGAAGGGCCCTTCCATGATGTTGATTTGCGACAAACGTCGGGAGCTTTGTCGGCGCCGCTGGACCTTCAGAAGTGCTTTAGTGCGTGGATCTTCATTATCAGAAGACGAAGGCGAGATGTCAAAGAGTTGACTCCTGCGCTTGTGATGGTGGGGTACGAATGGTTCTTTGGAGAATGAAGAACTATCCCCATCTTGGGAACCAATTGTATGAGAGCGAGCACGGTTCGCTGGGACGCTGCCATGGCGCTGGTTATTTGGCATCTTCTCGGGGGAATGGGCTGAAATTCGGTTGGGTTTGACGGGAGAGGATGCAACTGATCCCAGTCTTAGATTGGGCATTCGGCCCTGGTCAGCAGAAGAAGGCTGGAAGGTCCCACTTGACTGGTAGGATGCTGATGAAGAACCTGAAGTTTTGCGCCGTTCCTGGTTGGTCCCAGTGCTGAATTGGACTAGGAGGGGAGAAGAGGGTTGCGACGGCCTGCTTGGAGACGAGTTTGTCTGACTCAGTCCAGATGGGGAAGAAGGCCGGTTGTTGCCCTTATTCTGCGACAAGGTCCGCTGGAGCGACATTGGAAGTGGACTCCCCTCTAAAGATGGCTGCGATGAACTGACAGGGGTTTGAACTGCCGACGATGGGTTGGGCTGTCGATGCTGCGCCTGCATGGCCTCCTGACGCATCTTCTGGATAACATCTTTGTTTGCCTTCTCCAACATGGGAAGATTCTTGAAATTGAAGCTCCCAAAGTCATCAGCCAGGGCCGGCTCGCTCAATCTCCGACTTCGTGAATCACGAGCGTCACGAACATGAGGAGGAATGTGCAGTGGCATCAAGGGTCGTTTCGTCGAGTTTACCTGGGATCTGACTTTGAACAGCGCATCATGAGGACGGTCTGGGCCAGCAGCAGCTGATGGTTGTGGCGAATTCTCGTCTTCCAACTCCTCTGCAAAGGACTGCAGAGTAGCGCCACGTGCGTCAAAGTATTCCGTATCCTCTGGATTCTCAATGTTAGGGACAAACTGCGCTTTATCTTCTAACAGCGTAGTCCAGTTGATCTCAGATAGCCACGGGTGACTACGAATCTCTGCACCGCCGTTTGGATATCTCTCCTCGACATTGGCACCGATTCGTTCACGGGGATCAAGGGTCAGGAGCTTGTTCATCAAATCCAATGATTCTGCCGAGGTGAACTCCTCTGGATCATCGGGCCAATTGATCCTGCGATGGAGGATGTTTTCAAACACTTCATCCGGCGTTTCCGCGTTGAAGGGTGGGTAGCCAAAGATGAACTCGAACATGATGCATCCCAAGGACCACCAGTCACTAATTTCATCTTGCCCGATACCGTTGATAGTTTCAGGGGCCAGGTAATCGGGGGTGCCAACGAAACGCCGATCGTGATCTTCAGGGTCAAAAAGAGCCATAACTGGAGGCATCATACTCTGCTGGGGAGGAGTGTTTTGCGCGAGGGGGTTGCTGAATGTTGGTTGCAGAGGCTGAAGGCGAGGTGATTCACCGCCCTCACTTTGACCCTCCTCTTCCACCATGCTGGTTGAAAACATGCTTGGTGATGACATCGTAGGTTCATGGGTATTGTCGTTCAGCGAAAATGTTCTGAATATTCCGTTGAGGCCATCACTTCCCATACTATCGCTGCGGTATCCTGAAGCTCGACGAGAGCTCTGGCGACTCAAACCACTCTGATTGAGGCTAAAGTAAGATGGTTGGGTGGCATTGGCAGACACTTCCGGCGTAATCAACGGAGTTGAGCCAGGGGAGGAGCTGGCCTGGAAGTCGAATGAAGCAGAACGAGACGACGCAATCGAAATTGCACGGGGGAAAGAGCCTTGCTTCAACAGATCCGGGGCAGATTCATCGGGGTTCTTCAAAACTCGTTTCTGACGACCGACCAATCCCATACGAGAAAGTCCAAAGTCAGTCAGCTTCAGATGACCCGTCTGGTCGATCAAAAGATTATCGGGTTTCAAATCGCGATGAACAATGCCGCGATTGTGAAGGTGCTCAACACCCAAAACAACCTCACCAATGTACTTTTTAGCCCATTCCTCGGGGAGGCCACCAAGAACCTTGACAAGCGACGAACAGTCACCTCCATTGAGGTATTCCATCACTAGATAGAGATACTCCTTACTAGAGAAGGTCCAGTAGAGTTTGGCAACAAAGTCACTCTCCCCTTGCCACATCATGATGGCACGCTCCGCTTTGACATTGGTGACCTGGTTCTTGGCAATCATATCTGCCTTTTTCAAAACTTTCATGGCATAATACTCACCAGTGGCTTTCTTCTTGACCAAGTAGACACTGCCAAAAGCACCCTTGCTGATCGGCTTGATGATCTCAAAGTCCCTGATCGACAATGGGGCGGGTCGAGGTTGTTGCTGGCTCACCGAAGGTAAACGTGGAGATGGAGGTGGCCTCGCAACGTCTGAAGATGTGGCTGAAGACTGCCTCCGATGGTGGCGGCAGTGGTGAGCCAATTCACTTGAGTATGTAGAAGGGGAAACTATTGGTGACGGTAAGCTTTCACCTCCGCTGGACATTCGAGGCTTGGGCATGCGCAACGGGGAATGCGGACCGGAGACTCGAGCGGGGGAATGCTGCCGGCGAGGAGAGCTCGATAGCCCAGGCAGCACCAAGCTCCTACGCTTTCGATCAAAGCTCCTCTCCGATGAAGGCGAGTCTGTTCTGATAGCTCCCGGGAAAGCAGACGAGGGTAGACTGCTGTCGCTACTCTCGCCGGCGTCAATTTCAGCAAGAGAGAGACCCAATCGAGAAGGCTGCGATGTACCCAGAAGGCCAGCGGCACTCTTGTGTGATCGCGGTGTGGGGCACTCCATGGGGCTGTTAGAACCTGTTGAAACAGCCGCCGAAGATGGCCTGCGTTCTGATTGTGAAAGCGATGACCGATCGGGCGAATTACGCATTGACATAGTCAACGCAGATGTTGGTCGTCGTGGAGACGGTGCCGCTGGCTGTAGCTTGGGTTGCAAGTCATCGCTTATTGCCTGTGACAGAGACTCATCCTCGGCGAAGTTGCTACCGGTGTCGTCTGGGGCCACATAGCTCCCAGGAGTAGTTTCTGGGGCTACTTCTTCATCGGATGAACATGAGGAATCACTGAGCTGGCCAGCAGCTATGCGCTCCGCTTTGCTGAGTGCGGCCCCAATGCACTCCTCGACTAGCACCGTGTATTCGATTCGAATTCGTTCGGCATATTCAACAATTTTGCGATGACGTACAACGGCATCAACTTTGGCCTTAGCAACCTGTTCGGTGTCTGCTGACAATGCAGCTAGGCCCTGTTCCTGCTCTAGTGTGTTGGCGCTGGGAGACTGCCATTGAAGCACCTGAGAGATCCGGGACTCAGATTGTGGTGACAACGTTCGGAAGTCCTCTCCGTCTGTCCGGGAAGATTCTTTGATCATTGGCATGCTGATTTCAAGTGAAGTATCGCATAAGTCGAGTACGAGTTCCACGATTCTAGCCAGCGGTCTGCGAACAGTAAACGAACGAGGTCGGCCGGGTATGGCAGCAGAGGCGGAATGCTCTCTCGACCGTGGTGGAGTGCCTGGTGCCGAATTACTGCTCGATACAGGACCAGAAGATGGGGCAGAGCCAGCAGGAGAAGGGCCGATGGCCAAACCCTTGTACTCCGCTCGGGCAAGAGGCACTGGGTTTCCATTAGCACTGATCAATGGTCTGCCTTGTCGAGCCTCCAAAGCATCCAACACCTTGACAATGACATGACGGTGTTCATTGAGATTTTCTTGTGCAAGCTGTACTTCCATTTCAGCCCGATGTTCCTGCAGGCACAGATCCGAATGTTTCTCGAACCACCATGGGGTGATCTGGCGCTCGCAAATACGACAAAGGACGGGGGTCGGGGCAGGGTGCTTGGAAGGATCGGGCTCTGTGGCCGCAGCTTCGGCTAGCTCAGTCAGGTAGTTTGCCAATACTTCTGCTCCAACGCCCAAAGATTCCACCAGTAAGGGCGGCAGATCTATTGTCACTTCTCTCGGTTCGGTAAGCGGTCGTAGCATCCACATGGTCTATAATCACAGTATTAGTGGCATATAAGGTAACGGTATCAGGAACAGAGCTGTCAAGGAACTCACATGGCCAGCTTCATCATCTGTCCGGTCATAGACCATGATTCCCTGGCCCTCCATATTGAGCACATTATGGTTATGCTCATCTTGAGGATTCTCCGCATCATCGTTTATGTTTTCGCAGCCGGTTCCAATCTGGGTAGCCTCGGGCGACGGTTCAGGTGAATACTTTAAGACTGAGTCCGGTCCCATCTGGACGGCAAAACGAATAAACCGACTCCGCGAGTCATCTTGCCTCATCGACTCAATTGCATCACAGAACACGTCCTTATTCCCGAGTAGAATCTCGGAGATCAAATGACCTTCCACTGATGCGGGGGACGAGCCGACAACCTGCTTCCACGAAGGGCTGACCCATTTGATGCGACCTTCCAAATCCATATCCACGATAATGTTCAAGGTCTGTTCCGCCGCTTCCTTCAAATCTTCACGTTCCTCTCGCATATCATCACTCAATGTTCGAACCATCTTCGGATCGATGTTCCGGGCCTCCTGCCGTAGCGCTGTTACGGCCGGAGGCGCAAGGAATTGTGGTTTGGGGAAGGCATTGCTGGCCATGCTGACTCGCTCGGCGACCGAGCGGGTTCGAGCTTGCGAGGGTGGAGGGATTTCACAGGTCGAAAGATAGGGAGAAATTGACGAAAGAAAATAAAATAAAATATGATTCAAGCAGGACCGTCTGCTGGGGGCGCGGGTGCCCTTAAATCGAAGTTATTGATTCATCCGTAGCATCAACTGGCCATAGCGATGTTGCAGCTATCGGGGAAACGAGTCAATGGTCGAGAATATGACAGTCAACCAATCCACCGTTGAATCCGTGAGTTCAGAATGTGTCAAGACAACTTTCTGAAACAAGTTTAGGCGGAGGATAACGGGAGCCGTGTGTCTCTGCGGGGAATGGCGCGACAACGACGCGCTGGATCATGGACAACGTCAACCCCAGAGGAGGCTGACCCAAATAGGGAAACAAAACTAATATCAAGATGATTAACTTGAGAAGTAGAAGATAATAAAGAGAAGGGGAAAAAAGAGGTTGGTGGTGGAATTTTGGGGGGGGGGGGGAGACAAGGAGTCGAGGGCGGTGATTGGTGAGAACCTAAGTGTTTCCTGCACTTCTACGCCTTTTTTTTCTCTCTAAATCTTTACTCGAGTTGTTATCTCAACATATTCTGTTATATATATAATATAGAAGATAGAGGAGATATATAGGTGTGTATATGTATATATATATAAAATACTTTATTGGTGTACTTGAATTAGTATCTCGAATTTTCTCTAATTATTTCATACAACGTACTGGGCACGGAGTACAGAGTATATATTTCCTCTGTCCTCTACATATATTATTTATTCCACGTCATCTCATAGTACAATTTCATTTTCAAAATTGACTCTGAAGGTATACATTGTAATCATATACATACCTAGGATACTTTTTTTGTTTGTATGTGTCTTTGTGCAACACTTTTGACTCTTAATTTATGATGTTATACTCCCGCCTCCAAATATGGAGAACTCAATCCCTTCATACCATATTCCCCCCATAGCTAAAAGTGAAAGAGAAAAAGAAAAAGGGAAAAAAAAGAAAGAAATTGTTTAAAATGATTGATTGATTGGACGCCGGATGTGGTTCCTAGTTCCCCATATGAGACCCCTAGCTGCTAGGTACAAATGACTAGTAGTATTGTGTAGGTGCATATGATAATAACAAGTAAACCTGCATATAGTTGCGCTGGTTTTCCGTGTACAAAAATTGGTCCAAAAATTGGTCCAAAAAGTGTCTTTCATATCACCCTAGGCCGACTACTGCGTACATATGTGGGTAATAATACCTACTAACTATAGGGATTAAAACACTTTAACACTCAGTAAAATACAACGTATATGACCAAGTTTTCAGCAACAAATAGTAACGGAATGTTCGGGAGCCACACTTCTTTAATTTAGTCCACGGATCTGCGGGGTATAGTCAGCTGATGGATATTGACTTCGAATTGGCTGTTTGCGGGCGTTTCAATGGCCTTTTTGAAGGCCATAAAATCTCGGGGTCAGATGCGGATTGGTTGCTTTTTCCTAGATCGTTTGTTGGTGACCCCATATTGCCCAACTGAATTTCATTGTGAACAAGTGGAACAGTGGAACTTCTTGAATCAAGATCTGCCGAACGGAAATCAAACAGAACCAATAGCGTACACATTATAGTGTCATAATTGTCGCCTCTCCTCCCGTCTATGACTTCAGTGACTCCAGGGGTCTAACACACCATCAAAAAAGTCCATGGATCTGCAATTTTGACTGGCGCTGACCAAGCTAGAAACTACTGTAAATGTTGATACTCCCCGAGTAAAACTTTACCATATTCCCATCTGGCATTCCAACCATGTCTATAGCTAGTAGTTGGCTGCATTGATCTGCGTTCTGTGGGCCTGTAGCAAGGCAGTACTAGACTACATACGTGATTTAATGTCTCCTCTCAGTGACAAGAAACAATCACGTACATCAGAGAAACCTTTTCCGCTTCACTCATTAGTATAACTAAATAGAGCGTGATGCTTACAGTAGATACAATGCTGTATCTTCTAGCATACTACATCATATATCTTCTACATATTCAAGGTAGTTCAATAATTATGGGCAACAAATTCTGAAATTTCAAGCTTAAAAGATCTACTTCGTACCTAATCACTATATACTTAATTAGTACCTAGATGGCTCAGGCCTTCTTCTCCTCCTGATGATGATGATGATGGTGCATACCATATACATATGTGACTTGTCCGCGAGCGAAATATATCTCCCCATTGCTTTCGCAAAACAACTCTATTTAACATAATGGAAATCGCAATTTGTCAAGGTAGACTTCAGCTCTACTAGTTAATCTATACTGCCTTTTTCAAACCATGGACCCAGAGATCGTAGCCGATCAAGGTAGATAGGACTTCCATTGACACCTCAGGCATGAAAAGCAAGTTTATGGCCTGAAGAATAAGGTATTAGTTATGACCTCAGGCTTCAGTAAGTTAAGGTGTCAAGGTGTCAATCTCCATTGCTTTGTAATGCCAAATCAAACGCCCAGCAGATCCATACATCCTAGGTAACCAGACACTGAACAGTCAAAATAGACCGGGAGAATTTCAACCTATCTTATCTTATCCCATCATGCCACCCGCGGTGCCGGCAGATGAGACTGCTAGGCGCAGGCGACCGGGCAGAAAGTATACGTCCCGAGCTTGTCAGGCATGCCGACAGCGAAGGGCCAAGGTAATATAAGACTCCATCTATGGATTATACAATATGCAAATAAACTTATACTGACACGAATTCAGTGTGATGGTGTTCGGCCATCTTGCTCTCGTTGCATCGACCGTGGTGTTCAATGTCAGTATTCTACTGCAGAGGATGGACGGCAACCAGCACCGAAGTCCTACGTAGTTATGTTGCGCACCAGAATTGAGCTTTTAGAGCGCATCTTGCACTCTCACGGGATTGACCCTGATGCTGCCATTCAACTCATCACTGAAACAAACGACAACCCTGACAGAGAGGCCGAGACAAAGTGGGCTCCGGCCTGTTCCAACGTGGATGATGACCTGAGTGCTACGTTTGACGGCGCACTGACACTAGACGAGTCACTGAACTTTGACCAAGATGGTGAGGTGCGGTATTTTGGACCAACAAGTGGGCGGTTACTGTTTCGCTCTTCATCAAAAGGTGAGTAGTCGGTTGTGCAATCTCACACAGAAGTTTGCTGATCATCCCCAGATTCCCCAAGCGACGATGCATATCAGCCAGACAGCCCTTACACAGGGACTTGTGAAAACCAACCCAATGGGTGCACAGAGTTACTAGAAGCAAGCTCGATATCAGAAGAGCTCCGATCCCATTTGATCGACTTGTACTTCGAATGGGAGCAACCATGGTTCCAAATGGTGAATGAAAAGCTGTTTCGAGAGTCTATGATGAATGGCGGAAGATATTATAGTCCGCTGTTGCTAAACTGCATTCTCGCTTTAGGATCGCGATACTGCGACCGGATGGAAGTGAGATCAGATCCAACTGATTCAAATACGGCAGGAAAGATGTTCATTGAAAAAGCCGAAAAGTTAATACCGAACGATCTCAGATGGCCCAAGATTACAACGATCCAGTCACTAGCACTTATGGGAATGGTGTACATTGCAAGTTCTAGTAAGACAAACCCTGGGAACTTTACGGAGAACTAATATTCTATAGGCCATGGGGTCCGATGCTGCTGGATGGCTTCATCAGGGCATGGCTAATCGCCTAGCTCTAGACATGGGATTCAACATGGACCCCTCTGTTCTGTCGGGAGCTGTGGCTCTCCCCCCATCGAGATTGAGTTGCGTAGGCAGATTTATTGGGCCCTATACTGCCACGATAAATTGTCTGCAAGCTACACAGGCAGAGTTTGCACAGTATTGGTATGTTGTACTGCAGGGACTATATTATTTCTTTGAAACTGACTTTGAATGGTCGCACAGGACTCCCAGGGAGTTGTCAACAAACCATTTCCTTTCTGTGCCTCAGATGATCATCTACCATCGGCGAGTGGCAATGGCCAATTGCGAGCTGCCTCCCAAAGGGACGTGGTACAGTTACATCGGGCGATGATTGACTTGTGTCGCATATTCGAAAAAGTTCTTCTTTCATTGTGAGTCTAGATGATCACTTGCGCTATCTGACACCGGTAACTGACCAGTGTGGAACCCGGTAAGATGGTCTCCAAAGCCACTACTCCAGAACAAACAACGCTCTGCATTTTTTGAAGCTTGCGTGCTTGAACTCAAGACTTGGTTCTACGATCTCGCCCAGGAGTTAAAAATCGATCGTCCATCGGGTCCCTCCAAATTTCCTCACACCTACACCTTGTGCATGGTTTACCATACTGTGTGCATCTTACTTTGCGTACCGTTTCTGAACCATCAATCTGATTCCCAAAATGCCAGCCGCACAGATCCACAGATCCAACAAAACAGGAACCACAAAACATCGCAGGATGGCTGCAGAGAAAAAGCTATGACTATTTGCAGTAATTCGGCCCGGGCAACGTGCATTGTTGCTCAAAAGTACAGACAGACATTTGGTAGCTTTAAGCTGAGCCCGATAACAACCACCCATTGTATGCTCTCAGCGGCTTTGATTATAATCGAGAAATGTTGTGTCGATCCTGCCATGAAAAATGGAACAGGAAACCAAACCCCACGCGGCCCATCGCCACAAGCAGCGGTAGGACTATGTCTCCAAGTTTTGCGCGAACTTTCGACATCCTGGAACATTGCGAAGCGTATCGGACGCAACTTAGAGAAACTCTATTGCCAGCGACTCGATTGCGATGTCGATCACATGCCACCCGCTCCTTCGCTGGAATGCAATGTCCCATGTGCGATGTCATCTCAACCACCAGATCTCAATGTCTGTGCAGGGCATACAGTTCAACAATCCGAGCCAAACCATTGTCTCTTGGACACAGAGAGACTCCATCTTCAAAGAACCCTTCTGACTCCTCCGCTTGCCAACCTCAACTGGTTTGATGTTTCTGCTTCAAGAAATATCCACGAAGGTCACTTGGATAGCACAGCTGGATTTGGGGCTACAACTAATCCCGATGAGATGTTTGTCAACAACCTTGGGTTTGCATTCTCAGCGGATTCTCTACCGAGCGACTATAACATGTTTGATACGCTCAATCAAATGTATTTGGAAGACATATGGTGACATTACAAATATAATGAGTTTCATCCTTGTTTCTCTTCTGCCGAAAATTGTTTATCCTTGGGCATCGAACATTTAGGGATTACTGGCTTTGGTTCATTGGAAATGATATTAGCTGCGATCTTTTCTGCCAACATGCCCTGAGATTCATTAGGACCGAGTTCATTCATCAAGAAATAAAATACCCACAAAGTACCGATTGGGGATGACCTGGCGGGAGGATCGGAAATGCTCTAGCGTCAACAACCCGCAATTTGTGACACCAAACACTCTCGCTCGGTTATCAAGCACAGCCATAGTGTCATTTTGGACGCCTCTTGCATGTGCAAGCGGCATGATAAATTGACATAAATGTGTCTTTAATGATATCTAAAGTCTCGGTGTCAGTCTGATTCCGGGAGCCGGGGAAGTACTCTTGCCGATAAGTACTGGCGCCATCGCTTTGGTGCGGAAGAACTCGTGAGCACGCTTATAAGCTGGAATAGCAACCTTTTGGTCAGTTTCCGTCTCCAACCAATTCGGATCTATCAGTGGAAAATCCGCCTTATCATCCGAACGGATTGTGAAGTTTCCTCGTGAAGTTGGAGCTACCAGGACGTCGGCAATGCTGGCATATTGCCCACTTCGAGGCTGCTGCGCATATATTCCATTGCCCCCAACAAGCCGCATTCCCACCTGGTTGAGGAGATACAAGAGGTCGTTGTCTAGCATCCCTAATGTAGGTACATCCACTTGGTAAGATGGACCGAAAAAGACATGACCCCACACCGGGCAGATCAACAATGAGATCAATACCATATGTATGGAGGACTTTGGCAGGACCAATACCAGAAACCATCAATAACTGTGGTGACTGGAATGCACCTGCCGAAATAATCACTTTCCGCGATGCGGTCAGCACAACGTGATTGCTCTGTTAAACAATCACCCCGTCGCTCGATGCTGTGAATCAAGGATAATTCTTTTAAGCATCGCAAACTGATACACTGTCCACGACCCGCTTTGAATCCGGTTTGCAAAACCGCAGATTCCGAGCTGCTTCTCGATGCATCCGCTTGTTGAATGACCATTGTGAGAACTGATGACCCATGAAAGTGCCGCTGTTGAAATCTGGCACCTCTTGAATGCCAGCCTCATCCAAGCCCCGTTTTGCTCAAGTGGAAAATGGCGTGGCATTCTTTGAATATGAGACTCGCAATGGATTTCCACTACGGACAAATGCGGAGGCGTTGCAAAGCGGAGTTGAATTAACAAAACGGATTCTTATGGGGGTTGAAAAGGAGACAGTCTTTTTTTTGCTATATGAACAAACGGAAGGCCGGGCCGAGGATGCGATCGGTGCTTATGCTGTACTTGGCATCGTTTCAAGTTATATGACGGAGTTTCATCTTGCACACCCTGTCTTGCTATAATTTTCATACATACTGGTAAATCTGCGACTTGATTCAGCTTGTACATCATACACAGGGTATCTCTTACGAAAATGTGGCATTTGAAGGCCTAAGTGATGCCCATGTAATAGGGCCCAGTCAAACAAGCGCTGTCAGGATCAGTATTAATCTTGCATGTGGTTATAGAGCCTTGGGTCCACGAGATATTCTATAACAAGCTATCCTTTATTTACCTCAGACTTCTCCATGTTTCATCACTTCCGTTTCCTATTCGGCGAGTACTCCGTGGTAGGAGGGAAGTATATAAGATGTCGTTAAATTGCGCATTTGTTAAGTCATGTTCACTTATCGCCACACTTCAGATCACACAAGTTGCAATAAAATGTGGACTTTCACCTGGTTAATTTCACTGTTTATGGTGGCAGAAGCCGGTGAAGTTTTATGGAGTGGATTTTTCAATGAGTCCGCAACCGTCGCCGAGTTCGATAACTGTAAGTTAGTGGCTAAAATTACTGGGGTATGGCTCTGATTTGCTAGGGTCATGGTCCAACCAAATCGGCAATTGGCAGTGGTATATCCATGGCACTGCAGCCACCGACCAGTATCTGGGTCTCTCGCCGGATTACAAGAGCCCAGCCGATACGAGCGATGCACAAGGTATCCGGATCACGATTGTAGGGTTTGACGTAAAGCTTGGAGTGCCACCAATGAAGCTGACAGCGGTTAGGACGGCACGTCGTTCTGGAATGGACAGACAATGGAGCGCTCCGAAATCATACCCCAAACGAAAGCAGATCTGGGAAGCGGCCATCTGTTTTATCATTTCTCCCTGAGTACAGCGGAGACGAACGCCCCCAACCCAGGGTTTGAACACCAGATCGCCTTCTTTGAGGTACCATATAACCATACCCATTGTATCAACAAATAGCGCAGCTGACAGAAGTCTGCTGACCTAGAGCCATTTCACCGAGTTGAAATATGGTCTGCTCAGCGGTGCCTCCGGTAACGAAGACAACAACCTCCGGTGGTGTGTTGGTGGGACATCGTACTGGGCGACCGAACTAGAAGCAAAAACGTGGTATAACTTTGCCTATGACATCGACTTCGACGCACAGACTGTCGGTCTGTGGGCATCAAATGAGTCTCACCCCTTGACGCAAGTTGTGGCCGGTGTCAGTGCCTCGACTTCGACTAACTCGGCGGATTGGCACATCGGCGAATTGAGGCTCGATAATGGAGGTTCGGACCCGGCGGCAGAGGATTGGTTTTGGTCCGGTGTTTTTGTCGAGCAAGCTCCAATCACAGCTGCTATCGCAGGCCCTGAAGTAAATTGAAATGCTAGCTACTTTCACATGAGGTTTCACAACGAGAAGCCATTGAGAGTGGAATGTACTCAGTAGAAGACAAACGATCCAAACAAGTGCAAACAGTGCAAACAGTGCAAACAGTGCAAACAGTGCAAAAGAACTGCAAATAGTACACATGAAGTCATAATGGAATCAAGCAAAATGTATCCAATCAAACAAGGAGAAGGAAAAGAAAAAGAAAGAAACGCACTTTGAACAAGTCAATTGAAGGAGTATATCATAAGCTAAATCATTGAAGGTCGTTTAATTTTACAAAATAAATCCTTTACCGCACGGTGTAGCCACCGTCGATAAGCATATCATTGCCAGTCATGTAAGTGCTGGCATCGCTGACCAGATAGACGTAGGCACCCTTGAGCTCCTTAGCATCACCATTGCGACCCATGGGAATCATGGAGTTCCAAAGATCTTGGATGTCTTGCGCGACGAAATCAGAGAGACCGGTGTCGATGTAACCGGGAGAGATGCTGTTCACGCGAGCAAAGTCACGCCATTCGTTGGCCAGCGACCGAGCAAGGTGAATAGTGCCGGCTTTGGCGACATTGTAGGAGGTTTGTTCCTGAGGGAAGTTGGCGATATGACCAGACATGGAGGAGGTGATGACGAAGCTGCCGGTTCCACGCTCCTTGAAGTGGTGGCCGACCGCCTTGGCGCAATGGAAGGTTCCAGTCAAATCGGTCTGGATCACTTCTTGCCACGCCTCCACGGTGCCATCAAGAATACCGCTATCGGCAGTACGGCCAGCGTTGGCAATGAAGGCATCAATTTTGCCAAAGTCCTTGATGACCTCCTTCACAAAGCCGTCAACGCTCTCCCAAGTGCTCACGTCACACTTGTAGGCCTTGACCTTGACTCCGTATTCAGCTGCGAGCTCTTTGGCGTTCTTCTCGCCGCCCTCGGGACGGGAGGAGTATGTGATGGCCAAATCGGCGCCCATCTCAGCGCAGCCGCGAGCGGCTTCAATGCCCATTCCGCGGGCGCCGGAAGCTCCAGTTACAACAACCACCTTGCCCTTGAGGCTAAGGAGGTCGAGGAGACGGTTGGCCTTGGGAACAGGGATAGGCATGGTGGAAGATATGTGTAGAGATGAAATGTGGTATAGAGGATAGAGAGAGAAGAAAAGAAGTATGGTTATTGGAATTGAGTTAAAACTATGGACATGAGGCCGAGTTAAATACACAATATTTTTGTCCTCCAATGACTTCATGGTTCTACTTTAGCGCTGACATCAGACAATCTTCTACGGGTATAGCCCACCTGCGCCCGGCTCAATCAGGTTGATATGCAGTATCCTTGTTCTAACATGTTCCAGCTTGGCAGATCCAGTAATGATATGAAATGACTTCAATTATGACAATCTAAAGTGGATACGGATATTGGCCGAGCAGTGACATCATGACTTGAACTGGGAACTTGCCTTTCATTTTTCTACAATATTATACTTACGTTGTATGGAGTCTAGGATTCTCTTATTTTGTTCACCGGGGTTAATCAGTAACTGATATCACGATCAGGTCTTCATTGAAAACAAATTATAAAACACTATACGTAAGTCATTTGATAATTTGCTTGGCCTAGAACATCTCTAAAGAGCTGTGTACAACGCATCGCTCGATTTTTAGGTTTCCCAGTACTACTGGAACTCTCAATTAAGAGGGTAGGTAGTCCACGGAATATTTTGTGGGGTCCTTCATAAAAAGCGTATGTCAAAAGAAAATAGAACAAAGAGAGAAAGAAAAAAAGAGGTTCAGATATGACGAAGACGACAGGCATCATGAGCTCAAAATGTAAAGTCGTTGACTCAGCATTGGAATGGAAACAAAAGAAGCTCTTAAGACCCTTTTGAAAGCTTCCCAGATATCCTAATAGCATTTTTGGTTGTGAATTGCAAGTATGGAGAATCAAGCGGAGGGAATTCCTTCTACTGAGCCAGTTCGAGAGGGTGGGCCGCCTATACAACGATCATCTACAGCGAGTACTCTGCATCATAACGAATTTGACGATTCATTTGGGTCAAGGTAAGACTCAAAATTCCAATAAATGATCTAGCTGAGCTGATCATGGGCAGAGTGCGATCATTTTTCCACCGAGACAGTCATATCGGTCATGTCGGCCGTCACCCTCTACGTGGTAGCCAAGATATTGAAATCCATACGTGGAGTGGTCCTGATGACCCGGATAACCCGTAAGTTTGAGGACCATTGTTGTGAGGGCAGCTTCATTGACGATCATAGGTTCAATTGGAGCAACAAATACAAATGGATCCTGACACTGACTATTTGCTTCATGTGAGTTAACCATTGGTTTACAATGTCTCGTTTTCTTCGTTTCTTTCTTGTTCTTCTCTTTTCTTTGATTCTTTGATCAAACCGAATCTAACCATTTTAAGCTCTATTCTCACAGGTTTACCGGCTGGATCTTATGGCGCCGGAAATAACTACATGGAACAGCAATTCCATGTCCAAAATGAACCTTTTCCCAACCTTGCATGGGCCACGACCTCGTGGAACATGGGTGCTGCGTTTTGGCCGCTTATCTTTGTTCCGCTTACTGAGTCGTCGGGGCGTATGCCTGGCTACTTCGTGGCATATTTTATCCTTGTCGTCTCGCTTTTCCCTTCTGCGTTTGCACAGAACTTTGCCACACTGGTCGTTACTCGATTCTTCGGTGGTGGTGCGTCCTCAGTATCAATCAATATCGTAGGAGGAAGTATCAGCGATGTCTGGTATGGTGACAAGGCTCGGAGCTTACCAATGTCTCTATTTGGTTTCACTAGTGTCGTTGGAATCGCTTTAGGTCCGTTCATCGGAGCAGCGATTCAACAAATTCATAAAAGCGACCCATGGAGATGGTAAGGCTCAATCTTTACTTTGTCGAATGGAATTTGACAGTTTGCTGATGAAATTACAGGATTTTTTATATTCAGATCATCTATAACGCGGCCTTGATCCCGGTATTCTGGTTCATTCTTCGCGAGACCCGTGCCGATGTCATCTTAAAGAAGAGAGCTAAAAAGCTTCGCAAGGAAACCGGTCGCCCAATCTACGCCGAAGCAGACTTGAACACCACAAGTGTTTGGAAACTCATGCAAGTTTCGTTCGAGCGCCCGACCCGGATGCTAGTCACCGAGCCTGTCGTGATTTTCTTTACCCTTTGGGTGAGCTTTGCGTGGGGAATTCTATTCCTCTTCTTCTCGAGCGTCGCGCAAACTTTTAGTGCAAACTATGGTTGGGATACATTCCAAACTGGTCTAGTTCAACTAGCCATCTCAGTGGGTGCTGTGATAGGCACAGTATTCAATCCTATTCAGGACTGGATCTATCTCAATTCTGCTCGCCGAAATCGGGACCGCCCTGGGAAAGCAATTCCAGAGGCTCGGCTGTACACTTCTATACCGGGGAGTCTTTTATTTGCAGCTGGGCTCTTCTGGTATGGTTGGGCCAGTGTCGGAAATGGATCCGTTCATTGGATTGTTCCAACACTTGGAATCGGGTGTACCGGAGTGGGGATTTACTCTATATACATGGCCGTCGTCAATTATTTGACTGATGCTTATGAGAAATATGCGGCATCGGCATTGTCGGCTGCCTCGCTGGGTCGTAATACTTTTGGTGCCTTCCTCCCCCTCGCTTCTTTCGAACTGTTTGACACACTGGGATATGGCTGGGCTGGCTCTTTGCTTGGATTTGTCGGAATTGCCCTCTCGGTTGTTCCTGTGGTGCTTGTACTGAAAGGGCCCGAGATTAGGCGTAGAAGCCCTTTCATGCGTGAATCTATGTGGGATCCTGGTGATGATGTGGAGAAGGATGAGGCTTCAGGAAAGACGGAGGTGTGAAGGCACTCCTCTAGTGTGTGAATTTGAATGATGCTTCCAACGCATGTATGATGCTTTCGGTTTACACAGTTGGACCATATGTATCTGCAAGTTTGCCGGAGTGATATTTTGTTCTGGCTCAGCACCCCACCCTTTATGTCAATCAAACGCGAATATTGTGGGGTGAGTCCTATCTTTGCTTTCAATGGCAAAACAGACATGGAAGGGCTGCATTAGCTATGCATACAATTATAGAATATGGCTTAGCTCTTGCACTGCTTCACTCCTGCCCAGGTGGACTCACTCTTTTCAAACAAAATCTAGGCAGCGAGCTATTGCACAGCACGGAGTACGTTGGTAAAACTATGTCCTAACACAATTACGTCTTTGATCATGGCTCATCTGTACCTGCAATTGAGATCATATGTGGAAGTACATAGTTAAAATCGTTCCCATATGTATTGTCTTGCGGTTGCTAACTACATAGATTACTCCCAGAAACAGTATCATCGATATCTCTATTTTCCTGATTTTGTTTAAATTTCTTTTGGCATCCTACTTTGTGACTCCAAAGTAATGTATACGTGAAACAAGTGTGTATCACTATACCTTTGCACCAACTTGGGATGAACTTGGTCTGAATCAGGAATTCAAAACATTCACGCCCCTGAAGAGTTATGTGGACATTCAATGCAGCCGTCTTCCAGTGCGATGTTCGAGATTGATCATCATTACCCCACAGGCCTCGTTGCGCCAAGGGAATGTAGGCAGTCACTTTAATTGCGATGAATTGGCCTACGTACAATTTCGAAAAGTTCAACAATGGCAAATTGAAATTAGCCTTACCACTCAGAATTCGACCCAATATTCAATTACCTAGGTAGTTGTGCAGAACGCACCACTTACAATATAGTTACGATGACCAGCCTGGCAAGCTAACCACAATCTTCTATAATAAGTGTCATATGTCGAGACTCATTTCTGCCCAGGGGGGCGTCTCGGGGCCTCATGTCCCGCTCAATCTGGCGCATACTTGCAATCTATTGAGAATCCAGACTCCAAGGAATTTGCTTCCAATGGTGTCTAATGCTACTAAACGCTGAGGTCTCGGTGCTTCCATTTCCGCTTAATCAGCCACCGCGTCTTCACAATTGTGGATATGAGGTCGACACTTTCAATCCCTGCTTAAAACACTTTGTTTCCAATTGACTGATGATGATTCGTCGTGGCTGGGCGATCATTTCTTGAATCGATTAACCTCGTGGGGCAAGGTGTGCCAACACCCGACTTTCAGCAAAAGTTGACGCGGCGCCAAGCAGCCATTGTGCCGACAAAGCCCCGGAATCGCTGCCATTCAGGTCTAGGGCATTAGACATGCAGTAACAGCTATACTTCTCTCCTTTGAAAATCCCAATCTTGTTCAGAGCGACACGCGGCCGATGACATGATTGAAGGGCCGCAGTGATGTATAAATCTAAGATGTCACGGCCCGGGTCCCAAAGAGAAATCCATCAACCCAGCCCTGCCCAATATTCACAATGGTTCAGCTTTCCAAATTCCTTGCCGTCGCAGCTGCATTCTTGGCAGCCCCTGCTATCGCCCATCCAGGCGAAAAGCATGATCCCCATGTCCTGAAGCGCGAGATCCATACTCGTGATGCCATGGCTGCCCACGCAAAGCGCTCCCTTGGTGGTTGCGAAAGCACCATTCACGCGCGTGAACTCCACAAGCGTAGTATCGCCCGTCGTTCTCGTACTGTCCAAAAGCTCCGTCAGAAGCGCGGCATCACTGCGAGTAAGTAGCGGTACTTCCCACCCGGGGCCTACTGGCTAACATGTTTCAAGCCCCTCAGAAATGGCGTCGCAACCTAGCTGCTCTGGAGAAGTGGGAGGCCATCGACCACAACCGTACTAGCCTCTTGGACTACAGCCCTGCTACCCCAGAGTCTGTCATTTTTGCTGCTAATACAAGCTGCATTCTGTCCCCTACTATCACCGATGGCCCCTACTATGTTTGGGGAGAGGTCGTGCGCCAGAATGTGAAGGAAGAGCTATACTCAGAAGGCGTCGATGTTTTCCTTGAGGTGCAGTACATCGACATCAACACTTGCAAGCCTGTGCCTGGTGCACTGGTCGATATCTGGCAGGCCAATGCCACCGGTGTGTATAGGTATGTTCAACAAAGTTTCTCCGCAAGCTTTGGATTTGTCAATGAAACAAGAGCACTTTCTGACTGAACTTGGCCCCAACAGTGGTATCTCAGAGTCTGGCAATTATGCTGCCGATGGCTGGGACTCTACCTACCTGCGCGGTATTCAGCAAACCGACCGTGACGGTGTGGCTACCTTCGAAAGCATCTTTCCCGGCCACTACGAAGGTCGTGCGACGCACACCCACCTTCTTACCCACCTGAACGCAACCCTTCTTCCCAACAAGACCCTCGAGGTTGGCACTGGCAGTGTCGCCCACATCGGCCAGCTATTCTGGAACGAGGTACTCCGCTCCGCCGTTGAGGAGACCTATCCCTACAGTACGAACACCCAAAACGTGACTTCGAACGCCGAAGACATGTGGAGCATCGAACAGGCTGACAGTGCCTACGACCCCTTTCCGGAGTACATTTACCTTGGAGATAACCTCGACGATGGTTTGTTCGCATGGATCCAAATCGGAATCAATGCGACAGCCGATTTCACCGACAACTCTTACTACAGTATTGCGGCGTATTATGATGCCGATGGTGGCCACGAAAATGAGGATAGCTCGTTTGCCGGCGGCAGCGGTAGCGGCGGCGGTGGTGCCCCAAGTGGCTCTGCTCCCAGTGGTACCATGTTTAGCTCTTCGCCTAGTGCTTCCGCGTGAAGAATTTGACGGAAAGGGAAATGTATTCGATTCCTATGTACTACTACTAGCCGAGGGTTCCAGACAGTCGCAAACTCGGGTCGACTCCACTGGTGGAAACTCAGATCCGCCTGGAAAGCTCGGCAGTTCATCTGGGCTAGTGTATGCAGTTTAGGTACATCATGGTCATTGAATGTATATTATGATGCTATATAAAAAGATAAAACAAAACTTCTTGCAAACTTGTGTGCAATTTTCCATTCCCATTCGCAGGTCTATTCTCACCGCCAAGGAAAATTACCGGTATGATCTGCATGGACCGAAGAGAACTCAAAAGCCGTCACCACAATTAAGGCTCAAGATATACGCATCCATCACGAGAAGTTGACGCCTCAGCGCGCCAAAAATTGGTTGTGGCGGACCTAGCTTCTGAATAGGCGCGCACGGGCAGACTCGCTTGGGAGATCGCGAAGATCATTGTAACTTAATAAAACATTAAAAGCAACCCAGCCGTCCCTAATAATGCATGTAACTTGGGGAGATCTTTTGGTGGAGAGTGTTAAAGGGATGGTGCTTATCCCAATTGGGAAGGTGCATTTTTAGGTGTTCCAAGGTTGGGGTAGAAGTCCTAAGAACTCGGCCTCGGCTTGTTATTATATGATGAACTCCTCTATAAAGATGATGAAAACGCACTATGTTTTATGTGCTAATCAAAATAAGTATATTAATATACATTATTGTCTCGGTCCAACAAATGAAGAGTGTGAAAAGTACTTATGCCGGTAGAAAAAGAATATTAAAAAACCGAGTTCCACACAAATCTAAAGCTAGAAATATCAGATCCATGGTACTACAAAATTAGTGCGCCCCTCCACGTTGCCGAGACGAAAAGCCCGTATTCTAGAAATTTACGTCACTGCCTGTTGGATCAATTGAGGGGAGTTTTAAACTTTGTCATTGTTTGGTATCGTGTGACCGATGCGGCTCCTACGCCGGTTTGGTTCGAACCGTAACAGGATTGAAAAATAAGCTCCTGACAATCACTCAGTATGTACATCTCACTAACTCTATGTACACTACTCCATAGTGTATACCGGAACATTTTAAAACAGTATGCGAGTACGGAATACTAACAACATAAATAGTGCAATTGGGCGAAAACTGAAGCAGATATAAACAGTCTTCCGGTTCTGAGTCTTACCCCAAATTGCCGAAACTTTTAGCGTGTACTGTTGCCTTTTTGGTTCGTCACGCATGTCGATCCATCGAATAAACTCGACCCTACGATTCAATACACAACCCCACTACGGAGTAGTTACGGAGTGCGGATTCAAGTTAGTTAATCCGCACTGCAAGGGTTATTCCCATGGTACAATATTGTATTTTCTCTCGCCAAGTGCCCACTTTAACGGACTCGGGGTCTAGAGCTAAAGTTTACTCAAGCCAGAATTGCCGGTGATCTTTGAATAAAATCATGACGGGCCTCCCCATTTTGTCGTGTTGATTCTCCTTGGGACTTTCTTTGCCAGTGCGGATGGGATCCCCATGCCCTCTGCTCATTCACCATGGAAGCCGAGTCAAGTGATATCAACCTCGATAATAGTCGGAGTAGGGCTATCTTGATCGTTACCTCTATTTTTCTCGGCCTCTCATTGGTAAGCGTCATCTTGAGATGTTTTGTGCGCACTCGCATTGTTCGTGCTTTTGGGTGGGATGATGGTGTCATGGTTGTGGCCATGGTAAGTTATACCTCAAGCTTCCGCGATCAATCCCTGATCTCAACTTATACAGGGGCTCAACTTGGTCTTCGCGATCTGTGGAATCATCGCATGCAAATATGGATTGGGCAGAACATTAGCTTATTTTTCCCAACCCGGAAAGGAAAATGACTTCCACCGCGCAATGTTGGTACGACTATGTCTATGATCCATTGACTACCTTGAAGTTGCAAGCTCACATTCTTCTAGTGCTGGTGGGTAGCTCAACTCTTCTACGTAATGACTTGCGTTGCCGCCAAACTCTCGATTATTATCGCCCTTCTCCGAATCACTGTGGACCGCATCCACGCCTACATTCTTTACGCCGCTATGATGCTCGCCACAGCTATTGGCATCGTTTTTTTCTTTTTCACCATGTTTCAATGCACCCCCGTCGACTTTTTCTGGAACCGATCGCAACCTGGGGCATCGGGCACATGCGTCAGTAACCATGTCCTCATCGGTATCGCATACATGTACAGTGTCGGCGCGGCCATTACAGATCTTACGATTGGATTACTGCCTGTGGCGTTGATTTGGAACTTACGCATGAATAACCGAACGAAGTGTGCCATTGTCGGCATTTTAGGAATCGGTTGCATGTTCGTGATCCCTCGGCACTTTATTTTTAATTTATTTGGCGGCAAACTAACCGAATCCATTTAGTGCAAGTGCCGCGGTCATTATTCGAATTCCCTTCGTTCATCACTACCAAGACGTGGAATTCCTATGTATGTGTCTCCAATTCTTGGATCCAACTTTAGCGTCATTAGATGAAATTAACAACCACAGACAATACTTATCAAATTTCCATTTGGTCCAATGTCGAAGCTGGCCTCGGCATCACGGCCGGCTGCCTAACAACTCTTCGCCCACTTGTCCGATTCCTCCGCGACGGATCCTCCGCAGGTCCTAGCCGCACGCCTCCGTCATTTCCTTTATCCAGCAACATCGGCGGTGGATTCCACCGCTCTTCAAGGTCCAAGCCCGATGCGCGCGACGACGCGCACCAGCTATGGACGGGTACCGAGAGTGATGACTGCCACGGAATCACAACCACTATAATGGGCCGCCAAAAAGCGACTAGCTCCGAAGAAGATCTGAATCCGTATAGTGACCCCGATTCTGACGCTCCCGGCTGGAGAGTCGAGAGGTCTGTTCGCGTGTCTGTGCGTAATTCATGACACCCCTTTTTATAATCATTTTCATGTACTATATTATTATACGACCAAACAAATGGGACTATGTATGTCCACTTGAATAATTGAGACTTAATTATTTACTTCATTTTTTCCCCCACTTCTTCCTCCCAATATCAAAACATGCACTATTACTCTCATGCAGAGGCCTCCTTTGTGCTCAATCCATTGGAGGAATGATCAACAAAGAGACGATCACGATGGTGGGGAATTGGGCCGCTGAAACGAGATGATTTCCCTACACATCTCAAATGGGGTAACAAGAAAGGTCCACTATACATTATGGTTAATGGATGTTTCAGATTTACAGTGAGTCGCCTCAAAACGTATAATATAGAGATTTTCCTTGCCACTGTCTTGGTGTTTTATTTATTTTTGGTATTTTCGTGCCAGTTGATATCGATCTAATCAAAGACAAAACACCTTTACTTCCGGGATTTAAATCACAGTGGGCCAATAATTTTACGAGGATGAGCGCAAAAAGTGACTAACGATTTCCCCCTTTTTGGTCCTTTAGTCTCGCGCTAGTGTAGCCTTGTTATTGCGGCCCTCTACTCTAGCGTCGTCGATAATTACCGAACCCGGCTCGTGTTACTGATACGCTGTTCTTCCTGGCTAGAAAGATACAGTAACTTGCAAAATACGCCTGTTTCATACATACGCAATGAAGAGCTCACACTGAATGCCTCAATACAAGCCCAAGGCGAAGATGTAATTCCAGCAAACACAGCTATACTCAAATTTGCTAATTGCATTTGCACAAAAAGGGATCCCCTATTATACTGTTTCGTTTCACTGTTTCGTTTCATGGGTTGTCTGCTCGCGCACAAGCCCTTCTTGCGACGACGATGGTGCGACACCATAAGCATCAACGTGGGTCGACGCGAATTTCCGAGCCGAGACTTTTGTCGCAAACAAGATATCAAGCTCCGCATATGTACGGTCCTTTGGCTCCGGCAGACGGAAGAATGCCCACAGGAAGGCAACTAGGGCAGTGGCACCCCAAAAGAACCCAGTTTTACCGGACGCGTTCCATGCTGTTGGGTTCATAAAGTACGGTTCCAAAACCTGGGATACCACATTGATGATCTGGTAGGCAGTACGTGCAAGGCAAACTGTCAGCGGACGTAATCGCACAGATGACATCTCTGATACAATGGCGTATGCGATAGGTCCAACTGTCAACGAATAGGTGAAGAGCCACAAAAAGCACAATACAGCCTGTGCCCACATCGCGCCAGTTGTGTGCGATGCAGCATTAAGGATACCGATTAGGAACAGTATTACGCATAGGATGCCCTGGCCCCAGACATATAGGGTTCGGCGACCGAAGCCTGTGATCAACCACCAGGAAAGACAAGTTCCAACGAAGGCCACACCTGTGCAACCAACGCCAAGCTGGAAAGAACGGCCTGTGGCCATGCCTGCCTGTTTGAAGAAATACACAGGCGAGTAGGCGAACGTACTACCCGACAAGATCTGACCGACGAAAGTCAAACAGCAGATCTCCGTACGACGAAGATCGACACCCTTGAAGCAGTCAGAATAGGTGGTACCGGCCTCGATCTCAGCCTCAAGCTTGATTGTATGCACCATCATCGCGAGCTGTCCGTTGATTTGCTCTTCGGTCTTGCTGCCGCCCAGTCGACGGATGCTGCGCTTCGCGTCTTCAAGGCGGTCTTTGCGAACAAGCCACCAAGGACTCTCGGGTGCCTGCCAGCAAATTGCGATCAGAGGCACTGGCCAGATCCATTGCAGGGCGAAGGGGATCCGGTAGGACCATTGATCGGATCGGTCGACGAGTCCATATAATACGCCTGACGCAATTAGCTGACCGATGGCCCAGCACAGGTTGACGTAGATTGTGAGGTAACCTCGCAGGTTGGTTGGGCAGACTTCAGATGCGTATGCTGGGCCGAGGGTTGCGAAGACTCCCCAGGAGAATCCACAGAAGATTTGCCCGACCAACAGGACAGCTGCGGAATTGGCGAAGACAGTGATGAAGATGAAACATGTCAAGAAAGCGAGGGCGATGACCATCACGATTCGGTATCCGTACTTGGACGCACAGTATCCATTCAAGATACCCCCTATGATCGCGTCAGTGTTAATCATTTGGGAGGGAGAGACAGATGGATGACGAACCAAAAATGCATCCAACTGTACTGGCCATGCTCAAACCAGTCTGCCACGGTGCCGAAACTTGCCATCCGATGTCGTCGCCATAATACTGTCCATATTTCTTGTTGAATTCGGGGTAGGCGAAGAAGTTGCCCATGAGAATGGTATCATATCCCTCCATGACAATGGTCATAGAGATCAAGACAGACCACATCACTGCCTTGCGGTTCTCACGCAAGGCCTGCATGAGGGTCTGCGAATGCTCATCTTCAGTGGCCTGCTTGGCCTCGAAGATGGCGCCGTGGCCCAATGTATCCTCGACATGGTGGGCTGCGGTCTTCTCCAGCGCGATCGCGGTATCGGCAGCGGTCGCCATTATGAAGGCACAATAGGGGAAGATATCCAATTAATCAGCTGTGAGACATTCGAAATATCCCCTAGCTGCAGGTGTCTAAATCAGAGGGGACATCATCATCTATATATGTCGCGACATGCTTCCGACAAGGAGGTTGATCCACGTGCATTAGCTTGCATTCGGAAATCGTGCGGAGAAACAAAGCGCATGTTAAGAGCGAGTCACTGGATCACTATCAGCCCATCTCGGGGATTCAGGCTAATTTCATCAAGAAATAGAGTGACAACGACATAGTTCCGATTGTACGATATGTTAGCTAACGCGCCTAGACCAACTTTGGAATGTCAGACATGGTGGTTGTAATAATTTTGCACCTATAAGAAACAATCATGGCTTTAACAATAATCCCTGGAGGAATTCAACCGCTCAACATGATTAGTGTCCGGGGAAGCGAGGCTGGGGTATGCGAGGAGATGCTCTGATTGGGCCCAGCCGTATTGGTGTTGACGCCCCCGGAATGGGGAAAATGAGCCTATTCCCTTCGTGAAACGGAGGTTTACGCCGATGTTGAATTTTAACACTAAATTTTGGAAGCGCATCATAATTTAAGGTATCATTGAAGCCGTTTCCCTTCGATCAACTGTCAGATGCCATGTGTATGAACGTTTTGAGGATGTAGGCGAATTTGGATGGATTATTGTTCAGAGCGAATTAAAGATACGAAAATAATGCATATTGAAGCCAGCGAGTCAAGGGTTGGACACTGTCAGGTCCTTTGCCGCTATTGCTTTCATTACAGGGTTTGTTGTGCTCACCAGTGGTTTATCTGAAGCCCACCTGTAAAATTTAAGCTCTGGGCAGCTGCTTTGGTGGAAGAGTCACATTCCCTCTGGAAGTTCGGCCCGAGCTTTGAACATAAGATCTCTATGGAATATTCTCCCAATCCCATCAATCAACTAGCATAAAGTCCGCTCTATGACTTATTATAAATGCTTCATACGCAATAGCCACTTCACATCCAAACAGGATGCCACCCTACCTCATATCTTTTGGACGATATTGCGACCAGTTGAAGCCTATAGGCTCCATTAGAAGGTCGTAGGGGCTCTGGGCAAGCTCCTTCAGCAAAGAACATAATCAGGTATGTTCTGTTAGTGTGAACAAGTACTAGAAAATTTTTGCCCGCCCTGGAAGCAGATAAATTTCACCAAGATCTCCTCAACTGGCTGACTTGAAGCGCTAGCTTACACCTCATTTGTAGGTAGGCTTGGGGTCTGACATGATGATCGGTCCGGTCCGGTTTAGCTGCTTGGCGATGCAGGTAGATCATAAGATAGACCACATCGCGACAACATGTGAATGAGCGATACATGGATAGAAAATGCACGAAAAGTGAGGAAAGTTCTGGTTCAGATATCTATTGGTCAGTGCGAACATCATCACATTGCGACTAGGCGGGATGGCGCCGATCCGGTTCAGGCCGAGATCTCGAAGGGACCACAGATCAGTCCACCGGATCCAGCGAGGACAATGATCCCGACCCACTGAATACAATGGAGATGAGCCCTTTTTCCTCATTGAAAGCCCATTGGACGATCGCGGTGGACAAGGATTCAATCTAACGATGTGGAGCTTACCAGTGGAATGGAAGTCATGGGTATATCTGATTTTGGATTGAATATTATCAAAAGAAAGCGCTTTCAATGAGAAATGAATGAAAAATACAACGCGACGCCTGGTATGCTTGAAATGGGTATAGTAAAAGAAAAGACAAAAGCCGCTGCGAAAATGCAAGGAAAAAAGAATACCGAATGAAGACAGTCCTATCTGTTCAGCTCCCATCGATTCGAATCAGAGTCCTGAACTCATCGTTTCTGAATGTCGTCTCTGGAATCATCAGTCGCATCACCCAATACGGCTTGTAGTCCTGGATGCTAACATCCCTCCCAGATGAGTGCACTGCCCAGTTGGTCTGATTGTTCGATCCAAGGAAGAGGCCTTCGACAGGTTGACCGCGAATATGATGTCTGTATGCTTGTACAGGCTCGGCGTCCCTGCCCCAGACGAGCCGACCGGTGCTAGGGTGGTGATTGATACCGAGGGCGTGCCAGTCAAGGGGGCCATGACCCGAGGGGACGTAAGCTTCAATTGCGTTGAGGGCGCCGTTGCAGCGTAATTGGGTTTTGACGTTGTTGCTGTTGCTGACGATTGTGATCTGGTTGATCGTTAGGACTCATCTCATGAATTCATGTTCATTTGTTGAATAGGTCGGCGACTCACAAATCCATGCTCGATTATATTTCCCTTGTCGCCTCGCTCCCGTGTGACATCAGAGCTAGATCCGAAACCCTCGATGGCACATCTGCCATGTGCTGCAGTCCCATTGTAACATGAATCGATATTGACTGTCCAAGGGCCGGCTATCTTTGTATCATCGTTATATGCTGGGAGCTGAGAGCAGTCTGTCACTGGTTCAACGGTGAGACCTCGCTCAAATGGCTGTGCGCCAGCGATTAATAGTAGAGAAGAGAAGAAAACGCTGGCGAGCATTTTTATCTCGAAATGTTATTGGTATGTCGTCATGTGATGAAGGGTAAATTGTCTCAACGAATTTTCACGAAAGGGGGAGGGGGTGGATTATGGAATGTTATATATTTTTTTCTGTGATGAGGCTAAGCTACCAAACGAAGAAGCCTTGTCTCGTAGCAAATTCCCAATAAGGGTCTTAGTCCTGCGTGAAATGCCTCTAAAATGCCTCTAATATGGAGGGTCTTACACCCAGAATGGGGTCCTATTTTTCTAGGCTGCAGTGAACCAAGCCTCGAAGACCCTGGAGGACCCTTGATCAGGGCTTAGTATCCACTTAGTGGAAACTGTGCGACCGTTTGCTCTTTAACATTGGTCAATTTTGTGCCCGGTAGGCTTCCCTTTTTCCAATAGTGACTTTTCATTGGAAATGAGCAATCCTCTCTCCCCACACGGATAGATCAGGCCAACCCGTGTTTTCCGACTGCTGTTCAAATATCAACTAGAAAAAGGCTTGACTCTTGGGACAGGATCCAACAAAATGGAATCCAATGTAACATAAAATTTAGAATGGGCCAAAATTCCGAGGCTCTGTTCTATTTTGGGTGAGTTAGTGCCCTTTACGAGGTGTACTAACTCCCTTTGGTTCGAAAAAATGAGACCCTTCAAGCAAACAAAATCTGATCTGCCTAGCTATAATAGACCATTCGCCATTAATGTCTCTCTTTGCATAAGGCTTGGTATTAACCTTGTCTGAATTAGTTTTTTCTTTTTTTTTTGATTGAAGCTGACTCACTTGTATTTCCATGATATTTTCTCTATATCTAAATTTCCCTTTATACTAGTCCGCCCAGACCATGGAATTTCTTTTCTTCGCCCCCATTGATAGAAATTTATGCATCATTCATATTCGTAATATTTCGACACCGTGAATCATAAAACATTCTCTCTCAAGTCTTAATTCTAATTTTGTTTCATCGATGACCCGCCAAAAGCCCCTCCGCCTCCTCTTCTCCCTCATGTGACTTGTTTAGGGTCTCAGCCATCGCTAAACCTTCACTTCGACCTTTGTCAGCGTTGACCATCCACACCAGTGGAATGGGCAAAATTATAAGAATTGCAATAAAGAAAAAGCCACTCCGGACTTGCCCGGTAGCATCAACTAGTACACCCACAATAGCTGGCCCAATAAATGAGCTTCCCTTGTCAGTAGCAGCATACAAAGCGTAGAAGGCAGCCTCGCTCCCGGGAGGAATTAAGAGTCCGAAAAATGATCGACAGTATGATGCTAGCCCACCCGACACAATGCCATGGACGATGGCTAGCGGGAAGATCTCCCATGGCTGTTGCAACCCTATTACCCCCCAGTTTTTGATGAAGGGAATATAGGCGAGCAAACCATATAACGGAATCAACTCAAAAAGGACAATGCACAAGATTATGGTGTGATTGGATTGCAGGCCAAAGTGTCGAGACACGTGTGGCCACAAAAACGCGCCCATCATCCCTGACACCGTGGCGGTAATCGAGAGGAGTCCGACCAGTGGCGTGCTTAATCGAAGTTCCGTGCGCGCAAAAAGTATCGCCGTCCCAGAGACGGTCGCCATTGCATCTGAAAGAAGGAACCATGCAACGAGAAAGATGAGAACTTCTCGCAATTTCATCACTATTTTAACTGTGTTCCAGAGAGATTTCCATGCAAAACCCATCAGTCGGAGCCAAGCCCGCCACCGCGCAGTACCTTCGGTGGAGACATCCAAAGGAGGGCCCGGCCGAGTCTTCAACAAATGGCGAGTTACGAAAGTGAATGAGCCCCACCAAATGCCGACCAGGAGCAATACGAAGCGCATGGGAAGCGTTGCTGATACCTTTCCAAGGAAAGTTTTCGATAAGGTAATCAGCATGATGATGCTGATGATTTGCACAAACACCGCTGCGCAATATCCAAGACCAATGCCCCTGGAGGATATTTTGGTGGATAGCTGCAGCTCCGGCGAAGATGAGGGAGCAGTGCGTGCTCCCTTACCATCTTCCGGAGAGCGATCGGGTTGACCCGAAGTATGCAGCCCATCCAAACTATCGTTGTCATCATCACCCCATGCATTCCACTCTGAATCATTCTCCTCGCGGTTGAAGCTTGACAGTTCTGCCCCTTCATTCGGTTTGCCGTATTGGAGAGAAGGATCATTGGCGACCAGCACAGGCAGGAAAGAATTCAGAACGACGAATGAGGAACCAAGACAAGTCACACTGACAATGACCAATATTGAACCGAGAATGAAAACGGGCGGGGCGATGAAAACAAATAACATGCTAGCAAGCGATCCAGCAAATCCGAATACCATCAGTAATGTTTTGCGGTTGTTCTCTGTATATGCGAGCGGGATCCCGTTAATTTACATGCCCAATTTGGTCGACCGTGGTATATTTCAGTCTAGAATTTTTGCAATCATACCATAATCCGCCAACGCACTGAAGGATATCAAAGTCAGTGCCTGGATAAGCACTGCCAGCGAGAAGGTATACATGGCGAAACTAGCCGTGTTGATCTCCAGGCCAAAGAGTGGAACAACACATTGGCCATTTTCATTGTTTGTGCTGTTTCCTGCGGATGGTCCAGTGCAGGGCAGACGGCTCGTTTGAAGGGTGCCTCGTTCGCGGGCTAATTGCTCAAGGGTAAGAGGTAGAAAAGATCCTGAGAAAAACAGGATAAGTATGACTTGTTTATTATCAAAAAATCCGGCCTGTTGTCACGTACCTACGCCACAAACCGCGAAGACTTCGGCCGCAATTCCATATGAATACCAACCAAGGATCTCCCGTCCGCTGGTTGGGGTAGTATCCTCTCCGACATAACGTGGTGGCCGCTGCGGTACACCGTCCGAGGGTGATGGTGATTGAAAGGCGCCAAATACAGAGGATAACATAAGGGAATGATGGGAATTGTCAAAAATTCCCCCAGCCCTTGGAGAATTCCAGGCACAAACGGATGCGGGCGGAAGTAACGGAAATACGGCAATTTCATGATGTCACTGATCGACAAGATCTGCGCCCTTTTAGGAAATTCCTTATTTCGCGATCTATGAGAATCGTCAATTTCTATACTATTTGAATATAATGACATGTACGTTAAATATGTATGCATGTATATATAGGAAAATTGATAGAATTAAACTACAGAGACAATTCAAATTAGAGAAAGTGAATCAAGTCTCTCTTCAAAATGATCGGACTCCGCTTACCCTACAGAGACCGCTTCGACCTTCCTTTCATTTCTCGACTTTTATATCCACCTTTTGCAACCTCATCGACTGCTTTCAAATCACCATTACACTATAATTTCCAGTTGGGTTGATTCCTACCAGAAGGACGTAAAGGCCAAAATATTTTCCTGTCTTGCTCGGCGCAATTCATCCCCGATACAAACCAACCCGCCATCTCGCGCATATGAGGCTTTTTCTTTCCTACCTGTTCTTCTCGGCGACATAATCATGATTACATGTTCAAAGAGATATCATCCATGGAGGTGTGCTGAGTTTGCAGCAATGTCTTACAAATCTTGCTGATGTCAACTTGTACTCATTTATATATTTGTATTTGTCGAGCCGAGCCCGTCATGTTCTCTCGCACACCAACTCATTGAAGTTTATCCCTTCGATATGCCCAGTTCTGTTTTTCTCCTCGGTCCCGGCTTTATTGGCGGCGAGATCATTGATCTGCTTCTCACAACAGACTACAATGTCACCACCCTCGTCCGCCGAGAATCAGCCGTTGCCGACTTCGCCAAGTTAGGCGTCAAAGCAGTCATTGGTACCCTGGATGATGCCTCAGTCATCAAAACCCAGGTGGCTATGAGCGATATCATATTCCACACCGCGACTGCAGATCACCTTCCATCTGTGCAAGCAATCCTTGATGGCGTCAGACAACGGGGCCAGATGGGACTACATACCATCTACATCCATAACAGTGGGGCCAGTCTGGTGGCAGACACATCCGCAGGAGAATACAAGAGCGATACCGTGTTTGACGACGAGAAACCCTTCCAAATCGATTCCCTACCTGATTCCGCTCCCCATCGCCTGATCGATCTCGCCATTGTCCACGCACGCCAGGAACTCGCTGCACATGCGAAAATGGCTATCATGATCCCACCTGTCATATACGGTGTAAACACTCGGGAAAATCGTCTCTCCATCCAGCTGCCCACTCTCGCCCGGTACTCTATCAAGCATGGATATGCGGGACAGATCGGCAATGGTCTTTCGGTTTGGAACCAGATCCACGTGAAAGACTTGGCACGTGGATATATGGTCTTATTACACTGGATGGAGTCTACGCCCATCGACGAAGTTGCAAAAAACCCATACTTTTTCTGTGAAAATGGCCAGGAACTTTCTTGGGGTCAATGCGCGGCTGAGATTGGTCGGATCTTGAAGAACGCGGGAAAGATTGGCCAGTCTACACCAAAGACTATTCCTGAAGAGAACTATGGAGATTTGTTTGGCAGTTTCTCGGGGGTTGTGGTAGGCTCAAACGCGAGGAATAAGGCTAATAGGCTTCGGAAACTTGGATGGGCGCCCCTGGAGAAGGAGACATTTGCATCCTTGGCCGAAGATGAGATTCCGATTATTCTCCAGGAGAAAGGGGAGTTCAATGGCTATGCCAGTGTTGTTGCATCGTAACTGGGTACATTCTTACATCCAACCATGATACTGTCAAATCTCAATAGTTCATCCGAAAGTAGTCTCTTTGCCTATCACTTCGTCAAATATTTCTCTCTCAACTTTATGGTGAGTCAAGGCTAGAAGTCAATGCTGAGACATGACCACAATAGTTATTTCCAAGGCTTGAAAGAGGAATCATACCGGCCAAAGGAGATCTTCCACGATCCCCAGCTCGATCTGAGAACGAGCCTTCCTAAACTTCTGATGCTACACAATATAGTATCGAAGTATGCAAGCCAGGAGTAGAGATCTCGGGGTACACACGAACCCTTGAGACGAACACCTGCTCTAATCACGCCGAAAGGGTTTCAAATATTGACCCGTGCCTAGTGCTTAATACCGGAGAGCATTCATATCTCCGATTCGTGTCTCTCTTTCCGGTGTCCAACGAATTAACCAACCATATGCGCTAAAAAGCTCATGAAGTTCAGCTCTGTTTGCCGAGTCCGGGCCGGTCCCGGGCAACTTCCCAATCAAGCCGCATTTAGTTCAAACTTCAACATCATGAGGAATTTTCCCATTCTCTTTCATATAAAATGAGTAACGCTACATGCTATTCTCTCTTTCAACCATGGCAATCTTACATTATCTCGAATTCATCCTCTGTCGGTTGCTGTACCCTATTCGCGGTCATGATTCATACCAGATCATCCATTGCCCGGCCTTCAATGACCTTCGGGAGCCAAATATGACCCTTGAAGCTACTGAAGTTGGCCCATCAGGATCAAAACTACCTCTCGACTGCACTTGCAAAGCCGAAGATGGCAGAGGTGCCCTTCCTGACCTACGCTGGACCGCTCCCAATTCCCGCCAAGAAGTCATGGAATACATACTGCTCTGCGAGGATCTTGATGCGCCAATCCCATTTTCTGTCATCGACCACGGCTTCTTGTGGGCGATACCAGCCTCAACCACTAAGGCTGGACCCAAAGATGTCGCGCCTGGTGAACATGCCAAGATATCTCGTCAAACCGTTTCCGGGTGGCGCTTTGTGCCCAATATCCTTGGATTGCCCTATATCGGCGCTGGTGCACCCCTTGGACATGGGAAACATCGCTACGTTTTCACTATTGTGGCTCTCAGCGAGTCATTAAAGTTCCAAGCTCCCGAAAAGACTAGCAAAAAAGACATCAAGCGGGCTATTGAAGGAAAAGTAATTGGCTGGGCCCAGTGGACTGGGATATTTGAGAAGCCTTGGCCTCGCTAGACTTTTTTTCTCCGAAGATGGATCGGTTCGAGTTGATCAAATTGCAATAGAAAAATGGTGTATTGGGAGAATGGACCTCGGCACCTTGGAAAAGCGATTTGACTATATGTTCTGCAGTGTGATTTTCGGGTACCATTTATGTGAGTATCTCTATAACACTTAATTGAATATATTGAAAATACATCTCTTGGTCTAGCCCATCTGTCTGGTTGAAACATGTTGTGCATGTTTCTAACACACGCCTGCTGGTCTATCGATGGTAGTCATCTAAGACCCTCGGTCTGATTCAAAACTCGCTAGTGGGCGCTGATATATCTCACGTCAGATTGGCGTGGAATCCTTATTCCATTTGCTGCATTGAAGCTAATTTTCGATCAATGGTATAATGTACCTCTAGCTTCATGTCCATCCTTTGGCCATCATGTGGTCTTTTGTGCTAGTTGTCAATCGGCAATCTCAACAGCGTTCGCCGAGTCCTCAACAGGTAGGAATCCGAAAACTATTCATGTTATTGCTCTTCGAAATTATCTTGGCTCATATACCTATCGCTTTTCATATAGTCCTAACATTGAATGATCATTTTGTGCACAGAAAGGAGTAGAGGAAATGAAATGCAGATGTCGCTGGAATTTAATAGGAACTGTGCAAATCCTATCAAGAAGGTATTACCAGAGGATGGTGTTAAATACTCCAACACTTCCACCGCCAATGATCCAAATCTCTCGGATCGCGTCGCAGATACATATGGAGACAATAGTTCGATCTAACTGAATGGTCTCGCAAAAGGATGGTACTTTTCATTCTATATTCGGCTTGGCTGTGAAATGCATGACGAGCGAGAACTGGTCTCCGGCGAAGTGTAGTGTTCCTACCAAGTATTAGCATTGCACAAGATGGCCAACCACAATCTTTTTGAATGATACCGATTGAACAGCATCCTAAAATGACAGTCAACATTACTAGTGATTTCATTGTTCAAACCTCCCGTGAAAGACCAGCTGACATATCACCTTTTCTCAAGTGTAACACCGGATCGGGGAGATTGGCCTTTTTGTGTGATGCCTCCCCCTTACGAATCCCCGTCACACGAATCCAGTAGGTCAACTCTTTCGGCAGAGTTGCACCATTATATTCCAACTCGGTGATTTATTAGGCCGTTGCCAACAAGACTGCGATCTTTCATGTCAACCTCAGGAACCATCGATGCAACTCTGGACATCCACGGCTCGTTTTTGTTTCAGTTTAATCCCCCTAGCCGTTCTGGCTTCCAAGAGGATATCGATAAGGTCAAGTGGAGCATCGGCGGGATTTTGTTCGAAGGTGGGCTTCCACGGAAAATCCAGGATACAGATAAATTTCCGCAAACTCCCACGGGTTGGTTGTTTCGATATGCGAGAGCAAGTCCCTCGAATAGACAAAACTACCAAAACTATGTGAGTTACATATGACACATACGTCTGCTGGCATGGTATGGTGGACAATTCCAGAGATTCAAGAGGTTCCCGATTCATTAAGCTTTTAACTATTTGCATAGATAGATTGTCCCACCAGCGACTATTCGATGTGCCGAAGAATCGGCGGCAGCCGCTACTTTGTCTCATCAGTTATGGCCAGGAGCCAGCTTGGAGGTAAGGCCTGTGAAGGTTGATGGCGAAATCGGCCGACAAGAATTAATGGCAGACAAACAGGAGGGCATGTGACGAACGCCAACCTACCCTTCGGTTGATTGAGACCCCCCCCTCAGATGAAGCAATACATTGTGAACCATACTACCTCCATACCCGAGCAACCTTGCCGAGCGCTTAGTTAAAGCAGTCACAGCGAGTGGAAGATGAATCTTCCGACAGAGACTCATAATCAATCTCTTCCGGTGAAGGAGATTGACCGGAACTGCTGTCCAGTTGGTCGTGGGCGACTTCATTGGAAGGCAATTCCATGATTCGCCACGGTCCCTGGATTGTTCCTGAGACCTGTCTTGCGTCCGGTGCAAGGCAAAAAGGATAAATCGCATCAAATTTAAAGGGTGACCGGGAATAGATTTCCGGCGCAGCTATGCGGAGAGAACTTGGATCTCCATCCACGGGTTGGTGCATGGGAGCCTCGTCGGATATCAAACCGAAGGAGGGAGTGTAATTCTGTATGCAAAAGTTAAACCCGAGCCCTGGACTTTGGGGACCCTCTTGGAAATCGGAAAGGTTGGGGAGATTAAACGGGAATCCAGATGTGCCGTCGATATCCAGGATTGTATCGATGGCTCCCGCGTCAAAGTTGGTAATCTCCTGGTCCTGGATCCGATCTCTGGATGGAACTATAGATGCCAAATCCAACTGTCATCTATCGACACTTCTAAGGCTTTATACGACTGGAATAGGTCCGTGCTTACTTGGAATCTCTTCTGTGAGTATTGGCACCTCGTTACTCTCCGGAAGTGTGACCTCGGTGCCACAATCGCCCCTTCGCGACTCTCCCCTTTCCTCAAAACTCGACTGGGGTCTGATTCTTCTGGCTATCCGGCGTCTCATCGATGCCAGCGCGGGCCTCGGAGGCCTTGTCGCATTCTGCCCCCTCGGACGGTCCCCTGCCTCCGCCCCAGCTCTGCTCGTCTGCACCCCTGCAGTCGGCCGGTTTCCCTTCTTCTTGGCCGGCCGACCCAGTGGTTGCGAGATCGAGTAGACGCACTCGGACCCATGACTTACGCAACGATCGCATGGGTGAGAGTGGCTGCATCGTATCTTTGCTTGCTGACAGGCGTTGCAGGTTGTGCGGAGCTTTTGATTTGGAAGTATTTGACCGTTCGACTGGGGAGAACCCTGTGTCTTGGTTTCGCTCATCGATTTGCCGATTTATTGGATGAAAAGAAACGCCAAGCTGCGTCCCTGGAGCCTCGCAAACAATGAGTATGATCCTTCTCTGAGCTTGGGTTCTGTAGGGGCTTTTGTACCCCAAGCTCAAGACAACTTGCCCCTTCTCGGGATATGAGAATTCTCACTGTCCAACAAACATATCGCACGACTTTTGATTGCACTCGTGCGCTGATTGGAAAACAGGGCAGTGTCTACCCACATTTCGACAAGTGCCTTTTGCAACAACTTCCAAAACAGATAAGTTACATCTAGATCGTGAACTCTGACAAATACTTTCGTCCTACCCACATTTGGTCATCGCCCGTAAGTACCTTCTTTGTAGCTTATGCTAACCTTGGCGCTTCAGGGATCGATAACTTTATATCTCTGACCCTTGCATCAATTTCCTCAACTGTGCGGTCTGATTGTCTTCGTATCAGGGACTCCAGGGCCCAAGTAGCCTCCTTCGGATGGTATTTTGAATTCAAAGGTGTCAAACAGGCCATTACGCCTGATACCGTCTTGGAATCCCTATTTGAGTGATTTATAAAATCATCGAATGTGAGTACTGAGTAGGAAAGCATGAAGTAACAAGCATGATCTCTAACAACGATGCGGGGGAAAGGAACACATTGATTGATGCTTCAGATTTCACCTAGCATTCTCATGTATAAAATCAAACTATTGAATTTCATTTGATATGTTATTGATATCAATGTCAGCTGGCGACGGACGATATGTGCTTACTGGCAACGCAAAATGTTGATTGTCATGGCTGTTGCTGATATCGATTTTACTCCACAGCCATGCACGTATGCACATTGATCATGGTGCTCCAATTACACCTTGTGTCAACGGTCATGATCCTTGTCGGTCGAGTTCAGTTTTGGATCACATACCTATGAATATCAAGGCCATGATTCAGGAGGGTCGTAAATATAATGCGAAAGCAGAAAAGCTTGATTTTCTTTAGAGCTTACGTTAAACTAGTAGAAGCATGAATTTGCCCAGGGGAAACAGGGCAAGGATATTGGTGCAATTGAGCCCGTGAATATATACATGCGGAATACCGAGTGAACACACTATCTAGATGTTCTATGAGAAGAATCATGCTAGCTAGAATTTATCAAGTTTTATATAACTTTAAAAACTGCCCTACATCAGCATGTTAGCCTTTATTTTGTTGGGGACGGGTTCGATGAAATCCAACCTCTTGCCTAGACCTCAATCCACAATGTCCCACATGGCTAGTCGCAGTTGATACTTCACAACGAACTATGCCATTTCATGAGCTGCGAGCGGAGAAAAGCTAAGAATATAAAGACTCAACAACATGCGGTTGGGCTAGATGTTGTTTTCCATTGTGGAACATCCTACTGATAACTAGGACTTATGAACCTTGGAAAATTGGCACTATGTAGCACACATAAAGCTGCCTTGTCTTAGAACCTCAGTTAATCTCTTCACTACCAAGCCCAGCCCGACTAGTTCTAGTCATCACTTGCTCGGTCACAACTGGGGCTAGACCCCAGCCCGCTTTGAGGGTTTGCGGCCTGTACATGGCACTATCATCATCATCAATAGATCATAAGAATGCCTCGAACAAAAGGTCGAACAGGGTATCCCATGATTTCAACACGAAGAGTATGCAAACAAGGGTGCCGAAAAAAAACATGATTGAATATGATGGAAACAGAGTTGAAATACAGCAATTTTCATCAAGAGATGTACAACGCCCTTCTTTTCCTTCATTCATCTTCCATCTTGGGTTTGAGTGTAGAAATCTCAGAGACCATTTGAATATTATTTCTCAACTTTATCAATCGCCTCCATGGGCGAAAAATCCTAAACCTCCTGTGTAAACTAGTGTCATGAAAGCATGAGAACCGAGTATGCTCTGGATTTGCTCAATCTGGGTGCACATGAATTGGATCTAGCCAAGAATTTCATTTCCTCCATCGAGCTTCATTCAGTTTAACAAACTAGTTGCGCTCGTAGGACAATTCACAGAATAGAAGGATGTTGTCGTTGCAGTGAGAGGCACAGTGGTTGACTCTCCGTCGGCCGGTTCATGTCGGCCGAAGAAATAATTTATCGCAATGGGTGGATCAAGCCCTGTGACTTGAACAAACTTTCTGATATCAAAGCCGGACCGGGCGCTAACAGTCTCTGGGAACACATGTGCGAAGCATTCAGGAAATTCATACTGAGAATGTTGCGCAAAAAGGAGAAAGACGTAACGGTGATGGGTATTTGGGGGTGCACGAGGGGCTATGTACGAAGTTGCAGCATGACTGTCATCCTCATGGCCTTCACTTGGAATGATGAAAAAAGGATGATGGGTCCTTGTGCAATCCATCGAAAGGTTTGAATGGTACCAATGTAAAATGACTGACTGGATGTTTGTTCCAGGTAAGATAACATCAACATCGATGAAGAAGACTATATATTTTTTGCTGCATTCAAGGTCAAGGGTACCAATCTCTGGCGGTATGGTAGTTTCTTGCTAATTGTAAGTAATTGCTTTCATGACGAGAGTTTGAGAATACCTCGGATATCCAACTCCATCCCTGGACGGATCCATTGACCCCCAGGGTACCGTACATGAAGCCGATGGCCAATTATGGTAGGCCAAATGAGGACGTGCGCAGTTGTTGTAAAAGTAAAGTAACACATCCAAATAAATGAAACCATATTGAGCTCTAATGTAATTGAACAATGTGCTCACAGGACTGCGAGGGGATGAGAGCCAAGATAAATCAAGTTGCCCTAGATTCATTGATTTATAGAGGTATGTGCCTCTGCAGAATACTACGGTTCCTCGTGTATAGTTTGCTGTTGTGTATCAACATCCGCTTGCTTCTTGTGCCATTGCCAGCCCTTCGAGTAAACGACGATTAGAAGGGAAGTCACTAAGGCCATTGCTCCTGCTACGAGACCGTACGTCCATTGCATACCAAAATTGTTGATTAGGAGATTCACCACAGCTGCAGCACCAGCGCCCAAGAAACACCGGACTAGATTACTGGCAGCCATTGCGGTGGCGGGCGTATCGTAGTACAGATCCAAAATCAATATGTTCATCACGCTGTAAGCCCCCGTAATACAGAAGCAAATTACGAAAATGACCAACAGTGGCGACGAACAGGGGTGGTTCCAGAGGCATGAGCACACCTTATATGGCAATCGAAGTGCATGCAAGTATCTAAAAGAGGAAAGAAGAGTCAGCTCATACGTCCCCAGATTCTCGTTTCTGGAAGCAGCATACTGCCATTGGCAATCCAATTTGCAACCTTGCTTTCTCAATAGAAAATTCAATGATGTTCTGCTTCTGGTTTCTGTGTGTCGTTTGACCTACATCACCTCGGACTCGCCGATAGTTCCAGTCAACTAAAACTGCATTAACAGTCGCACTCAATAAGGAGCCCAAACCCGCGGGGATAAAGCAAAATCCAATGCCCAGATCGTCGAGATCACATTATTTTTTGGATAGGGCTGGAATTCCAGCTGTGATGGCGTAGTAGCTGCTAAAGATCATCCCATTTGCTAAAAGTACCAGTCCCACAGGTCGGTGGGTAAGCAGACGTAGAGTTGAGCATGGATTTGGGATTTTCACGCGACACCTCAGCACACTGGAAGATATTGCGGTACTTGAAGTGGGATTCTGCAAGTAATTCCGCATTGATCTATTCCATCCTACCAGGGGACTAGATCCATTGCCGACAATGCGACGGCAGGTTTCGGGAAAGAAACACAGTAGAGGCACACAAATTGTCCCAGCTGCGATTGCAAGAAACCAAAAGATTGCTTGCCAGCCAAAATATTTACTCAAAACACCTCCCAGGATTGGACCAATAGATGGAGCTAGGATTTTTCCTAGTGATGTGATTCCCATAGACAAGCCTCTTTCAGTAGAAGTGATGATATCGGCCGCCACTGCAGACGCAAGGGCCACAGTTCCACTACTGCTACAGCTTTGGAGAGCACGAAGAGCGAGCAATGCGGGGAAACTGTGCTGTAAAGCAAGTGCAATGTTGCCGAAGATATATATCGCAAAGCAAACAATATATGCTGGTCTACGACCTGCCTGGTCTGCAAATGATCCTGTTAGTATCGGAGCGAGACCTTGACATATCTTTGTGCCAGCTGTCAGTAATATGAAATAGTTCCTCTCTCTAAAGTGTCCATATTCATACCATGTATGTAGTGATCGTCAAATTGATTTGAGAGGCGCCGACTTGCAAGTCTTTCGCGATTGAAACCAACTCAGGGTAGTAGATATTAGCAGATAGAGGTGAAAAGCTCGATGCCAGAGCTGCAGTTAAAATAATGACGCGTTTTTGGGCAGACGTGAACTCGGAGTAAGGCTCGTTGGGAGGCGCAGTATCCAGCAAATGTGTTGATTCATTTACTGCACCATCTTGGCGCAGCATTGGCTGAATAACTTCTTGATTGGCCATGTTGAAATCACCTTAGCTTCAAATCGCGATATCAGATAAGTTGTTAGAGCAATCTTTAAGACTCAAAGAGACTCCACGGATAGTTCAACATATTTCTACTGTCACCTTCCAAGCCTCAGTTTAATCCCGCTCGGGTCATTTCTACCTAGACATACTGAATACTAGAGTAGTCTTCCCATAATCCATGTATCTCACTAATTTGACACAATTCATTACTGAAAAGGCAAGGAGGAGTTTAACCTAAATTTTGGCAACAGGATTCAATGTTGGCTCAGCGTGACCCGTGTAGAGATGAGTAGGTCGGAAAAGTTTACCCCTATTAACTGCGCCTTTGTCAGTCAAGAGGTCACTGAGGCATCGGCATATTTCACACATACCCGTATACTCTCTCCAATGTGCCATGATGCCAATAATTCGATGAGCTAGCATAGCCGCCGGAATGATATCCGGCTCAAATCCACTGCCAAGCATCAGCATATCATACATGATACTCAGACTTTGCGCAGTATGACGGCCTACATTCCAGTAAAAACAAAGTTCCCGTAAAAGTCCGCGTTAGGATACAAATCCCTACTATGAAAGTAATCATCTTTTTCCGCTGCGTTCTCAATCGCTTCGGCAATTTGCAGTAAGGGTTGATGCACACCGGTCAAATCCTTGAGAATGCTCTGGATGGGTCGCACGCGCGGATCCATTCCTTTGTACGTGCGATGGCCATAGCCGAATAACTTTTGTTTGCCCGTTTTTATTTCATCCATAAAAGCTGGGACGTTCTTTGGCTCTCCTATTTCACGTATAGCGCGCTGGGCAGACTCCGTAGCTCCAAAGTGCAAGGGCCCATGGGCTGCGCTTATAGCTGCTATCAAACAAGATACTGGGTCTGTCAAAGATGAGGCTGTCACAAGTGCTGTGAAAACCGATAAGGCCATCCCGTGCTCGGCATTGAGGTTTCCAAAACGACGGAAACAAGAAACTCGTACAGGATCTGGGGCGTTTGTTTGGGGATCTATGAGACCGGCCATTGTGAAGAAATTTTCATAATATGTCTGGTTGAGGGATGGGGGTCTGCAGGCAATGCCGAGTCGGTGGCAGCGAACGACCCCGAAGACCACAGCATAAGCCGCTATCGTTTGGAGAATAACTCGATCGGCTCGTGTTAAGTCATTTTGGTAAAGTGTCGCGTTTCCAGATGCGGGGATAATTTCAGGTAGGCAGGCTAGGTATGCTGAAAGGCCCACGAGAATTAGAGGTAGTGGACTTGTTGTGCGTCTGCACAGATAGTTAGTTACTGAGGATTTCCAAGTATTGTCAACGGAGAAGGCGTATTTGATAAAGTAAACTTACGGAATATTCAAAATGCTCTGGCGCACGACATCGGGCACCTCTTGCATATGTTGTGCCAGCTGGTGGCGGAGCTCTTCGCGTTGACTCTCTGTTGGGTATCTCGCCCACAATAGCAGATACAGCATTTCTTCAAATTCTGCTCCCCAAAGCTGCTCCAAGGTATATCCGCGATACAGGAGTAGGCCGCGCTCATGGTCACTGAAAATAAATAAGCCAACCCAGCAATGTCACTGTGTGATACTCACGAAAAGCTGATAGCCGAATCTGTCACCGCAGTATTTTGCAAGCCTGGATCATGGACGCGTAATCCATGAGCAACTTGGTCGGCGCGGTTACTTCCAACCGAGTCTGCCTGGATATGTTGCAAATCAGTCGCGCGGATAGCATTTCGATAGATTGGGATTTCATAATTCGCATCAGTCCGTGAGTCGCGGATAAACAAAATACCAGAAGACATATTTCAAGACAAGACTAGCTTATGAGCAAAATAAATCTGGATGGGTTACAATTCTAAAACAATGGCATAAGTTGGTTTATTAAGATCGTATTCGGGGGATATACATACCTATTTCTTAACCTTTGTTTTAGGCATAAGCTGCCAAGACACAGCCAAACGCACACTTGGTCTCACCTGAATGCACCGAGATTACTTCGGATAAGCAGTGTGTTTGGACTACAACAAGGACATACAACATATATAATGTGAATGTTTTGATTGGATTATCAATGCACGTCATATTGGACTTTATTGTTGTTCGTAATAAATCATTATAAACCCTTTCCTTTCTTCCAGCCTTAGCGCTTACTCAGGCATGTGCTTGAAGGGGTGGGCAAGAGATTCCTGACAGAAGGGAAGCTTGCTGACAGTCCAGATCTCAGTGTCCTGTAACAAATGTGTCAGCGAAATCCATGATCTAAAATCCCAAATTCCAACGGTTATGCTTACGGGCTTCAGGTTCTTCTTGATCTCAGTGTCCAGGGTACCAGCCTTGAGAGCGATGATCTCGGGAGCGGCATCTGGATCATGGGCGATCGGGGAGCCACACTCAGAACAGAAAATACGGTGGACAGCATGGCCGGAGGAGCCCTTGCCAGCCCAGCTCTTGGTAGGTCCCTTGATGGTCAGCTTGTCCTTAGGAACAACAGTAACCAGAGCTATCAAAGAGTCAACAATTGCCATTCAATATTGGAGGTAAAGTTCCAGGTATTGCGAGGACTAACAATAGGTAGAGCCAGTTTGGCGCTGGCAGTCGTCACAGTGATCATAAGCAGTGATCAAAGGAGCTTCAACGTCCACGGTGTACGTGACGGCTTTGCAAAGGCAGTGTCCGGAAAGAGGCATATTGAATAGTTTGATTCTCGCAAGGTACTTGGGATATGAGGACCTTCGGGAGGAGGGAAGGGAAGGTATTTAAGGACAGATAATCTCCCTCAACCCTGGCTCCAATGTACAATATGATATATATATTTTTTTGATTTAATTACATATGTAAGAATAGGCTATTGTTTTTGAGCTTTTCAATGATTTGTCAAGTCAAAACTACTTATTCATTCTATATACCAATGTCGGTGAGCGAAGTACCCAGTACATGAGAAACACCCGTTGCGTCATTACTACAACACAAGAATTTTGTTGAGCTCCAGTCTTTTAGTTTCCCTACAAATGAAAAAACGAAAAGAATCCACTTGAATTCCACTTTATTCCAAATTGAATTTAAAACCTCTGCTGACTATGAATTTATTGGTTCACGCAGGCCTGAGAGCTGCAAGGCAATGACAAATAATTGCAATTAATTGTCCCCGCCAGGGAGCCCTTTTACCCCTCCAAGTCATTATTGACATTAGTCCTAGCCACAAGTCGCGCCACTAATGTCGAGTGAGATTTCTCAATGTTTCGACGCACAAAGAATGATGTACCCAACGGACACTGTAATTCAACTTTCTCCCGGAGATACAATCCTTCTGGCTTATCTTTCAGCTCGGGCTCAGCTTCCGCCCCCGTCCGATTGGAGTAGACACTCCATTCATTCCGAATGTGAACCCCCAGAGGAGCATATATATGAGTTTGCAGACCACGGGGTGTGTTACGGAAGCTTGCCAAATAACGGATTCGACCTTGGAGTAAACCTCTAGGGAGGTAATCGAGACGGTCGGTGAGTGTATACCAGACGTTGAGAGGTTCGTCCGGTGCATCTGCTGGCGGTTGGCACCGCTCGTAGTGGATCACCAAAGGGTTTTGTTCAATCATGGCTCCATGATCGTGAAGCTTGTCTATGATTGTTTTCTCGGAGAAAGAAGAGTCGAGAAGTGTGAAGCTGGATAACTCGCTTTGCCTCTGCATTGTGATTGATCAACGTGCAGAAACCAGTTCCTAACAAGCTGCGACTGTGATACCCCGCTAATTGGTATAAGTATTTGTAAATTCCTGTAAAATGTTACGTCGGACAATTATTCCCACAGCTTTACCGTAAAACTCGTCGATCGTCTTGGCAACATGCTCTGTGCATCCAAGGCAACCAAAATAGCGGGACAGGGAACTTTTGGCCCCCTATTACGGATAATTACTCTTAAAATGGATGATAGCCCCAGGGATGATAATCGGACACTTCAAATTGAGCTCTCAAATACCTTTTTGATCTATTTTTGTAACACACATGACATCAGTCATCTTTAAACTGGCAGTAGTAGAATATATTATTTCATTTGTTAATACTTTGATATGTTCAAATTAGCTATTTTACACTGCAGCACGGATTGCTAAAGGCTGCCAAAGCTGCCTCGTCGAGCATTATCGATTCTATCGGCTGCACTCTGCAGGGCTGTCAGGAACCTATCATTGGAGGTCTTAAGGCCCACTTACCTGAATCTGAGCTGCCCTTCCTCCTCGAGGGTTTTGACCGCCATAAGCCAAAGCTTCAGCATGTTGCGCATTCCTTGCCTCGTCTTTTGTGACGAATCCAGGGACATTTGCAGCAGAAATAAGCCCTAACGCTTCGTTATTCTCGGCAATCGACCGAACCTGGGCGGAAACATAGCCAACGCCAGGCGGTTGATTGAATGCTCGACCCTAGGGAACCCTTTGTGTTAACGTTTTCATACTCGTAATATATTTCTACCAACACTACTGACCTCTGTGGCTTGAACTTCGTCTGCATCTGCCAGCGAGATCTCAGTTGATGGTTTCCGCGCTACCTCGTTGACCTTATCTTCAAATTTCATTTGTCTCATTGACAGACTCTGTGCCGTTGCTATTGACGATCAGTCCTGTTCTGCTTATAGAAAGCAAAGTTGACCTTCACCAGCTGGTCCGCCCCGCGCAGGTCCATGCCCTGTCAACGCACTCTCTGCCTGGGAGATGGCTGACACGTCATCTGGTGTGATGCGCTGGCCGCTCTCAGCAGCGAGCTGGATTTCAGCGACAGTAGGAATATCGAAACTCATGATAAATGCAGAGGATTAATGGTATTTGCTGTTTGATTTTCTGATCTCGTTGTGTTGTTCTATATAGTTCGGCTTCGGAGGCAGTGATGTCACGGTGAAGGCATCGCGCTCTTTCCATATTGCCTCCTATCATCGGTGGTGGTGGCGTTTGTCTGCTAAATCCAGGCCTGATGGAACATTCTTTTTGATTGAGCTGAATTCGCGGGGGATGTGACAGACCCCCAAATTTGCCAATTTCCAGAAGGAAATACTCTTTATCACCACAATTACCAAGTCCTGACTCCGTGGAGAGGAGTCTAGACTACGATGAGGAGACTCTGTACAACATACTCGAAGTTGCTCTGATCTTAAAGTAGTCACGAGAAGCTGCTAGAGTCACACTAAATTGCCAATTTTAGTCGTTGACAAATATTCATCGAGCTTCTGGAAATCGTTCCATAGATGACCTGCTACAGTTGCCCCTGTTAGTCCCAGCCAGAGAACACCCAAATGGCCAGTCATAATCCGCAGTAGAGCTTCGGCTTTGCCGCCTCGCCATCGACCACGCTCCAGACGAACAGCAACTGAACACCAACCACATACAGCAAAGGTTAGTCCCAAATTACGTGATTTGGCACGGTGGCTATCTGTGATGTACTGTAGTGCCCCCACCGAATGATCCCCTCGAGGTGTGAACCCATGGAAACGAACCCAAGTCACATAAGTGTGCCCTTTAGTTTAGCCGCGAGTTCGTTCATCAGAGTCCTTTAGATTTCCTGGCAATGAGGAGCTGGGCAAAAACATTTTATACTATCCCAAAGTCGCCTTTACAAAGACTCATGCCCCATTATACGGTAGCGTTTTGTTAATTTGAAAGACTGGTAATTCGGGCTGTAAAGTTCAGGTTTATGTTGGTTCTATGTTGGTTTTCCGACTGGCCAACTCTACAGCACCTTTTGGCGTCATGACACTTCCAAGGTTGCTGCACCTGGTAGCATTTCAATGCATCATTCACTTAAAATAGAGGCTCAAAGTAAAGATTGTGAGCCACTTCCAAGGGTGCTCAATTTCCATATATATACATACTCAACAACCCGAATGGGATTCAAAGTATCAAGCCAACAACCTTAGAAAGACTTTCTATCAAAATTGTACATATGGTCCTGAGGTCCTGGCATTATTCATCACCTGGGCATCAATTTCTATTGAACAGTATAATACATATTTGCTCAATAGTCCTACGGTTGATGCATGTCAATCTTAGAAGGACCCTAACGATGTGTTTCGCCCTTGATATGCATTAGGTAAGCAAAAGAATATATTGGCGGCAATAAGGCGGCCAGCATATGCCAAGGCGGTGTGCCAGGCCATTTGGCCCCCGTCACATGACATATTCATCCATCCAGCCAATCAGAAGCTCGTCATCATCCCGTTACCGGGATTGAGCTTCACAAGACCTCTTTCTTCTTCTACTTGATCACTTTAAGCGACAAAGGGAAACAGGCTAGAATACCGGTGCCGCTTTGCCGCTAGCATGGAGTCTCAATATCAACTTGAAGCCCCAGGCAACACAGAGTATGACATCCAATTCTGTCCTTGGATGCACGCTAAGATGAGATACAGAGTAGTACCCAAGAAAGGAAAAAAGGCGTGCACCCAGTGCCGTCAACAAAAGGTCTTGATTATTCTTCCATAAGTTCAAAGCTTGAATTGACCGCCATAGTCCAAATGCGATGTCTGGAGAAACGAAACTGCTCCGTGTTCCCGCTGCAAGAAATATGGTTATAAATGCACTATTAATGGTGCCTTCACGAGGGAACACAAGCGTCGGTAAGAATTCACAAACCAGCAGAAAGGAGTGAATTCACCTTACGAATCCCCGTTTATAGGCGATTGAACGAACTTGAAAGAGAGAAAGAGCAGTTACGCCAACAACTGCAGATTTCCCGGCACTTGCCCACCGTTCACCCGTCCATTACCCTACTACCGGCACCATCGAGGATGGGAGTCTCGGCTGGACAGAACTCAAGTGTTGTATCAGAACTTTCACAGAGCTTATCATCATCTTATCCTGAGCACCGTTTTGAGCTTACGAATTGCACACCGGGTACAATGATGCAGGGCAATGACGCTACAAAGTCGCGGTCTCTGAAGGGTATTACGGTCACCGGAGAGGAGATTGATGATTTATACGAAATGTATCTCTGTCCACAGCATACTCCGGGATGATCTGTTTGGTTTGTTTCTAACTTCGATCAGATTTTTCCGTCACTATGCCTCATTTCTCCCCATTCTCGATGCGCAAACCAGGCCGGATGCCTATTACGGGCAGTCACCATTCCTCTTTTGGACCGTGATTGGCGTTTGTAGTCGATCATATCGCGGTAACCCTACATTGCAGACAGCATTGGCTCAGGAGGTCACAGAGATGGCGTTCATGTCGGTCTTGTCGCCCTGCGCTCCGTGGTATACGATTCAAGGCATGTTGCTCCTTTTAACATGGCCGTTTCCGAAAGAAAATCGCCCGGACGTGACATTTCCTCTGAGTGGAATGTTGTTACATGTGGCTATGCAAAACGGCTTCCATATCCCGATGTCCAGTCATGAGTTTTCTCGAGTGAAAATTCCAGCGCCATCAGAGCTGGATATGGTCCGACGCTCGGAACTCTGGGCTCATTGTGTTCTTGTGTACCAGCGGTGGGTATTTATGTCTTGCAGCGAGCATCATCTTGCAAAATTAACCGTGCTGATCAATCGAGTAGATCGTGTGTCATCAAAGGTCAATCACCCCGCAATCTAGGCAGCTTGGCACAGGACCCTACCCAACGGCAGATGCTGTTTGATATGATAGCTCCAGAGCTGGCTCAAAAGCTCAGATGCCAGGAGCTGGTTGGAAAATGTAGTGAGGCTGTTCTTGAAAATGGAGTGCGTTCCATGTCGCAGGACCAGGAGGTGGCTTTGGATAAGTTGTTGCGAGCATACGAAGACCAGCTTAATGGCATTGAGCTGCAGGCCGTAGCTGGTATGTTCTACCCTCAAACTTTCCGACACTTCACCTCACTGACGACGTATGTCCTCTGCTATAGACGATGAAAGATATCATCTCCTCCTTTGTCGGATGGCAATACAGAGTTTCCACTTCTACAAGACGCAGACAACGGTTTCTAGCGGATGTCTCCCACGTCTCATAGTCACCGCTTGCAACTTGATAGACTATATCCAAGCCTTGACAGACAGGATGGGATTCCTCTCCATGGCGCCAATCCAAATCGGGTTCGGTCTACTACTTGCATCGATGTCACTCCTGCGTATTCTCAAAAGCAAAGTTGCCTCGAGCGGGCTGGAAACTAGCCGTGCTCGTGCCTCATTTTTCACTGCCATCAATCTGGCCAAACAAATGTCGACTGACAGGACCGATACAGCGGCCAAAACAATCACAGTGTTGAACCAGCTCTGGAATAGTAGCAAAGCATTCCACAAGGCTGATGGCTCGGAATACACTGCTCTTCGGATCCGTAGTCGCTTGATTTTGAGTCAGATCCTTGACGCTGTCTGGTGGTGGCGAGATGAATTTGACCCCCACACTAGTGTCAAAGTACGTGGCGCTGATACAGCCGATGGGAGTACCTACTCGAAAGCCAATGTACCCTCCCGAACAAATGGAGGGAATACCTTCGTGGGAAGTGACCAAACTCGAGAGCCACCCGGCGGTGCTTTGCAGAACATCAGTCCACCGCAAGAACAGTTCATGATGGACGAGGATTTTTTTGCCAAATTTGAGTGGGCCATAAGTGAAGAAGAGTTCCTTTCACTGGGAGATTTCTCTGCGGACTGGTCATCAGCCAACAATTTACCATGAGTGTATCTGAAGACGGTCTCGATTCTGTACCAAGACGTCTGTCCCGGTTGAGGATTGGACTGACACGACTGCCGATCAGGCATTCTTCGATACTATTTGATACCCACGTGCTGCAGCTACCATGCAGACTGATAACGGGCCCTAGTTATATCTACGAGTTAAATAATTGCCGATGGTGATATCGCGGCTAATATAATCTGCATACATCAACCGACTCCACGATTTGACGAGGCCGTGGTGCCGTGTCGAGTTGTCAAAACAAAGATCTCACCGGCAGATCCGAGCCCTTGGTTCAAACATTCTTGTCAGTATCGAGGCGGGATCTATGCTTGCGGGCGGCATTGTACGCGTGGCTCGCAAGATCGCTGCCGTTCGATTGGGTGCCGAGTGGGCCTGACTAGTAACTGCAGCCCTCTGGTTTGATATGGAAATGGTCCGCAGGAAACGGAGGAAATCTGTTCCAAGGAGATATAGAATAAGGCATATGTAAGTTGATATAGTTGTCGCGGGGAATGATCCTCCCATGACCATATCGACTGCACCACTATTCGTCTGTAACATTTGTGAGTTAAGAGTTATTTAAATTGGAAATTGCTTGCAACACGTTGCTCTCTCTCTACCCTTTCACTCTTGTTTTTTTTTTAGCTTTCATTTCCGTGCTTCATTGTCTGCTCATAATCTTATGCATATATTCAAAGTGGAAGGGATCAGATCAAGGGGCTAAAGCCCCTCGGCTCAGCTTTGCCCTCTCGTTCACACCGAGCCTCGGGATTTCGAGGTTAATATGTGTGCTTTGATTTTTGTCACAGGAAGAATTCCCATTGGATACCTCTTTCAGCTCTTTCGTCGGAGATTCAACTACATGTCCCAACCCCTCTAATTCCATACCTGATTACGTTCGATTAATTCAAAGTCTTCGATCGTTTCTCATGTCACGCGATACTATCATCACATGAGATATCTCGCCTCTGTATCGACCAATGGGCAGTAGTTAGTTATCGATTAGCGCCACGCACCCCTTGCAAGTCCGTGGGGCCTCCGGTCTGAGACACACGAAACAAGCCACCACGATACTAACATTTGCCACTAACTCAGCAACGACCTTGTCATTTTCGGGTGATATTGACAGTTAACCGACGCAAGCCCATCTGGAGATCCGCTAGAAAAGTTTCCCCGCATTGTTGAGGCCGGGAGACACGGCTAATATTTTATTTCACAGATTTACATTACCTTGAGTTGCCAGTTCCAGTTCACAGATGTTGCAATGATTATATGGCTCACATATATGGTGATTTTCCGATCTAAAATCGGATTTTTATCTCCATTCCTTCCTATCTTCCGAGGATTATGACTACCGGGAATCGCCTAAAATTGAAAGATAAGACTGGGTTTCCGCCAGTTCCCCCGGAATGTCTTGGCATCGGCTGTAAGTATAACCTTTTTGGATCAAACCATTTTACTTAGCGCCGGAGATTGTGCCGCTGGGTTGAAGAAAGAGATATTATTGGTTGACTATTATTTTAGCTGCAATGTTAGGTGCAATTTTAGCTGTAAAGCTAGGACAAATAGGGCTGGTAGTTGCGCTGTTCATACTTTAGTCCAAGACTTGCTTGTAATGGCTTATCACTAAACAAGCTCTCCGCAGATTTGCCGCATTTTCTTGGAAGGGGTTTGAATCCTTTTTCAACATAAAACATACACGAATAGATGAGGACTCGGATTTTCCATGAATACACCTGAACTACCCCTCGGAGTTACCTCGGATCATTCTCATTCACCTTCGGTTCCTATGGGTTCCTATGGATTAATACAATCAATTTACTTAGGTTTGATTGGATATATGGTGTCTTTGTCCTGGCATACATCTAATTACATATATACATATCACTAATTAGGTTAGTTATTCGTATGTTTCAAGATCTGGACTATAATTCGAGAATCCAAAGTAACCCAAGAAACGCCACAGCTTAGTTCAAATACTCGAAATGCCATATCAGGGGTCTGTGAGCTCTAATCGTGAGGCCAAATCTCAATATCTGAATGGATTGATTGGTTGTGCTTGCGTCTGTCCTTGTTCAGGTGTAGTTCTGGTATTACCAACATGTAATGTACTATGTGTACATATGCATATATGCACACTACCCTAGATACGCTCCCTGCCCCGTGGCTTTTACGCCTCAGTTCGTTTTGCCTCTTCTCACTTCTTCCTCTACATTACTTTCTCCACTTTTCACCTCCGGTCAAATCACTTTTCTCCCTTCTATCCCTAGTGAGTTCCCGCCTTGGTGGGGTTACATTCCACCATTGCAGATAAGTTCGATATATTGCCTTCGATAAGGCGGACGGACTTCCGTCGGCCTCGTGGTGACTCCAGCCTTAAATCACGTCGAGCACCCCCTTCCTTTTGCTTTCCTTCTACATGCCCCCCTTCTTCTCTCAGTGAACCTCACGTCTGTGCTTCACTATTCCATCATGGAGAAGGACGAGTCTGTCGCTGTCACCACTGGTGCCATGGTCGATGAGACTGCACCTGATGAAGCTCTCAAGCAACTCCGCAACCTGAAAGCCCACCACCACTGGGATCCTAATCTTCCCGAGGACGTTGTCGAAGAACTTGATGAGGCCTTGCACACATCTGACGCGAAGACCCAGGTGACCATCGCCCATGAGCTATTAGATAACTCCCCCTACCCTGAAGTCCGAGCTGCAGTTCCCAATCACGATGAGGGTGGGGCTGTCAACACAATTCGTGCCTGGACCATTGGATTGATCTTCGCAACCATTGGCTCGGCCCTCAACATGTTATTCTCCATGCGTCAGCCCTACATTGTCATCCCTTCATACATCGCTCAGGTCGTTGCCTACCCGGTTGGCAAGGCTTGGGAGAAGTTCGTTCCTGCTAAGAGATTCCGTGTCTTCGGTCGTGAGTTTGAGCTCAATCCAGGCCCTTTCACCAAGAAAGAGCATGCAATTGTGGTTATCATGGCAAACGCCACCTTCGGGGGTGGCGCCGCCTACGCGACCGATGTGCTCTTGGCTCAGCGTGCCTTCTACAAACAAAGTTTCGGCTGGGGCTTCGAGATCCTTATGTGTATCTCGACCCAGATGTTGGGCTTTGGTATGGCTGGATTCTTCACCCGATTTTTGGTGCAGCCTGCCGCCATGATTTGGCCCTCGACTCTCATCAACACATCTCTCTTTGCTGCGCTACACGATCGCACGCTGCCAGATCCTAGCAAGGTCGCCGGTTGGAAGATTGGAAAGTACCGCATGTTCCTCTATGCCATGATTGGCTCTTTCTGCTGGTACTGGTTCCCAGGATACATCGCACCTTTCTTGAGTGTCTTCGCCTGGGTAACTTGGATCAAACCCCAAAACGTCGTCATCAATCAGCTTTTCGGTGGTGTAACTGGTCTTTCACTCATTCCAATGACCTTTGACTGGACTCAAATCTCCGGCTTTAACTTCAGCCCTCTCATCGCCCCCTGGTACGCCATCTCCAACACTCTGATTGGCATGGTCATCTTCTTCTGGATTGTTACACCTGCCATTCACTTCTCCGGAATGTTCTACTCGGAGTACCTTCCCATTAGTGACTCCAACAGTTACGCCAACACTGGTGTTAAATACGATGTCCACGAGATCCTTACGCCCGAGTTTACCTTTGATCCTGTGAAATATGAAAATTATTCTCCACTGTTCCTATCCACGACCTTCATGATCTCATATGGTCTGTCATTCGCCAGTATTATCGCTGTGCTCGTTCAAACCGGCCTTTTTAACGGTTCTGATATCTGGGCTCGGTTCCGTCGGGTCGGTAGAGAAGAGGAAGATGTCCACGGTCGGCTCATGGCCCGCTACAAGACTGTACCTTTGTGGTGGTATGCAGGTGTCTTCCTGGCTATGATGGCACTTGGTTTCGGAGTCGTGCTGGGCTGGCCCACTCATATGAGCTGGTGGTCTTTCATTATTGCGTTGGTGATCGCAGCTGTGTGGTTTGTCCCCATTGGAATCGTCAAAGCTTCTACCAACATCGATATTGGTCTCAATGTCATCACGGAGTTCATCATTGGTTACATGCAGCCTGGTCGCCCCATGGCAATGATGCTGTTCAAGACATTTGGCTACATCACCATGTACCAGGGAATGTACTTCTCCCAGGATTTGAAAATTGGTAAGCCCTTCATAATGCCCTTTCCGTCAATTCATTATACTAATACCCCATCAGGTCACTACATGAAGATTCCTCCCCGTGTGTCTTTCATGGCGCAGATGATTGCATGTCTGTGGTCGTCTCTGGTCCAGATCGCTACGATGAACTGGGCTCTTGGTGCTATCAAGGACGTATGCAGCGCGGACCAGGTCAACCATTACAGTTGCCCGAACGGTCGTGTGTTCTTCAACGCTTCTGTCATCTGGGGTGTCATTGGTCCGGCCCGCATGTTCTCCATCGGCCAATTGTACTCACCACTCATGTGGTTCTTCCTCGCCGGTGCCATTCTCCCTGTCATCATCTACTTCGCTGCCCGCACCTGGCCTAAGAGCCCCATCAAGTACCTCAACGCACCTATTCTCTTTGGTGGCGCTGGTCTAATCCCCCCTGCCACACCACTGAACTACCTGTCCTGGGGCATTGTTGGCTTCGTCTTCAACAAGTTTATCCGCGACCGCTGGCGGGGATGGTGGATGCAGTACAACTACGTCCTCTCCGCAGGATTGGACGTCGGTCTTGCGCTGTGCACCATTTTAATCTTCTTGACTCTCAACTTGACCGACACCAATTTCCCATCTTGGTGGGGAACTGACATCGCGGGCGGTACAATGGACACAACAAACAAAGCCATTCAGAACCCCATCGCCCCTGGCGGTAAACCATTTGGACCTGCCAAGTGGTAAGTTATTGCATTTGCTACGCCAATGGCTTGTACAACGAAGCTCGAGTTTCATCATGCAGGATCAGGTGGATTATGGTCAGTGAGGGCTTTTCATTGCTCGGATAATCCGATTAATTCACGCCAGTCACGATATTTTACGACCCCATAATACTATTAACGTCTGTCTTTTCCAATCATATGAAACGAGCAAAGCCGATAGATTCGTGTAAAAATGTACGATGTAGGAAAATGAACTAGCAGTGTGAGTCAGTTATGTCTTTCCGTATAACTAGGCCGCAGTCTGTATCTCAGGTGCGGAGGATACGGCAGCTTTGTTGCACATACACAATTTGATCGCAATGCAAATAATATAGAAATTACAATACATACACTCATCACGCTTCTTATACATGACAGCCACAAGCTTATATCAAATCGGAAAACGACAAGTCAAAAAGAAATTCATCAGTGGCTGCAGTGCCAGCTTGCCCCTAGGCAAATCAGATACGACGACCAATCTCTTCAAATCATGATAGCACATATTGATCCAAAAGATCCAATATAACATCCCAAGACGTTCCATTCCTCCCTAGGTCCAACCTATGTTCAACAGTCTTCCAGAAAAGGATTTAAACTCGACGACGACGCATACCAACGTCCAAACCAAGAGGCTTACGCAGGAAACCCTCACGAGTCTCCATGGGGCCGTCCTGCTGCATCTCAAACTCGAACAGGCGGAAGACAGTGGCGCATATGACAAGGAGCTCCATCTCAGCGACGTTGCGACCGACACAAGCACGAGGACCGTGACTAAATGGGATGAATGCGGCCTTCTGACGGGCGCTGAGACGCTCGGGGGACCAGCGCTCGGGAACAAATTCCTCGGCATCAGCACCCCAGATCTCCTTAGAGCGGTGGATGGTGTAGCTGGGCACAGAGAGGACATCACCGGGATTGAAGGTGTGTCCGCAGATCACGACAGGAGCAGCGCCAGCGGGAATCTCGCGGGGAAGACCCATGGCCGACGTGCTATGGATGCGCATGGTTTCCCAAATGACGTATTGGAGGCTGAAGGTTGTCAGTTTGTTGTGGTTATAATCCAGTGCAGTGGAACTTACTAGGGAATTTCCTTGACCATGGCATGGGTAGGAACTTCGATGTCCTTGGGGATAGATTCGTCGAGAGCCTTGCGCAGCTTAGGAAGCACATGGGGAGTACGCATACACCAGTAGAGGATAGCGCAAGCGGTGTTGGAAGTAGTATCAGAGCCGGCGATCAGCTGGGTGAGCGCTTCGGCAGTAAGTTCGGCACGCTCGAGCTGGTTGCCGTTACCATCCTTTCCTTCCATCAAGCGGGCGAGCAAGTCAACACGGGTGTTGTTGGCCATGACCTCGGGCTTGAGACGTTCATTGACACGTGCAATAGCAATGCCAGCCAGGTTCTCAACGGCCTGGATGCCTTCAGTAAAGAAGCGGTCGGGGAGGTACTTCGCAAAAGGAATAAGAGAGGGCATGCAGCCCAGCGCAGCGGAGACCTCACCACGACGGTTGAGGACCTCGACGGCGGCAACATACTTGGGCGGGTCCTTGGGGTCCTTGCGCATCTCGGCAATATCCTTGCCCTTCACAAGCATGCCGAATGGAGCACCAAAGGCTAAATCACCGATGATGTCAAAGGCAAGATAGTTGAACCAGTTCAGGGCGTCGAGGCTAGCATAGCCAGTCTTGGGGTTACCCTGCAGGTCAGACAGACGCTGCCATTGCTTCACAAACTCCTCAATGTTGCCGTGGATGTACTGCTCGAACTGACCAATGGACTTGGCACTGAAGGTGTGGGCGACGGTTTTGCGTTTGCGCGAGTGCTCGGCACGGTCACGGGTGTTGAACAAGCCACGGCGGATCGAAACGAAGGCGTCGTAGAAGTCACTGGGAGGAGTTAATTGGAGCAATTAGGAATGTGGAGAGTCAACGACGTACGCTTTCAAGAAACCGTTGCCGTGTCCATAGATGCTCTGAATGGCAGCATCATCGGCAACGGAGACCTGGGTGGGCGAAATGCGGACCAACTTTCCATATTTCTTGTGGGCATCGTCGACAGAGATGTACTTTTGGCCCTGGCGAGCCTGGATCAAAAGCCAAACGTTCGTGAAAGCAGCAAACCCGGGAGCGGGAATATCACGCAGATGCGACCGTTGCAGGTATGGCACGAGGTAATAGGCTGCGGCAAGCCCAAGCAGAATGAACGGAACGTTCTCGAGTGTCACAAACATTGTGGGATATGTCGGAGTGATTAGGATTGGACGAAAATATCGCCGAATAGGAGCGGCAACGAGCCGAGTATATGGGTATACAAAGGTCGATCAACGTTGAAGATCACCCTGCAGCTTGGAGGAGACACACCAAAGAGGGGAAGATATATGAAGATGATTGTATGTTCAACAGGGATGCAAGGAGATGCAACAGTAAATCACAGATATATTCAAAGATCCATGATTCCCAAATATTGCGTATCAAGAGTGATATTTATGAAGGGCTTCGTATAGGTAGCAAATCGATCCCCGAGGCAAAGGGTGAAGAACGGGAAGCAGTCTCGGTAGTGTGGAGTAGAGACGTTGGCAGCGTGGATCCGTGGAGAGTGCCGTCTCGCGTGTCCGAACGCCCCGGCTTTCGGTTATTGCTCAGCAGGCAAATCAGCGTCCACGCATTGGTTCCCATTTTTCGTTGCCGTTCGCAAATCATCGATGCTTGATTGATTGAGAAAGTTCCTTTTGCCTCAATGACCGGATGCGTCATCCCACGTGAGGTCTTGATGCCTTGCCTTTAAAGCGGTAGCATGATCTTTCTGCCTGAAGTTCAAGGCTAACTTCGAGGACCTTCGTGCCTGAGATATCAGGCCAAAGACATCTCTTGGAACACATAACTAGTTTACTAGTTTACTAGTTACATACCTATCTATGTTCCTGGACTTATATTTGTGAGTGGTTTCCAAACAAGTTGTAAGTACACATCTCTACTCCTTGTGTGCTTGCTCTCCTAATCCCATGAGCTATTTCCTTATACTAATACCTAGGTAGCATACTCCCAATTCGCGGTAGTCTCAATAGCAACAATCCGTTGATCAAAATCGTATTGTATAAATAAACATATACATGAAATTTTTTCGCCTCATTCCGCTATTTTATCATTCGCCACTCATTAAAAATCGTGGTGGTGACGAGCCTCGTGATCATTGATGCTCATTAGACCCTGAGCTCCCAAGAAGTCATTAATCTGCTTATAGGCAGCAGTGGAGTTGTAGTGCAGGTTAATGCCATGTCCAGTGCGGGGGTGGATGTAGGCAGCGAAAGCGCTAGCCTTGGGGAAGACAGCCTTGACACCAGCAGGGATAGAAGCAGTGGAGTCGGTGGTGTAGGAGCAATCGCCTCCACAGAATGCGATGTCATTTTCGCCATCAATCACATAGACAGGACCAGTGAAAGCGCTCGAAGAAGGCAATCCAGTCATGGTCATGAGTTCACCAACAGTCATGGGCTGCTTGTTGTGTTCGGCGTAGGAAAGAATGCCCTCATCGAAGTTTCCAGGGTAAAAGAAGAGAAACTGATTGGTGCCGATGTCTGAGTTGACCAAGTATCCGCTGCTGTAGCTAGGGCGAGGAGTGGCGGGACATCCAGATGGGTGATTGAGGCTGGCCTGCTGGAAGTTGGCGCCGGAGATGAAGACAGGCATAGAAGCAATACTCGCGGAGAATCCAGTGAGGACGAGACCATCCGAAAGGTCAGGGTACATCGCTGATAGGGCAACGGTCTGGGCAGAGCCGAAAGAGTGTCCAACGTGGACAACCTTAGAGGGCTTCTTAATACCGGAAATGCTTCCGTCGCGCAACTTGCGGGTCAACTCAGCCAAGGCCTCGATTTCGAGGAATGACTGGATCTCGTTCTTTGCATCGCCGTGGGTGGATTTGCCGATACCAAGACGGTCATAGGAGAAGGTGTGATAACCTCGGGACAGGGCATAGTCCACGTAGGAGTAGTTGAAGTTGTGGTAGGGCAAGTCCCAATAGCTAACGTTAATTAGTATATCATCGACAGAATCACACAATTATCCAACTCACGATTTGTCAAAGCCCATTCCATGTGTCAGGACCTGGAAGGTGTGACCACTACCTTCTGAGTTCTTTGGCACACAGTATTGAGTCGAAATGTTATAAAGACCACCTACAGTAGCATAGCCAGACAAAGCTTGCTCAGTAATGTTGACACTTGTCTTAGTTGAAGCGAGAGCAAAGGTCGTAGCATCCAAGTTCGTCTCGGGTGTCTTAATATTGTCGAAGACACCATTGCGGGCTGAGATATCAACCTCCACAGTGGCATTAAAACAAGTCTTAGCAGAAACGACCCCCGCAGCCAAAGCCCAAAGGCCAATTGTTGTAGTATGCATTTTTCTGTTGTGAGTAAGTAAAGTCTGGTTATCTCCGCCCTCAGCTTGGACCTACCTGGAGATGAACTTTATATATAATTGTTCTCCATCGGATACCGGCTAGAGCACATCACAGTAGATTGTAACGAAAAATTCAGCCTAATCATGGTATTTGTCAAGGTTCAAAGAAAACATAGTGGAGTCAAACTAATGCATAGATCGATAGTGCAAGCCCAATTCCCGTCGGGGCTAAGCTTCCGAGAGACTCCGCTTGAACGGGTAAAGAGACAGAAGAATACTCATATAAGTACAATTTTGTAAGTACTGTACAATATTCTAGGGCGAAAGAAAAGTTCGACGTTGTGACGACCTGCTTTCAGTTGGCGATCCCAATATCAAAATGTGCGCGAACGAATGATCGTGCATGATGCATAACGAATCTAAAAACTAAGTCTAAAAGGATGCGGTCCCTTGGGATTTCCAAGGTTTCCGGGTTCAACTACTGCATACTGTCGATCAAAATATAAGACTATGGACGAATTATCACTCACGATCTATGATCATCCTGATCCACTTCATCCGAGCCCTAAAAATAAGAATCCATCGCACACGGGATACGGATTTTGATTATTTACCGCTTGTAAACAATCAAATATGAGAATGTGAAGTCTGAAGGTAGCAAGTGATATGTATGAATCCAAATAACATTTGGATATATCAAGTATGATGTACAATATTGTGTGTCAACTCCCTCGTGCCTCGGCAGTTTCAATTAAGATTGACCCAGGGGTAAGATTAAGAGACACATAGAGTCGTTATTCGGTGAGACAACCGATCAACCCCCTGACAAGTGCATCATTAGCGCGGGACAAGTAGAGATCAAGTTGAGATATATAGAAATTTGGGGAAACGATCTACGAGATTATCAACTAGCAGTAGGTTAAGTTGATGCCTGAAACCGTGGTAATCCAAACATAACCCAGAAAAATTGTCAGTATGCAAGAGAGAGGGTCGACGAAAAGCGAGAGCGAAGACAACAGAATAGCTCTGCAAACCCCGAAATTAATTCCCCTGACAAGGATGCAATCGCTGCGTCATTTGGAATGCGATAGACACAATGTGAATGAGCGTTATAGAGTCATATACAAATCATAAACAGTGATGGAGAGATCACCACCGATCGCCGGTTACAGGAAATAGCCCATTCTTCTTCTTTTCCGCGTCCCAACGCTCCATCCAAACCTTCATTTGGTCTCGGCTCTTCTGGCTACCAACATTCACTGTGGGAATGACCCGCCCAATGCGCAAAGCGCAACAAAACATGGTTAGCTCACGAAACGAACTGTGCTCACTATAAGGCACACCGTAACAAGCGCTTTCCTTGGTGCTCCCGCGTTGTGGGGTAAGGTCTTGGATCGTGAATGGACTCTTCCAACTATCGCCATGTAGAACTGTGGACACGGGAGGATTCTGTAGAACCCGCCCCGCAGGGGGACGATACGTCCAACCCGTCGGGCGGAATCCGACAACTCGAGAAAAGTGTGGCTTGAGACCGTCGAGATATTCGGAGAGTGTGTCCGCGCGAATCTCAAAAAGCGTCTGCATGTGAACTTGCGCTTCGCGGGGATTTGTGGTCAGCATTGCAGTAAGTTCTGGATCCTCCAAGCAAGCACAAATTCGTTGCTTTGGAGGAGTTGCGAAGATCTTCGAACCAAGTGCTCGCGCAATGCCCATACATATTCGCTCCTTGCCAATGCTGTATGTCCCAATCACTACAAGCAGGCGGCCGCCAGTCTGTGAGCCTTTGTCTGCCGCTTTATTGTTTCCCGTCTTATTGGAGAGAAATTTGTTCATCAATTGACCTGTGCCATTCTTCCCTATGTCGATCCCGACGCCGGCTTCTTGGTTAAGACGCACACAGAGCTCCGAGCACGCTGTGATTACATCCTCCTGGCAAGGAAACCCATATTTGGGGTTCAGGTATGTAGTATCGAGATAACATGTATTGATGTGTTGTTGCGTCGGCTTACCGGTAACTGGATTTGTCACATTGGGGCGAAGAAGTGGGTGTTGTACCTGAGCTGGGGATGCGCGAAAGTCACCGCAATGGAGTACCCGCTGCTGGTGTGCACTGGGTCCAGACCCTACAGTCTTCTCAAAAAGAAAAAGAGAGCTGCCTGGGCAGTGATTTGCGTGAAGCATGGTGACCTGTACACCCCCTGTCCCTGGCACCTCAAAGGTGGTTTCAAATTCGAGATCGACAACCCATTTGGGATCAACTCGGAGCTGCTGGCGGACTAGATTGGCGGTAGGACGACTGCAATAGATAGGTCCATGGCACCAAGATTTGCTTAACCCGATATAGTGGTCGCTGTGGAAATGGCTGAGGAAATAGGCGTTACACCCCTCGACAGCCCCATAGCGAAAAGCATCAACGCAGATTGAGAACCCAGGAAGAATTTTGTAGAACGGACATGTCCGCTGATATGCTTGTTTGCCACGCGATGAAACCTCGTTCGCCGCTGCAGTATTCCAAGCTGTATCTTCTGCATTGCCGGCCATCATTTTAGAAAATGCTGACCGTCCTTTTGGTTTCGGTTGCGAATATGGATCACGCTGGGCAGGCCGAGCGATGGCAGCTCGTTCGGCGCGTGTCAGTCCTTTATTGGTATCTACAGGATTCAGGCTGGGGGTTGATATCGGCCTTGTTAGGGGCGCGGCCATGGCGGTGTTGGATTTTCCATCTAGACAGTCATTGACATGCATGGTTATTTCCTGTATAGAGCATGAGCATTTGAGCAAGCCCAAAAAAGAACAATGTGAACGTACTGTTTCATTGACGTCTTTCAACACCGCCTGACAGATGGGACATGTTGTGCTCACTCGATCTTCGACAATTTCTTCCATACCGGAGCAATCATTGTTATCGTTTTCTGGATCTATATCCAAGTCGATCTCTTGGTCCTGCTCCTCGGCCTCCCAAGGCCGATTTCGAAGCTCCTCCGCTATGAGCTCATCTTCTTCTATTTCGTCAAAATTCGTGTGTTCATCATTATCGATATTGCTCATGGCGACGCTTACCGATGGCGGGGGTGTGGGCTCGGAAAGGCATTCTGTTTCTGCTGTCTTGTTCGTTGGAAATGACTCGCAATATGTAAGATCCGTAGTGGCGGCTTGTGTCTCTGGGATCTCTCTGAATTCTACCATATCATCCTCACTGTCCGATTCATCGATGAAAGGTCCGCTTCGGGCCTTCGTGGGTGCAGGCATTTTGGTGGTTTTTGGTTCAGTATCTGGTTTCTGAGACTCATCGGCCGGGGTACTCGGTGAGTCGACCTTCCGCCGCTTGATCGCCGAGCCACCTTCGTTATATTTTTCGTCATCCGCCTTCAGAAATTCTTCATCGTCACCCCAGATGTCGGGCGTTGGCGATCGTGCTTTTTGGCCTGCTTCCTTTGCTTGCTGTAGCTTCGCCAATCCCTTTTTGTCTTCCAAAAAAAGATCCCCATTGGGCTCGCTCTTCGATGAAATTGCTCTCTTGAATGTTGGTGTACCCCGGCCATTGCTCGGTGATCGTGTAGAGGCTGTTCCAAATTGAGTGATCCGAGCCTGGCGAGAAACGGCGCCTGGTGGGGTATCAGTCTTCTGGAAGAAACTCAGAATGCTTGTGTTTCGCTTGGTTGATGATTGCTTCGATCCAAAGGACGGTTTAGACGGTGTGGTCGCCTTTTTCGCATAAGGTCCAGCCATTATGACTCAGTCTAGGGAGGGCTTAGGTCAAGAATTGCTTCGTAGCAGTAGTCAAAGGTACTTTGAATGAATCGAGAATATAGTGGATTGCCGGATGAAAGGCTTGCAAATTGGTCAAATGTACAATACTTCCATGATATGTGCAGTATGAAATGTCAACTGTCCGAAAATCGCGAAAACCGGCGCGACACGAAGTCACGTGTGTCTAATTCAACGCCACTTAGATGAACTTGGAAGTCTAGAACTACTATAGTCACTATATAGAATCCAATTTAATTTGCAGGCCTTAAAAACGTTGCTGGTCATTATTGCAAAGAAAAAGAAATCTAACAAGGTATCATCAATGAACAACGCATCCGAAGTGCCAGCATGAGCCATAGACGGTTGATTCTCCAATCGCTTGCGCGGTGTGTCAACAGGACTTCATGAGCCACTCAAGATAACTTGAGTATCATGGCCACACTCAAGTGATATGGGAGCTTTGAGCATCATATGTTGCGCAATCCCATCCCTCTTTGCCATGGAGGACCGCAGGAAAAGCCCAAAGCCCTTGGTCATAGCATATTCTTATTTTTTGGAGACCACCTAGTGGAATCAGCGGTAATGAAGAGCGCAATACGTGGTATATCGTAAAATCGAGTGTAAAAATCGTTTAGCGAGCTTTGCCAGCTTGGTTGGCCGCCTCTGTGTCAAGATCGTGTTAGTATCAATTCAAGTTAGATGTACGGTCGCAACTCCTCGATATTGTTCAAGAAAGGCAAGAATAACGATATACCACAAAAGATTTACAAGGAAACTCGATGCGCAACTCACCTCGCCGTGTAGCATCCTCCAACAGCCCCACGTCAACCTCCGACCGGGGCAACATCACATACCGCACAACACTGCCTCGAATGAACATGTTCTTCACTGATGAGAGGTGCGGGTACTTGGCTAGGTCAAGCACTTCAACATCGTCGAGCTTGATATTCAGGTACTGGTCGACCGACTTCAGGATACCACGGATGCGGATGTCATTCTTAAGCTCAATGGTGACCGTTTGGTTGGTCAGAGTCTTGAAGAAGCTGGAGGAAAATTGCATTAGTTTCTGGTTAGATAGCAGAGCCAATGCTTTGGGTAATATTATTATACCTGAAGAAAAGCATGGTTGCGGTAGGCAGGAAAGCTTGGAGGGGTGGAAAGAGGAGGTCAACGGCGCTCAAATGAAGCAGGGAGTTTTAAATCTGCCGTTATCAGATGATACAACAGGGTTTTCTTCAATGCTTGAGGGGCAATTCTGGCAATTTGGAGGTAACAAGACAGACAGCACTCTGGAGTTGGCAAGTTGAGGCGCAAAAGAGAAGCCGACGGAGCTCGGTCACGTGCAATGTACCCATACAAGCGATCTCAATGAGAGTTTTCAACGTTTACCTGTTTACGGAGTATACATTCATCAAAATTAAGTGCTTCCTCTTTATACTATTTTCATATGTGTAAGTAAAATAGCACCTCTATGCTCGAAAATATCTATAAAAAGAGGCGTACAAGAGGTAAAAAGTGATATATTTAAGGGGTTATATCTTGACAATACAGACATACATATGGCATCTTCATAATCCAAAATTGGATTTCAAACACAAAGTAAAGCTTCACATTAGGGTACAGAGTTCTCATATCACACTTATGCTTTGACCAGTGTCACATTAGCATTCGCATGGAAATCACGGCTGCTGAATCCAGCCTTGAAAATAAAAGAACCGGCAGGAATACGCCAGTCCTGGAAAACAACATCCCAGTAACTGAGATCTCGACGCATTAACTCAAATGTGACTGTCTTCTTCTCACCAGCTGTAAGCCAGATTTTGTCGAACCCGCGAAGCTGGTTTGGTGGAGTACCTGTAGGGGTCGAAGTGGGAAATTCAATGTACAGCTGTGGTACGGCATATCCATCGACGTCTCCAGTGTTGGAAACTTCCGCTTGCAGGGTATACACCGTCTCCCAGAGAGCTGGATTGCCACCCGGCTGGATAGGCTGTTTCGCCGGGAGAGCGGTCAAGTTGGATGGAGCAGAGACCTTTGCTTTGAGATCTTTGAGGCCAAAGGTAGTGTAGCTCAAGCCAAAGCCAAACTCGTACCGCACGGAGATGTTGTGTGCATCAAAGTAGCGGTAGCCAACCTCGAGCTCTTCGTCAAACCAGCTCTGCCAATCGAATGTACCATTGGTCTCTACGGCTGTGGTCAAAGGTGCGTTATAGTCGGACTCATTGTACGCAATCACGTAAGGCAGCTTGCCTGATGGGTTCACGTCACCATAGAGCACATCGGCAATAGCATTTCCAGATTCTTCTCCAGCGTAATGCTGAGCCAGAATAGCAGTGACATTGGGATGATCCGCAAATGGCAAAACATTAACACCGCCTGAATTTGTGACCACAACAGTGTTGTTACAGTGACTGGCAACAGCATTAACAACGGCATTGCCATTCCAATCAAGCTCTAGGGAGGTTCGATCTTCACCTTCTGCCGCGAAAGACTTGAGGAAAACAAGACAGACATCGGGTTGTTGTGGGATCCACAGTGGTGAAGTCAGAGCCGTGGTAGTGAGCAAGGTGTTGTTCAGATAGGACTGAACAAGAGAGCCATCCTTGCGGGCCCGGGCATTGATAGCATCAAGAGGTGTTGACAAGAATGAGAACCTGCAGGAGCCAGATCCGGAAGAGCCAGCAAGATGTCCATATTCAAAGTCGGCCTGAAGATTGGGGCCTTGCGTGAGTGGACCGGCATTGTTGCCAGCAATCACAATATTGCGAGGTTTACGGAGAGGCAATGCGTTGCGCTCGTTTTTGAGCAGCACGGTCGAGGAAGCTCCATGCTCACGAATCATGGCGCTATGATTTCCCCGAACGTCTCGATTGGTTTCGCCGGTGAACTTCCAATCATAAAGCCAAGTTTCAGGGGCCGAATCGACGTTGAGCGGACCGACAGAGGCATCGACACTCGGGTAGTTGCTGTCTTGGCCAAGCCAGAAGTAAGGTGTCATGATACGTGCGATCATGTCATCCAGACGAGACATTTCAACAGTACCGTTCTGCACAGCTCTGGTAAGGTTCTTTCCCAGGTAGGAACCTTCGGTCCAAAGCTCGCCATAAAGAGTGAACCCTCCAGGCATGGTCATATCCATGCCACTCTCAATAGATGACACGCCACTGTGGGTAGCACCCCAATCCGACATGACATAACCCTGGAAACCAAGTTCGCCCTTGAGAAGATGGTTCAGAAGGTAGGAATTTTGACAGGAGTGAGAGCCATTCAGTCGGTTATACGAGCACATAGCACTAGCCACGTTTGCGCGGACAGCATTAGCAAATGGCCACATATAGATTTCATGCAGAGTTCGGTCATTGATGTTAGCAGAAACTGAATCCTGGATATAGGTGGTCTCATTGGCGTCCGGGGCATAGGTGGGGTTTCGCTGTGTTTCTTGCTCATTGGCGATGAAGTGCTTTGCATTCGCCTGAACGCCAGCATCTTGCATACCATTGATGGTTTCCTCCATGCAAACACCAGTGAGGTAAGGGTCAGCAGCGAATCCCTCCCAGGTGCGACCATCATAGGGACTGCGGCCCAGAGGACCTCCGATGGGGCCCAAGATGACATGGGTGCCTTTGGCCTTGTGCTCTTTGGCCATTGCGTGCGCTCGATCGTACAATAACTGACGATCCCAGCTAGCGGCGGCAGAAACACTGCTGATGAAGACGCTTGAATAATCTCCTTGTTGGACGCATTGAGGTCCATTCTGAAGACATAGACCGGTGAAGTTGAGACGCGGGATAGGAAGAACATTGCCGACACAAGGACCGGGTTGACCTGTTGCCATCCATGACTTTTCTTCAAGCGAGAGCTTGTTCACAAATTTCTTTGCCTTCTTCAAAGCTGTTTCCCAGCCACCATTCCCCGTAATGTTTGCTATTCATTGTCAGATGTCGAAGCCCGAAAGTGAGGTGCTTTACTCACGTGAAGGTAGAACCGCTGGTGAGTCACCATAGGGGGTGAGAATGGTAGTATTTTGTGGTTGAACATAGCTGAATGGCTCTCCTGGGTGGTTGACAGGTGCGTGACACGTATCAGCTGCCACAGATGGAGCAGCCAAGAGCAGGAAAGCCCCCAATAAACCTTGTGACAGCATGGCGACGCTTCCCAAGTAAAATGAAAAAGCGTTTAGATCAGCCAAGCAAAGCCAAGTTTTGACGTCGGTATGCAGGGCACCTTGAATTCTTAAATACCTCAATTTGGGATATTATGTGGCCATCCCACTTTGGCCGACCCCGGAGAGAACTCATTGACAACCCTGGAGAAAGTCTGCAGGGCTTCCGGATCCACTTGCGGGAGACTGGGGACTCGTCTCGAGGGATTTTTGAAGGTGGAGAAGCCACTGCCGTCAATGCTGGGAATCGGAGTCGCGAGACGAAAAATCACCGTCTTTTGGCTTATACACAGTGACCTCGCTGTCGGTATGCCGAGTATGAATCGCACCACTTTCTTTCCCTAGAATACGCAGATGTATCCAATGAAACCCCCTACATTATAATTAAAGAGATTCCTGATCATCGCCGAATGTCGGGGCACCGAGTTGCAAAGTCCCGTCGGCTTTTCTCCAACTCGGATCAACTTCGGCTAAACCCCCACATTCACTCATCGTCACATTCGGGCCTCCACGGGAAACCCCACAGGCCTTCATTTCTGCCTTAAGATGACGTCCGAGGCATTTAAAACACTGGTAACCCAGATCCCGATCAATTTCCTCATCAAACTTCGGCAGAAGCCGCCACACAACGAGGGAGAACAGGCCCGTGTTTGGACCGTGTCGGTTGAGGCCGTGACCGAACGGGGAAAGGATCACCTAAAAATGGTGTCACCGATTCAAAATTGGTATTATTCCCAAGCTGTTTTGTGCCTTGTATGAAGAGGACCAGGGATCAACGCTTTTATCTGGTTTCCGTGGCAATCGAATGCCAAAGGATTTCTCGCTTAGCATCATCATTCGGATGTTTGCCGAACTCGGAATGAAACATTTAGTGATTCTTCTGCATTTTGACAAGACTAGAAATATCGAGCAATCTCAGGCATGGAAGCCAATTCTTTAGCAATGTCGCATTAACCTTGGGGTATGAAAACCTAGGCAAAGGCACATTCTCTTCAAGATATTGGGCGGTGACATGGAAATGAAGAACTGCAAAAGGCTAATGAAAAGAAGGGAAAACAATCAAAAAAGGATCCCAATGGTGTCATAACAGACTTGAACTCACATTATACTACAAATGTAGGAAATTAGGTAATGTATATATACTCTCATGCTGCTTTAATGCCTGCGTTAACAGGGTGATGATTATTTGTTTCTTTTTCTTCTTGGAGATCTCCGCCATAGAACTGTTCATTAGATTAATTGTCAGCCACCAGGGCTGAAGCTAAATGCATGATACAAGGCCTTAAATAGACCCAGTGTTAGACGAAGAACGAACACTCTTAAGCTTAAGCTTCGGCTTCATAGCCCATCCAGACAAGCAGGTCCAGCCCGCACCACTCTTTCTTCCCTCGTCAAACAACGCACCAACGCCTTCAAGCAACATCGGCCTCTCCCGGCCCATCTCCATCCGCAACTTCAACAACCACTGCTCCCACATCCACCCACCAATCAAACCAGTCATGCTAGCAATATCAGCTGTGCTACCGACAGGTCCCTGAACCGCCTCACATTCTTCAATTTGGCTCTGCACGCGAGGAGCCGGAGCCTCACGCAGCGGTTCAGTCTCCACGGGCTCCGTGCCCATGGGAAGGAACATCCAGCTGCGCTTGGTATCACTGAAGCCACTGCTGTGGAGACGCGCCAGGAAGCTCTTGGAAGCAATAGGGTCGTAGCCGCGTGTGCGCAGGTCGAAGGCAAACTCCGCAGAGGTCGCAGCGGCGTATGGTCCTGCGCGCGAGATTTCAGCGTCAAGGACCTGGAACTCAAGATAGCCACCTGGCTTGAGGCATCGCATGCATTCCTCCAGCACGAGATCGTACTCGTCACGGTCCTTGCCTGCTGGGCATTCGGTCTTCAACAAAGCGTGTAAGGAGCGAGCAGAGATGACATCAAACTGGTTGTTGCCAAAGGGGAGTTCCCAAAGATTTGCCACAGTGACCTGGTGGTGGTTTGGCGGACCCTTAATGGCACTGTTCACGGTCTCATCGTTGGAAACAGTGTAAATCTTGGCTTTTGGAAAGTCATATGCCGCTTGCCAGGCCCAGTCACATGAGGAGTGACCGCCGAGGTCCAAAACCCGGAAGCTGTGCCTGCGAGGGCTTTGGTTCATACTGGGCTTCAAGTTTGTTCGTGCAAGGATCTTCTGGGCAGCACTGGTGAGCAAGTCACCGCCATTAAGAGAACGAAGAGCATCCATGGCCCACATGGGTTGACAAAGTTGAGCAAGAACCAGTTGTTCCTTTTCCAACTTGGCAAACTGGGCCTTCTCAGCCAACTCCCATGTGATAACAGAGTTGCGGGGAGCTTTGGCGAAAGGACCCTTGTATGCAGGGCGCTCCGGCCGAACAACTTCATACTTACCAAGCAGGCAGTTGATGTGAAGGTCACTCATACCCAGACGCGTGGACTGGATGGCATCAAAACGCATGTTGCGGTGCATGAAGCCATCCATTTTGTTTGAACGCTTCCGAATAGACTGGAAGCCTTGCCAGTATATTGAGTCCTTGGTGGCAGGAATTGGAGGCAGAGGGCTCAGAGATTCCGGGATATCTGCTGCGAAGTGGACGACCTTTTTGGAAGGGTCCTCTGTGGTATCTTGGGGTTCAACTTCGGCATCCCTAAGCTCTGGTGGTTCGATACTCTCGATATAGTTCATGGGGTTGGTCTCATTGAGAGCGGAGAGGTAAGACGCTTGGGCAGCTAGCCAGAACTTGGTACGGTCGTGGCTTGCAACTGCACGATGTTGAAGTTCCTCGTCATAGCACTCGTCGTACTCATACCCTTTTCCAGAGCGAGGAATCTCCTGGACTTGACCTGTGTCGAAGGCAGAGCTCATCGGGCTATCCTGGTAGATGGGCCGCTGAGTTGGTGTAGCACATGCCAGTCGAATGGCAGTAAGCGGGGTTCTCTCATCACGGACAGCTGTGACCGGGTCTTCATCAACTGCGCGCATATGGCATTCAACAACTTGCTCAACTATTTCTCCTTCATCGCGGTGCCATGGTAAATGGTAGAAGTTCTCTGCAGCGACAGATGATGGTCGACGATTATCTTTGGGGATTGACCAAGTGTGGCGAGCACGGGGCGCAAGCGAGGAAAAGAAGCCACCGGGAGACGGGATACTCAGTTCACTGAAGCTGTATCCAGACAGGGCAGAAGCGGGAGTAACCGCATCGGCACTTTTAGGCCGAGTGGGAGGTTCTAGGAGTTGAGACATCTCGCCGTTTCCCTCGGACGCCTCAGACCACGAGTCAGGTGTTCCATCCAGGCGAATGTGGTGCAACATTGCCAAAGCCGAGTCAGGTAAGCAAACACCTTCGTCGATAGGCTCGGGGGCATCATATAAGTCGTCGTATTCTTGAAACGGCTCGTCACTCAAATGAAGCGATGACGATGGTGCTGGCGAGAGCGGGGGCGAGAAGGACTGAGCAGCTGAAGGGATCTGAGGGAAACTTCCGAGCACATGGCGCCAATCGTGCTCCAAGGTTTCGATAGCGATGGGCACGGTCTGAATATCCGACCTAGCATCCGCGTGATCGAGATCACTTTCACTGCCATCCAGGTCTGGTCGAACACGAATATCATGCAAATTCCAATTCGTGTCAGGAAGGGATTGAGTATCTGGTGTACGCAAACCACTTTCTGGATCTGAAGAAATGCTACCATCGAGTGAAGGCGGCGCATACGATGCAGGTACAGTATGGCTGAGCATCGATAGCGCTGCTGGCGACATTGGAATCTTAGGCGGAGGCGTTGGTGGGATTGGGGAGCTCTTGGCGCCTCCTGTCATTGACTGCCAACCCGTAGGCGATGGAATCTCAAGGGTGAGGTAACGCTTTCTGCTCCCAGTCGGGGTCCCAGTCGAGGTCACCGAGTTTCTGGTAATCGGTGTAACCAAGCTCGATGGCCGCGTATCGGGGGAAAAGCATGAATCGCTGATCTCAGTTCCATGGTCGTCAATGCTATCATCGTCATCCATAGTATTATACAAGTCATCGTATCCCTGGTTTACTTCAATTTGTGATTGCCATTCTTCATCTGAACATGATGATGATGTAGTACCTGCTGAGACCGGCGGCATCAAACGATCCAGGCGGGAGTGTAATGATACTGGTAGCCCGGTGGTTATAAGTTTCAACTGAGGGCTGATGGTTGCCGGCGCTCGCTTTAACGGAGATGAAACTTTTGGACTTTGAGCGCAGTGAGATTCGCGCATATCTTCGATTATAGTATTAAGAACCGTCCCATGGGCCTGCCGTGGGGGCGGACATCGTAGAGTCGGAGACAAAAGTGTGTCGGTCATCTTGAATTAACTCTTGGATGTTGGGTTTTCTTTGTGATCCGTCCCAGTTTAATATATGGGTAGCTCGAATCGTAGGGGAAAGCGTAGACACCGATCAACGGGTCTATAGAAAGACGATATGCAAGACAAGAGAAGAAAACGAAAGAAAAGAAAGAAAGTAAGCACATAAGCTACCAGAGCTAGATGCACATCAAGAGAATGGAAGTCAAGGAAATGAAGAACGCTAGCCTTCGAGTTGTGGCGGTTGGAAAGGGTTTATAGTCGATTGGGCATTTTCCACCAGCCCGGGGGTGTGTGCCATGACCAGCCGATCCTTGTTTCCGATGGGTGACTCCGTTGTAGAGACTACTGCATGATTGAGCACAACTTAACCAATCACTCTGGTCGGGAGGGTAGCAAGCATGGATATTATTGGTGGTTGGGAAATGGGCGCGTCGCTTTGAATAGAAAGTTTCACACTTGAGCGAATGGCCAAGACCAAAATTCGAGCAAGTGTCGAATTGACGAAGGACAAAAAAGCGAAAAGTGACGAATGAGGTCCATTGATTTTGTGACGAACCGCCGTGGGGAGAGATGCAGTGTGAAGGGCTTGGTGATTGGCCGAGGTTAGGCGCCGGGCTACTATGTTTAGCCAAATTAGCGGCCCTTAGTCTGACTGTAACATCAATCATGCATCTTATGCGTCTTCCCGATGCCTGAAGAAGCCTGAATGTATGATAATTAATGTCGCATGATCAAAAAAAAACTCGGGAAGAAAGATAGTAATTGGTAGGAGAAGCGGATAGGTGGAAAAGGTGAGGGGAAATGTGTTGCCAAGTACATAATACTAACGCACTCTAGAGCAAGACAAGTCACTTAACTCAGAACAATAATAGAAATCTAGGCTAATTGACCTTAACATCACACCTTTCTTAATCCACATTAGGGAGAAATTTATATGGGGTAGTAAAAGAAATCATTGACTTTGAGACACTTAATGGGCGCGTAAACTCCTTGATTGACCAAATAACCCAAAATTACCAAGGCTTATCAATATCGAGAGAATTCAACGTGATACAACTTCTCATCTCGGTGGGGTAATCTAGTAGGTCTTTAGAACCAAGCGTTACTATAGAACCTTGAAGGAAACTCGAGGAAGAGCACGTGTTGCGTGAGAGCCATCAATCACCTTTCCTTCCTGTAGACAGTCTTCTAATACCAAATTGGAGAACCAAAGTCTGAGTCACCCCCAGTCATGAAAACCATTACTACTCAAGTGTAGTGCAAGTGGGGGGTTTCGGTGCCAACCCAAGGGTACAACCAATGCTGCGTTGATCAGATGTACCTGGGTAGGCATGTAATCGCAACATATATGATACACTATCAGACTATACGGTGGCGACATAGTAAGCCAGCCTGTCATCCAAGGTTGAGAGTGAGAGTGTCTTGACAATTATATTGGAAAATTTTGATTCAGACCAAGGGGATAAATTCACTTTGAAAATCCGCCATCGCGAACCTCGTTCCTCAGCCACATGTATTGCATTTGCAACACTGTCAAGTCAAATCACTAACCCCACCAACGATAGAGAACCCGATTCTCTTGGGCCAGCTCTGGGCATTTCAACCCCATTCGTGTCTTGATTCATGTCTCGATTCGTGACGGGCCGATTCGGATTAAGATTCCCAACACAACAGTATTTGGCGAATCTCCTGCATGCGGTTTGGAGAAAAACGGGAATTACAGGTCAGGTTAAGCTTATGACAGCGAGAGCGGGACTTCAGACCTCTGAAATTGTACGGAGTACATGATCCACCTTCAGTTGAGGCTTGGAAGCCGAACCCAAATCACATTTGATCGTCTGTCTATAAATTACACCCTAGATAACAGTTTCTTTATTCATTCTTATCGGGTTTCCTGATTGATTTTTTTTATCATTTCAAAGGTTTGAATCCAAACTATGACATTATTGATAACATTATTGAATAAATGACTATATCGCTTCGGAGCAGTGTGCCCCGTACGCTACCAATACCGATAGTGGCCCGCTTTTACAATGAAAGCACGGTCTCGATTATTCGGGAAGCCAAAGGAGCGGGCATTCTAACGGCTATGGAAAATACACGAATCTACCCTTTGGTTCCGAAATATACGATGGGTCTTTGGGAGGCGACGGGGGTAGATATCCATCTCTATGTGCTCAAGGTAAATCAAGATCTAAGCTACACAATCAATAACAACTAAATCAATGGTACCAGCTACTTAAGTAGCTCTCTATACTTCATAAAAGCCAGTTGCGATGATATAAAATTGCCGCTGAGACCAGGATTACCAGATTGGAGGCTAATTGGCACCAGGATTCACCATGTTCATGATTGGCTACAGGGCATAGTTCGGAGCTTCGACGTTGATTCCAACTGATGCTTGCTTCATCTTAGATCGGACTGTAATTGGATTTTAAATTTCTAAGAAAATTCAAGCCCCTCAGGGGTCAATCAGATCAGCAGACCAGATGGTAATTTTTCCTCTTTCGGGATGACCTAAATGGGCAATCCAGCCCTGGAGGTCACGATGTAAGGTGAGTGTCGGTCTGATCACCATCTTCCAGCGATGATCTCAATGGCAACTCGTTTTGCTAACTTTTAATTAAGTCTTTTAATGCGTTGATCAATACGGAATAGTCGCATAGGAGAGGTTCCTTGCAGTGTATATCCACGTGAGACTCAGAGCCCTTATCATTTGCATCATCGATTTTCAACATTTTTGAGGTTTAGTATTATTTTTGTAGAGAGAGAATATGAAATGAAGGGTCAGAGGAAACCAAAGAATGCAAATAAATACAAAGCAGCTGCAAGGACCCTACAATATTGTACTTCCAAGTACGGAGTAACTATATCTAGTACAATCTTGTAACTAGGTATAATCCGGGTCTTACGGTGAAGCCGGGATATCCACCCTTCGCCACTCTGATGTAAACAGCTTGGAGATCTAATTCACTTCTATTTTCTTCCCTATTTTCGTTTTTATACTTGCCCCTCTTCCTCCGTTCATACCCCCATCCCTATACATCATGGCTCCTCCCGCGATCATCGCTCCCTCCATTCTCAGCGCCAATTTCGCCAATTTGGGCCATGACTGCTCCAAGAAGATCGAGCAGGGTGCCGACTGGCTCCATGTTGACATCATGGACGGCCACTTTGTGCCAAACATGACCATCGGATGTCCCGTTGTCTCTCAGATTCGTGGCTGCGTCGACCGTCCTTCCGAGCCCTGCGGCCGGGGCACCTTTGATTGTCACATGATGATCATGGAGGTTTGTTACTCGCAACGGTGTCGAAATTTATTGTCGCAAGCTCCTTACTGACAATGTCTGCTCATTGACAGCCACACAAATGGGTTCGTGAGTTCAAGAACGCCGGTTGCGACTTGTACTGTTTCCACTACGAAGCTGCGGTCTCCTCCGTTGCCGCGACCGATCCCACCGATAAAGAAACCACCGCCCGCACAAGCCCCAAGCAATTGATTCGCTACATTCACGAAGAGGGTATGCAGGCTGGTATTGCGATCAAGCCCGATACCCCTGTTGATGTGCTGTGGGATATCCTTGAGAGTGAAGACCCCGCGGAGCGACCTGACGTGAGTGAATTCTTGCCCCTCCAAGCTCCCTTTCCCCCACTCTTCCTTTTTTCGCATTCCAATCCTTCCCAATCGCAAAGTACTAATCGACAATTTGCAGATGGTCCTGGTCATGACCGTGCACCCCGGTTTTGGAGGACAGAAATTTATGGCCTCGGAGCTTCCCAAGGTCGCCGCCCTGCGCGAACGCTATCCCGATCTGAACATCGAAGTTGACGGAGGTCTCGGCCTGGGAACAATTGACCAGGCTGCTGATGCAGGCGCCAATGTGATCGTTGCAGGTTCGGCGGTCTTCGGCGCTCAGGATCCCGCCGACGTGATCGCGAAGCTGCGCGAGGCAGTACAGAAGCGTCGCGGTGTAGAGTCATTGTAAAGAAGGTGCAACGTACATACAACAAAAAGAGGGGGGGGTTGGGTGTCTTTTTTGCCTCGATTGAGGTGTTCTATTTCATCATTCATCAATTTTTTTTAATTACGAGTTGTGAATGGCATCACACGCGGTATACTGTCCACGATTGGAGTTCTATGCTACTTTACATTGAGCGATCGGCTCACATGCATTTACGGGCAAAATGCGCTGTAAGGAACGAACATTCTTTGTACAAGATTCGTTATCATCGAATTCGTGAAATGCCCCTCAAGCCTACTCCGCCGACTTGGGAATCGCCTGAACGGGTGCCGCATTTTCCTTGGTATCATCTTTCACATCTGTGCCCTTTGGTGAAGCGCCCCTTGGGGAACTAGCCTCCACGGCCTCCTGGGCCTTCTTAATCTCCGCCTGGGTTTCCTGAGGCTCTTCCACAGCCTTGGCCATGACCTCCGCAATGGCCTGCCCCTTGGGCTCATTGGGTTCCATGAGCTCTTCTTTGGTTTCGACAACGACCGCATCGTCAACGAGCGGAGTCGGCACCTCCTCAATCGGTGATCCTGATTGGGTCTGTGCAGCCTCACGTGCTTCCTTGCGAATAGCATCGAGGTTGTTCGTAGAATCTTGAGAGATGGATTTCCTCAGCTCGTGGACACCTTCGTCCTCTGCCGCATTCGAAAGAGTCGGGACCCTGGATCCACGGTGATGTCCCACTAGTCCAAGCATCTCGGCGTTATCCACATGGAAATTGGCGGACGACATGGCCGCGTTCTCGGGCACTAAAGCCGGACGTTTGGGAGTCGGTGAACCAGGCGCATCGTCTGGCAACTCGCATGCGACGGAGCCCCGGTGCGCACGGCTGGCGAGAGGCACCTCTTCCTTGGCAGGCTCCTTCTTATCATCGGACTTGGCCTTCGCCTTAGAGGCAGCCTCGGTACTGGCCTGGCGCAAAGCCAGCACGGCCATATCGTCTTTCTTATGTTCAGGTTTGGTCGCGAGAGGGTTTTGGATTTTAATCGTAGAGGGTTTGGGAGTAGCGGGTTGGGGCTCGGTCTTGGTCTCGGTCGCAGGAATGGGATTGCTGGTAGCCTGCATACCACCGAGGTCCTGCACACTATTTACTACCATGCGTAGTTCGCCGAACTCGTTCCATTCTTCGACTTCTTCTAGGTCCTATAGATGGATGTTAGTGAGGTTGAATAGAGTTCATGGGCCTTATCATCATGTGAAACACAGGTAAAGGAAGCTATCACGTACTCCGACGATATCGCCGTATTTCACTAGACCTGGCAGCTTCTTGCCCTTGGAGCGTCGGCCCCAAAGTTTCCGGGCAGCTTCATCAGTGGCGACATCAATGGCACGGAAGGGGAGCTTGTTCGCTTTAAGGATTGTCTCAATTCGGGAAGTTGCTGTGATGATGTGCGATGACCCCGCGGTCAGGGAGGTGTAGAGATAGAGGGTTGAGTCTGACATGGCGAAATATGAGGTTGCAGAGAATTTGCGGAGAGGAATGTCAATTCATTCAGGTCGTAGATGACCTTCTTGTGAAGCTTTGAGAAATATTTAGGGGAAATTAAAATTCCCCTGGAACATTTATGACGTGGCTTGTATCACGTGGGCGTATTTGACTCTATACAATTCTAACTTCTTTACTTCCTCCCTTGCATATTATACCTTTTGTATATGTAGATTACCCTCTGATATCTCACTAGGTCAATGCTACAGGGTTAACAAGGTTGACCAAGTTGTGATTATATCACATACCCTTTGTACGGATCATTTGCCTTCTTGACCGCATCTCCGGTTGTATCTTAACGGCTACCCGTCCTTGGGACTGGGTCCTAGCGTGGCAACTTGACGTCAATCAACCCGGATTCAGCTGCTAAATCCTGCCAGGTTTTTGAAAAGTCCATTTCAGTGTGGGTATAGGAAAGAGAAACGTGCAAGTGACTGGCTTATGGTTTAATTATGTGCATACAGTTGACCTAGTTAACTACCTTATTTTCGCCTAATGCTTAAGACCCTACATGCGCTGGTAGATCTTTAATTTCGGTTACACGTTCACTGGAGGCATATTAATTAATGCGATTAGATCCATGATTGCATTCTCATATTAGATCGAAGGTCAACTTCCTATATCTAGAAGCTTTTTCATGTAATCGCTATAACGCTTTAACTTGTATGGCAACACAGTGTTATTACCATAGAGATCCGGGTACAATCCAGGACATGAAGTATTCATTCTAGACAGGTGGGCTCTTTAATGTTCCTTTTTTTGAGGCTCCCATTCATGAGTCTGCAGCGATATACTAACCTGTTCCCAGTGACATCAATCATCTCGCATCGTTGAGCTGGGCGAAAATTTTCCAGAATATAACACCACATTCCTGCTATTGATAGCAGAGATCCTAGGGATATCACCTGCTTATTGTATATTGAAATAGCGCACCGTGCTCTACAGATGGGCTCGTGTCTCCTTTGGAATTTCTATGTCACCTTGTATACAAAATTGTCTCACATATCGAGCTTACATATATTGATCAAGCAGCAGGCATCCAGTGGATCGAGTCCAATCAGGTTCTATGATCTTTCAGAAAAGAGCCTCAAAGGGGCACGTCCTACGTTGGAGGTGTAGGGATGACACGCACAGCCAGCCAGCCACCCCAATCATGTTCACGAACAACTAAAGTCAGCCTACCAACACAAAGCTCTTACCCACTTGAGAACCGAACGATGGAGGTTGCATGGCCTCTCTTTGTACATTGACACGTGCTTTTACCAGTCACAAGCCGCAGCAGCGTAATTGACTCGGCGTTTCCAAGCCGGTTGCAATCTGACCGATGGTAGTTCTTCTCACCAGTCGGAAGCTGACCGGAAGCTGGCCAGTTTGTCCCATGATACGCGATCTGCATAGCAAATCGGACTGCATCTGTATGGTTTAAAGGTGCGGGGAGACCAGATATGTGGATGCAACTGTATGGTAGAATTTTACACAGGACATGAAGGATATTGGCTCTTGCAATCCAATACATTCAAGTTTAGGATTCAGTCTTTGCTATGAAATTGTGAATGAGCGTAATCAGCTGAGGCTTAGAATTCGGTGGCTTAATGCAGCTATGGATCTAGGTAGTCTATTCTAGTAATATGCATCGAAATGAGTGCCTCCCCGAGCATACCCGGGAACCTCTATAACTAATAACCGAAGGTAGCAGCGTAACTTTGATGGTTCCCTAGCTTTGCGTGTCATCTACTCCAATAAAATGTCTTTTCTCCAGGTAAGACTTCTCAGTATTAATGCAGGGGTTGGTTGATTAGCGTCTCAGCCATGTGATAGCGGCAGGATAGTATAAAGCCTTTGCATGGAGGGGAGACCTAATAATAACCAGTTTGCTACGTACCATTGAATGACATGAGACTTTGTTGGAATGGGTCAGAAGATGAGAGCAAGTGTCGCGTCGAAGAATGGTACTAGTAGCCGGTCCCTCAAACCACACTGGGCTGTGGGCGATCCATCATTCATCAAAAATCCCCTATTTGCCAGGCAAAGCTCGAGTTGTCTCAAGGAGAGGAGATGATACATCCGAAGTAACATAGTTATTTTACTGTATGTTCAGATTTGTTCGAACTTAACGGGCACCGGATGATCTATATTGACTACATATATAGAGAGTACATTCTAGAATTTGCTCTAACTCTGACCTGAAATGGATATCGACGTTATTTATGCTAAAAGCAAGCGTAGCAGAATCGAATCATGTTCCATGAGCCCAATTATTACCGCTCATTTTACAAAATCGGGGTTGGTCCGTCAGTACTCGCTCACCAACTTACAGGACTATCATGATTTACATGTTAAAATTACTTGTCTAATCGATAGTTGTTATGTGATCGAGAAATCAAGAGAAATTGTAGAGGTCGTAGTACTAATAGTACAAAAACAACCTCATTAATTCCAAAGGGTACATAGACCCTCCCGTGTAGTGATGATTGATCACTACACATGTAGTTAGTGCGTGATGTAGTTAGCCACTAGAGAGTAGAACTCGTAACTTGCTTGGGCACATCCCAAGCATATTCTGCCATATTATAGCTATCCATTCTACAGTAATTTTATGTATAATAAAGAATGTAATTTCTCAGCCAAAAGCATAAAACCAATTGTAGAACTATTTCTAGAATTGCGAAAAGGGGCCCATGGTTCCCGTAAATTGAACCGTTATTGTACGACATGTTGACACGTTTTGTACACATTGTTGCATATGGAGCAGTATAGTCTCTATTCCATGATTGTAATTCGTTCTTCATATCTCGTTGGGCACTCGTCAGAAGCAACTACCGTCGTCATCTGCATGTCCAGAGACAACGTGGCAGCAATGAACGCGCCCGAGCGATCTTAGTCCGGCCATAAATAGGATCCCTTAGATGTTTGGGTTATATTTTCTTTTACTTTTTTCATTTTTCTTTTATTTTTCTTTTGTTTCAATAATTAATTCTGTAAAATTCTTCTATTACTATCGAGGTCTTTTTTACTTAAAACGTACTTGTGTCAGGGCCATCAGCCACCTTTTGACTATACGGCCTAGGAGAGAAGCAAAGCGTTTGTTGGTTGAAGAAAACTGCAGGAAGCAGATAAATGGATGTAAAAAATGAGGCAGCGAACCGGATCACTCTAACTGACCCGAGGCCAAACAGATGTGGCCTTTACTTACGAAAAAGGAAAAAACAAAGAAAGATGATCTACTACATATACATACAGCCTGGGGTAACTACATAAATAAGTCACTTTTCCTTGGACAAGCGGTTACAGCGGGAGTACGAACATAAAACCCAAATATGATACTTGGGAGCATGGCCATTCCCCCGAGGCCCTCTAGGTCTAGACCTGGTGATCTATTTCCATTGTTTGTTGGAGTATAGTAGCCTACTGTTAAGGACTAACGAGTCACCTACATATGTACGCATACATATATAGGTGAAATCTCGTATCTTTGTCCATTCTCATCTCATTGTCGATCAAAACGTTTGTCTTCTTTTTTTCTCTCTTTCTCGCCCAATCTTTCCCTCTTCCCCCAACTTGTCAGATTATTGCATTGATAAATTCCATGTTCTTCCTATATCGACTTTTTTGTATAATTGATTTTCTTTAACCCAAGGTGCTCTAGATCCATGTAGGTTACTACTGTTCATATATACATTTAGTCAAATTGAATCCATGGATGGGTGCTAACACTTCGCAGAACTACACCGTTCTCCATTCATTTTATTACTGATAGATAGTGACTTCGGGGATTGAGGCAGCCATGGCCGGCAATCTGATCCATGACGAACTATTCACCAATGCCATCTCCGGATACCGCGAAGCATTCTTGGTTCAACACTCCCATCTTTCGGAATCGGAACGAAATGAGCTCTGGATCGAACAGCTAAGCCAGTGCATCCCGGCCGCAAACCACCGGATTGAACGAAAGCCCGTAGGGAAACGGCGAGCCAGTGTATGTAAGCCCTGGAGACATTGAATACTTACTCCCACCTATCTCTCTCCCATTTCCCGCGCTCGTCTCTTACCCTAACCACTACATACCCGTGGACGTAGCCTTGTACTAATAATAAGTAGACCTCAGATCACTCAGTCGATCTAATACGCGATCTGTCGATGTCATCCTGTCCTGACCTACCACGGAAACGCTCCTGCGGAGAAACACCTATGATGCGCTCCCAAAGCCAACAACTTCCAATCTCTCATTGGAACGAGCCAGCCGATATGAGCAAACACCAACCCTTCGGCTCAGTCCGGATCCAGCGTCGTCCTTTCCAAGTCAACGAATATTCGCTCCCTCAATATTCTCGGTATTTGGACAACTCCCCCAGCACAGCCTATGACTCAGCCTTCGCTTTCGGGCTTGCAAACCATGGACGGACTGGACCAACGCAACACCCAAAATACTCTGGACCGACAACATCCTGGACCGGCCAGGCCTCAGTAACTGCAACGGATATGTCTCGCAGCTGGACCACCGACTCTCCCTTGGTTGGAGGAATGAACATGTTCACTTTGGACTCGCCCTTGGACTCGAAAAAACCTTCCCATGAAGAGGCCATTGGCTCTATCCCGCTAGAGTGGGTGCCAACATCCACCTCCAGCGTGCCGTCTCAAAATCTCTATTCCTCTCTTTCAGTGCATCCTGACGTAGATCCCACAATGTCCCTCCCCTTCTCCCACCCCATGTCATTCTCAAGCTCTGCAGTCCCCACCTCCATCTTACGCCACCCCATCATCCAAGAGTCCCTCCCTTTTGATGCCGTGGGCACGAACACATCAGACTCCATCAACAGAAATACCTCAGCAGCCCAGAGCTCTCGCGCCACGCGCCGTACCCAGGAGCAAATCGCCCACGGCGCCCGCCCCATCGCCCCAAAGCAGATGCCCTATCGCGAGATTCTCCATTCCGACCGCATTGATCCACACAAGATGGTCCGCATCTCTTCGGCAGATGGCACAGCCAAGGAAGTCGCCGCGATACCCAAGGCATCTTTTCACCGACCCCCACGACAAAAGATATACTGCAATCTCTGCAGTGACCAACCAGATGGGTTCCACGGAGACCACGAGCTGCGCCGACACATGGAGCGCGCGCACGCATCCATCCGCAAAGTGTGGGTGTGTCGAGATATCTCGTCGGACCAGAACTTCCTCGCAAATTGCAAAGCTTGTCGCAGCGGGAAGCGCTACGGCGCAAATTACAACGCCGCAGCGCATCTCCGCCGCACTCACTTCAATCCTTGTCAGCGCGGTCGTGGAGGCGGCGGCAAAGATTCCGAGAAGCGCGGCGGCAAAGGCGGAGGTAATAAACCGTCAATGGAAGTCCTGAAACACTGGATGGTTTTGAAAGAGGAGGTAGTAGACATACCGTCACTGGACTCGAAGGTTCTAGCCAAACCTGCCAGCAGCGTCCAGAGTGTCGATTCTGGCATCGATGTTTTTGCGCCTGAATATCCTGAATATAGAATGGAAGATCGCCTTCCGCATGTGGTTAAGTCAGTGACGATTGACGACTTTAATCAAGTCCCTGAGTTTCCAGCAAGGCCCTTTGAGCTCAGATTCGAGATGGGCCTTAGCATTGGGGATCCTTCGTTGGGTTCGCTGTTTTTCATGGATTCGCAGTCGTCTAATACATCCCCGTCTGTCATGTGAGCAATCGTACTTCTGTTTCGTCTGTTTTTTTTTTGCGTCTATAGCACTACTTTATCAAGTTCTTGTACCGTATTTGGGATTATTAATGGTTGGATCTTGGTTAATATGGAGTATGGTTCTTTTTGGTGATATATTGTATTTTTTGGGGAAATGGAGCAACCAGGTCATCGTTCGAGAGACCGGTACTGATAAGGCAATATTTGAAAATAGTTGTGAATCAAGAACAATACCTCTGTAATCAATGTTTGCATTTCAATAAGAACCGGAAGAACTGTAGCGGGTAGCTGGTACAAGCATCGGGCTTGTTCCATGGTACAGAAAATCAAGTACCGAATACTCAGAAAATTACAGGCAGCAACGTTAAAGGCGGTCAAGTGCCAAGGCCCAACTGATGAGGTGGAAGAACACAGAAAGGAACCTTAAGAATGCTGTGAAATGGTTGACCGCCTTCTCAGGTGGAGTTGGGAAATGGCCCAGTGGCTGGTTCCCCGACCAATAGCGGAGAGTCCAGGTAATGAGAAATGTGGCTGACTGCGTTAGTCGGGCGATAGGGCTGGCAGAACTGTGGCTGTGTGGTCTTACTTTTGTGAACTTTCTCGGTACGGAGTACTTCCTAGGTACTTCTCTGTCTAAATTTCCGAGGTTATCATTCTTTTATGGATTCAAGTACTAAAATATGTGGTCGGATTATAAACGTTCTCAAATAAGATACAGGAACACCAAAACAAACAAACAAAAGTAATTTACTATGAGCCATTCTCGGCCCGTGTGGAGAAATACGTAGGGGATAGGGGGTACTTGGGCGGTACCTCAGCCTTGCGTACCGGAGCACTTGGCGAACAAACTCTCTCTTCGGGCAGACCGGCAAAGTACCTCCCAAGTACCCCATCAATTTCTTTTCTGCAATACAACCTTCAAAAGTAAGTGGCCTAACGCTTTATTTTCTCCTCTTTTCTGACACCCATCTCACCACTTCCCTTTCTTCCCCTTCTTTGTTTGCGATTGCTTCGCTCGCTTACCCCGGTCGATCGTCACAGCAGCCTTCTTTACTCAACCAACCTCTACGGTCCCAGGTACGTTCATATGACCGCCGTGGCGCTCATCCTCTGTCGGCCCTTGCCTATATCTCCCCTAGGCGCCTAATGGCCCTGTCCCGTTGGTTGGACCGTGTCGCTAATCCGTTTGCCGCTCTTTCAGAACCTTTCGCGTCGTCATGTCTCAGTACCCACAATACCAGCAGTAAGTCGTATCTCGACCACCTTCACACACCCGAACGTCAAACTCTGTGGTCGCATTTGGGCGGAAGCTCGCAATATGCGACGATCGAGACCGGTTCGACCTTTGCGCACTTTGCGACCGCAGAAGTTGTTCGGTCTGCAACGAACTTGTCTCTGAGTCAATATGCTGGATTTGGTTCTGATCCTCTTTTTGAACGCAGACAACAGCCGGAGTACCCTCCGCAGAGCTACCCACAGCAGGGCTACCCACCTCAGGGTTACCCACAGCAGGGCTACCCACCCCAAGGCTACCCTCCGCAGGGCTATGCTCCACAGGGCTACCCCCAGCCGGGATACCCTCCCCAAGGACCTCCTCCGCAACAGGTATGTTAAGGCAGATGCAGATGGCTCTGTAGTGATATTTACTCACACGCTCAAAGATGAAATATGAAGATCAGAATACTGGAGGTCAAAACAACAAGTCGGCACCCTGTGGAGGTGGTTGTCTCGGCTCTTGGTAAGTATCGATCATATTATGGACAGTTAGAACACCACTAACATGCATTGCGTTTGTTTAGCCTGGCCGTGCTGTGTTGTTGTTTCGTTTGCGAGGAGGGTTGTGAATGCTGTGCAGAATGCGTCGAGTGCTGCGAGATGTGCTAGGCTCTACGATCAATGAAATCGACGATACGTTTCTTATTGCTGGCGTTGGAATTTCTCGATATGTTCTGCCGTGCTCCAGGACAGAATGCTGCGTTTTCCAATTGCGATGACTCTTTTTTGACCCTTTTCAAGTTTCTTTATTATTGAAAAGAACAGGCTCAAATCTAATTCGAGTTCCTGATCATTGCATCCATGGGTTAATTTGATTTCAAGTGGCTTGTAAAGATGCCGCGTTTTGTTAAGTTCATGCGCATAATAAATTAAGGGTAGACCGATGAATACTTGGCTCCAATAAAAGCCAGCTCTACAGCAATATCTGTCGTAGAATTATACCTGGGCGGTTACATAGATCTGGGAAGCTATAACTTACTCTCCATTAACATGGGAGCTGATGAATTTCTTTGCAAGACACTTAGTTCCTCACCATATTCAATGGTCATTGCCATGTAGGTATATACCAGAGTTTTAGCATTCAGTGTCCTTTCATCTTCCTTTCTTTTGAGGCACAAAGATTATCTTATAATTTGCTATCATTGCGTCAAAGCCGAGGGTTTCCATACATCGACAGCGCATCGCCAGGCGCTCGATCGGCAGGAAGCTAATCCCCTCTCTGTTGCTAAGCGCTTTGTCTGAAGTGTACATTGCTGGGAGATTTGAAACATAAAGCCTATGCGTTTCTCTCTTTGTTTTTACAAAACATACCTATCAATATTCTAAATCAAACTTGGTTCCTTTGGTACAAAGCAACTATACATCGTGTTGCTATCCCTTGGCGATAGTGAAACGAGTCCGATTTTGACAATCACCATGGCTCTACCAACTGAAATTGGACCCAATACCATTTAGCATATGGAGGATTTGCCTGCACTCTTTAGATGGGGGTGGCGTCAGAAGAATATCAAGCCTCCTTATACTCTATTGGAAAATCTTCGTTCTTCAAAGAACCCATTCTTGTCGAACAGACCCCGACGGTGGGTTGTTCTTTTGGTAGAAATTCTCGATATGTGGACCAAGGAATTGTGGAAAAAATGGCAAGCAGACTGTTTGCGAAATGGTGCCCAGAAGAATTGCCTTATTTGGTTCGGAAGGGGGGGGGGGGGGGTAAGTCCTCAATCGTGCTGGAACTGACATTTCAGACCCGAGAATTGTGCGCAGACTGTTCTATCTTCTGGCTTCCAGCTGGGATTTGGCGTCTCTTCGACAAGCATACCGAATTGTAGCCAGTCAACTGGGAATAAGCACTTCCGACCCAAACAGGGAGATGAGAAAATTCGTGTTCAGAGACATCTGAGTAACCCGGAGTCTGGAAGATGGCTGCTCATTCTTGATAATGTGGACGATCATGGTTTGTGGACTAAAACCAAGAATCCAGCATCTGAACACCTCAAGAACTAGCTCCCCGTCAGTGATTAAGGTGCTATTGTGTTTACGACTCAAAGCAATAAGGTAGCCTAGCATCTTGCTGGTGCAGAATCTATCTAAATCATCAAGATGAATGAACAAAAGGGCGCTGGAGTTTTGCGAAATTGTTTAGTGAAAAAAGAGGTCCTTCAAGACGTGGACAGCATCTGGCAACTTCTCGAGCGGTGGACTTATCTCCCGCTGGCCATCTTTCAGGCTGCTTCGTTCATCAATAAAAACGGTACAACGATCAAGGGGTATGTGCATCTTTTGGACGGCCAAGAACAAACCGCCATTGATCTTCTGGGTGAAGACTTGGAGGATGAGGGCTGGTACAAAAGCATTCAAACCCCTGTGGCAATCACATGGCCTGTGTCTCTCCATCAAATCCAACAGAAATTCCCTCTCGTAGATATTTGGTTATCTTACATGAGTTGCATGGCGGAAAAAGATATACCAGCATGCCTCCTTCCTTACGATGGTGAGATTGACAAAGAGAAACAATTGGCGTCCTAATCTTCTATTCCTTCGTACATGCGAAGGAGAAAGAACCCATTTTGAAGATGCATCGTCTTGTGCATATTGCGACAAGAAATTGGCTCACGTAAGATTAAGACTAGAGTCTATGGACCTGATCACCTAGAAAAATCATGTGTATTGTACGCTTTGGCATGTCTGCACTAGAAAAGGCAAGAGTACGAGGAAGGTGAGGAGATATGGATTGACTAAAGCGATCAGGCGTTTTTTGAGAGAATTGGGCCCAAGCAACCAGGAAACCATCGCTGCAATGACTACTATGTGTTCATTCTGTACCGAGCAAGGAAAACTTGTTCATGGGATGGATTTGGCCATGCAAGTGCTTGAAATGTCGGAAAGAACGTTGGGATCGGATCATTTCTTCACAGCCCACATCATGGGCAACGTGCCCGATATATGTGGGGCCATCGCATCTGAAAGAGACTGAAGCATTACTCGCAGCAGCATTTGACATTAACAAACGAAAGCTTGGACTCGAAAATCTTAGCGCGCCAAAAACTATGCACAGACTAGCCAGGACAAAGATGTACGATGGGCAGCGGAAACAAGCTGTCGCTATGATGACTGAGTGTATCTAGTTACACAGCGCTGTTATGGACCAGATCATCGTGCTACCAAGGGTATACTTGACAAATCGGAAGAATGGAGTTCACCAAATTAAGTTGTTCGCATTCACCCACACTACCTACCTTCATCGAGTGACTCGCTTACCATGTTAGGCTAGAGATTGTTAGTCATTCTGGATAATTCAATTTCCTGGGTATTTGAGAAGTGATGAGCTCAAGATTGCCCGATTCGAAAATTACACCAACGTCAAGATATACGGTGGTCCCCAGACCGTGTACCGTCAGCCAACGAATGACTCATTGGTTCATGAACCTCAGGAGGCAATTAAAACCATCTCGGTTGATAGAAGAGTCTCGATCGATGAGATCACGCTTTTTGGCAGCTTAGAGGTCCAGAATATTGTTCCGACTAGCCAAATCGTTTCTTTGAAAATATGGACCTATGTTCGGAGCTTTTCCCTTCCCCTACGCGACTACGCGACCCCCAACTAGTTCAAACTCCACCACCTCGATTCCAAGTTTGTATATAATCCATTGTCATAACATGAGTGAAAGCGCATCAGAATATGCAGACTATCCATTGAATTCAACCACGGGTAGCACCAACTTGTGGCATTATCAGCAAGAGTAACATTCTGTCCCACCGGTTTGATGTTTGATGAAATGGTTTACGCATCAGTGCCAATATAATCAGGCCCAAAGGTTGGGCAATAGAAAGATGAAATTCTCGGATGTCGGAAGGACTCGTACAAGATGCTAAATTAATGGGGTAATAATATTAGAATGGAGGCCGGGCACCTAACATTTTCTATGGCCGCTTCTCCACTCAGCCCTCGGACGAGGCGAGACAAACGGTTAGCCCATTTCCGAACCTTGTATAGGTACTAAATTAAAACAGGCAATTCATTGCGCGCTTGGTGATATGGATGAAGTGACTATGCTAGAGTATACCTATTTTAAATCAGGTTGGTTTCCGAGTATCTCGTTCCCACAGTACATACAATGCCTGGAATAAAATAAATGGAGCCAATCGATCGACAAAGATGACAGCCGATTCATGACCATCATTTCCAAAATGATTTAAAACATTCCAAACAAGCTCAGAACGGTGGTTGTTGATCGGGGCTGATCGAATTCCTAAGAATTTTCTGATCAGATAAAACCTCTAGGGCTCGGTACACCCGACGCCGGGTAAGATCAGATAACTCAGAATTTTTCTTTATTTCTCTTCTACCGTTCCCTGGGTTGCGCGTCAAGCGAGATAATTGCGAGAATTAATCCATGGCTTGAAGTCATTAGAATGAGAATATATCCACAACTAATATTTGATTGGCGCCAAGGGGCCAAGCGAAGCCAAGCGAAGCTTGAAAAGGTCATTCCCGAGGTCATTGTGGACTACGCTTGCTTGGTTCGGTCTAGTTTTCGGATGATAAGATGAGGACGACATCTGATTAGATCTGCCCTGTTTTTCCAAGTGGAGTGAGTGGCTTCAAATGGCTTGAGGTGGGACACTAGTCTCTGGTATGTTGGTTAGGAGTGGATGAAATCTTTTCATTCTCTTTTTCCCTTCAACAAATCACTGGTCAAGGCCACGCAAAGTCCCCGATTTTAGTCGCGTCCCAGTATAGCGTGGTGTTTTGGGCCTTTGATTTTTCCCGAATAGCCGATCGCCGGAAATTTCTATACAAAATATAAGGACCATGCTTGTCCCGTAATTCTATCTTTCGAGTCCATATCTAACTCTTGTCTAATTCCAGCCATGGGTATTCGTCTTTTGGTTCGAAGGGCCCGCACAGTCTTTAGTCGCTTTGCGGCTGATGATGCTGCAAGTGCTTCAGCCGAAACAACTCCAGTAGAGGGAACTACTGTCGAGGAAAGCAAGAGAGATCCTGCTACTGACACTGAACTTCAACAACCTGAGTTGCCTGCTGAAGATCTCCAGCATGGTGTTAGAGATATTGAGGCTATCACCCTGACCTGGTCGAAGAAGACCTTGGCCTTCCTTTTCATTAAGTATGGTTCTTCGCTCCGGTCCTCGACTTATTATCGTCTCTAATGTCGGGACTTTATAGCATCTGGTTCCTGTACTTCGTCAACGCCTTCCAATCGACCGTATTCTCTAGCTTGAGTCCCTATGTCGCGAGTTCTTTTACTGCTCATTCCTTGTCCGGTGTGCCTACTGCGCTCGCTGATGCTTTCTCGGCGGCAATCTACATCCCTGTCGGAAAGATGATGGATACCTGGGGCCGTGCGGAAGGTTTCCTTGTCATGACCTGCTTCGCTACTCTGGGTTTGGTGCTGTTGGCCGCTTGCGACAGCTTTGCCATCTATTGTACTGCCTATGTGAGTCTACTTGGAAGACTTTGTTGCTTCAATGAAGATGTTGGGAGTCTTTACACTAACAATCCTAGGTCTTCTACTATATCGGCTTCAGTGGTATGGAGTATTCCATTGATGTCATCACCGCCGATGCTTCCAAATTGAAGAACCGAGGTCTGGCGTTTGCCTTCACTTCCTCTCCCTACATCATCACCGCATTCGCTGGTCCCAAAGTCGCCGACGAGTTCTACTACCAAGTTAGTTGGAGATGGGGTCTGGGCTGCTGGGCGATTATCTTCCCTATCGTCGCCGCGCCACTGTACTTCATCCTCAAGACCACTCTTCGTAAGGCAGAGAGAGAGGGCCACCGAATCAAGGAGCCAAGTGGTCGTAACTTCTTCCAGAATGTGTGCTACTGGACTATGCAATTCGACTGTGAGTATCATTTTACATTCCAATTCACGCTACAGAGAGCACATATAGAGTACATTACGTATAATTGTGTACTCTCTGAATTTTTCTCCAACAAAAACTAACCTAGAACAGTGCCCGGCGTTGTGATGTTCACTGTTGGCCTGGTCCTCTTTGAGCTGCCTTTCGATATCGCGAGTGAGGCCCCTAACGGCTGGGGATCCGGCTACATTATTGCTATGCTCGTTGTCGGATTCTCGATGCTCTTTATTTTTGGTATCTACGAGAAGTGGGTAGCCCCCGTGCCTATGCTCAACATCGTCTTCCTCACCGACCGAACCGTCATTGGTGCCTGTCTTCTGGATGCTACCTACCAATTGTCCTACTACTGCTGGGCCAACTACTTCACCTCTTTCCTCCAGGTTGTCAACAATTTGACTATCGCAGAGGCTGGATACGTGAGCAACACATTCGATGTTGTTTCCGGGGTGCTTCTCCTCTTCGTGGGATGGGTCATCAGTCGCACTGGCCGTTTCAAGTGGCTGTTGTATATTGCCGTCCCTCTATACATCTTTGCCCAGGGCTTGATGATCTACTTCCGCAAGCCTGATATGACAGTCGGATATCAGGTCATGTGCCAGATTTTTATCTCCATCGGCGGTTCTGTCTTCATTTTGGTCGAGCAAATTGCTATCCTAGCCGCTGTTGACCACCAGCACGTCGCTGCTGCCCTGGCCCTTCTGAATGTTGTCGGTACCATTGGTGACTCCGCTGGTTACACCATTTGCACCGCTATCTGGACAAACACCTTCCCCAAGGCTTTGAAAATGTACCTTCCAGAATCCGCCATGGACAATTTCGAGATGATCTACGAAGATCTTGATACCCAGATTAGCTACCCTATGGGAAGCGAGGTAAGACTGGCTATCCAAAAGGCCTACGCTTACTCTGAGGTGCGCATGCTCTCGACTGGTCTCGGTATCATGGCCCTGGGTATTGTCTGGACTATGATGATTAGAGACATCGATCTCAAGAAGACCGCCCAGGTCAAGGGCACTGTCTTCTAACAGGGTACCTTGTATCAGATGCCGACGGTGTTTGGTTGGAACCTTGTCGCTTCGAGCGCCCGATTGATTTGTCCTATACTTCTTGGTGTGCCCCAACCTCAATTTTTGTCGCCCATCACCATCTCTCCACTTTCAACTCCATATCGTTGGTTGGTTGTCCCGTTCAATATGCCCATCTAGGTCTCTGCGCCTGATGGGGAAACATAAATAGTAATAATATATACCCAAATTTATTCTTGTTCTACTACTACTTCTCTGTCGCTGTTACTTTCGAACTTTTATGATCTAATCCCAGGCTTTCCATACCATTCGCAGCTTCTACAAAGAGCCCCTCTGGTGATTCGGCGATCTGTGAAACATTATGTATTTGATGTAACATGCGTGAGTCTAAAGTTGATTCATAAACAACCTTTGATATTGGAACATTAATCGTCTGCTATGTACTTGACCCGCTGTAATTCAATCTGCATATTTGGATGTAGACTGCAAGCCACATTTTTGTATCAGCGCTTCTTGCGCAACCTCGAAAATACATCGAGCTCTACGGTGATCGACGGGGAAAAGGGTTATAAATATATTTTCGTTTGTTCGCACAAACGGAGAAGACACGCCTTTCTCCCTTTACCACATTTCACATTTCATTTTTTGCCCTCACATATTTCCATTATAAGGCAATACTCTATCATCATTTTATTTTGGCGATAGAATGGAGGTTGGCGTATTTGAAGTGGCCACATATCACGTCCTCTTTCTAAGCCGTCCTCGCTATCTTGTCTTTGTTTGGTTTGGTTTGGTTTGTGTTATATTATCGTGATGAGGTGGATTGGACAGTTCGAGATTCAACAGGGCAACATAACACAACCAAACCAAACCAAACAAACACATGACAGGGGTAGAAGGTCGCAGCATAAATCCCATCGTTTTGTTTTGTGTTTAAATTCCCCTTACCGCATTCATTCAATGCAAAGTCTTTGCAAATGCCCCAGAATGAAGACAATTTCGACTTTGATTATCGAGGGAATTGAGCGGAGACGATCTGCGGCGGAGAGAGCCACGTCGATTTACCCGTCAATCACAACCCACATTCCCGGCCATGGCGTTTACTACCCCTCAACTGCCGCCAAGAAATATCTGCCCCTTGAAGATGGCGCCCAATCTCAAATCAGCATCAATTGCCCGGAGTTACTTGCAGGCTTTAGCCTAGGTGCTGTCCTGACAAGGCTCTGATGCAAGGTTGCATGATCCTACGCAAGGAACGGACGATTACCTCGGCCCCAGTTGTGCCGACATTTCCCCAGATGTTATACTCTTGGAGGGGTCTTCTCTAGCCCAATGCACTCCTCATGGAGATTTTCCCAAATGGGAGTTGACTTTCGGTACTTGGCGTACTCTCGGTAGACATCGTCCTGTAGGAGTAGAGCGATCAACCTACCCTCCCCACTCTAATTCATCTCGGAGCATCCGGTTGAATCGAGATGAAATGAAAAACAAGCGCAATTAGCCGGCAAGGGACCCCTTGCGAGTGCTGGAGCTGTGCGTATATAAATATCACCACATCACGCCGGTTAGCTGTGCTTCATGCATTTGGGATAGGATTAGCGAGCTAAAAGAGCTAGTTGGGCCTATACACAGCAAGATGCTGCGCAAATATCTTCTCTTGCCGCTTCTTGCGTCATATGGTGCGGCTGTCACTATTTCGGTAGCGAAGTCTGGAGGCAATGCCACATCGGGTTTGCAATATGGTGCTATGGAAGAGGTATGTCTAGCACTTCTGCATGTACGAGCTTTATCTCAATTCAGTTGTAGGAAATCAATCACTGTGGTGAAGGAGGTCTCTATGCAGAGCTGATTCGCAACAGGGCTTTCCAAGGCAGTGCTAAGTTCCCTTCGTCACTGGATGCCTGGACTGCCGCTGGGAGCTCATCGTTATCACTCAAGAACCTGACTGATCCTTTGTCTACTGCCCTGCCAACCTCGGTCAATGTCAAAGGCACTGGCACGGCTGGTCTGATTAACTCTGGTTTCTGGGGAATTGATGTTCGCCCCCAGAAATATAGTGGATCATTCTATGTGAAGGGCTCCTACACTGGGTCTTTCACTGCTTCTCTCCTTTCCCCTAGCGGAAAAGTGCTTGCCAGCACCAAGGTCACTTCGAAGAGCAAAGCAAACTCTTGGGTGCAGCATAGCTTTGTTCTTACCCCGAAGAAAAAGAGTTCAGACACCAAGAACACATTCTCATTGACTTTTGATGGCTCGGTAAGATGTGACAATCATACTGATGCATTCCGAAGCTAATTATCAGCAGAAAGCATCAAGCGGGTCGCTCGATTTTAATCTCATTAGTTTGTTCCCGCCCACATGGAATGACCGTCCGAATGGCATGCGGAAGGACTTGATGCAAGCTATGAAGGATCTGGGTCCTGTAAGCAAACAAATTCCACAAAATGCCAAATTAGATGCTAACAAGGTTTTAGACTTTCCTCCGCTTCCCAGGCGGAAACAACCTTGAGGGTGATACCATTGAGGGCCGCTGGAAGTGGAACGAGACAATTGGACCTCTCAAGGACCGACCTGGCCGTGCGACCACCTGGCAATACCAGGAGACCCTTGGACTGGGCTTGGTGGAGTACATGGAATGGTGTGACGACCTCGGCATGGAGCCCAGTGAGTAAATTCTGCTGTTTTGCATGACTTAGCTAAAGAAACATTTCTAGTCCTCGCGGTTTGGGGTGGCCTTGCCTTGAACGGTGACTTGATTCCCGAGGATGAACTCGATTTCTACGTGCAAGATGCACTCAACGAGATCGAGTTCCTCACTGGCTCCGTGGATACTGAGTATGGCGCTTTGCGCGCTAAGGTCGGACACCCGGATCCATGGACAATCAAATACGTCGAGGTTGGAAACGAAGATAACCTGAACAACGGGTTGGAGTCGTACAAGTCTTATCGATTCCCAGCATTCTATAAGGCTATCACTGCCAAGTACCCCGACATCCAGGTTCTGGCTTCAACCATCGATATGACTATTCCTGGAACCGCCGGTGGTGATTATCACCTGTACGATACTCCAGACAACTTCATCAGCAAGTTCGACATGTTCGATAGTTACTCAAAGGATCACCCTATCTTGCTCGGTAAGTTATCCACGCATCCTTTGGGAGTCAAATCTAACACACAAAAAGGCGAAATTGCTGCTACTGAGCCCAACAACGGAGTTGGAATCGACTGGAGCAACACTCATTTCTCTCTGTACCCTTGGTGGATTGGATCAGTGGCCGAAGCTGTTCTGCTATTGGGCGCAGAACGTAACGCTGACAAGATCATTGGAACCACCTACGTGAGTTTCCCGTAGAAGAAGAAAAATAAAAACAAAATACTAACGGATTGCAGGCTCCGTTCTTGATGAACTTGGATAGCTACCAGTGGTCACCGACTATTCTCTCATTCAATTCTGACCCTGACGACACAGCACGCTCAACCAGTTACCATGTCTACAGTGTAAGCTTTTGGTCTACCTAAATATTCAAAGGCGCAACTCACTGACACAAAACGCGATAGCTATTCAACCACAAGATCATGACCAACACCCTTCCTGCCACGTCTCCAGATGCCTTTGGTCCCCTTTACTACGCGACAGGTCTGGATAGCAAAACCAACTCGCACATTTTCAAGGCAGCAGTATACAACAGCACATCTGATGTCCCCGTGTCACTAACCTTCGAGGGAGTTGGCCGGGGTACCAAGGCCGACTTGACCATCCTCACTGCACCCGATGCCTTGACTATGAACGCGGTGGGCGGGTCCAACCTTGTCAAAAGCAAGACTACCCAAATCAAGGCTGGAAAGAAGGGCGAGTTTAGCTTTAAGCTGCCTAACCTGAGCGTTGCTGTGCTTTCTACCAATTAAAAAAAGTCGTGAGCTGGCAGTAGCAAACCATCAGGCAGCATTTTTAGAAAAAAACGAGTCAATCAGAGCCCTGGCCGCTGTGCACCTTCGCAGACGAGCCTGAATATCGAGCATACATCCTTATTCCTTCAGTATCCTGATTTAATTCTTTTTTGCTAGTGGCATTGCTTCGTGTCGCTCGGTTTAATGATTTTCATTCTTGCCATTTTTGCTTCGCCATGTTGCAAGCCTTTATAATTCTATCAAATTGCTTGCGTAATGCACCACCTGTCACATCGATCCTCGCTGCTCCAAGCTTCCAGGCTGCGATTATCTACACTTCCGCTGTTGTCAAACTTCTCTAAACAAAAACAACTTTTTGCTACACCGACGGAGCTTGGGGCCAACCCAATATTCCTGGTCTGTTTTCGACGCGGGCTTACCTCACCGTAGAAGCCTCGCTTATTCCCCACAGGAGTTGTGGGGACGGAATTTGGTATCCTTACTTGCTACCCGCACGCTGAAGTCCTTTCCCACGAGTAAAAAGTGCGGCGACAGTCGCGACGAAGGCAAAAGCCGCGGACGCCATGAAGGACGTCTTTATTCCGCGGTAGTACACCAACCGGGCGGCCATCTGCACGTCCGGGGGAAGATCATAAATGGCCGAGACAGAGTGACGGATCTCGTCAATCACCTAGGAAGATTCGAATTTTGGTCAGCAGCGCTTCAGGGATGGAAATAAATTGATTCGCGCAGGAATAGTACTTTCCATTTGTCTGGTAGTCCACTCAAGGCCTCCCCGAGGCCTGAGTTCAATGTGTTCTGTATGATGGTTGAGGTGACCGCAACCCCCCACACGGTTCCGAGGGAGCGGATGAGGTAGACAGTTGAAGCGGAGACGGCGTGATCTGGAGGGATGTTAGCAGCAAATCCACCGAACGCCTCGGTTCTGGGTTCGGAAAATAAAATCGAAACTCCTGTTGGAACCAGGAGTACAGCTTACCGGAATGGTCGAAGGCGGCTAGGAACGTAAACAGGATCCCCGGGTACACCATGCCCTGACCAAGGTTGGCAGGAATGACGAAGGCGAGATACTTCCATTCAGAGTCATTGAAGCGGAGCAACATAACAAGTGTATTGCCAATAAGCATTAGAGCTGCCCCTGCGCGGACAATCCATGCGAGCTTGCCCCAGCGCGACATCACGATGCCAGCTGTGAGACCACCTAATGGGGTGGCAAGACACGGGATGACGAGCCGCGTGCCGGCCTTGCTGGGCGAGTCCAGCAAAATGACTTGAAACATCAGAGGAAGGGTAAAAAGGTACTTTATTGCGTTAGTTGTGCTCATATGGCCGAGGCGAGTGTACTTACTGCATAAGCCGCCATTCCCACGCAGACGTTGGCGATTTGTGTGGAGACTGGGAGTGTTCCGCGCAGCATTTTCAGTGGAATTAAAGGCACGGCCTTGGTCGTGGCTTCAACAGCAACGAACGCAACCAGCAAGATCACACTTCCAACCAACGGGATGATTACCCAGACGTCGGTCCAAGGAAGAATGTTTCCGCCAAGGCTGAGGCCGACAAGTTGAGCCGAAAGAGCCAAGATGAGCAAAATTGCGCCCAGCATATCGATCTGGTGCCAAATTCCCTTCGGTCGACCATCTGCAGACTCGGTATTGCGCGCTGGGAATTTTAGCACCACGTAGCCCATGCCCAAGGCGAACAGAGACACAGGGACCTGCAGCAAGAAACACCAACGCCATCCGATTGAGTCCACGATGGAACCGCCAAATGAGGCACCACAGATCGCACCAAAGCCGTAGGAGACGTTCTGGATCGCCTGGTACATTCCGCGTTGGCGGAAGGGAATCAAATCGGAGTTGATGATAGTTGCTAGTACAACTGATTAGCGTTTCATTTGTTGGTTTTCAAAACATGTACTTACCCATGGTCATCAACCCTCCGCCTCCTATACCGGTCAAGGCGCGCATGATATTTAAGAAGATGATATCGCGGGCGACGGCACAGCCCAGACACCCGATCATGAAAGTGACAGTTGCTGTGAAGAAACAAGATCGGCGACCCAGCAGATCAGAGAAACGGCCATAGAGAGGCTGGAAAGCGGTGCTCGTGATTAGGTATGAAGTAGTTAACCACGATGCTGTATTTGCAGCATTGAACTCGGAACTGATGACGGCATAGGTCGAGGCCGTGATTGTGCCGTCAAAGCCACCGAGGAAGACGTTTGCCATGATTGCTGTAGAAGGTTAGTATTTCTTGTTTCAAGGTACCACATTCGTGGATGTACGCGATAAACTTACCGATTTGAATCAGGATAAATCCTGCCGGAGGACTCCATTCCGGGACTTCATCCGAGTGCGATTCCAATAAAGGTTGTTCTTCACTGTGTGACGACCTTTCGAGCTCATTATTTACAATCGTATGTCCGTTCTGGGATGCCATGGTCAGGGCTCAATTGCGGATCGGGTAAAGTCAATAAGCAAGATCTCTGGAATGACGAGATCGGAGAATAATAAGACAAAAATTTTCAAGAGACGAATATCCAAGATTTTTCCAAGACAATTTCTTTCACCAGTCAGCGCATTGCCGACGAAGCGGGCACTCGATCGGGTAATAAGAATGGAATATCGCCCCCGCTAAAGTCACGACATATGATGCCAATGTTGCACTATCCCACGATGAACCTTCTAGTTGTACGTTGTACTCCAAATATTAAACAGGATAGAGTCCCATTGTTCTCTTTTTTTCAACAATTGCCGATATTCAAAAGTGAAAAAAATTCACAGTGCAGAATACCAAACTAAGGTTAATGTACCCAATCTTACCAATGACCGGCATCATGGAGACTGATCGCTGGCCCAGTAATCATGAAGCTACTTGAAGCCATCGCTTGCGCTACGGCCTTGATGCCACTGGCTGCCGCAGACTGGCAATTTAAATCCCGAACAGATTTGGCCCCGCCTCGCCTGAACATCACCATCCCGGCAACAAAGGATGTCGAAAAGGGTTACCTCTTCATCGCACCCTTCCCGGGCCAGTGGGCGGAACCTCAGTTCCATGGACCGCGCCAAGAAGCCCCGTACATTGTCCGCGATGACGGCGAACTTGTCTGGTCGGGGTATACCTACTTCTCCATTTGGGCGGCCAACTTCCAGAAGGCTCGGTGGAATGGTCAGGATGTCCTGTTCAGCTTTGAGGGTGACCATAACCCGGGCTATGGACATGGGCATGGCCATGCGACCATCCTCAACCAGAACTACGAGACCATCCGGGAGCTCCGTGCCGGAAATCATAAATTAATGGATAAGCATGAGTTCCATGTGGTCGATGAGAAGACTGCCTTGCTTCAGGTCTATCAGCCTGTCCCGAGAGATCTGACTCGCTTTGGTGGCAGTCCGGAGCAGCAGTGGATTGTTGACGCCATCTTCCAGGGTACGTCGACCGTGAACATGAAACGAACTTGGCTGACTTCACACAGAACTGGACATCCAGACTGGAGAGTTGCTCTTCGAGTGGTCCAGCCTCGAACACGTTTCTCCGGATGGTGAGCCATGATTCATATACCATTGGTGTGCATGGAAGAAGATTAACAGCTTGCAGAAGCGGTCCTCCCTCTCAACCCCGGCCAGGCGGGTGCGGGCTGGAACTCGTCCGACGCGTGGGACTATTTCCACATCAACTCCGTGGACAAGGATACCTCGGGTAACTATCTGATCTCCGCGCGGGATGCCTGTGCGGTGCACAAGATCAACGGCACAACTGGCGAGATCATCTGGCGACTCGGGGGTGTCCGATCAGACTTTGAGCTCGGTCCCAATGTCAAGTTCTGCTTCCAGCATCACGCACGCTTCGTCAAGCAGAGCGAAGACGAAGAAATCATTTCCCTCTTTGATAACTCTGCCCACGGCACTGAGAACCACCGCGGTAGAGAAGTCCACACCCACCCTTTCTCTCAGGGCAAGGTCATTTCAGTCAACACGGCGACCTGGACCGCAGAGATCGTGCAAGCCTTCCAGCCTCCCGATGGTCTTCTCGCCAAGTCCCAAGGCAGCACCCAGCTTCTTCCCAACGGCAACGCACTAGTCAACTGGGGCTCTGAGGGCGCCGTGACCGAGTTCCTCGTCGATGGTACCCCAATCTTCCACGCATACATGGACTCCGGCTTCCTCGGCGAAGGCGTCCAGAATTACCGAGCATTCCGATACAACTGGACAGGTCTTCCAACTGAAGAACCAGCGATCGTAGTGGAAAAGACATCCTCCGGAACAAAAGTGTACGTGTCGTGGAACGGAGACACAGAGACAGCCATTTGGCGATTCTATGCCGTCACAGACCGATTCGGGTCCCGGGCTTACCTGGGCGAGACTCCACGTGACGGCTTTGAGACTTCTTTCGTATTGACTGGACACTCGTATCCAAGCTTAGCGGCTGAGGCGATTTCGGCTACTGGTCGTGTTTTGACTACCACTCGAGTTGCTCGTATTCAGGACGCGGTGTTTCCTCCGTCTGGCTCGTTTGAGTCCGAGGATCGCAGCTCTTGGAGACAGGTGGTTTTGCAGGCTTAGATGTAACCAGGTGGTGTGGTGTGGTGCATGTGTTAAGAACGAGGTGGGGTGAGATGAGTGGGTGGAAAGGCTTGTGAGCTTGAGGCGAACAGTATAGCTGCAAAGATGGCCAAATACAATGTGTAGGATTGATTGACAGCGTCTATGAGTGAAACCTCTAGTTTCCAAGTTTGCGTTACAGTAAACGGCCAAACCAGCCTAATAGTCTGGAAACTCCGAACATTGATTTCGTATCATGCCAAGCCCGACCAAGACAAATGTAGCTAGCCCTCGGGATAACCACTCGATGAGAACATTTCTTGTATGGTACCAAAAGGTTATTGAACTGAAGTAAGATACACTAGTACAATGGTCCTGCTTGCTTGGGGTGTTAAGTGTGTAGGTGGCAAGCCGATTTCGAGAACGACTCCAACTCGCTACTTTGACAGTTCATAATCTTGGCTTGAAAAAAGGTATCGGATAGGAAAAAAATTGATGATTATTTCTGCTGCTCTCAGGCAATATCAAAAGTATGGATTGGGAGTGACGGCGCTCGGATGTGCAGGTATCTGGTGGGCGTTTCATCATACAAGGTATTTCATGTCACCGGGATGGGGGTTATGCATTCAATGCTTTAAGAAAGATCGATCGATAGAAAGAACGTATATTGCTAATTGTCATCAACTCCCGAATCAGACAAAAAGTGAGCTGACGAATTTCCGTGTTCCACAAGCTTACCCAGCTTTCAGAATTTCTGCGTGCTAATTTCGAGAGCTGCCAAGCAAGGCTTGGACAATATGGTCGCGGCCTTTTGTGGAAGCTATGTGAATGGCTGACCCAAGACGACCGCCCTGGATATAAGCATCTGCATTAAATCTCAGAAGCAAAAGAACAATCTCGTGATGCCCTGCTACACACGCTGCTTGCAGAGCTGTCCCAATCTGCTTGCCGATGTCCCCACCATAGATATTGGGGTTCGCATGATTGTCAAGCAAAGTTTGAACAACATCTAGGTGACCAAGAATTGATGCTTCCTGGAGTGCAGTTGCATATCCATCTCCTTCTCCATGGGCGTTAATGTCAACACCCTCATTGACAAGGCATTTTATTATCTCCAAATGATCCTTTCTTGAAATTCCAGAAGCTTTCCCGAGAAATCTACGACCCAGCGTTCATAGAATGCAGGAATGTTGATTTCACCCTGTTTGTCGCGGGATAGTCGTAAGCTCTTTCTGGGGCCCATACTCGATTCTGCTCGGAGAGCTGTGGAAAATTCGCCGGCGACCAGATTGACATTGACATCCCTTTCAAGAAGAATCTTGACAGTTTTCAGGTGGCCTTCTGATGCGGCTATCTGAAGAGCTGTTCCGAGCGCGGCTGGATGAGCATTGACAACAGCATCATGATCCAACAGTGTCTGAATAGTCTCTTGGTATCCCGATCTTGCAGCCGCCTGGAGAGCTGTCCCCTTGCGCTCATCAATAGCGTGGACGTTAGCATTGTTTTGTAAGAGTAATTGAACAATGTCCTGAAAGCCCGAGCTTGCTGCTTGCCAAAGAGGGGAACCAAAAATGCTTCGATGGAAAGTCGACGTCAATACCGCTTTCAATGAGCAGCCGGGCAACGCCCAAGTGATCAGATTATAATGCCCAGTTGAGAGCTGTTCCATCCAATGTATCCCGGGAATTAATGCTAGCTCCATAGGTGAGAAGTTGCTGGACGATTGTCTCATGACCATTGTCTGCCGCGATATGGAGTGCAGTTTGATCATAGTTTGGCTGTTGCTGTCATCTTAGTTTCATCGAGCAAGAATTCCATTACTTTCCTAGGAATTTCCTGCGCTGCGCGGGCGTGATGGCCCCCATTATCTACCGCATAATAGCAGAACCTGTTTTCTCCTGCCTTCATACAAAGCTCGATTTATAATAGTACCACACCAATCATTAAATAAAACAAACTTGTGGTTGTTGAGGTTCCGACTTGTGAAATAATATTTAATATGAGGTGTTTTGAGTTGGGCGGCTCTCTAGCGTGGGCGGCTCGCCTGTGAATAACATTATTCGAATGTCTCTTTAGTCAATACAGAACGTCGACAATCCCTTTGAATCTCCGCCCCGTCACAACTCATCATAGACAACAGTCATTGCTGTGCCTGTGAGGACTCTTGCAGTATTAACACGGGATCCGTACGACTCATTGTATCGTCATCCAATTTGAGTCAGACGGAAGTAGGCAAGAAAAAGGCACTAAGGTCACAATACGCTTTCCCTGTCGCATTTTCTACATAAGGGCGGTGTTGCTAGCTCGTCTCATTCGCCAACTAGGTCAACCGTGGTCATGGATAACAATACCAGTTTCGCGGCCAGCCCATCAGCCACGAGTGAAGCGATTGATCAGTCAACGGTTTCTGACCTCACTCCTATCGCTATAGCAGCTGGAGGGAAAGAGATCACAGGAATAGAGATCTTTCAAAGGACCGCAGACAACACCACGGCAGCCAGGGTGAATGAGCTCGTTTCAGAAATGAACGCAAACAAACCTACCGGAGGCATCGACATGGCATATGGAAATGAGGACACTCAGCGTCTCCGCTTTTGGAAGGCTAACTCATTCAAGGCTTCAATTGTCGTCTTCGTTCATGGCGGCAGTTGGCGATCGGGGACATATTTGGACTCTATTGGTTCGGTCAAGGTTGATCATTTGACCAGCAAGGGCTATGCCTTCGCCACCGTCAACTATACACTCATCCCCTCCGTGACTGTGGAGGAGCAGGTGCAGGAGGTGGCAAATTCTCTGGACTATCTGGTCAAGAACGCGGCTAGGCCATTTGCAAGAGAGTGGTGCCAGTTTCCATACCCACCAGAAAGGGATCTTGAGTACAGTTTACCTTGTTTACAGCGAGCCTACTGGAAGGAGATATATGTATAGAACAGATTTTATACGGTGTTACGATATAGTCCCGCCACAGAAGAGATGTTAAATACCCAAATAACGAACTAAGCTCGTAATCACACACCACCTGCAAAGCCTTATTGGTTTCGTCAATTAATCTATCTGGCTTACATTCAGCGTAAATTACTACGTAGTTCCAGTCCATAGTCGCGACACTACTTCGGGAAAAGCAGTGCTGGTGAAGTACAACCTTGGAACACACGAATATATGTAAATGCTCATCCAGCTGGAGAAAGAAAAGGTTGTGAAAGTGATCAGTAACAGCACGAATTCAATCAGATGATCCCCGCGTTCCGACAAAACTAACTGAAGGTATGCTGACGATAGGTTCATACAGTACTTCTAATATGGTGTCACCATCTACACTCTTGGATTGTTTATTAATAACCAATATAGCGTTGTTATAGTAAATCACATAATTTTACCGTTTCAAGATCGTTAACTCAGAGGGATCCCATATCCTGCCTTTACCTCACAATAGAGGAACCGTCATTTTGGATCATTTTGACTACTGTGCTACTCGTGCTGCTTCCGCTGTCCTGCTGAATGATATATCGCTTGGTTGAATTTCATTACAACAATTTAGGTTCGTCATTCGTGAGATATAGAGCTGCTCTGCCCCTCCTCGGTTGTGGGTTTTTCATCATTGATATTTCCTTTCTGAAGGAGAGGGCTCTTTTCATAATCTGCACTCTTCCTATACAAATCATCGGTGGCATCCTTGTCAACATTACTTGAGCTTGGGATAGGGGCATAGGGGTGCGAAATGCTGTCCCGATCGGGATGTGTTCTGCCTGTTTTGATTGCGCCGTTGTCGGTCACGTGTTCAGTGGTAGAAAGAGCGAAGTCGCCGGAGTCGAAGTAGCGCCGTTCCTTCGAGTTACTAGTTAGTACATATGTACGCATCGAAATAAACTGTATTATAAGTACCTTGGATTGTTGGGCGAGTAAGCCTCCTCGCGGCAGCCTTCCGTACTTGCTGAGATGACGTTTTTCACTTTCAGACAATGGCTAAAAGAATATTGTTAGCGCTTTTGCTTCTAGGTAGGGCGTGAGAAAGACCTACTTCGGGATCTGGCCCCTTGCGTTCTGACTGCATTCTGAGAAACTAGTTATTTCCAGAATATCTTTTCAAGCTCCAAAAGAGATTGCATTTGAACAGGAATAGTTCGGATTTCTGAACGAAGAATTTATGACGTTGGTTATCTTGTGACGTGATGGATTTCTAATTAGCCATTGCTTTTGGTGTCTGGATTGTCAGGCATCTACCACGGTTCAATTGTTTTAATGGTTGGTTGCTTTATAGTTTCGGATCTCGATCCAACAAATAGTCCGGTTGCTGTCTCCCCCAAATGACTGAGCCCACATAGAGTCAGCTAAACAGCTCTTTGCTTTCTTGTTGATCTTTTACTGCCTAGACCTTGCAGAATATTTCGGAAATTCATTTTACCACCTTTATACTCTTTGAGTTATTCGTAGCTCTTGATGCGAAGATATCTTAGTCTGTATTTAGAAAAGGTCTGACATAGCACTATTCCTGCATCGACATCATACAGATTATGCCAAACTCAAATGAATTTATGCCTTATATTCTACTGATTTTAAGTTGGAGAGGCAGTCTGGAAGCTGGAACCACGGATGATGATGTGAACTAACCCAAACGAGAGCTAGAGCTTTGCGATTGTGCAAGCTGTCATATCTCCTTGGGTACTCTAATGTCCAATGACGAGCCATGCGTTTCCTAGACACCAGACAATACTAAACATGATGATACGTCTCCCTGCCACGAATGATAATTTATGACATAGACTAGTCTGAAATCGGGTGTTGTCTACTAGTTCCAAATTCGCAGTATCTTGGATGATGTTTACGGTTTTATTGGAAACGTAAACTCATAATCTATCCAAAGCTTCTGTCCTCCGCGGCAGTCAAGTTCCATCTTTTTTGATGTGCTTGATGGTGAAAATTCGCTTTCGGGGAAACGCTGAGTTGGGCTTCTAGAGCAATTGCTCATCTCAGGCTTTGAGTCCATCTTTGACGGTAGTGAGGGCAGGTTATGATCAAATTCCCACGAATCATACTGCTTTGACTGGTAGATATTGGCTTCACGACAGCGGCGGTCGGAAACCTCAATTCTCTTAGCCGAACTTAACATCGACCAACCCCCTTTGTGAAGACAGAGTTCCGGGTGGCTCGGTTACAGACGCCGATAGCGAACAGCTCACAACCCTAAATATTACAAGTGGATTGAGATGACGGCAAGATGAGAACCGCAAAGTACGAGGGCCGATAGCTGGAATCTCAGAGTTTTGGTGAGTCTTCATTCTCTCCTACTATTTATTATCTCCTGACTAATCATAAGAAGTGGGACTCATAGGAACGACGAGATCTATTCTCCAAATGTTCTGATGACAATGGCACATATAAACCCGCGGCACATCTAACGGAAATGATTGCATTGTTTGGCCCGCCGCCAAAAGAGCTTATATCCCGTGAAAGAGATGGATTAACATATAGATAGGCTCCTGCTGCTCAGAATAATGCGGATGTAATATGCACAGCTACAGCCGAGTAGTTCGGAGGCTCTTTCTTCGATGAATAGGGTAAGAGTCATAAGAACTCCTCTAATATAAGCGCATATGCTTACAATGTCCAAATTAGGCGAATTTCTATATAAGGATTCAATTCCTCGGGATCTTAGTATTGCATATATTATTTACGCACTTGAAGAGGAGGAGAAAATCTTTATCATTTTCTAAAAAGATGCCTTGGTGGCTTCCGGATAAGAGGTATACTACTAAGAAACTCCTAAAAGACCCTTGGCTTAGCGAAGACGAATCAAAGGGAAGTAAGTATATATCTTAAATAGTTCGGGGAGGATTTGTTCGGGGCTTCCTAGAGATACCCTATGGTCATGTTAATTGGATTTGTCCAATTGAATTTGGGCTATCGATGCACCAGAGGGAATGTGTTTATCAACGTCTGACACAACGATTGAAATCAGGTGGGACCCCTGAGTGGAGTCTCCCGAACGAAAAATCTGTCTTCATCTGCATCCCGTCACTAGCAAATAGATGTTAGATTCAACTCGGTAGCTAATGCACTCGATCTGAAACATCCCGTCGCGTATAAGTCAAATCAATACTTAAGGCATAAATAGAGAAATTCGAGGCACAATAAGGAGCATATATACATAAGCGGATGAACGGTCAGCCGAGATGCATAACCCAGGCCTCGGCAGTGAGTGGTCAGTGCCGGAAATAAATGGGGAATCCACCGGGAATAAGGTGTGCATTAAGGATGCGAAGAATTGTGCGTGCCGATAACCGGTAACTCTAATGTATATATAGCTAAGCAGCCATGCCACGTTTTCCAATCCCTTAAATGAATAATTATATACATCACCATGGCGGATATCGAGAAAGGGTTCATCCCCGAAGACGCGCTCAAAGCCCAGGATCCCAATCTCGTTGACTTCGACGGTTCTGATGATCAAGAGAATCCGTTCAACTGGCCCAAGTGGAAAAAAGGACGTCAGCTGGTATTGATGGCCTTCAACACATTTATTACGTGAGTTGTATGGCAATTCCAGGTGTATGCGACGCTAATCGATATAGTCCCCTGGCCTCGTCAATGTTTACCCCTGGAGTCAGCGATGTTATGAAGGAGTTCGGCTCCACAAGTAGCATGATAGGCTCGTTCGTCGTTACTGTTTACATTCTGGGCTATTGCTTCGGTCCCTTTTTGATCGCCCCACTGTCTGAGATCTACGGCCGTGTGCCACTATACCACGCCTGCAACTTGCTCTTCCTCATCTTCACCATCGCCTGCGCTGTCGCCCAGTCCATGCCGCAGCTAATCGTCTTTCGCTTGCTGGCCGGCATGGCTGGCGTCTGCCCCCTGACAATCGGATCCGGTACCGTCGCCGACATGGTTCCCAAGGAGAAGCGGGCAGGAATCATGGCCATCTGGGCCATGGGACCCATTTTGGGTCCAGTCGTGGGTCCAGTCGCAGGCGGCTTTCTGGCTGAAGCAGAGGGCTGGCGCTGGGTGTTTTGGGTGATTGCCATTGCCGTACGTATCCCGTTCTAGTTTGGAGAGATCAACATTAACCATCCATAGACTGGTGTCATGATGATCCTGACTATCATTTGGTATCGCGAATCCTACGCTCCTGTCGTGCTCGAACACAAAGCCGCTCGGCTGCGCAAGGAAACTGGAAACCCAGACCTCCGCTCGATCCGCGATACGGGCAAACTCAGCCCACGACTCTTTCTGACGGCCCTAGCACGTCCGTTGAAGTTGCTCTTCACCTCCCCGATTGTCTTCATGATGGCGCTCTTCGCTGCTATCACTTACGGTTATATGTACCTAATGTTCACTACCATCACCTCCATCTTTGAGGACAACTACGGCTTCGGTCCCGGTGTTGCCGGTCTCGCATACCTTGGTTTCGGTATCGGTTGTATGATCGGACTGATCACCACCGGCCGTGTGGCCAACCACATCGCCCAAGATCATATTAAAAAGGGCTGCTTCGCACCGGAATCTCGTCTGCTTCCTATGATGGTGGGCTGCTGGTTCATGCCCGTCGGTTTATTTTGGTATGGCTGGTCGGCCGAGGCGCACACCCACTGGATTGTGCCCATTCTCGGCACTGGAGTGTTCGCCCTCGGCTTAATGAGCGTGTTCATGTCTGCTAGCACTTATCTGGTTGACTCGTATCTGCGCTATGCGGCATCGGTCACGGCGGCAAACACGGCGCTGCGGTCGCTGGTTGGAGCTCTGCTACCATTGGCTGGGCCATCGATGTATGATGCGCTGGGACTGGGATGGGGAAACTCGCTACTGGCATTCATTGCGCTTGCGATGTGTGCGGTCCCATTCGTGTTCTGGAAGTTCGGCAAACAGATCCGTACTAGCCCGCGGTTCCAGGTGAATCTGTAGGGAGGACATCATAAAAAAAAGTTCGGTTTGCATTTGCATTTGCATTTAAATAGCGGCATTTTCTTGAAGCATGTGCACATATAATATAGAGTAATGAATTAGGCAATAATCGACGAAGTATTCCATGACTATTACATATCCTTGAAGCTTTCCACATTCCACAGCTGGTCTCCCAGATATCGTCTCTATCACCCATCCAAATAATCCCTTGAGAGCAAAGCATTTGAACATGGTGAACCACCGGGCCCGAGGCGCAATTAGAAAACAAACCATTCAAAGAGCCTGTTGACAACTGAAATATTTAAACATTCTTCTTAGAGAATAGATATATTTATCTTGAAACTCTGCACACTCTAATAATTCAACATTATAATCTCGAAGCCATCTTCATGCTGGGGTTGACAGCACAGGAATTATAACACCTGGCATTAGACTGCCATCTCTCGAAGTACTTCTGCAGAGTTCCAGAATTCACATCTCCTAGCTAGTTCTTCATAGGAATCATTGCCATACCCAATGGCTTCAGCGCCTTCGTTAGGGCCGCCGATGACTCGAAGGTTATATTGACCCTGCGAACTTTGATTCATGGCGTCGTACCAGTTGAGTGTTGTCCCAGGTCTTCCAGAAGGTTCTCCAAAAGCAGCGAAGGAAGCCCAGCTGCTGCTCATTTTCGTGGACAGCTTGAGATCCGCTGGTGAGGCCAGGAAAGAGTACCTGGTCTTTGCCTGATTAAAGACATAGGGAATATCACTGAAATGTGGAACACCGAGATAGGGGGTCCCCGCCTCAGCAAACAGTGGAGCAAATAGGGTCTGATTCAGAACGTAGAGATAGTTCGATGTCTTTTTGTCCGAATATTTATGATTCATTTGCACCATATGCAGACTTGGGCAAGAGTCCTGTGCGTCTCGAATCATTCGGCTTGCACGGAAGTACTGAGCTGAGATGTTCTTTGCGGGCATGCCGGAGAAAGATGTAACAGGGTATAGAGAAAGAACCTTATCGACGTTCCCTTCTGAAAAGGCTGGAAATTGAGAGCGAATGAACTCAACGAGATCTGTGGTTGAATTGATCGTGGTTGGGGTAAAAAATGACTGATCATCTTCAGTCCAGCCAGCTATAATGTCAATATCACGAGCAAATCGACCAGTGGTCAAAAGCATAGAAGGGCTGTCAGGAATAAAGGTCGACGGAGAGGTCGGTATAAAGGCATCAAATCCAAAACTAGTAGCGTTAAACTCGTATTCTACCGCAGCTGGGAGCAGTATGTTAAGCGGCAGTTTTCGCAGGCAAGCTAGCTCGGCCTCATTGGTGGAGGATGTGCAGTTGACTTTATTGATGAGTTCACTTGTACGTACTGCAGATATATTGCTGGCAGTGCCTAAGTCTGAAGCTGGGCTGCCTGATTGCATGATGGCCCTTTTGAATGGGGTCTTCTGAATATCACCGCCATATGCGGTTATCTGAAGGCCAACTCCAGTAGCTCCATCACTCTCTCCAAAGACAGTGACATTATCAGGGTCACCACCAAAAGCCGAAATGTGCTGCTGCACCCAAGAGAGACCGAGTCGCTGGTCAAGGAGGCCCACATTAAGAGAGTCCGTTGCGTTCAAAGCGGGTGAAGCAGCAAAGCCAAATACGCCGACGCGGTAGTTCATAGCCACGTAAATCACAGGGAACCCTTGTTGAACGGCGTTAGAGATCAAGGGGCCTGGATGGTATATTGAATCATAAATCTGGCCAATTGAATCTCCACCACCATAGATGTATGCCATGACAGGAAGCTTGGATGTGCTTGATGTATTGGTTGGTCGATCGACACGTAGAGTTAGGCAGTCTTCTGAGATGTGGGTAACATTGTCAAACAGAGCAAGTCCCTGGAGGGGAACCTTCTGCTGGGGGCAAGCTGCACCAGGCCGAGTGGCATTTATCACTGAGCCATACGGATAGCTGTATGGTTCGGGAGGTGCAAAACGATTGCGGCCACCAGTGTCGTGTGCGAAGCGTATGTTGAGGAACGACTCAATATTGCCGGCCGACGCTCCGTGAAAGCGGACTCGATTGTCCAATTCAACAATCGCATGCTTTTTGTGAGGAGCACTTGCGTGACTGCAGGCTGAAAGTAGAGAGAGAAAAATAATTGAGACAGAGATAAGCGCCATCGTTTAGGGACAAAATACTCGGTAGGTTGGCTGTCTCTAGATTCTGAACAAATTGAGAAGCATTCTCCAATAAAGGTTATGGTGGTTTATATATGTTGGACCATAAATCCCGGGCGCTTCTTGGGAGTGTGTTTTCGCAGCTGATACTGAGATAAGATTTTAAGTTGCCACTAAACCGAAAAGAGTATTCACCGCGAAAGATCCTCGAAAGATCCTCGAAACTTGGCGTGACAGTTCCAGCGGGAGGCCTAACCTTGGCCTTTTAGCCCCACACCGCGCCAGGCAGCCCTATAGCCGGCATCTTGCATGCCATTTCGGGACACTGGCCCGTCTAAACAGGGAAATGGAAGTCCCCGACTCTTCAAGCTCTCTACATGAAGACGACTGAATCAGGCGGATTTTGCAAATTTTTGATTGTCTCTACCACCCCACTTCATAGGCAGCAATTATCTCCTTATGCAAGACCATCAGACCCTCAGGCGTGCCATAACAGCCTTCCCATTTACGCCACTCACCAAAAAAAACATTACAATATGAAGGCCGTCAGATCCATTTCGGTAGTGCACTGGATGCGCGACGTTTCTTCATCGGGATGGATTTCAATTGTCCGGACAGGCAGACAACTGCAGACTTTCTTACTTTACTCACCGGTCCTTCCAAGCGTGTTGTTTGTCCAGGATTCAAAAATCATGTTCCTCACATACCCAATGAGGTTGCGGTACGCTGAAAGAATAGTCCAGAGCGAAAATAGTCGCTCATTGAGATTGAACATAATGAACTTGAACAACCTGCTGGTGGCGAAAACTACAAACAGCTCAGTCACTCTCGCGCGGCAGAGAAGTGCAAGGCACCTCGAGCGAGCTGACCATACACTATCTCGATTTCTATGCAGATCCAACTGTGCCTGTGGCGAGGATTCCTACGCCTAAAGGGATATCTAGCTATGATCCTTGCTACTCTAATTCGAAACATCATTCTGGGCCTTGTCATTGCAAGTATCTATAATCTGAAAGATAAAACCGGTAGCTTCTACGAGCATGGATCTATTCTCTATTTCGCCGTTTTGTTGAATGCCTTCGCTAGCGCACTCGAAATCTTAATCATGTGGCAGCAGCGTCCAATCGTGGAGAAGCATGTCAAGTACGCTCTATACCATTGATCAGCGGAGGCTACCAGCGCCTACATTGTGGAGCTTTCTTCGAAGGCAATGCTTGCAATCGTGTTCAACACAATTACCTACTTCTTGCCCCATTAGCGTCGAACACCGAGTCGTTTCTTGGTGTTCTCCCTTTTTCTTTTCACCACAACCTCTTCCGTTGGATAGGCCCAATATCTCGCTCTGTAGCCCAGGTTATGACACCAGCTTCGATTTTCATGATGGTACTGGTTATTTACACTGGATTCATCATTCTTATCCGAGACATGCATCATTGGTTTCACTGACTCAACTACTTGAAGACTTGTTCAGAAAAGAGCGTCGTAGCAGGCCAAGACTTTATTGAGGGAGACGCATACCTCGATACAACCTTTCCATACTACGAGTCTCACCTATGGCGATTTTTCGGTATCCTCTGCATTCTCTTCTTTGCGTTACTCTTCATGTACATTGTTTCCAGTGAGTACATCCGAGCTAAGCCTTCCAGAGGGGAGATCCTCGTATTTCACGCGGCAAAATCCCAGCATTTGCCAAAAGTCGTCAGAAAGGATGGCCCAGAGGCGGCTGTTATGCCAGAGAAGTCTGCAGTGGCCGGTAAAGCACAAGACCGGACTGCTGTTATCGTTCACCAGGCTCCAATCTTCCACTGGGATGATGTGTGCTATGGTATAAAGATCAAGGGCACTCCAAGGCGCATCGTCGGCTGCGTCCATAGCCGGGTAAAGCCTGGAACATTGACGGCCCTGATGGGTGTGACAGGTGCTGGAAATATATCCTTGCTTGACCTTTAGCTCGCTGTGTCACGATGGGCTTTATCACTGGAGACAGTTCGATCGATGGCCGACCCGCGCGATAACTGGTTCCAACGAAACACAGGATATTCTGAATAGCAAGACCTGCAACTCGAGACTAATATTGTTTGCGAAAATTTGGGTTTCAGTGCTCTTCTGCGTCAACCTGCCGATATGTCACGTTAGGATAGTATTTCCACACGCTGAAGAGATTATCCAGATGCTGGTATGGGGGATCATGCAAATGCCGTAATTAGGGTTCTCGACGAAGGACTGAATGTGGAGCAACGCAAACTTCGGACTATCGGCGTAGAGCTCGCAAAAAAGCCGGATCTGTTGCTTTTTTTTTGATGAATCGACCTCGGGCACGGACAGTCAGACGGCTTGGTCAATCTGTACTCTGATGCGGAACTTAGCCTATCATGGGCAAGCTGTGCTGTGTACAATTCACCAACCTTCGGCTCTTCTGATGCAGCAGTTTGATCGGTTACTATTCCTAGCTAAAGGAGACCGGACTGTGTACTTTGGTGAACTCGGCCAAAATATGGAAACTTTGATCAAATATTTTGAAAACAAGGGATCTTTCAAATGTCTACAGAATGTGAATCCCGCCGATTTCATGCTGGAAGTCATTGGTGCAGTGCCTGGCTCTCATGCAGATAGAGACTGGGCCGACGAATGGCACCATAGTGCTGAACGTGTTGAGTTTCACCGTCAGTTGGACTAGATGAAAGAGGAATTGGTGAAGAAGCTCGTGCCATCTCGGAGCACATGGTATGGAGAGTTTGCCATGCCGATTCGGTATCAGTTCCTGCTCTGAATTCCCCCTCATGTAACAGCAATATTGAAGATATCCCGGATATCTCTACTCTAAGGCCGCCGTGTGCATATTTCCTGCGAGTGATGATGCTTCGAATGCGGGTGTTTTAAGTGACAATCATAGCCTCTGTTCATGGGTTTCACTTTCTGGCACATGCCCACTAGTCTGCAAGGGCTGCAAAACCAGATGTCTGTAATATTCATGCTGCTCATCATCTTTCCCAATCTCGTTCAGCAAATGAAGCTAAATTTCGTGACACAGCGTGCGTTGTATGGAGTCCGAGAACGGCCCTCCAAGGTGTTCTCATGAAAGGCGTTCACATTAGCTAGTATCTTCACCGAACTGCGGTAGAATATCTTGATGTCGGTGCCTATCTTCTTCTCGTGGTATTATCCGATCGGGCTCTATCACAATGCGGAGCCAACGGACGCATTTGTCGAACGGAGCGGTGTTCTTTTCTAATCATTTCAACATTCATGATGTTCACGTCGACTTTCAGTTCCATAATTATTGCTAGGATTGAGCTACCAGAGACTGGCAGCAACGTTGCGCAGCTGATGTACTCGCTGTGACTGGTCTTCAATGGGTATGTGCTCTTTGTACATCCAAACAATTGGAACCAATTCAATCAGGTTTCTTTACGTTTAATTGCGAGCGCGTCTGATCTTTCTCAATTCTGGGTGTTCATGTATCTCATCCCCCCATTCACATATCTTGTGGCTGGGGTGCTTTCAATTGGCCTGACAGGAACCGAGGTAGATTGTTCCAACATTGAATTACTCGCAATCACATCCCCGGGGGCAGAATTGCTCCAGCTACCTGGATCCTTACGTGACCGCTCTCCATGAAAAACTGCTCAATCCAGAAGCATCGACAGACTGCAAGATCTGCTCGATATCGAGCACAGACCAGTTTTTTGCTGCTCTCAACATGTACTACTCGGACCATTGGCGCAACGTCGGGATCATGGTTGCCTATGTTGGATTCAATGTGGCTGCTGCAGTATTCCTCTACTGGCTGTTCCGGGTCCCCAAACACTAGTCGCGACAGGTCAAACGGACCTGAACACAGCCTTGTCATCTGGTCTGGGGGCGAAATTTTCTAAAATTGCTTCCAATGCCTCATTGAATTTCGATATTTCGGCAGTTTAACTATTTCCAACTTAGGATCTGCTAATCTAATTTTTAAATGATCAATGTTGGGACAAGGAACGATGTTATGCGTTGTGGGTTCATCGCGGACCAGTCAACCCCTGAACATCAGGCCACACAAACAGCCGGTGGATCCAGCATGTTTGTTATAACACCGGTCTATCAAATCTAGATTGCAGGGACTTTTGAGTCCAATAGTACAAGATGCCCCAGCTATTAGATCGAAAAGCCTGCAGGGGGTTATTATCATGACTTACGATCCTGCGATCAGCCACATACTGCAGCAGTGTGCATGCAGAAAAGGAAATCGAATTAAAAGAAATTAAATGCACATTGAGTAAACGCTTCAAGGAACATTCAGCTACTGGCATGTCCTCAGAGGTCGATCACATCCTTGAACGATCACTTAGTGTGCTGTCAGTTCACTGTCAGTCTGACCTAGCAACGCTAATAATACAAGTCAGGTAAGTCATGAGCAAAAGAAAAAGAATAAAAAAGGAAGTGATCAGCAACAGGCTAGGTCAAATTAGCTGTGCAAAAGCCACTGAGAGAAGTGAATATAATTTGTCATGGCAGATTTGGGGTCCAATTCTAAACCAACTAATCACATTGCACAATACATACTTTGTATACGAGAATATATCAAATGTAATTAGCAGTGCGATCTCCCCATTATCACATGCTGCTCAGCTTCGCTTTCATGCCCTTTATAGCATATGAAGGTATAAAGTAGATACATCTTGGACCTACCATAACGTACATGACATAGCACTGCGCTGCTTACTGCATTAGTTTTACACTCGAAAAACCATTATAGGCCTATTTAGTCCTTTTCTCCCACCTCGCCAATGTATCAAGCCGATGACCGGCTCCACTCCACCTAAACCCGGTCGGAAGAACATATCCACCATCCTATTTCCCGTTCAAATCTACAGGCTTGATGGCTCACTAGTTAGGCTGTTTTTGAGGCTCAATTTGCCCGGGTTGCACCTTTGGCACGGTCAAGCCGTTACGGTTTAGCACTCTTAATCTAGCACTCAATTGCCCACTAATATCGTTCGAAGGGAGCAGGCCAAAGGTCTTTAATTTATGACCGGACATGTCCGGTCAGATTGAAGCTTTTCTTATCTCCTCTCCCTCTACATTTCTGCTACATTCCAACTTGCTTATATTTGAATCTTCCCAAGCGACCTCCCAATTATGCATTCCTACCTTCATTCCCCAGGCCAACCTCGTATCATGCAAGTACCAGATGTTGAGCAGACATATGATGCCTGGGATCAGTCCCTGCCGACCGATCAACCTTTTTTTACTCGTATCGCGCAATTTCAATTCCCCTTCTCCCCTATGGAAGCCAGAATTCACCAGCCGCCTTATTCCCAACAGCAATGGAAAGCGGATACCTCGTGTTCAGTGCAAAATCGATCAACAGAGACACAGTCGTATGGTTATCGTGTCTCGCCATGGAACATTGGGCTATCAAACACGTCTGAACCTCAGAGCCCACGCTGTAGTAATAATAGCAGTGTGCCAACTATTAAGTACCATGCCTCCCCTCAACCCCAAGACGACGATTCCACCTTCGCTACAGATCCCAGTGTGTATTTTACGCCAGGAAATTTGAATAATATTGAGCCATCACTGCTCGTGCCTGATCCCCGCGTTTGTGAAGTACAGGCAAGCCGCCAACCTCCCTTGGAAGGATTGGGTCAGTGGCCAAGCAGCAACTCTAAATGTAACCCAACTGCAGAGACAAGATGGTCGCCTCCTATACATCAAGGCAGCATGGCTCTAGCTTCGCGCTCAAGGCCACGAGCTCTATCTACATCCCGCGTTCGCAAATCCACTGAAAATCGTACGAGATCAACACCAGGACGCCGCCGGCGCCGGGCCCTATCCGGCGTATCAAATGACGAAGAGCTACGACCATTCGTATGCAGCTTCGCACCCTACGGATGCGAAAGCAAATTCGTCTCAAAAAACGAATGGAAGCGCCATGTCACCTCCCAGCACCTCCTCCTAGGCTTCTACTACTGCGACGTAGGGAATTGCAATCCACAAGTGGACACACCAAGCAGTTCCTCGGGGTCGCCCAGATCCTATTCCACGCTTGCACCAAGCCAAGCAAACAAGTTCAACCGCAAAGACCTCTTCACGCAACACCAGCGACGCATGCATGCCCCCTGGCTCCAGTCAAAACAGCGGAGAACCCCTACAGATAGCGAGCATGCCGCCTTTGAATCCAGTCTTGAAGAAGTTCGCCAGCGATGCTGGCAAAGCATACGACAACCCCCCACGCAGAGCCACTGTGGTTTCTGTGGGGACGTGTTTTCGGGGAGTAACAGCTGGGATGTGCGAATGGAGCACGTTGGGCGGCATTTTGAGCGCACAGAGCCTGCCTGTCTTGCAGAGGAAGCAGAGGACGTTGCGCTCCGTGATTGGGGGCTCAGAGAAGGGATTTTGGCTGTGGTCAATGGGCGGTGCAGGCTAGCTTCGCTGGTTGGGGCTATGAATTGACTGTGATTCGAAGTATATTATCTTGTCTATCTCTGGAGCACTGGAGGCTTGGATTTTACATTGTATACATCAATGCCACTCCAAGTGTAAAACGGTTCTCCCCAAGCTGCTCTCGCGATAACAGGGTACCCACCACATACACCACCAGATAGCATGATTGGACCCAGGTCGCGAAGGTGCAGAACTTTGCCGTACTCTTGCATTCACAGGGAGGAGTCGAATCTTTGCGCCTGGCATACATCGAAGTCTGAAATTATAGTGTACTTGGTTCGAGTTGGGAAATCTGGTAGGGCCTTTCTCGCCAAAGAACATGGTAAGCAAAAAGTAGACGGCAGAAGGTGGAGTATGAGTCAATGTCCCAATCTAGCGTTGTAGAGCTCATATGATTTACAGTTTGATTGAGGCTATGGTCTTGTTCAAATGTCTTCGTTCTATTGAAAGGTGTATCTGAAAGAATACTGGATTGCACATTATAGGTTGACTCAGACATCTCCAATTCAATGAACTTAGGTGCCTAAGAATCCAAACAAATAGAATTGAATGTAGTGATAATCTCAAGTGCTCGCCTTGGAGATTTTGGCTTCAGATCTTACGATGAAGAATGTTGTGGAATGCAACCCTTCAAGACTCCGGGTCAGCAAACTTTTTTCCTCACTTAAGATCCAATATCTTCTTCTGGGCCCTTTGGTGTAATATCACAAGGCGACTTGGTATCAAGAAAGATACCCAGTACAATAATATCTTCTAGCTACTATACCTTCTTCTTTCGCCCACTTCGGCCGAACTCACCCAATATAGATATCGGGCCCGAGATTCGGAGTTAATTCAGTATAGGCAGAGCCAAAATAAGTGAGACAACGTCGGAGAAGAGAATTGCAACAGATTTTAACTGATTCCCGTGGGCCCAACCCGGTCCGGTGTATGGTTATTTATATGACATAAGGAGAGATATCTACCTTTTGTGGAACATAAGCCCGAGTATCCTTGACCTAATCCTCGATCTACCCTCATAACAGCCACTACGTTGTACATCTCGGAGTAATAAGCTTCGTAGTCTGCAAATAAAAAGATCCACAAGGCGAAGTCTATACGACTTTGTTCAACTTAAGTCCGATGGCGACATTTGCTGTAAGTTGTTGATCTATTATTTTTATCCACATATAAGAACCGTCACCACGTTCCCATCTCCCGAACTATACTATTTGCAAGCCTAGTATTCATTTTGGGCAATTTGATACAGTTCTCTTCCTTCTACAACTATCCTCTTGCCTCTAAATCAGCAATCATGGCCGCCAAGCCTCTTTCAGAGATCTTCGCTGAGCGAGCAGTCGAGCTGCGCAAATACATCTTCGACCAACCAGCCTCCACATTCACCAATAATCCTTGGGCTCTGGCCAACGCCATTGAAGACTTTGCCAATCAGGTTGGGCACATGATGATCTTCAGAAAGTCAAAACTCGATGTCGCTCGCGAGCAACTCCTCGCGCAGCAACCAGCACCACGAACAATCGTCGAATTCGGCACTTTCGTTGGTAAATCAGCACTCGCATGGGGTGCTATTCTGCGCGATATCCACGGTGAAACTGTACCAGAAGATGTCAATATCTATACATTTGATCCAGATGCGCAGATGGTCGAATTGACTCGCGAGTTTGTGAAGTTGGCGGGTGTTGAAGATTTCGTACATGTCTTGCAGGGGCCGGGCGCGGATTCGCTGAGGAAATTAAATGCCGAAGGCAAAGTAACCACTGTCGATATGGCATTCTTCGATCATTGGGAGAAGTTCTATGTCTCGGATCTGAAGCTGATCGAAGAATTGAAGCTCTGGCGTGTTGGGTCGTTGGCAATTGCTGACAATACTGATTTCCCCGGTGCGCCTGATTATCTCGAATATGTCAGGGCTGGTGGGAGCGGGGAGCCTGAATCGGTTAGATATCAGACAAAGTCTTTTGAGACTACTGGGAAGAGAGGTGGTCCGGTAAGTTTTGTTTCTGATGAGATTTCACAGGCATGAGGCTAACACATTATTCTAGAGTATTGTCGAGGTGAGCACCGTTATGGCACTGGAGTGAAGTTTGCCTCGTTTTGAGGGAGTTCATTTTCTTGAGATACGGTTGAATAACTTATATAGACTCAAATTGTAAATAAGAAACAAGATACATTGGTATGCCACAAGTACAGCACTATCACTTTGATACTTTACCTTTTATGTAGTTAACTAGATACCATTACCTGAAATAATTCTGTCTCTGGTATGCATGAATGCTTCTAAATTGTCAAGCTTGGTCGTAGATCTAAGCCTAAAACAAACATTCTGTAAGTCATTCGGGTCAAGTCCTGCAGGTGGTGATGATATAGTATGGAGCATATATATCTCCAAAATGATAAATCACTAAGGTCCTTCGAGTTAGATTTTGTTAATGTATCGAGCTGACTTTTCTTTGATGATGTTGATATGTTTCTCCAAAAAATCGAATATAACCAATATATTGCCTAAGTGCAGTTGTCAATGATGTAGACAGAAATCATGGTTATCCGCTCTCATTGGGCTATAGCTGTCCCCGCTTAGTGGAATAAACAGCCAACTTGAATCTCCGCGACTCCGTATTGCAACTCAACTTCTGAAGATTAGTCTTCAATTGTATCCTCAATTCTTATCCTGTCCAGGCATGCTGTGCCAGTAGCGCTCTCCGCCCCCTTACTTATCTCCGGTGACGCTGTCCGACCCAACGCCATAGCTGCTCAACATGTACGCCTTGTCCACTCGTTGAACTGTACGCATCGCAACTAACATGCCTTCTGCTGATAGGGGTGTCTTCTCTTTGATCATCATCAACAAAGCTGGAGGTCTGATATACCAGCGCGAGTTTCAGGCTGGCCTGCGCAAACTCTCCACAAATGATTACCTCGTCCTAGCCGGTACCTTTCATGGGTAAGTCACCAGGCTAGCTCTTTTGTCTCTTACAACATTATCTGACTCTGATTATAGTGTCCATGCCATCACGCGCTCCATTACACCGAGAATTCCCAACTCCCAACCGCCTCCCTCTCCTGCTACCTCCTCCCCGGGCACCGCGCCCGCTGTGTCGGGCTACTCCTATCCAAACCCAGGAGTAGCAGTGACTGGTATAGACTACCTCGAGACAGACAAGTTTCGACTGACGTGCTTCCAGACGTTGACAGGGACAAAGTTCTTATTGTTTACAGATCCCATGACCGGAAACGTGGATACCATTGTGCAGAAGATCTACGAGCTCTACGCGGACTTTGTGATGAAGAATCCGTTTTATCAGACCGAAATGCCAGTGCGATGTGAGGCATTCGACCGGCATTTGGGGGCGTGGTTGAGGGGGAGGACATAGTCCCGATCGACGATGGAACCGAGCGGAAAGGGGGTAGACATCATGACTTTACGAACTAGATAGTTACGGTTTTGTTCTTGTACTTGTGTGTCGGGATATAATTTCCGTCTCGTATAATACCAAATCACATATATTTCCCTTGCACTGTAGAATGAACCTGAAGGCCGAGTCAAAAGCACAAGACGAAACGAAGAAGTAAACGCCGGGTATGCATCACATTCATATTCAAGGCTCCAGTTGAACCTTACGCGGTGTCCATCTTGTCCTCGTCCTTCTTATCCTTGCTGCTGGACTCGCCATGGTTCTCCTCGGGAATATCGCCGAGTTGCGTCTTGCGCTCTGCTTCTTCCTGGTCACGCTTTTCTTTCTCCTGTCGATTCTTCTCGTCCTCCATCGATAAACGTAGGGCGAATGCCAACTCGGGGTCGTTCTCGGCAGCATCTTCGAATCCGAATCCACCAGCCTCGCCCTCGCCACCTCCACCACCGACTTCGGCATCTTCGCCAGCCAGAATGGGGGTCATCTGCAGCTGGTCACTGAGAAGATGGGGGCCCGGTGGAATGATGGCGAGGTGGGAACCATCTCCACTCTTGACATTTTCAACGAAAGCCTCAAGCTTCTTGGTCTGGTCGGATTCCAAGTCTCCGAAAGCTACCACATCAATCGAGACATTGGTCTTCTTCATCTTCTTGGCCAGCTTCACGAGGGTCTTTTCGTCTTCTTCGATGGGCGAGCAGGAGAATACGATGATGCGTTGACGCTGCGACTTCTCCATACGGTGCTTCAAGGCCAACTAAGATAACATAAATGTCAGCAGTTGAAAGCTTGGTAATCGGCCTGGGGAACTCACGGCTGCAACCTGGATGCTCGAGCTAAGATGAGATGTGCCGTGGATTTTTGTTGCGTGTAGTCCGGCCAAGATTGCACCAAACTCAGGTGTGAAAGTCGACAGCACCTCGGGACCCTTGCCGCCCATGCTCATAAGACCGACAGCTGACTGAGGGTTTACACGCATCTTTGCACTGTGGATGATGCTAACAGCATCGACTTGAGATTGCCACCGAGTCGATCTGGTATAATTAGATGCTATTCACAGATAAAACGATACCATAGTTGAGTTTACTCACGTGTAGTCTCCATTGCGACTGCTTTCGCTGTTGTCGACACTGGAGCTTCGGGTTAGCAGAAGAAGCTAGGTCAGGGAACAATGACAAACATGATCATAGTAGCTTCCAGCGTCATGACGGGCAGAGTCTAATGGAATCAAATGTAAAAAAGAAGAGGTAGCGAATGAAAAGGAGATCGGCGTAATGGGAGATGAAGACGGATGACGAAGGCGAGGTGGAAGCTGTATTCTGCCACTGAACTCCGCCCACACGGCTGTTTGTTGTGGTTCAAGGGCTCCTTGCTCCGCACGTTAACCTTGACTTTGACACATCCCACCATTGTATCCCTTGAACTATTCACAATGCCCGCTAAGCGCAAATCTGATCAAATGGACACTACGCCTACGGGCAGTCCTACCAAAAAGATGCGCATGACACAAAAGCAGAAGCAAGCGCTGATGGACAACCTACAACTTGAAAGTGAGTGGGACTGTAGATAGACTAAATAACTGAGCCATGACACTAATTTGATTCCAGTCACTGAGCGGGCACGTAAACTTCGTGCTCAATATGCTCTTCAGGCGAACGATCTCCGCGCGCGCATTGAGCGACGCGTCAACCGGATCCCGGTCTCATTACGCAAAACCAACATTGGTGAATTACTCGAAAAGCACAATGCTGCCTTGATCAAACAACAAATTGCATCGCCTTCCCGGAAATACTCACCTGCTAAAATGTCGCGTAACATCAGCAAATCTGTGGACCCAGAAGCACGCGACGGCAGATCACGGAGGGGAAGGTATGATATCTTACACACTTGACCGAATTCCTTTTTTTTTATTGACATTATGTACAGCTATGAAAACCTCTACTCCGACAAAGAAAATGCTCCTGCCAGTGGCGAGCCTGAAGGGCTTAAGAACCCCAAGCGTCGTGTGAAGCCCGCCGCAGCAGGCGGTGCCTCGCGCGTGGTGTCCCAGGAAGTACGAGGCAACGAGAATCGGATATTGTCTCCTAAGTCGAACAATTCCCGAACTTACCCACACTCACCCTTCCGTGCGTCCCCAGAGAAGGGTCAACCATCGTACCTGTCACGTCCCACCTCACCATTGAAGCAGTCTAGCCCACTGCGATCGCGCGGTGCTACGGTCTCCGCCGCCGGGAAGGACCAGCGACCCCCGTCTCATGCTTCAAGGCCGACAAATCGTGCCGCCACGGGACCCAAGACTACTCGCTCGCCATTACCACGTCCTGCAACCCGGCAGGGTGAGCGCAAGAATAGTACAGGATCTACGGCTTCTTCAGGCACCACTGTCATTAAGCCCACGCGCACTGGTGCTGGCGCAAGAAAGGCAACAACAACCTCTACTGCAGCGGCTGCAAAGAAGCCAGCTCCTCGCTTGCAGGCTGCATCAGTGGCAGTAAAAAAGACTGCCACCACTGGCACAATGCGCAAGACTACTGCCCCAGCTGCGACCGAAACCGCAACTAGAACTCGAGCTCTGCGCAAGCGGATCTAGAGATGACCGGATAGACACATGTCTTGCTTTATTGGAGTTGAGTGGGCATTTGAGCGTGAATGATTGCAGACTGCAACGAACATATTGGGCCTGGACGCTGTGTTCCTTTTTTATTCTTGGCGTGATATCATAATAGGTGTTTTCCGTTCATCCTTGCCTCAGCCATACTTATGCTGATGGCCTTCGCTTGGTTAAATTTTTTTGAATGAACTTTTTCTTTGGATCAATCGCTGTCTTTTTGGCGATCACGATGGTCTTCCATTTTGGTTATAAACTGGTTCAGTTGGCTCTGTCGATGATACGTTCTTGTTTGAGATTGAATATACGTTGTCGAAGAATTTAATTGTCCTTATCCTGTCCTCATCCTGAATAGGTGTTGGCATGAACTCTATGAGATGACACTTGAGACTACAAATATGAAAACCATGGGAGATAATGCAAACTAATTTTATGTTTGAAATAAGCGTATAAGTAGGCTCAAAATACCTAGCATTCAATGGCCTATCTATGAAAAGCAATCTAGTCTGGAAGACTAGGTAGTGAAGCCCAATGAAGAAATTGAAAGTCAATATGGGTACCAACTACATAGGACTCAGCACAGGTATCATTGCAATCATGCTGATTGAAAAAAGAGAAAGGAAAAAAGGCTCCAGGGCACTTGCAAGGCCAAGGGGAGAATAATAAGAAAGAAGAAAAGAAAAAAAAGGGGTCTAGGTAAAGCCGGAGCCTGGCCCACAGGGAAAAGAGCACAAGCTCATAGAAAACTTGAAAGAATGGAAAGCAGGACATTTATGGGCCAAGAGGGACAGGTATGGGTATGGCTGATCCCTTGAATCAGATGCAGATAACAAAACAGAAAGTAAGGCATCGTAGCCCCTATAGATATGAGAAAACAACAAACCAATAGCAACCAGGTTGATCGCTTTTGGGGGAATTTTCAAGGGAGGAAAATGGGAAACAACTCCGTCAACCAGACCTATCAGTCAAGACAAAAAAAGGAAAGAAAAAAGAACGCTAAGAAGTCTCCAAAAAACGAAAACACTCCGCAGAGAATGAATCAGATGGACAAATGCAAGAGGTCAGATAATGGCTAGTCACAGTATTGCAGCTGTGCAAGAATAGAAGAATAAAAATGGGGACTCTGTCTATCCAGTTACGCCCATAGCACCTGGACTCGGACGTGGCCGATATGCCACATTTTGTGACTGGCCTTCGGGGGTCCCGGCATTTGGCTGGCTGCCATTGCTGGTGCTGCGGTTGCGGGGGTACGCTTTGGGAGGAGGAACCAAGTCTAGTCCAGCTTGAGCATTGGCACTGGACGAGTGAGCGTGTCCACTGGGTCCTGGTACGTGGCGAACCGAACTTTGCATTTGCCAGGCTGCGTCCTGCGTGGGATCGGTCTCGATGCGTGCAGAGGCCGGTGTGCTGTTGTTTCGATTGGGAGTTGTGATTGTGAATGTTTCGCCACCGTTCTCTGGCCCCTGTGAGAAACTCCCCCGAGTAATATCACCATAGCGTTTGAGGATTTCCTTCGTCGTTGGTTCGGAATTCTCCTTGAATAGAGTTGGATCACTCATAATTGATTGGAGGTCTTCCGGAATCTATCAAAAGACTTAGCATGATATTGGCATGGGCAAGACGCGAGTGACTTACCTCGCACAGAGCATCATTATACGTGATAAGGGCATTTACAGCCTCGATAGACAAGAAGCTCTCTTCCACGGTGCTGTTTTTGGCGTTCGGGTAAAGAATGTTAGGTGTCACAACAGTGGCAAGATTGTGAATGTCCATCTTGCTTCCAGAGTCCTCATCGACATGTGAGAATGACGACGTCCAATTCAAGAACGCAAATAGAACTTCCATCGTGTCACGGTGAGCTTTAGGAAGCAAGCAGCATGTCAAATGCAACAATCGTCTTTGCTTCTCAGGGTCCTCAAGTTCTGTGAGAAGTTAGTTTGCTGGACAGAGAGTTCGACAAAAGCTTTAACTTACTTTGAGAAATGACAAACAATTTGTGGAGCTTGAAAGTCAAGAGTGGATCAGGCATCTCGCGGAGGAACTTCTTCAAAAGAGCTGCAATCTGCACGGGAGTTTCCTTCGTTAAATCCACAGATTCATACTTGGTATCGATGAGCTCCGATGTATCCTTCAATCGCCTGATGTTGCCATTCTTTCGGAAAACACCCTCCACAGACATGTCCATCTGTCGCATGGCTGAGACAGCGTCGTCGACTAAGGTCGGGATACGGAGCGCACCCGGACAAACGCCGTGGCTTGACTCTGTACCCTCCTTCTCAACTAGGTAGTTCAATTCGACACCAAACACACCCTTCTTTTTGGCGCCCTTCTTGTTATCTTTGAATGCACGCCCAAATATGTTCCATATCGTGGGTTTCCGGGACTCAATCAGAGACAGCAGCTCTTCCATGTTGAAAAAGCCTTCCACCAAGGGTGCCATCTGTACGACGGCAACGTGGCGGACGATGAAGTATTCCAAAGCAGTGAGTTCTGAAAAGTATCGCTTGGTCCGGGTTGGCTCCATGAGTGCCTCCAAGTTTCCACTCGATACTTCGCGCTGATGGCCGCGATTGTATTTGAGCATTGGCTCGGATCCGCCGACGAGCTTGTGTCCAGCATGCCTGAAGGCGTTAGGTCGCTGCTCCTTTGCTTGTTCAGCCGCAACAATTCGCGGGATGTCATCCAGCGTCAGGGCATCCTGGGTGCCAAACGTCAGATCAGTGCGAGTCTCCCCGTTGGCATCCCTTTCCTCAACAATTTGGAAGCCAGGGCCCCTTGGATCACTGCCATCATTGCCAGACGACCCAGGCCGAGCACTTCTGCCTTCTGGTCCGTCAATGATTCTAGATGCGCGGGCTCTCTTATATGTTGTAGATAATGTGCGCTCGTTGCGGATTGAGCGCAGTCGGCGCATCTCGCCGACTGTCTGCTCTAGTGATGTTTCTTCCATGCCCTCCCGCGAGGCACCACCATATGATTGCGAGCGGGCGTTCGCCCGGCGAACTTCGGGACTGACTCGGTGGCCATCCTTGTTCGCATATTCATTGAGATTGGGATCGTCTGAAATGATAAATCAAGTTAGACAAACTGCCAGCAGCCTGAGGGCGATATGAGAGAATCTTACCTGACGAATGAGGCAAGGTTCCTCCGGAACGGAGTACGGCGAGGAGCCGTGCGAGTGCCACCTTGAGCAGGAAAATGAATTGCTGCAGCTTTGAAACTGGGACAAAACCGCCCTGAACGGCAGAGCCAAGGTTTTGCTGATGAGCGCAGTCATCACAATAGGCTTTCTCTTCGCTCTCGCTCCAGAGTGCGTCTTGAAGATCAGTGGTCAAGTCCTTCTCGCACACAGTGCATGATAGATGGGGTGGCTTAGTGTGCCAGCGGCTCTGCCCAAGCAGAACACACTCATCGTCAATTGGCTCTTTGCATGAGATACAGCAATCTGAGAGTTGATCTGCCAGGCCCTCCACTCCGGCCATGAGGTCGAGCGGAGCGTTCTCATCTTCTATCTCCGCAAGTGACTCTAGATCACGCAGATGCTCCAGGAAGTTATGTAAACCGTCAGGCGCAGACTTCTCTCGTTCGAGTTTGAGTGCACCTTGTAGACCGATGCGGATCAGGAGTTTGAGGTAATGCGCAAGACCCGTCACGAGAGACAGAAGCTCCTGGGTTACGCCGAGTTTGCGCACACCTGTCTCTTGAGTCTTGGACAACAACGCAAAGAAGGCAACAATTTTCTTGCAAAGCAGTTTGGCTTCACGGCCATAGGAGAGTTCTGTGGGGGAACCATTAGCTTCTAGCCCGGATGAAACAAAGCCACCCGTGCAAAACTCACCTTTTAGCTCGTGGGATTTAATATAATTTGCTAGTTGATCAACTGCACCAAAGAGAATTTCCACATGACCGATGAAGCGTTTGGCGACCAAAACACCGTCAATGTAAGCCCCATTGCTGACATGAAGCAGCATATCAGAGATACACGCAGCGGAAGATTCCTCGAAGGTGGAGAGGGTGTTCCAGATGTTGAATACTTTCTCTTCCATAATGTCTTCCTCGTCACGAATCTGCTTGCGTTCTTCCTCACTGGCGTCCTCATCCACTGGCGGTGGCTCCCATGTTTGACCCGCCGGGGATAATCGGACGTTCCAGAATTTATGGATCATATAACATTCGGGGTGCCAGTGTTGATTTTGACCATTGCGGAAGATCTCAACGAACTGTTTCAGAATCGCGGTATGACACCCATGGCACCGCTGTGCAAATTGGGTAGAGTAATGAAAATGACAGTAGACCTTGCTCTCATGTTCGTAATATGAGTCCTGGGCACCGAATACGGTCGGACAAACGGAACAGGTGAAGTGCTCTATATGGTACTTCCGATCTAACGCAGTGATGTATGATCCACGCAGTGCGCCACCGCAATCGTGGCATAATAGGCCCAGTCGTCTAAAGTAATCGGTCTCGCAAAGCGGAAATTGGCAGTTTGCATCTTCGGAATCGATGGGGAAAAACTTGGAAGCAACAATTTCGCCGCAGTCCTGGAACAGATAGGATCAGTCAAGGATCCAAACAGACCAGCAAGGACGTAAACTCACTTCGCACTTAAAACACTCTAAATGGAAAGTACCGCCCAGCGCTCGAACGAACTGGCCGGTGAGAGATTCACCGCACTTTTGACACAAGCGCGACGAGCCACCTGGTGACTTGGTTTGACGCCCATTCACTCGTGATCGATCTCGGGGGGCCGAGCGATCGCGATATCCGGCCTGGTCGGGTCCCAGTCCACGACTTGAGCGCCCTTCTTCGACTGGTGTAATCGGGCCTGCCGTTCGTGTTGACGGTGATTCAAACGGAGGAATCAAGCTGTCTTCGGGAGAGGTGGGTGTATTTTTGCTATAGTTAGTCCCATAGCCAGAGGTGTCGACGGTAGGACGGCCACTGGGATTGCCTGCGACCAGGCTAGCTGGTAGTCCACCGGGGGGCATCTTGGTCCCCCGTCAGAAAGGAAAGGATGGGGTTGCTGGATTGAATCACGCCAAATGCATGCAAAGAATCGAGGTTGGGAATCAAGGCTAGGATGGGAGTGTTCGGGTTGACGGTACGGGTTCACAGATTGGCGATAAATTGAAGATGAGTTGGGCGCGTACGGCAGTCTGATTCTTTAATTAGAATATCATGCCTTGACCGAGTTGACCTTCACAAGTGTACTCACCCTCACGCCATGTAGCTAAGACACGCGGGGCTGTATTTGGGGAATGAGAGAGTAATGCGCAATATGAGACAGGTGAGATGGGAGACGGGGTTCGCACTGGCGGTATAGACTTGTAAACGAAGGGTCAAGCGCGCAGACTAAAGGACGCGGGGGTCGGGATTCGAGTTGGAGCTTTCGAAGTGAGACCGACAGACAGCGCAAATACCAATCATTCCTCCCAAATTGAATTATCTCTAAGAAAAGAGAAAGAAAAAAAATTAAGGTGTAAAGGGCGAGGGGGAAAGAAGTGGGCTGGGGAATGGAGATGGAGATGGCTTGGGCACTTTGTTGCCCCCCCTAATTATGGTAAGGGCCCAGGTCACGTGCACAAGGGTATATGATCAAAATACTTTTACTTCTATTGGCGTATGATGGGTCTGAATGTAAATTTATATATTTCAAGTATGTGGGATTATTTCAATATACCAGATATTATAGTCTTTAAGATCTTATAGTCTTGGAAGTATCGTTGACAATTGTACAGACATAACTGTATTTACACATGATGGGTCCAAGTGCTTTTTATAGAACATTCTGTAGGATGGTTCATGTATGCCCTACATTGTGTAGTTAGATGGTATGTCGCTTTGCATATATATTCATTAAATAGGTATATAGGTACCAATAACTCCCTAGACATACTTACATTTCATGAACATATATAACTAAGCATAGAAAGATATATCCTCAGATATAGCCATCATTATTAGGTAGTACTTTCACACACAAACTCTCGTCAGATCGACAGACGATCCCTCAAGCGAAATAATATTATAGATTTTTTCAAAGGCTACGTGTAAATAGAATACAAATCTATAGATTAATCATCTACAATCTATGATTACCCGTGTAGGTACTGCCTAGATATGAGTTCCAGGGCTGATATAGTCATCTAGTTAACATCCCAAGCTTACATAGAAAAAAGAAGGGGACAAAAGTGGCCAGTGTAAATATCTCCAAATTCCTCAATCTTAATATTTAGATTTTATATAGATCTATGTTTGCCATAACACGATATCTACTTCTTTATATGATTTACATATGTATATAAAGAAAATCGTGGAAAGTTGCAAAGGGCAAAAATCAAACAATGAAGGTTTCGTTCGGATTTGCGGGTAAACACCGCTTGATTACCCTTTTCTCTTACAACTCGTCACATACCTCTATTCTTTCATTAACTATGAGAAAGCCTGCCCGATTTTCTCACTTCGTATTGATTTAGCCGATACTAAAAATCGCGCAACTCCGACTCTTATGACCAACACAGTCCAGCCTGTTTAAAATGGGTGACCAGTGTACTCTGCGCTTGGTTCGAGTAGGCACAATTTCCCTCGATATATTGTTTCGAATCCATTCAATTTATGCTAATCCACCCGCGTCTATTAGGAATTGAGACAAGTCGAACGCGGTGAACAATTCGGTATGAGAATCTTGAACTAGCTCCTGGAAGGTCTACCTGAGCATTAATGCTGACTTGCGATACAGCTTTCACCGTTCGCTATGAAGAAAGCAACATGCGCGATATCCAGGCCATCATCGTTGGGCCTCCGGGTACTCCATATGAGCTCGGCTTTTTTGAGGTAAAATCCTCTAGCCTTGACAGCTTGAAGTACGGTCAACGCTAATTTTGGCAACAGTTCTCTATCAAAATTCCCCCAGGTAAATAATATGATTCTGGGCCGCTGGAACAAAGTCCGTGCTAATCACAGCATACCAGACTATCCAGCCAACCCGCCTACAGTGAAGATTAAGACGACCAACAGAGGCCGAACGCGTTTCGGCCCCAATCTCTACGCCAATGGCAAAGTTTGTTTGTGAGTTTGACACCTATAAACTATGATATCCCTAAGTGTGCGCTGACATCCTTCAGATCTATCTTAGGGTAAGTTTTAATTTCGTTGATTCAAATCTCTGATATGTTGCTGAGCACTACAGAACATGGCATGGTGATCGGAGAGAGCAATGGTCGCCTGCACAAGGACTTGAATCAGTTTTGCTTTCGATCCAAAGTCTACTATCGGCAAATCCATACACCCTCGAGCCGGGATTCGAACAACCCGACAGAGGGAATGACACTGAGAATATGGAAATTTACAAGTCCAAGGTAAATCTAATCTATCGGTGCTTCTAGATGGCCCATAATGGAGCTCCAAGCAACCTAAACCGATGCCAGAAAAGCTGACTTGGTGATTCCAGATCCGACACGAGAGTCTTCGACTGGCGGTAATCGCACCACTCGAACAGGCATTCCAGAATTCATCGCCACGAACACAGTCTAGAGTGGTCCAGAAATCGGAAACCGACGAGGAGAGTGATAGTGATGAAGAAATTGATCTTCCCGTCCAGACCAAATTCGATGACTACTACAAGCGCCGCTTCTTGTGGTATCTTGAATTTTATCAGACCGCCATCGACAAAGGCATTGCCGATGAAGGGAGAAGACAGGGTGACCCATTCATCTCCATGCCATTTGAAGGCATTGGTAACACCATGTCGGGGTCGTGGGACTATGGTGGCCTGAAGAATCGCTTATCGATTCTTCAAGACAAGCTGATGGAAGAGACACACCAATGGCCTGTCGAAGGCATGGCTTTGGTCAAGGAAGATGCTGGGATTGCGGTCAAGCTGCGGGGCCAACATGGACAGATCCTCGCTGAGCTGGACACCAACCCCCAAGTGATCGATTTGTCACTGGCTGACGAGAACCCGTTCCTGTGGCAACTCACCTATGTTGGTCGCAATGAGTCCAGACTTGAAGGTGGTATCATCAAGATCAAAATATACATCAGCCCACGACACCCGGAAGAGCAACCTCGCGTATTTGTCGACCCGCCCATTTATCATATCCGCGTATCAAAGATGGGCGTGTTGATGTATCTTCCCTCGCATGCGGAAGAAATTGGTCAACACGTTGAGGGTATTATAAGTACCCTGGAAGAAGATAACCCGCCTTATAACCCGCTCATGTCGGTGAACCCAGACGCAACTACACTTTTTTGGGGCACCGAACTCGAGCGTAGGCTCTACAGGCGCAAACTTCGGGCCTCTTTGGAGGAACCAGGAAGATAAGAAGTTTGCTGTGGTATGCTTATCTTTCTTCGACACGTATTTTCGTGTATTTCTTTAATTTATGCCATAAAATTGCTCATCGACAATTATGGCGGAGAGACTGGCGATTTATGCGGTCAAACAAGTCGCACAGCAGATGAAACAATGGATCCTATCAGCTTACCTTTTACCATTTCCTATACATTCTACTCCGTAGACTATCACCCTCAATCAGCATGTAATTTCTGGAACTTTCAATAAGAAAAATCCCCCAGTCCTCCAAAAATGCCGGGTTCGGGATCTTGCGCCCCCCCCCCCCCCATACTAAGACCTGCCGCACGGATCACCTGATTATCTCCACGCCAGATTTCCCCTTTTCAGCAACCTCATCTCTCACCAGAAAAAAAATAAGGTCATGGCAGCACACAATCGCACATTAGAGCTGGGCAATGTCCTGGTGGTCGGAGGCTGCGGTTTCCTGGGGTGGCACATAGTTGATCACCTCCTCAACTTCCCCTCCGAGACCGACCCCAGCTACGCCCTCCCGAAGCCCGTCGGCGATGCGCGTTTCGAGTTTCCTACCCTGGCATCGCGCTACCCGACCACACACTCGACTGTGTCAGTTGTCGACTTGCGCACCACCAACAACCGCCTGCCCGGCGCCAAGTACTATGATGGCGACATCACCTCGGTGGACTCCATGATGGAGGTTTTCCGCGCCGTCAAGCCCGATCTCGTCATTCACACTGCTTCTCCGTCAATGATTGAGGGCAACAAGCCCCTGTTGCACAAGGTCAATGTTGAAGGAACACGGACCCTCCTTGAGGTCGCTGGTGGTGAACACGGGGACTGGGGTGGTAAGTGCAAGGCATTCGTGTACACCAGCTCCAGCTCTGTGGTCCACGATACACAAAGTGATCTGAAGAATGTGAACGAGGAATGGCCCTACATCCGCGGTCCCGCGCAGAAGGAATACTACTCCGAAACCAAGGTGAGAATTCAACATTGACCCAAACTTGATTCTCTGATCAATCCACTAATCAAATCCATTGCGTGGATCTAGGCCGACGCCGAGGAACTTGTCCTGAAGTACAACAAGAAGTCCCCGACCGAGATGCTCACATCCGCGATCCGCCCAGCCGGCATTCACGGCGAGAAGGATACAACAGTCACACACAAAATCCTGGAGCACGGCACACAGGCTTCAGACCGCGTTCTACGGATGCAGCTTGGCGACAACGACAACCTGTTTGACTTCACTTACGTGGGCAACATCGCCTACGCCCATCTGCTCGCCGGACACCGACTTCTGGCGAGCCACGAGCACATCTCAGCTGGCAAGGGCGGGCCCCTGGACTACGAGCGCGTAGATGGCGAGGCATTCAACATCACCAACGACTCACCCGTCTACTTCTGGGATGTGACCCGTGCCATGTGGGCTCTCATTGACCGCGTTGTCGAACCGCACCAGGTGTGGGCTCTTCCTGAGGGACTCCTTGAGACCGTTGGTGGTGTCGCAGAGACTGTCATGGGGCTGTTTGGAAAGACCCCGCGACTCACGGCCCGCACAGTGCGCTACTCGTGCATGACTCGTTACTACTCGACTGAGAAGGCTAAGCACCGCCTCGCATACGCGCCCGTTGTACCTTTGGATGAGGGCATTGCCCGTGCTGTTGGATATATTGTTGCGCAACAAAAATCTGACGCGGCCAAGAAGAGTCTGTAATTTGATCTAGATTATGAGAAAAGGCATTTTATCCTGTATTAATATGATTTTTTTGCCCCAAAGCCTACAGATATCGGTATCCATGTAGGAAACGCTTGGACGAAAGTCCAGTAGCAAGACGTAGAAAGGACGCATGAAGAACACATGTAAGAGTGCCGCGGGAAGTTCCAGACGCACGGGTCCAAGGTCTGTTGAAAATTTGAAGCCCACATCTAAATTATGAATTTACTCAGTAAATCAAGTTTGAAAAGAATGATGCTGCGGTCATATATCATATATTCGAGTTTTTAGCCTCAGTTGTTGGGGGCGGATTGGCCACGCCCACTATATACATGGTTCGCATCATATCCACGTAGACAGATGTGGAGTGAACTATAGAGTCGGAATACATGATCCGTACGTGAAAAGAGAAACGCTCTAAACAAGATATCTGAAGCCCTTGCGCATGCGCAGCGACTCATCGTTGCTTTCCATGATATCGTTCTCGTTGGATTGGTCACCAGTGACATCAGCAAGCTCACCCTGCTCAAGCTGCTTGTTCAAGCCGCGCAGCATGGATCGGAAATACCAGCAGCCGACAATGGTGACACCGAACATAGCCAGAACGATACCGTAGCTGGAGCGATATCCGTTGTCCTCGAGATCCCACACGTACGAGCCAGCGACGTTACCAAGCTGACTGAAGGCGTTGATCATGGCGATAGCAACGGCACGCTTGGCGGGAGGACGTGGGAAAGACGAACTGATCCACGAGTAGAAGACGATGAATCCTGCGTAGGAGCCAGCCTGCAGGAAGAGAGCGACATAGCGAGCAGCCACGTTGCTGGTTGCCATGCAAATGATGAAACCGATGGCACCCATGATGATGGGACCGAAGATGTGCCAGACCTTTTCTTGGGTCTTATCGGAGTGCCACGCGTTGATGACGGAGACAATGCAGGAGAACACCCATGGGGGAGCGCTCATGAGCAAAGTGGGGACATAGCTGAAGCCAAGAGTACCGGTAAGAGTAGGCTATTGAAGATGTTAGTAAAAACGGTGTCTGATAGAAAATTTTATATGGTAAAACTCACGAAGAAAGCATTGAAGGATAATCCCACAACATAGGCGACGAACGTGAACATCATAACGTAGATCTTCATATCCTTGAGGGCCATCATCAGACCATCGACAGCAGTAAGTTCATCTCCGTCAGTGTCAGCCTCGCCGACATCCTCAAGCATGCGCAGCTGAGCAACCTGGCGCTCCTCCTCGGTGAAGCCACGGGCGTTGTGGGGGAGATCGGGCAGGATGAAAGCAGCCAGAATGGCGAGGAACATGGTCACCGAGCCTTCGATCCAGAACAGCCAGCGCCAAGCAGCATGGCCGAGGACGCCCTGCATGTTGGACAGGACACCAGCACCAACGAGTGCGGAGAACGCATTGGAGATCAGGTTTCCACAGAATAAAACAGCGTTGCGAGTAGTCAATTCGCGGCGGGTGTACCACTTGGAGAGGATGAGGAGGGCACCGGGGAGGAAGGCAGCTTCGACGAAACCAAGCAGGAAACGAACAGCCACCATATCACCGAAGTTCTTGGTGTTGCCGGATAAGGTGGAGATCACACCCCACAGCAACATGGCGATGGAGATGTAGATGGAAGGGCGCGAGATGCGGTTGATGAACATGTTGGAAGGCACTTGCATGATAATGTAGCCGACGTACAAGATACTCAAACAGGTTGAGTATTGTGTGTTTGTGAGGGCGAGATCTTCCTGCAGACCCTTCAGACGGGCAGCAGCCATATTGTTGCGGTCGAGGTAGTTCATGATGTAGATGAAAACAAACAGACTGCAGCGGGCATCTAGCTTTCGCTTCAATGCCTTCTCGACGACGATACGACGAGCTGGGTCAATTTGGAAGCCACCTAGGGCACCCTTGGGTGAGGCAACGTGCTCGACATTCTCGATACGTTCCTTTTCAGCCTCAACCTCTATCCGATCGGTTTGTTGTGAGATATCGTCCGCCATTGTATATGAATTGTCTCAACAAAGCCGAGTAATCCGGGGAAGAGATCCAGGAGCAGACCGGTTCACTTTAATACCAAAAAAAAGTACTCATTAAACCTTTTTTTCCTCATGTTTCCCCCCGCGCTAATTTTTTTTTCTTGACTACCCCGGTACCCCCACGCACCAAATCGTGTGACGCGGGGGGTTCATAGTGGAGAAGAACACCTTGGCCGACTCGGCATTCGGGAAGAGCAGAGATTTTGACCGGTCAGCGGGGAACTCGGGCCTGACAACGAATGGCTGCCAGTGTTGCAACCCATGGTATGATATGTGGCGATCCATACCCGAACATGAAAGGTGGTCAATGAAGGGTTTTGATAGGATGAAGGGTCAATTTGGGGGACACTAACCCCCTTGTCTCGGCATACCATCCACGGGATACCTGCGGGACTCTCATCTCTTTCTTGACTTCTCACGGGACACTGAAAAAATAAAAGAAAAGAAAATACAAGAAGAGAAAAAAGCGGAAGAAACCGGCCAAACAGAAACATCGAAAGCCAGAACCGAAGTGGAGTCGGGACTCAACAGCGGCTTGCCCGGGTTTACACAATCCCGATGCTACTCTACGCCTTGGTCTCTGGTCTCTATTCTTCCCCGCCTCTCCGCAATCTTTTTCTCATTCCATCCTCCTTTCTCTCACCGAAAGCATGGGGGTGACCATGTTAAAAACTATAGTGATATCATTTTCCCCAGGATCCCAAGACAAGTGAAAAGCCAATTTACAAGAATCCGGGAAATAAACATACTCCCCATATAATTGTTGATATCGGGGATGCCCCGTAACTGTTCAAACTAATTGACGCCGAAACGTCATGAAGGGAATAACCTTGACAAATCGATTCTCGACTTCGCTTCTGATTTATTTTCCTGGGGATCCACTTTTCCCACGAGGCCTGATTGTGTACAAACCGACAAAATACCGTATATGTTTGACACCCGGCATCCCACGCTCGGTCTGCCGATGATTTTGCCGATAAGTCCCTCGCTTTCCCCCATGACGTCTCAATGGGCATTGGGTAGACGCACACCAGTAGCTGCGGCCTGTTCCGTGAGTTCGAATTCACTCACGATGTCATCTTCCTGCCACCCCTCCCGATCATCCTTGACTAGTCGAACAAAACAAACGTCAAGAATAAGTGCTAGGGCACTAATGGCGACGCCGAACCACAATGCCGCTCTATATCCGATGATCTGACCGGACCGACGGGCAATCTGCACTTCAATGGTAGAAGCAAATCCCAACCCCAGACTGTTCCCGTATAGGTTAAGCGTTCCGATGACGGACCCGGCAATTCCCTGCTGGTTTCTACGGACTGAGTTGCTGGCAATGATCTGCCCAGCTGTGTACACGAAGTCTGGACAGAATGAGAAGAGGACAACGGAAGGAAATATCTGTGCCCAATAACTTTGATGAAGCGGCACTGTCGCCATGAGCACATTCGAGATCAGAATTGTCACGGTCCCAATGGCTAGGATCCATTGTGCTGCCAGTCGGGGGATCATCCAAGCTGCGAGACAGGCGGCTCCCGTCGCGCAGATCACGAATGGGGTCCAGCCAACGGCAAATTGGAGCGGAGACCAGTGCCAAACCTTTTGCAGCCATAGGACCTGATACCAGATTAAAGTTCCGACCGCCATGTAATTGAGCAGCACCACGAGGAGTAACATGAGGAATGAAGGTGCCTTGAAGATGTCGAGGGGCATGATTGGCTCCACCGCATAGTTCCTTTCCCAGAGCAGGAAGCCGGCGAATAGTATGATTGAGCTGATCAAGAGAACAATCTCATAGGACTTTGACCAACCCACACTCGGTGCTTGACTGGCAAAGAGTCAGTCTTACTATTGCCGTGCGTTGAGAATAATCGCAGTGGACTTACTTCCAGACAAAATTGAAGAGGATCAGGGAACTGGTGCCGAGGGCAGATCCAATGCAGTCAATCTTTCCATGACGATCGACCGGTGGTTCACGCGAACTCAAGGCCCACAGAGGAGCAAACGTGAGAACACCGAGGCAGGCACTTGAGGACGTCAACACACTTAACTTCGATCTTCGCACGAACAACCCACATGAAGATAAAGAACCACTTCCACTCCGTGTGCTGCAGGAAAGCCCCCAAGAACAACGCACCGAAATACCCACCCATAGGCGCCGACGCACCAAACAGACCAAGACTAAGATTCCGCACCCGACCGGGGGGATTGGTGCTTGAGATCATCGCCACAGCATTAGGCATGATGAATGCTCCTCCGAGACCCGCCAGGGCGCGCATTGTGACAAAAGCAAAGAAATTATTGCAGAAGGCGCTGGCTAGAGTGCAGACCGTGAGCCAGGCACCGCCGGCGAGGAGCAGCTCTCGATGACCGTAGACGTCGCCTAGTCGACCGCTGACCAGAACGAAGGTACCTTGTGTGAGACTGTCAAAGGGTTAGTGATACATTTCAGGAGAGATGAACTGCAAATGACTCGATACTTGGGTGTGCCTTACGCATAGCTAGCGGCGATCCACGAGGCGTATGTATCTTTAGCACCTAATGCTTCACTCAAGGCGCTGCCTCCAGCAATTCCCGCGAAATTCACCGTCATCTGCCGGGATCAGTATACATCGAAGATAGATTACATTAAGCAAATTAAAAACTTTAATATGACGATACCTGCACAAGATTGGCCAGAATAAGTAGTGTAGTGATAACGACACGCCGCGATTGTGTCGTTCGACTAGGAAACGTCTGTTCAAAGACAGCTTGCCCCTCCCTAGGCGTCAAGTTGTCATCTGCAGGGCCGTCCTGTACATCTGGCACTTGTTCGGCTGGGGTTGTGGGGTTCGAGTCGATTACGCTGTGGGGAATAGCTGTCGCAGCCGCCGATGCAGCAGGCTTGACTTCGTGACGGAGAGCATGCAATAAAGACATGTTGCGAGCATGAGATTGGGATTATCTATGTTCGCTACCTATAAGAATCTGATGAACTTGGAATTGAAAAAGCGAAAATTCAGGATTGAAATAGATACGAGCGAGAGGTGTGGGGGAGAAACCAAGGTCCAAGCTGCCAATCTTGAAGAAGACGTGGAGACTGTCTTGAATTGTTGTCTGATCACTCCATGGCTAGGTCTTCCATTGCAGAGTCGATTTATCAGCTTCGCGGTTGTAAATCCGTGTGCGGAACGCAATTCCAAAGGATACAATCTCCAGTGTACATGTATTAGTGAGCAAGGATCAGGCTTTCTGGGCATTGTCAAGCCTGTAATTCATCTTTATAGGTGTGTTCTCTATACAGAAGATCTGTAGCAGATTCCTTTTTCTAACTTGGCTTGGAGTATGACTTTGTATTACACCTACCTAGGTAAAACTGTTGGAGTACCTACCAGATGTTTAGTAAGGAGTCGAGAATATATATCACTGCCTCTGTTAATATTATATTTTGGCACTTAAACAGCGCATGTGGGTGAGCCCGCCTAAGGATAGTGTTAGGTTGAAGGCAAGGGCAAATCAAATCTACAACCAGGAGTCAAATATCTAAACAGAGGCCTATTCTAATCAAGATATCGACCGGCTAATCCTCGGGTAGGTAGTGTTACGTTGGTGCCTACATTCTATGATAGCTAGGAGAATAAGGTACACCCGTGTTCTATTTCTGTGACACTCCATTTATCCTTCCATGCATGTATCTATGTGATTTATTGATCCTCGTTACCCAAGGTGCGGTACGGGTTGTTAGGGTCCTTCTCCTCTTCCTCCGCCGACTGGATAGTCTTCTTCACTCGACAAGGAGTTCCAACAGCGACAGAGAACGGCGGGATATCTTTGGTAACAACAGACCCTGCGCCAATAGTTGAACCCTGGCCAATCGTGACACCAGGAAGAATAATGACATTACTTCCGATCCAGCAGTCATCTTCAATGAAGATCGGGTGGCCAAATTCAACAAACTTCCGACGCGAAAGTATGCTGGTATCGTGACCAGCCGTGATGATGCTGACACCGGTGCCAATTTGGACACGGTCGCCGATGGTCACTAGGCTTGTGTCTAGAATGGTAACGCTAAAATTGATCAGTAAGTCTCAATTCGGCTCGCAGGCGATTGGCGGAACTCACTTCCAGTTAAAGAAGCAATCTTTTCCGATTGAGACATTGCACCCATAATCGGGGAGAAAAGGTGGCTCGATGAAAGTGTTATCGCCAACTTTGCCGATGAATTTTCGGAGGAGCTCAAGACGCTGCTCGCCAATCTTGTCATACGTCACGGTCTTTGTGTCCAGGTTGTTGAAGTCGGCGGCAAATCCACGGCACAGGTGGCGCGCTTCTAGTAATTTGGGAACAGTGGGATTATACCTGGGACTTGATTAGTCGACGTGGACGTATGTTATGCATGTTGGCGCCGAGCACATACATCATTCCGGAGATCATGAGATCGTATTCTTCGCACAAGGGTATCCCTTTGAGCTCGCGGGAGAGCGCGATAATCTCAGGGCGTTTTTGCAAGGCAGCCATTTTGAATTGGAGATGGACAAGTACGATAAGTCCGAAAAAAAAATCAAGACATTAGAGAACATCGGTTTCGGAATATATAGTGAATGACATCGCGGGGTGTCGATTTACCGACAATTCGCCGCTTGGAAACTCCGCCCCGTATTGGGGTTGGCCGCATTTCCTATTTGGGTATAAGAGCCAACTATGAGATCCACATGTATTTATAGATGAATTGAATATCCATATTGAATTATTCACGGCGAAAGTCTGGGAAAGTTTCTATAACGACGTACGGTCCAAACTATAATAGACGTGTTGTTCTCCCACTTTGATATGGCAGTATCAACAGACAATAAGTTTACCAAAGTCGTGGATATCGCGGCGGCTGGTGATGTTATTATAGTTGTTGGGTCCACAGTGGGTTGATTGACCTGACCAATCGTGTGATGAGCAACAGGAGGAAATTTTGAGAACCAGGCTTCATCTAGCTGGTGAACTCTGATCGGCAATCGGAAAGCCTTACTATACAAATATCGCAGTCCTTGCCAATACCTTTTTATGGCTCGGCAAGCTTGACAGAGGCAGTGTTGCGTTAAAGGTATGGCGGGCAATATGTTAACAACGTTGAAAGTACGGTTGCTTTCACGTCGCCGCACACATTTGATAATTGTTGTTTGGTGTGAGCTCGAGGCCTCCAAGAATGTGATTAGCCAATACTAAGGCCATAGGGCTTGTCTGCCTACAATGGGGCCTAGAATGGTGAGCGCTGAGAAGATAGTCACTCTTGTTGCTACGTGTATATAAATATGTATGCATATGGAGAAGGGTTGGAGTGCGCAGTCATCATGACATTTATTTTACTCGGTTCGGCCTTGGACCATGGTGCATTTGATCCGATGCCTTTTTGATCAGTGACCGCCATTACGCTTGACATGTACTTGACACCTTTAGCACTTCTACTTTCACTTTTACTTTTCCTCTTTGCTACACTTCCACTCAACTGAAAATCTTTCCACTCAACATCTTTCTGACTTGCTCGATCAAAGAACCTCACACACCTCACACAGCAAATCTCCCAACATGTCAGGACCAAAACCGGCATCTTACATCAAAACTCGCTTTCTGGTATTCTCTGATACACACGGTCTCGATAGTCCACCGGGGCTTTCACCGGACCATTATGCAGATTTCGCCCTCCATTCGCTTTCTGCAAGCTGCGAATGCTCCCCTGAACCTTGTGATAGCCGGAAACAATGACTTCACTATGGACATTCCAATTTTTCAGAAGAAGGTTGCCGAAGCTCAACCCTTAGATCCTGATCGAGTCCAACAGGCGTATGGCAGCTATGGAGAGGCGAGACGCCTATTTGGCGATGGGAAAGAGAATGGCATCGTTTTCCTGGATGAAGGTATTCGCTCTTTTCGCTTACAGAATAGTGCTCTATTGACTGTTTACGCTAGCCCATATACTCCTTCACTAGGTGATTCGGGTTTCAACACCATCCAGATCATGGGCACGACTTTCAGATGAACAACGCTGACGTGGTCATCACACACGGACCGCCGAAGGGCATCATGCATTATACGCACTCCGGCCAACGGGCCGGCTGCCCATACCTTTTCAAAGCTGTCGCTCAAGCAAAACCCCTCATGCATTGTTTCGGTCATATCCATGAAGGCTGGGGTGCAAAGCTAATTAAATGGCGTCAGAAGACCGCCAAAGAGCCTTCTCATTTCACTGATATCGACAACGAGAATTCTGTTGCCGTATCCAGACTTTTAGTCCTCAAGAGAGATTATACGGGATACGCTACTACAAGCCATTGCTCCGGAGATCATCGCCCGCTAAAGCGGCGCTCGGAAACTCTGTTTATCAACGCATCAATCGAAGGTTCCGTTGAACTTAGGACACAGCCACCGTGGGTTGTTAGTATCGAGCTTGCAGCAGCAACCCGAGAAGCAATGCCTTCTAGCCTGATTTAAAGACCCAATGATTCTGATGACCAACTCTAGGACATCAGTCAAAACGGTAAGTTCCTTCACCCATTAATCCCACTATGAAATTGCCAATCCAGCTAAAGCACGAGACGGCAAGATAAGTGCGGCTTGTTTCCTCAAGAGAGCCCAGTAGAAACCCAACTGAAGCAGCATAGCTTGATATTTTGATTTCCGTTGGGATTCAATTAGTAATCATTGCATTTTAGGGCTTGGATTAAGCCTAAGCCGAGGAGCTGGAGCTTTCTCCTCAATCGAACTGTTGAAACATCCTGCTCAAGCATATAATGCAGTGATGCAGTCTCTTGATCCTTGTAGACTAGCTGCTGCTTTTCAACTTAAGATAGTCATGGAACACAATAATATGTGCGTAACTCAAGGTGAAGTCTCACCTGGCTTACTATGGCACAAAGATGAGTCACTTACTATTCGCTAGGCCCGGGGTGAACTGTTGAAGTCATCACCTAACCTTCTTTAGGTATCGGTGTCGAAAGTTTAAGTTGACATCAATATAGACGGGGAGCCCAAAACTAAACACTCATCGAAGACTATTAAACTCAACCTGTGTGACCACTTTCAAACGTCAAAAATGCCGATTTCGTATAGCCATAGTTACTTACGCGATGATCAAGAAGTAGAGGAAAGGACAAGAGATCCTGCTCGAGCACACATGGAAGCGAATATGTACTTAAGGGCCGACAAAGCCTCCAGAGAAGCCAATCTCGAACGATTTGGCAACATCAAACTCTTCAAAAGCCATCGTTTGTGGACCATTTTAGCCAAAATAAAGCCACCGATGAAATTTTTCTTTTCTGGAATAAACTTCTCTTTAGGGTGGAACACCTTCGAGAAGTTGTTCGAGAAGAAGAATATATCATATACCATCTCGATATCTCGAGCATAGACATCAAAGAGAGACTTGATCTTTTAGATGCCAAATACTAGCTCTTAGCGCAGAAGTAGTGGCATTATCGTTCATGTCAGGATGATGGGTTAGAACTACGAGCATTTGAGTCATGGCAGTCTCATCCACAATGGTATATGCAGCGTGTGCTCGTTGAAGATTGTGCTGGCCGACAAGGATGTTGTCCCCGTGGATGTGGCTGTTGTCTTAGCCGCAGAATCGATCCTACGCGCAGGCTGAGTTGGACACTGTACACTAGAATTTGGATGTTGTCGCAGAGCTTGGGTTTCGAAGTTTCCGAAAAACACAAGAAATCACTGAAAGAACAGTTTCGTCAAGACATAAATGACATTTATAGGCATAGAAATAGAAGGGCCGCAATTTGGGGCGTTGCCAGTGATAGATATGACAGTCCTTTCGATATAATCGATAGACCACCAAGCTATGGGCAGATTGCAAAAGATCTAGACAAGGGAACAAAGAGGGACAGAATTGACTGATAAGTTTCGATACAAACATGTAGATACTGCTCTATCATGCTTACTACAACATTGCTACTTATGTATTGTATGACATTCAGTTATCACATTCCCTATTGTACAAAGCGTCCAAGAAAATTGGTTTTTAATTTCCAAGGTTTGCAACAAACAAGTAGTCCTCTAGATATAAACGCCCTTTTTACTCGGGACTGCATCCTTCAAAGTTGTCATCAAAGCGCCAATTTGGTATTTTGGAGTGCGCTATGGCCGCTAATTTAATTTATTGATCTGTTCTCCTATCAAGGGTAGTCCATAGACTTGTTATGTACACTCACTTCATCCATGTCCTTGAGCGTCTCCCGTCGAACAGCATCGACATCAAATGCAGCCCTACTGTTGAAGATGCTTTCCATCTCTTCGAGACTTTTTCCTTTGGTCTCTTTGACGAAGAAGAAGACAATAATCGCCATGATGATGTCGAGCGCGGCGTAGAACAAGAAGACGTAGCTGCCCCATGCGTTCATCATGTAGCGAGTCACCAAGGAGAAAAGGAAGTTGAAGAGCCACTGTGTTGACACAGCGACGGAGGTTCCAACTGCGCGGATTCGAGTGGGGAAGATCTAAAATCTGGTCAATTACTGAAATTCTGAGAGAGTCTGAGCAAGAATTTACTAACCTCGGCGGTGTATGGCCACGGCAATGGACCCCAGCTGAATTGATAGATCGAGTTTGTCAGGAAGATCATCGCTACCATTCCAATACCAGCGGGGGTAGCCTTGGAATCTGGTGCTGGTGTAGTCTCTTTGACGACAGTCACGATGATGAAGCAGCCTGCCATCAGCAGAGCCGAAATCCAAAGTGTCGGCTTCCGTCCCCACATCTCGGAGAAGAACAAAATATAGGTGCCGACGGTGATAAATTTCTCGGCGCCGAACAAACCAGTGATGAGCAGCGACTGGTCCGTGTTATCACCAACAATCAATTTGAAGAATTGAGGACCGAAGTATGCGAGCGCAGTCATACCCGTGCACTGCTGGCCGCAGAACATGAAAAAGGCAAGGGCTAATCTGTAGCGATTGGCAGGTTCGAGGAGCTCGCGCGTCTGGAACCCTTCGGTGGCTCTCAACTCCTCCTCGAGCCCAACTCGAATTTCGGCAAATTCTGCCTTGACTTCTGGGCCTGTTGGGATGCAGTTAGCTATGCTCTCTGAGAAGGTTTTGTTCGGAATTTCTCTTTACCATCGCTAGCTCGGATCCATTTCAGGCTCTCAAATGCTTCATCAAAACGACCCTTCTTGGCCAACCAACGCGTACTCTCGGGCATGGCGAATAGACCCAATGCCAGGACTCCAGCTGGAACCATTTGAAGACCAACGGGAATTTGCCATTGCTTCGAAGACACGGGAAGTCCGATCTTGACACCATAGTCAATCCAATAACTCAACATAACACCCAGCGCGAAGAGCCACTGCATGCCCGAACCTAGCTTTCCGCGAATTTCCTTGGGTGCCATCTCGGCGTTATAAGCCGGGACAACTGCGGTGCCCGCACCAAGACCGAGACCAGCCACAAATCGCCCGATGTAAAAACAGACGAGGGAGTGTGACGGTACGACCTGCAGAATAACACCGATGCAGAAAACCGTCATGGCTGCCTGCACTGTCTTCTTCCTCCCGTACTTTTCGGAGACCCAGAAGACACTCAATGCAGATAAGAAAGCGCCGACATTTTGCAAGCTGACCATCACCGCACTGACGGTGGTCTGATCCTTGTAGCCGAAATCATCAACATAAGACTGAAACTCCAGAATACCACCTATTCACCAGGACTGTTAGTATAAACCCTATGGTGCATAACAAGGTCTCTAATTTCTCCACATACCGACAATTCCAGTGTCATACCCAAATAGGAAACCCGCCGTACAGATGAAGAATCCAAAGAAGTACGCCCGAAAGGCGCCAAGGCGGGTTCCTTGTAACCCCATGCTGTGCGACGTGTTGAATACGAGAACTCGCAGGAAAGAGACGATGAGGAAAAATATAGGGCGAGAAACGCGACCGCGCAACAAGCTTTAAATCCAAAAGCTCATGATTATCTCCGTGATATGTGATCCGAAGTAACTCGCACGCAACCGGTCACAGCGGATACGCCATAGCACGCCATCACGGGATGCATCCTGCCTATCACCATGGAGAGAAAGAGGCCTAAGCTAATTGCCAAGAGTGTCTTTATACAAACAAGAAGTGCTATCTGAAATTGAATTCGCATCTCTTGCTCGAATGTAAACGCGTCCATGTCCTGCTGATCAATGTTCGTATGATGCTATTTTGGAGCTTCTCCGCATTTCGCTGTTTGCCAAGACCTTTTTCCCCGGGATAATCTGTTTCGGTCTGTCGGATCGACCGCTCCGGGACATTGAAGATTTGACGATCAAGAACATTTGAAAAGTGGATTCTCTTGAGATTCGGTGGGTCCATCAGCCTCGATGCTTGATAGCTTTGAGACAAATCCCGATTGGCTACCGTTGTGATAATACTGGCCATGTCGGAAAAAGACTTTGACGAAGTTTGACGCGTCTGACTCTTTAGTGAGAGGCATGACGTTTCGCCATCCTCAGCTATGGTCCACAGTAATTTCTGTATGTGATTTTTACGCGACAGAGTAGGTGCATATTACATGTGGTGTATCGTGGGGACGAGGTGTGGGATATATGCATCTCAAAACGTGCTGAGCCGTCGGTGAATGAGCCATGGTTCGTGCCGGGAGCCTCAACCAACAAACCTTTAATCAGCTACTGCCTTCACAGTCCTTCATTTCTTTGAGAGTTGAACCAGACACAAAAAGGAACAGGATGCTCGTGATAGCTGCGGAAGCTGTACATCTAGACATACATATCATGGGCATCTTTGCAGCTCTGGTGGATTTCATAAAGGCTTTAAGAGGTTCTGCTTCATTGATTGGTCTCGCTTAGGCGGAGTACTAACGTATATGACAACGAGGTTTCAACAGAATATAAAATGATGATTGGAAGGGATAAAGGGTCCGCTTGAAACTCTGTACGTAGGTATTTGTGACTATTTGTTGGCTTTTGTACCTAGGTGTATATATATGGGTGTGGGTGAGAATAGCTATGTGCATACCTACTTCAGTTCCATTTATAACTTTTCTACACCAAGAATCAGCAATCTATTCACTGCCCTTGAGATGCATATGAAAGTCCTTGCAAATTCCGACTGACAATTGAACGTCCCTTCGCCTCAGATTTGACTGAGTCCTGTGCGTCGCTGCTAAGGAAAAACTCTCACAATATGAGAATAGATAAACTCGTTGAACCGGAAAACACATTCGTCGTCTGGCCACTTGTATCTGTTTCTAGAGGTTGAAGGCAAAGTTATTTTAATGTAGATAGTTCTTCGAGTCACTGAAGTCTTGATTTGTATAGTAAAAAAACACTTGCGTTTGCTTCATTTGCTTCACATGGACCAGACAAGACTTTCCTTTTACTCTTCTTTCACTTTATCTTCACCTTCTCTTCAACTTCTCTTCACCTTCTCTTCACCTTCTCTTCACCTTCTCTTCAACTTCTCTTCACCTTATCCTCTCCTCTGGGTCAGTCAAAATATCTATCAAGCCCTGCTTGATTCCTCGTGCGTCAGTCAGTCTATTCAACAACACTACTTTTCTAAGTCGCCCTTGGCAAGCACATCACAGGTAAACCTAACATAACAATTTCCAAGCAAACAAAGTGTTTCATATTAACATCTGAGGTCTCTGTAAGCGATGCGTTTCGGCAATAGGCCCCACGAGCCCCCGAACAACTTCTTGCAGTCATTCAACGTCGGGTATGACCAAGACCTGCCGGTCAGCTTGAGCTTCGAGCGTGTCAGACAGACAAGAGGGTGGAAGGTTGGCTCAAAGCGATGGAAGAAAGCATGGAAGTCATGCATGGATGCTGAGTACGATCGCTTGATCGGATCGCGCATGACCAACCTAGCACAGTGGCAGGAGTTGTGTAGCAAAGTCGGAATCGAGGACACCCCGTCCTCCATTACCCAATGCAAAAAGGTAATTCACCAATTCACAAAAGTCGGAATGTGCACTTACATCTCAAGGTATTGAGAAATGTGCACGTCAACATCGTTGACCTCCTCGACTGTTGGAATGACAACTCCATCCCGAGACGCTTCAAGAACCAAAACGCGCTCGCTGCCTATACCCGAGACAATGACAGGTACTTTGGACGAAATACCGCGAAAGAGGATAAAGTCCTCAAGGTTTTGCTGCGCGAAATTCTCTGAATACATCCTTCTTTGGTGGCGGGTTGGTTGTGTTTCAAGGCGATGCCCACCGCAGTTAACTTGAATGGGCGTTACTGTTTCGCAGTTCTGGTCGCAGTTCTAGTCACAAAGACTGAATATGCAGGGTAAAATGGGAAGCGTGAACTAAAATATCAATACTATGTTTTTCGATTGTTATAAATCATCCTCGGTATTAAATATTATTCGTAGTCCCTAACCCGAGATGTACAGCCTCAAAGTCTTTCAGAAAGCTCCACTGCCTCACGGTCTACTGAGATTTGTATGCTTTTCATGATGCGGTTTTTCGCTGGCGACTCGCTTGATCGCGAGCCAGGATCTGTCCCATCTGATCGGTCGGATTGAGGTGTGAGTTTAGGATTCGTGCGTGATTTGGAAGCCTCGTCGGTGTAAGCTAATCCATTCTCATCCACGTAGGCAGCAATGAATGGTTTCATCAATGGTGCAGTCAACACAACGACGCTCAGTGCTACGTGAAGTTCTGCGACCACTGTAGCGTAGGACCCTTCGAGTGTTGGGTCTGGCGAATTCACTTGTTGGCTCATGTAATGAAGATGGACCGCGACGACAGGAATTAGTCTGCAGTTGTACCAGTGTATGTCAGCAATCATATCACTTATGAGTTCATGCCTGCGATAATTGTCGAAGTGAGATTACGTACAATACGCGACAGCTAAGCACCAATATGACAGTAACCTTTTTGCCGAGGCTTGTTTGAAGCCGTAGGATTGCACGGATTGGATAAAGCAACAACGTTGTCTCAGAAATAATGTCTAATGCAGTCACAGCCTGCCAATGAGGGAACTAGAATTGACCGTATAAGTTGCTATTCGGAATGAATAGAGCCTGGGACGACTTACCAGTGCTTCACATTGTCCATTGATGTCTTGCCATGGGTGTCTATCACATCTAACTGCAACCAGAATGATATTAACTGGGGCGAATAGCACAGTTGTTGCGAGAAGAGCATAGCTCAGCCATAGTGAGCTACGTAGTGTAATAGTCCGGTAAAAAAGAGCTGTCGAAGCTTTTGACGAGGACAGAATTGTGACATAGAGAATATCTGCACTATATCCAGCCTAACAATAGAATGAGCATACAAAGTTATTAAGCCTAGTTTTGTTGGTGATAGGCACTCACCTTTTCCAGTGGCAGTAGGTCCTTTCCTGCGATCAGTGATTCTGTCTTGCCCCATCCGAAATGAATTTGAGCGAAAATGGCAGATATCTGCGCCAAGGCCAGAAACTAGCTCAACAAAACATCAGTACAGATCTTCTAAAGGGGTCCACATCAGTCAAGACGGAAAGGCATACCACAGTTACGGCAAAAGTCAAATCATCCAACTGGCGGACTCTCCTACTATAAGCAGAATATACCCGAATCCCCAAGGATCCCAAGACGACGAAGAGCGCGAAAGATGCAATGACCGTAATCACTCCGTTATGGTTTGTCTCGTTGTTTACTGTCAACGGGGGTGTCAAGCCCGATGGTACGCTGGAAAATGTTTCCATAACCGAAAGAAAGAAACATATTCTGACAGCGCGCTCTCTCTTAGGGACTTGATCCTGCATATATTCCGCCCGAGCGAATCCGCTTAGCTGACCCAGAGAAATAAGACGATAATTGAGCGCATCCCAAACACGAATCGCTGATCTTAATCCTCTGTCAGCCCGAATGGAAACCAATGAAGGGCAAATACAAACCAACAGCTGTGGGTCATTAACCCTTGTCTTGTGGATCAGCCGGCATGCCAAAGTCAAATTTCACTTTCCAGTTTGGAATTGGGTATGTGTAAGGTATCTATGCGGTGGAATAAAGGTTCATATAAGAGAAGCCCCCATGCATTTTTAGGGTTCAAAGTAAGTACATATACCTTTGCCGTTCGTGGGGTCTCTGATATGTGATATCATGTATCTAGCAAAAACCCTTGTTCGTGGGTAGTCCGAGATCTTGCGTTGCTATTTTCTTTTTTGCTTTTTTGCAAGCTATATTTGCTGTTCTTCATCTTGTTGTTTCGTGTATCCCTAGTCAAGGATACCGTTACTTTTCTGACAGCTCTGCCCAAGGAGAGCCCCAACAAGCAGTCAGATGTCCAGGTTTTGAGTTGAAGTAACTTGAGAGTTGCTAACAAAATTAATCAGTCAGCGCTAGTCACTCGGAAGGTTAGGGTTGCACTGTGGCACCTACGCCACGCCAAATAATCACAATCAAGTCAAATAACCCTCGCTACCTCGGTGTACTACTCTTGGGCTCACAATTCACAAACTTAGGTACCATTCATGTTACAGATACGGATTGTTTGTCAGATTGCGATCAGAACCAATATGGCGCAAGAGGCGAACAGCCAGAAGAAAAGGATCTGGGGCTAAAAACATATTGAAACCAGAGGAACTGCCTTGTGTTCTCTTCGATTCGTCATTCTCACGTGGTTTCCTTCAAGATGCTCTTATTTAATCTCGCTTCCACATCTCGAATATGAGACCTGTGACGATAGCCACTGTTTGACATGGACAGGGGATCTCGGAAAGACTTCCACATCTTGTTTCTTCGTGCGACCCCGTTTTCGAAATCTTCATTTCCCTAGTATCTGAACGGGAAAATGCAGGGCAAAACCGGAAGATAGCGTAAAATGACAATCCAAACTGACAGGGAGATAAATGACTGCAGATCACACCCTGGAGTGGCGGGGTAGCAGCTTCGTTGGCGATTGAGTTCAAACGATGATCTGGGTCTTACCAAGTGACGAAGCTTGGGTTGAAACATTCTCAGCTTAAGCTGTTTGCCTAGATTTTTAGAAAACATGTCACCCGTCAGGGATGGAGTGGCTCATTTATGAAAAGTGACTGCTTATGCTAGCTGGTAGATACGAAGTACACTGAAACAAACTCTTGTGACACTGCACCCTAATAAAGATCTCCAACGTGTGCAAAAGTTCTGCCGATTCCGGCTCTGCTTCCGGGAGGAATTCGCTACGTAGTCTTCATCTTGGCTTCGGTAGATTCTCTCGTCCGTCGAAGGATACAGAGGTGTAGAGAACTTCGGCTTCACATTCGGCTCGCTGTATCACACTAGATGTGGGACACCTGCAGCGGATCATCCGAGATTGCTTAGAGGGGTTTGACTTTAATATTAAGATTTTGTGGATATTGCACTTTCTCCAATCTTAATATCCAGATTCTGGTTTCAGATGTGCAAAAGATCTCACCTTTGAATTCAACTCATCCGCGATAAAGGTTGACTCCAGGAACGCCCCAGGAAAGCCCATTTGACGCGTCAAGCATGCTGCCAGATAATGCAGACGATGTGATCTCTTCATTCGACGTGACTCACACGGTGGATGAAGAGCCCACAAAATCTCAACCAAATATGGAAGGCACTCCTCAAGATCAAGATGATATGACGCGGATGGGCAAAATCCAGGAGTTGAAGGTACTGTTTGGCTCTTTTTGGTACGACATCAACGCTTTGAACTGATATCCTCGAAGCGCAACTTTCGACCGCTTGCTGCATTAAGTTTTTCAGCTGTTTTACAAGCTACCTGGGAGTTTATCCTCATGTAAGCCAGCCTTGAAGTCGCCACCACCCTGGGCAGATCACCTTCGACATGTCAATCACTGACGGTTAATTAGCTCCAACTCACAAGGACTCGAAAATGGCGGCCTGGCTGGTATGTTTTGGTCGTACATGTGGACATTCGTTGGGTTTGGCTTCATCATTGTCTCCCTAGCCGAGATGGCTTCGATGTGAGTTTTGACTGATCGATCTGCTTTTTCGAACTATGTTTCTGATATATCCCGTTTCATTCACTAGGGCACCAACTTCGGGTGGTCAATACCATTGGGTTTCGGAGTTTTCTTCCCCCCGTTATCAGCGATTCTTGAGTTATACGACCGGTGAGGTTTTCTGTGCAGCCATTCTCATCATTGACTAAGAAAGCATATCAGGATGGATGTCTGTTCTCGCCTGGCAAGCAGGAGCCGCGTCGGGATCATTTCTCACTGGGACAATAATTCAGGGTCTAATAACCATCCATGATCCCAGTTACGAGGCACAGAATTGGCAAGGAACATTGTTCGTTTTTGCAATGATTGCCGTTATCTATTTCTTCAACGTCTATGCGGCGAACTGGATACCAAGGATTCAAAATCTACTACTAGCTTTGCATCTGCTATGTTGGGTGATCATCGTCGTCGTGCTATTTGCCATGGCTCCTCACAACCCTGCGAAGAAAGTCTTCACTGAATTCCATAACGGTGGCAGTTGGCCTTCCATGGGTATCAGCTTGATGATTGGCCAAATTACAGCAATTTACGGATCTCTGAGTACGTACCTATGTGATCCGACAACAGAGATTGAAGCTAATTCGACAATATTGTCACAGGCTCCGACGCTACCGCACATATGTCAGAGGAGGTCAAGGACGCGGGTCGATACGTACCCATAGCGATAGCATGGGGCTATATTGGTAATGGGATTCTAGCCTTGATTGTCATTGTTGGCTTCCTTTTGGCTTTACCATCGGTCCCCGATGCCCTTAATGACAGCACCGGATTCCCGTTTTTATACGTCTTTCGACAGATCTTCTCGACATCTGGCGTCAACGGTCTCGCGGCAATTATCCTTGTTCCAGTCATCTTCAGCAATATCCTCTTCAATGCCTCAACTGCCCGTCAAACATATGCCTTTGCACGCGATCGTGGTCTGCCTTTTGCAAATTGGATATCTCAGGTTGACACACGGCGCCGAATTCCTGTGCGCGCCATTGCACTCTCCTGCTTAATCAGTGGACTATTGTCCCTCATTAACATTGGCTCGCAAGTTGCATTCAACGCTATCATCTCTCTCAATGTGGCAGCACTGATGTACACATACGCAGTATCGATTAGTTGCGTAATTTATCGCAAGGTCACCTGTCCCGAAACGTTACCTCCCCGGCGTTGGAGTCTTGGTCGCTTTGGTCTAGCCATCAACATCACTGGCTTGCTTTATGTCATCTTTGCCCTGTTCTGGTCTTTCTGGCCACCTAGCCCTTCACCCACGGCGCGAGACTTCAATTGGAGTGTCGTGATATTCGTTGCCACTTTTATCATCAGCCTTCTGATGTACATGTTTCAGGGTAGACGCCATTATGTTGGACCTGTTGTAACAGTCCAACGAGTTGATTGAATTTGTGTGATTTGGCGGTTTCACATATGCAATATCACAAGACTATGACCATTCAATGAAGATATTATTCTGTGATTTACTGGGGAAATAGGAAGCCTATTTATCAGCAAAAGGCAGGATTCCCACATCTTAACCTAGAACACTTATCTTATATCTCCGCAGCATCTGTCGGTAGAGTAATTTTTGATTTTCATTCTCTTTGCTTCTCGACGGAAATTGTGTGGACAGGTGCATTTGATCCAAGCTTCCCACTTGGCTTAGAAACTGATGAAGATTAAACTCCTACCGAGACTGTCGATCTTAAACGCGTTGTTTCTGATGGGAGTGTTGGCAAGGTTGAAGATGATGAAGATGAACTCCCACCTCAGTCCATTGTCAAGGGGGAGAAAGAGGAAAAGAAAACCGTGCTGTCTTCTGACCTCAAAGCGAAGAAAGAAGAGGAAGAAGACCACAAGGATTCGATCACTTCTCCCAAGCATTCTTCGAACAATTAGAAGCGGAAATAGTCCACTGCCCTGATCCGCAGGTGATTTTTGAATTGAATTTTGAGAGTACCAATGATCATCTTCCTGGTGACTGCATAGAAGGCACTTGACTAAAACTTATGCATTGCTTTGTCGAATTGTCAATTTCTATCTGTTTGCACGGTTGTCGTCGACGTTTGTTTTTAGTCTCACACACCAATCGGTAATACAAGCCAAGTAGCGACGTAAATTGAATATGTAGAATGAGCTAAATGTTTTCTCCAATCCAGACTTGTATCAAGAATTGGAAGGAATAGATCTGCAGTTTGCCGACATATGTGCTGCGTTGTTGTGCATACTAAGCAGAAAGGACTGCGCCTCTCGGATTCGGGCGATTCCGACTTGACTCCCTTACATCGCTATTTCTCCAACGTTCCAATGCTCCAACTACTCCAATGTGATGATAGTGCCCGAGCGCCTCTCAGATGCAAGGTCTGACCACAGAGTTGAATAGCCTAACCCCGCAATGTAGTATTAGTGAAATGATCATGTTAGTGCGACAATTATTCCAGGTTAATTGAGTTCACACATTTATACAATATCCCTTCATATAGAATCTAAAAAGCCAAAATGAAGGCTTGACTGTTACATAACACTGCAAACAATCGTGGAATAGCATAATATTCAATAGATGTGGTATAGTTGATCTCTATGGCCTGCTTCTTCTATGTATATGAAAGTATACAAAATGCGAACATTTCATCGATTTGGCCAATTCCATATCTCTTCCATTCGGTCTCATTCATCTTCATTCTTCCCTTTCCACCACAGCCACGCCCCAACAATGAAAGATTTCAACATTGCTGCAGTCCACAATGCTCCCATCAACCCGACCGAGCTGTGAGCCCAAAGACCTCCCAACACCACACCCAATAACAAGCACAGGACAGCCCCCAATCGGCGCACTTCCTCGGCATGGCCAACCACCTTCGTGGATAGGAAATCTGGATGGGAGAACAAATCGCAATAAATACTAGTCAAAACAACACTAGTCAAGCCATTGAAGTTCAAGACACGACTCGCCACCGCCTGTCCACTGCTTTGAAACGCTACCAAAGCGAGAGGAACCAGAACCATCCAACTCAAGGGCGCATCACGAGATGGGCGAAACATGGTAACAATGAGAGCAGCAAGGGACACACACAGGGTCTGTACGAGGAAGGACGCACAGAGCACCCATCTTCGCCTGGCTGGGAAAGCTCGGTGGAAGGCGGCGAAACACATAGAGCCAAGACAGAATCCCGCAATGGAGACACCAGATTTGATCCAACGATCATCATCAGTGCCAACAAGACCCAGTCCAAAGTAAACGGTGTTGCCTGTTTGCATGCTGACAAAGGAACCCCAGATAAACACGGCCGAGCTATCAAGGAGGCCGGTGATAATGTAGCACAATAGTAGGATCAGGTCTCCATGTGCGGGATCGATTTCGGTGCGTAGGTGTTTGGATAGACGGGGCCGGGATGATTCTGACCCTGGCCCTGGTCCCGGCCCCAAGAGGGGATCTGTTTCTTGAGGCATGGTCATAATTTCGAGAAAGGGAAATGAAGCCTTTATGTAAGGAAACAGGTAAACCTCGGGATTGGGAGTTGGAAATATTATACGACGTACTCTCTCCCTCTCTGTCTCTCCCCGCACGAACGAAAAAAAAGCAAAACACCAACGTCATGGACTCCACTATGTGTGGAGAAGTGAATGCCGAATTCAACTATTCAGATTAAGAGACGAAACAAATGAACAAATCACAAATGAAATCGACCGAAAACAAATCAAATAAGCTTTGAATCACAGGATTGGAGACTAGCGTAGGGTACATTGGTGTAGTGTAATGTTCTTTTTGGGCCGCGGAGCCATTCGGGAAGTCTGACGTCGATGCGGAGATACAGTACTTGATTAACTACCTTTGTGTATCTACTTACTGACTTCATGGTCTCTATCTCTTCCGGTGTAACCAATTTGTGGTCACATTCTTCATCATGCAGCTGACTTGTTTGTTAAATCTACTACTTCTTCAGCTCGCATGTGCTGCCCCTGCACCCGATGCTAGCTTCCAACGGGATCTCCAACAGCTCTTACGGGTACCACCAACTCATCCATTCAATCAACAACCCATCTCTGGGGCACCGCCATTTTCTCCTGGACATCGTGATCCATATGATCACAAGGTAGATTCGGTAGGGGATGGCCGACAGCCACTCCCATTCCGAAATGGAGATGGTACAACCGTTATGGGACCACGCAATCGAGATCGCGAGCGTCAGAATCCTGATCTTGTCCGTCCTCCGAGTACAGATCATGGTAGCATGCCGAATATGCGATGGAGTTTTGCTGACTCGCACATTCGAATTGAAGTATGATCTCTCTTATTCGAACCCCGAGAAAGATATCTGACAATACATGCGTATATTACAGGAAGGAGGCTGGACACGACAGACTACAATTCGAGAGTTGCCTACCAGCCGTGAACTGGCCGGTGTGAATATGCGTCTTGATCAGGGAGTCATCCGTGAACTACATTGGCATACTGAGGCTGAGTGGGCCTATGTGCTTGCCGGAAACGTCCGAGTCACCGCGTTGGATCCAGACGGGGGTAGTTTCATGGATGATCTCGAAGCCGGTGATCTCTGGTACTTCCCTGCTGGACACCCTCACTCCCTCCAAGGTCTAGGGGAGAATGGTACCGAGTTCTTGTTGATCTTTGACGATGGGCATTTCTCTGAGGAATCTACGTTCATTCTGACTGATTGGATGGGTATCTTCAATCTGCCCTGGTCGCTATCCACCCATACTAACTATGTAACAGCGCACACCCCGAAAGCAGTTCTAGCAGAGAACTTCCGCATTGCAGCAAACAAATTCGACAAAATCCCCACATCCGAAAAATATATCTTCAAGGGCACGAACCCCGGCAGCATCGAAGATGAAAAGCCACGCGGCTTCAAGAAATCCAAGATCAACTTCACCCACCACATGCATGCACAGACACCAATAGACACCTCCGGAGGCCGGGTGCGCATCACAGACTCGTCGAATTTCCCCATCTCCAAGACGGTATCAGCCGCGCATCTCGAGATTGCCCCGGGCGCACTACGAGAAATGCACTGGCACCCGAACGCTGATGAATGGACCTACTTCAAAAAGGGTCGCGCTCGCGTGACCATCTTTGCCGCTGAAGGCAATGCACGCACATTCAACTACATGGCTGGTGATGTGGGAATTGTGCCTCGCAACATGGGCCATTATGTTGAGAATCTCAGCGACGATGAGCCGTTGGAAATTTTGGAGATCTTCCGCTCGGACGCGTTCCAGGACTTTTCGCTCTCGCAGTGGCTTGGAAGAACACCTCCTCGCATGATTGCTGATCACCTTTATGCCTCGGATCCCGAGTTAGCCGAGGAGTTCTTGAAGAAGATTGAAGGTGGCGACAAGGACCCGATCAAGAATACAATCTAGATTGGCTATTCGTACTGGGTAAAGAGTGAGGACATGGCTGGATATATTGTCACATCTTGGAAGATAAACTTGCAAAGTTGCCTGGCTAAATGTCAGATTTGTTCATGGACTCGACTACATAGTCTGTTAACAGGGCTTGAGATGAATATCGATTCACCCTATTCACTGTGTAATCATGTCCAATAGTTACTCAGGTACTGTTTATACTGCTTAAATTGGAACTCGCTTTTAAGTAATATATCCGTCTGGCTGATAGTTCACTTTCTTGGACTTTCTCCCAATTCTTTCAATCCGTACAGCCAAGGTATCTACTGGCCAAACCAGTACCTAACTAGCAATATCAATAGTAGGGAGATCAGACATATGCAACTTCGAACTTCCATACGGCCTCAAGACAGCCTCGAAAGTATCCCCAATACATTGGCGATCATTCTTGGCGGGTGGATCCGCCGGGACGGAATCCTTGAAAAGAGGCCAGTCAATGAGACAGCCCTTAGCAGTGACAGACATGGGCAATTTCCCATCATCAAAAGTAGGCGATGGCAAAGATCCCTCGCCAGCATGGAACTGCAGAGTGGAGGGATCGATTGCGACGTTCCACTCTGTGCCGTTTGTCATCATATGATCCTGCATCTCAGCTGGGTATGTTCCCTCTGGATACGCCTGCTGTGTATTATAAAACTTAGGAGGACCGCTCGAGATAAAGGGTGAAATATACAAGCTGTAGAGAACCGAGCCTTGATAAACTGCGATTGTGTCGTTTGCGCGTGGTTCAATTCGGAGATCCATGCCGATCTCGTATTTGATTGTTGACTTTCCGGAGGGAACTTGAATTTTGGTGAGGCTGGTCTTGAGGTCAACTGCCGCGGATGCATCGTTGATCTTGATACCGGTTGACCACTCCGGGACACGGAGGTAGAGGTCAAAGTCTGTCTCGCTGTTCACGGTGTAGGATAGCGTAGTATCAAAAGGATACTCGGTTTCGCAGTCCACAGTGACGTCCTTGCCTCCAATCTGCGTATTAACTTGACCAGGACTAAGCAGAGCATGGACAAGTCCCTGATCCCCGTTCTTCAAATAGCTGTACATGGTGAACTTGGGGAATCCCTGGGGGTGATTGACGGTACAGCAAGGGTAATTCGGCTCGACTCCAAAAGACTGGCCGACAGTATTGACATTCCAGAACGGCGAAGCAGAGAGATTCTTCGCGAAAGGCTGGTTCGGCTCAGTCATGTACTGGTGCGAAGTCCAGTCCGGCCACATCGCCGCAGGCAAAGCGTTGAAAGCGGCCAGCTCCGCGCGGTCTGCGTAAGTCGGGTCGCCGAGTGCGAAATAGTTGTAGGCGAGCGAATAGATTGCTTCGACATCCGTGCAGAGCTCGGATCCATAGAACGGGTTCAAGCCAGCGAGCCGTTCATCGGCCAGGATGGTACCGGACGCCGAGCCGTGGTATTTGAATGTCCAATCAACACCGTTCTTCGCAGTTGTGATAAGGCTGTCATTCTTGGTCGATCGTCTGAAGACAGCCGCGTACTTCAGGCCTTCAGCAACCGTCACACCATGCAAGAAAGGCCATTCCTCGTCGGCCAAAGATGCTGGAACAGTGTTGAGGTCAGCTTTGATATAGCTCTGCTCGGTATACCATCCCTCCCACTTGAAAGAGTACTGATGAATCATATCAATATTCTCTTTCAAGATATCAGTCTGGTTTCCAGGATAGTGATCAAGCATCCACTGCAGGCTAACAACCATATCCTGCGACCGAGAACGGAACCACACATAATCATCCGCACTGACCTTATCACCGTCGTGATATATCATGCCCGTGCCATTATTCTTCAGCATGGTATTCATCAACCCGTTGAAACGGTACAGAGCACTAAGGATAGGCTTCTCGTAAGTTGCCGGATCAGCGTCAACGAGGTTCGTCAAGCCAAGGAAAACGAGTGTGCGCGCCCAGATAAGTCGATTTCCGGACTCAATAGTCTCAGGTCCAATCCAGCCATCTGCTTGGACAAGGTCGAGAATCTTGGTGACGACTGTGTTCACATCACCTTTGAGCCTGTCGTCTTGCAAAGTGTATGCCAGCGGGACTATGGCATTCACCCAGTATGGAAGAGCTTCATTTAGATCACTGTACTCCTGGTCACCGCCGATCCACGAGGACTTGGAGACATAGCGAAAGAAATCATAAAGGTGACTTGGTCATACAAACTTGGTCAGTATGTTCTACCCAGTGGTAGGAACAAATACTCACCCGCCGAGGCCAGCTGCTGATGCCTCGAGTTCTGTTTTGAGCCATCCATTTGGCATGATACTCCCAAGGGGCAGAGGATTAAACGCAAATGGTACAACTATTGCTTGCGGTCAGCTGAAGAATAATTCGCACCAACACCAGACACTCACGGTCAGCATCTCTGGCTTTCAGAGCTGTAGCGCCAACTGGCAAGAGGATCAAAGCGGTGTTCAACAGCCGCATGGTGATACGGAGATTGAAATCTTGGAATAGATCAAAAATCTCACATCTACAATTCCTCTCTTTCCAGATAATTGCGCCGTCAATGAATATACAAAACACCGGCGGGTGCCACAGGAGCACAGATTGTAGGCGAGCCGGTGTAACATGCATCAAGTGCCCCGATTGTTCAAGATTTATTAGTTTATGAAATGAGGGGAAATGTAACATTCCTGAAGGCCGTGCGGAGCATGCCGATCTATAGCCTTGTTTTTGAGAGGCTCGCGTTTCGCGGAGTAGTGAGTGAAGATCTGTATCTCGGCCGGGTTATTACCTGAAAAGGAGATAGATTGACATGAACAACTTCTAATTAGATACATGGTCGTAAAACATGTCTACCGATTGCGTTTCGGAGTTTTATACATCAAATGTTTCATGGGTGAAGTGAAGTCATTACCGCCAGGAAGAGACTAGAAGTGGATCACAGTGCTGTTCTCCTTCTGGACAAACTGCAGGAAGTCATGGAGGTCATTGTTCTTCGGGGTGCCGACAACGAACACCGCGGGCTTTCCGTAAGGAGCAGAGACTCGGACGATCTGTCCGCCGTGGTATTTCTTTCCAGACCACACGTGGGTGTAGGTCTGGTTCTTCCCGGGGAAATAGACCTTGACGCTAGTGCGACCGGGGTCAAGCACTGGTGCGACATATAAATCGGAACCAAGGTAGAAGCTCTCGTAGCTGATAGCCTTTGCAATCGGGTCGTTGGGGTGGTAGATGACCGGCATGCGGAGCAAAGGCCAGCCCAGGCGCTTGCTTTCGGTATCCAAAATGCGGCGGCGGTAAGTTGCCAGACTGGCAAACATGCGCGCGTTGTAGCTGAACCAGGAATATGTGGTAGAGTTTGTGTAAAATTGTGCGTTCACCTGGGGGACGTTGCCCTCGTGGGTGCGGAACACGGCGCTGGCGACAGCGGAGAGCTCTCCCCAGCGACCGAGCAGCTCGGAAGAACGATTGACGACACCGTTGCTGTCCCACGTAGTGGTATATCCGCCGATTTCGGTGTGGCCGTGGGCATATCCCGACAGACCCATGTGGCCCATGACAGTGATGGAAGACTTGATGCCGTCGTTGACGCCCCAATTGGTATCCTGGTCACCAGCCCAGTACAGGTTCATGTACCGGTTAGATGCCATGGCAGATGAACGATGGAACAGAATGGAGTCCGAGAATTGCGAAACGTTCTTGCCAATCCAGTGGTGGAGAGCAGCCCACTCGCGAGGGTAGGCGTTGTGGTAGAAGAATGGGTTAATGCTCTTGTTGGCAAAGCGAGTGTCCTTATAAATCGGCGTGTACTCGCCGAAATCAGTCATGAATCCGGAGATGTTGGCGCTCCAGACTTGGTCGAGCAACACCTCCTTGAACCAGGATCGTCCAGCAGGGTTGGTAAGATCGAGGATACCGGCGTCAAGGCCCGGGCCACTGGAGATGACGGAAGTTTCGTTGGTGGTAGAGTTCTGGATCATGTATCCGAACTGAGTAGCCTCCTCATACAGGTTGGTGGTGTATCCATCGGGCTTTGAGCTAACATTGGCCAGGAACGGGTTGATGTATGCCAGAGTGCGGACGTTGTGGTCGTCACGGAGAGCCTGGACAAACTTGTTCCAAGTTGGGTAAAGCGTGGAGTCAGATTCCCAGTTCCACCAGAGACGAGAAACATTCAAGGACATGTAAGACACGCTCTGCGAGTGAGTGCCAGACCAATCCTGCAGCCAGACTGCGGCGACGGGACATTCAAGCTTGAGTCCCTGCTCAACAATGCGGTTCACCTTTGACTGTCCACCTTGGATGCCAAGCACGGCACCTGTATCCACCCACTTGGGCAATGCAGGCATTCTGCCGGTGTACTCGGTAAGCATAGAAATTCCATTCAGCATATCCGTTGCTTGCATGAAGTAACCATCGACAGTGAGAGCATCGTAGCGCACGGTGACAGCACTGGGGTCGGTGAAATCAAAGGTGGTATACGCAGAGCTCTCTTGGGTCAGGTGGAACACCCGTGCATTGGAGCTAATGTATTGAGGAACAGCGGAGTATGCAGTGAAGTGATCTCCGCCAGCGAAAAAGCTATCCTCACTCTCAAGGCGGGTCGTAGGCTGGTCGCCTCGACCGACTCCTTGCTCACGAGAGAAGATGGGAATAGACTGATTCTTGAAGGAAGCGAAAGACCCCTGGGCACCGAGACCGTAGAAGTCTTCATTGGGCGAAGACCGATAGGTAAGGAAGACCTTTGTGGCAGCATGCGACAAAGACCCAGGGTTGACATTAACGTTGAAGGCAATACGATCGGGGAACTCAGATGGGACCCAGAAGGCGACAGAGAAATCAAGATTGGCATCACCACAGCCAGTGAGTTGACCCTCAATGACCGCAGCGTGAGCATTCGCACTTCCGTGCCATGAGCGAAGAGTAACATTTGTGATCTTCTGGCCACTGCACTTGTCTTGGTCTACTTCATTGATCTTGAAGTTACCGTTGGCGGCGATGACCTCGTCATCCCCTGCACTGGCACTGAGGAATCCTTGGCCGGGCACGGTGTCCCAGATGGTACGGCCATCCTGGGCGATAGACAGACGGTTGGTGCTGTTGTTGACTGTGAGCTCAAACCCATTTCCAAGGTTCCAAGGCGCGTGAACGGCAAAAGACGGAGCCGCGAGAGAGGCCCAAAGCCAGAAATTAGGAGCGCGCATCTTGGAGTGAGTTGGACAAAGCAGGAAGCATCCATGTGGCGCCCGTTTGGCTTTTAAAGCTCCGCGGTCTCTGTCCTAGCGTCATATTGTCTGCAGAATCTTCGATGACATCTGAGGAGCATGTCCGTCCCACTTGGCGCAATCATGGTTAGTTTGGCCATCGGCAGTTTATGGGATCAAGCCAATGAAGATGAGCTTGACCCTGTTTCTAATGATGATCAGCCCATTTCATCACCTCAGTTGGCTATACCAAGGGCTCACGGGGAAATAGGCTCCACAGCCGACAACCCAGTCGGCTCATCGCGTAGCCCCATTCGGCAAGCTGCCGACTCATTCCTCATAAACGTATAGCCGACCCAGGGGAGCCAAATGGAATCCGGGGTTTCACGGATTAACCTCGCCAGATGTTTGGGGTTAGTTTTATCCCCCTTTTATGCGTTTTTTCCATCCATTTCAATGAGTTGCGTTTGAGTGAATGGATGCGCTCGCTATGTTCAACGATGATGGCGTGGCGGAGGAAAAAAACAACGGGCGCCGGCGGAAGTGGAGTTGGCCTCCGCACTTTACCCAACTCGTACGTCTACAGGTACATTCTTCCCCGGCAACTTGGATCCCGTTTTGAGCCGACCGAGATCACGTCTTGAACGCTAAAATGGTAAGTTGACTAACCATAATTTTCTTAGTATCAATTTATTGATCTCGTGGATTTGCTATCAACCTTGGAAATATTGTCTCATCTGCCAATTCCTCGGTATTTCAGGCATCCTTCTTGGGCACCCTAACGAGCCGATGGGCCGTAGCACCATCTTCAAGTTTTAGAATAGTCTGTTGCCATTTAAACCCTTGGAGCCGGGGAAGAAGCTTGATCCAGACATAGTAATAAACACCACAAATAGCAATGCTGTGTGCCCGTTAGTGATCTATAGTATTGCCGAATCTAACCGGGAAAGACTTACATTCCAATGGCCACTGCACAATATGTTGCATACCAGAAACTCACATCACCTCCAGTGGCTCCAGTGCTGGGCGGATACCATGGCATAACCACCATGTACAAATTGGAGAGAATCGCAAATCCAACTGTAACGTGCCAAGCCTGGTAATCGGGGGCTGGTAAATTGAGACGCTTGCGACGAGCTCGAGTCACCACCAATCCTATTGTGAGTAATAATCCAAAGAACGATGCTGGATAGACTCCAAGATCCACGACTATTGGATAAATTAGTATTGGGTCATCAATATTTCTCGCTTGAATGAACAAGGGAAATGAATGAACAAGGGAAAATGCCAAATATAATTTTGGAAAAAGGCATTCATAACAAAAAGTAACATACTGAAATTAAACGCATCGCCAGCAGGAGGTGCCAGGATCATCAAGATTGTGAGCCCCCATTTCACCAAGTAAGGACCAAGCGGTGTTCCAAACGGTTTTGTTGAAGTCCAGAATGTTGTGAATGGCAGAACACCTTGTCTAGAAGTTGTTAGACACCTGATCACATTACCCCAAATTGAGGAATGTCACTCACCTTCCGCATTCTCTCAGCATACGAGACTGGCCGATGAGCACAGCAAGTAGATTTCCAAATGCACTCAGGCAAATAAGGAAATTCAATGCCGAGGCCGCGCTGCCGGTTCCAAAGACCTTCTCGAAGAACAGACCAGCGGCAACCACTTTCGACTCGATGATTTCCTCCTTTGTCGCAGCGCTGAAATATGCAATATTGGCTAGGACATATAAAGTCGCTGTCAGACCTAACGACAAGGGAGCACTCCACTTGAATGTTTTGGTGGGGTTCTGATGCCAGTTAGCAAGTTACTTATCTAGTGATCTGTTCGAAGCACATACTCGGACTTCATTGACCACATTGAAGGCGTTCTCATAGCCCGCATATGAGAACCACACTTTGGTCAACGCATTTGTTGTTCCGTAGACCGTAGCTGCACCCGTGCCTTCGAAGGCGTTTCGGAAGTTGGCCTTGGGGTCTTTCACCGAGGTGTGGCCTCCTAGGACGACTAATCCACTGATTCCAATACTACCGAGAGATTAGTATTTCCTGTCAGAAACTTTCTTTGCGGGGCTCAAGAACTTGGTCTAACAATATCAGTGTGACGAGCTTGACCAATCCGATCGCATTCGCTAATCTGAGAGACCATCTGGTATTGAATGCCAGGGCTTAAGATAAAGAACAATGGTCAGCTCGGTTGGAACCTCAAAACGTTGATCCATAATCTACTCACCCAGGACTGCAACGGTGTAAGAAGCAACAGCTACCCCCTTGAGTTCCCAAGCTGTAGGAGTCGCATGTCCAAGTTTGAATAGATATTGCGCCAAAACTATATCAAAATGTCAGTACACAAGCCTTAACCTCATGTGATCGTTGATGTGACCCCACCAACAGCGTTACTGCTGCTAAACGAAAACAGCACAGTCTGCATCGCAAAAACAGTGGGAAAAAAGTACTTTGGTCGCGGATAAGACTGTTCCAAGTAAACGACTTCAGAGCCCGATCGACTGGGGAAGCACGATGCAAATTCCATATAGACGGATAAAGAACTGGATGCCATCAAGTATCCAATCACCCAGTAAAATAATGCTAGGCCAACAGAGCCAGCGCCCTTGAGGACGTTCGATGCTATACCACATGTGAGTATAACTCCACATGATCAATACATAATTTGACATATACGAACGTGTTGAGAATACACCCGTTCCGATCATTTTGCTCAAATTGAGAAAGACAACAGTCACCCAACCAACCGAATAGCCCAATGGAGAATTGACCTCAACAGGGGCCCCCGAAGCCTCTTGGTATGTAGCTTTGGAGGTGTTCCCACCGATCTCGTGAGTATATCTCAAGCTATCATTATCGCTACTTTCATATTGCGGAGGCGACTCAACGCATTCTTTCGTTTCGTATTCAAGGCCCATTGTATCTTAGCAAAGTGAGAAAAGGAAAATGATGGCCTATGAAACGCATGGTGGAGGATATATATATAGTGTTAAATCGGTAACCTGCGCACGGGCTGGAGTGTAACAGGTCTCGCCAAGTATGATGTGATTACGTGGAATATCCGACAAGAACTCATACAGGGGCGTTTACCTTGAATGTTGCGGTACAGGGGTGTGCGCTTTTATCCTTTAGGGTGGTGCATATCTTGGTCTCAGCGGGTGAAAAGCATAATGGTGAGATTTTGTTACATCGAGATAAGCGATATTATGTCCGGGCCAACCAGGTGCTTGGCTTTGAATGGAAGTTCAAGGCCAAGTGCTTGTGTTGTGAAAGCGAAGCGAGGTGCACTATGGCGCAATGATTTGCAACAGCCCAGGGGAATGATGCGACTGCGGGGTTGAAGACCTTAACAATTATCAATTGAATGAATGAATGAATGAACGCGCATTGAAATATTTGAGATAGCCAATCTAGCTCTACAGGAAACATAGCATACAACGTGGTGGTGGCTATTCAATGTATGGCATTGGTTGTAAAGGGGTAGGGGACAGACAGAAAACGGCAGCAACGTGCAGGCCTAGCCAGAGGCTTATGGGGAAATGAGGAAAGATATGCATAAAAGTTTGGATCTGCGGAATGTTTTCTCTCGGAATGTTTTGTGGAGGCAGCGGACATTTGATCAGAATAAGAAATTACAAGGTTTTCACTTTTCCGCGACCCTAAAAAGAAATGTAAAAAGTATGTTCCAAATTGTGTCAAAAGCGCCAGCTCCGCTCATTGCGGCCTTCAATTCTTCCACAATGATTGGCTGCCCCAAGAAGTAGGGGTAGAACTCATCTCAAACTCGATCTTCGCGGCACGTACAACCTGACTGTGCTTTAAGACGGGGGATGTGATACTCTTTCCATCGACCTTAAGCCCACGAATGTAGGGCATTGTGGTGGCGTTGGGTGCGCTGATTTGAAGCGTCCGCTCCTGGACGCCAGCGGCCCCACCAGTGCTCGCTCCATTGGGAAGACGAATAGATATCTGTTCGAAGAATGGCGTGCCAACAATATACTCGTCGCTGGCAGGATTGACGGGATAGAAGCCCAGCGCTGAAAAGACATACCAAGCACTCATCTGGCCCAAATCTTCATTTCCGCCCAATCCTCCACTGGTCGCGTTGTAGTTTGCCCAAGCAACCTCTCTTATAACCTCGGCTGCTCGGCTGGGATAGCCAAGTGCAGAGTACAAATACGGCACATGGTGGCTGGGTTCATTCGTATGATCGTTATGACCGCCCTCGAAGTGCGCATTCAGCTTATCATGGAACAATTCACGGCTACCGAAAAGCGTAGTGAGTCCCTTCACATCGTGCATCACATCGAATGTGTAAACCCAGTCGTCACCCTCCGTCCAACCGAAAGTGTTATTGGCCCAAGTGCCGTTCGCATTGCGAGCCTGCATGAACTGGGTCTCATTATTCCACGTGTGTGCGTAATTCGCGCTGCGCATCTTGAGCGCGTCAGCCGCCTTTTGCTCCCCCGCATGAGTAGCGACAACGGAACAAGCATAATCATCAAATGCATAGTCTAGTGTGCGACTACCGGCCTCGGACCAGCCATCATTCGATACCCAGCCCTGCTTCATGTAAGAGGTGAGACCAGCCCGTGCCTCATACGAGGTTCCGGGCTCGCGGTCATAGTACAAAGTCTCAGTGTCATGATCAGGCGGAGTGTAAGCATCCTTTCTAACGGCTTTCCAGGCTTTCTTGATATCAAATCCTCTAAACCCTCGTTCCAGTGCATTTGCCAACACAACGTCTGCGTTCGTAGCAATCATGATGTTCGTCTCGACCAGTTTGGCCCACATGGGCAACCAACCAGACCAATCAAAAATGCGCAGAAGGGAGCGCATCATACTGTTCACGCGCTCGGGGGCAAATATTGTCAGCAGCGAATGCTCCGCTCTGTAAGTATCCCAGATTGACCACGACTGGTAATATGAATCGTTCTCAGTGTGCATACTATCTGTATAGCCCGAGTAGAAGATGCGCGGTGCGCCATCCTTGTCCGCCGTTGGCTCAGAAAAGTCGTTAGGATACTGCAGGGCGTGGAAAAGACCAGTATACCAGATTGTGCGTGGGTCATTCTCTGGGTCCGTCTTGTTGACTCCATGAATGGAGACTCTGCCCAACTTCTCGAGCCAGGCGGATTTGACTTTTCCCACTGTATCCTCGAAAGAATGTCCATCCGGAGCCTGGATTTCAAGATTCTTCCTTGCTTGTGCGACACTGACATAGGAGACTCCAGTGCGCACTTCGACGCGAGATACCGTGTTGCCGAATTTCACATAGGCTCCGGTAAAATTTCCATGTCTTTGGGCCTCATTCTTCTTCATGGATCCACCATTTGCAACGCCATATTCTGTGAAGGGCTCGGAAAATCGAGACACAAAGTAGCCCTTGAACGATGGGGCTTTGTTCGGGCCGAGGAGGTAGTCCTGACGCTCAGTGTTGTACCCGTACACTTCCTTGGTCTTCGCATCAATGTGGACTTCACCTGTCCAGTTTCGACGCGAGGCTTGGACAAAGACCCAAGGCTCTTGGCCCTGACCATTCGTATCTCCAGCACTATTTTGAAAGTCGAAACGGAGATGGCCAACATGGGAGTCTGCGGACATCGCAACCTGAAATGGTCAGAAACAGAAATCTGGAGTGAAATTGATGTGTTTAAAAATAATACCTGGATAGATCGCTCATACTCCTCGTCATCCCTAGCTTGAAGCTGGATGGACTCAATGTGTCGCCTTTTCGTCCGTCCATTGGCACCCTCTTCCACATCCTCGGGCACCGAGCCGGCACCCCCGGAACAGGTCCATCGCCAACAGCGTCCGCCGTCGCATTCCAATCACGGTTCATGAGCTGAGTTGCATTAACAAGGACTTCATATACATAAGGCGTACTATGTTCATCTTTCTTCCGAAACTTCAGGCCACGATTCTGGAACAGTGGCTGGACTTCACCCATTCCAGGAGTCAGGACAACTTGGCCAGATTCACCCATCCAAATTGCCGGTTGATGCGTGGCTTGGAAACCATGAATGAGACGATCGCTGTCGCCATATGGGACTTGCGAGATGAAGTTCTCGCGAGTCTGAGGTGTCCAACGCGTCATGCCAAAGGGCGGACAAACGGATGGGATCATACCGCCATTGCCGTTTGGTGTCGTTCCATAGGTGCCGATGAGGGGGTTGACGAAGTTGAGAACGCCAGCGTCTTTGTGGTAACCACTTTTGTCGCGTGTCGGCTTTGTAAGCTGGGAGTATGCGCTACTAGCAAGTCCTGCTAGAAGGACTGGTAACACGCCGACCATGTTGGAGGATATATATCAATGGAAGATGCAGCTCACGGTACATGGCTGAAGCTTTGTATTTAGATTGGAGCATGAGTCCCAAGCTTTAACCTAGGGTATACATTTCCTCACATTCTTCCAATCAAGTCGGCAAAACGGGTTGCCTGAGAAGGAAAATAATTGATGATCTCAATTTCAATCCCCGCATTTGCGGGGTGTGGTAGTGCTGCCCGAGCGGGTGGTAGCGCTCGACCTTTTCCAAAGTTCACGACCCGTGCCACAAAAATGCAGAGTGGCCAGGGGTCAAATCGGGGTTAGGCCTATAACCTTGGAATTACCTTATTTTAGACTCAGGAATTGAACTGCATAGATCACTAACATGAATGCCCTATCAAGTAGTGTGACCAAAATCAATAATAATTATACGTTATGGCCCAATCAACGGTGTGAAAGATATTGACCACTTTATCATGGATGTTCTAAGTTTTATCTCTCGTTAGTGCTATAGGTAGTGTGTAGAAACATATGGACTCGATTAAGACTCCCGTTCTTATAAGGTTTAAGATCAATAGATAGAGTCATTATATATATATATATATGGAAATAAGTTTCAGTTCTGAAAATAGCAGAATAAAGAAAGAAACTCAAAAGGAAACGTGAAAGGGGAAGTGAAAGGGGAAGTACAAGGAGATGCATAAAGGGTTGACTCTGCAAGATGTTGTTCTTTTAAATTCTTTGTTGAAGCTAGCGGACATTTCATGAGAATGGGAAATCACAAGGTTTTCAGCTTTGCCTGAGGGCCAAATCGTATGTCATTGTAATCGTAATTATTGACCCGAGGGTCTAGCTAGCCAAAGGGACGCTGCTAATCTAGCGAGTTGGAATAAAGTGCTGAGAGTCAGACTCCTGTTGACTGAATGATTCAGGGAAGGCTGCAATTCCACCGATGATGCCGATGGCCATGAAACATAGGGAGATCAAAGACCAAATCACACCCCAGCACTGAGAGGAACCACCGTATTTCTTTGCGAAGACACTGGCATCGGAACTATTGACTTTGCGGAGAATGAGATCATCACACTAATACAACAAATTAGCTTTTTTGAAGAGCATAAAAAGGATGGAGCTAGAAGGAGTAGTGCCAAACTTACGATATCCCAGACACTATACAAAGCCGACATGACACCGATGAAGAGCTATATTACCAATATATTAGATTAGCACCGATTCAAACCAGTTGGTATAATCTTCAAACTTACCACAACCCAACGCAAGGCTTCTCCGTGGGCAATGAACCAGCAAGCCACCAAGAGACCTACCGCAAGCAGAATGGTCATGATAGTCAGCCAGTCCCTCCGCGCCCACCAGAGTGTAAGTAGGAAGCAGACGCCCAAAACGATACTAGCAACCTTGCTAGCAACAATATCAAACCCAGCGAAGATCAACAGAGCTCCAATAATGGATGAACCCAGATAACCAGCCGGTAGGGTGACAGCGCTCATGCCGCCTTGCATGTGAGTGACACCGCCTTCGTGTGGATCCAAGGAGATTGATTTGACTTTCCCGCCAGTGCAGCAGGCTGTAATCGCATGTCCGAATTCATGGAATGCAATCACTAGCATCTGTTGTTGTCAGTTGCTGTCAATAGATATGTTTGGTGATAGCTTGCCTTAAAGGGCCATAGCACCCAGCGAATATAAGGGACGTTCCATAGGATGGCGATGACCACGACATATACCGCCATTATTCCTAGCGTGATGGCCTGGGTATGGTTAACGGTTAGGTCACGCCGGGCGAGAAGCGGGGCCGTTTCCACCGCACTCCCGGTTAGCGCTGCATATAGGGCTGGCATAGCGAAAAACAGTACGCAGAATATTGGAAGATAAAAGAGTGTAAGCAAAAGGAAGGATCGAAAGAGGTTATTAAACAGTGAGTTGTCAAATTGCCGATGATCATATGCGCGTCCCTATAGGGACGCGCATGCCACTTGTTGTGTGGCACGGAGTGGCTGGGGCTTCCTTGGCGCCTATTTTTAGTTCTTGGCGTTTTCTACTTCTTTTTTACATCTCTTTTTACATCTCTCTTGTGCTCTCTCCTTTGCTCTCTTTTTTGGCCTTTTAATCATTCTTCTTATTACTCTCTTCTTATTTCTCAAGTATGGAAAAATTATCGGTTATTCATATAGACGATCTCCCTAGCAACCCCTCGATGTTTATATATGCTTTGATATTCTTTGAATGTGTGTCTTGTATCGACTCTATTGTGAATTTGATACGTATGGAAGTCTGGAAGAAGGAACTAAGTGGGAGGTGCCGTTTCTCATTGCTCTATTGGAGAGATACGTCTGGTTCCATAATTAGCAGATCGGGCAAACCAGCCTTTTGCGAAAGACGTAAATTATATATGTAACCTGTGTCGATCTCAAGTATAAAGATAGAAGCTGTAGATAAATTTGTTTTTTTGCAATTTTTTTTCTAAGGGCTCTACTCAGTGACTACGATCTTTGAATAGAAAAGGGCATGGTAATTGGTATCTGCTGCAGATGTTTTTATTCTATGAATTTTTATTGTACAAAGTATACGGAAAACCCTGGATTTATCGCGGATTTCCCGTCTCCAATGCCTCCTCATGCTGCAAAGCAATTTTCGCCATAACGTCCCGCGCCGCGACTTTAGCTTTTCGCTTCTCATTCATAGAAGCCTCATCCGCCCCTTCATCCGGACCTCCGCTACGAGATCCATTGGGAGAGCCTGTGTTACGCTTACTCTTCTTGTTGGCTGTTGATTGGGGATTAGGGGTTCTAGTGGAGGTTGAATCCTGAGGCTGCTGAGTGTCCTCAAGCCCAATTTGCGCGTTGGGGGTTGGTCCTTGGGACTGTTCTCGAAGGCCGCGACGAGATTGGCGACGTCGCAATGAGCCAGCTTGGGGGTTGGAATCGGCGTCATCTTGTGTGCTAGAGGGTACTGTGCTGGGTGATTCGGTGATATTGGGTTTGTTTGGTTGGCTGATCGATTTTCTTGGTCTACCTCGTTTTGGCGGAAGAGGTTGCGACGGAACAGCTGCTTGGGCGTCGTTCCCAACTGGTTGAGATAAACGCGGACGTTTCGCGATAGCTTGCTGCGAGGTTATAGATTGGACTGGAGGGGTATCCAAAGAAATTTGTGACCTTTCAAAGGTTTCAGCATGAGGCCCCGCAGACCCCGCAGACCCCGCCCGATGTTCCGCGACATTGCGATTGATAATAGACTGTTGGTTCCGGTCATTGAGTGGAACACGATCCGGGTTCATTGGCGGATCACACAAAGCGAAATCATCCACCATATCATCCTCATCAAAAGAGTCGGCAATTGTTTGATTAAGATCGACCGGAAACGCGTCGGGCCAGGTACGCTTGCGACCCGCCTGGAGCAAGCCGGGACTCCTAACCTCCGGTAGAGCAGCATTCATATTCATGACTGACAAAGAATCTTGTTGCTGCGGCGGGGTCACTCCCATGTATCGGTTCTTCAATTTCAGAGCTTCAATCTCCAGCTTCAATTTCTCGATTTCTTCGGATTTTGACTTGAGCTCCTTAAGCACAGTCGCAATCATATCGAAATCGTGTCCTTGAAGTAGGGATCCCTCCCCTATGTTCCTGTTGGGCCCATTCAGCTCAATTCGAAGCGCCGTAAAAGAATGTTTGAGATCCGACATTGTATCTTGAAGGTGATTCACCGAGCTTGAGATTTGATCGATGCTTCTTCCTTGGTGTACCATTTGCTTTTGCATAGACGGATCGAGGGAAGTGGGATCGGAGCAGTCAACTGGCACCAGTGCACTGTTTTGAACGAAGTCGGAGTTTCGGCGCAGAGGTTCTTTTGGGGGGCATATCAATCGTTCGAGAGCCCCCTGTTTGAATAGGGGTTGCACGGTTCGCATAGTGACGATTTCCCTAAATGCAACCTTGGACATCTTCCACAGGATGTTCATTCTGACCAGGAGTTAATAAGGGTCGAATGAGCTAGGGTCAATTCACAACCTACCCATTGTCCAACGGACATAACACTCCCATCCTCTGCTGGCATAGTTTACAAGATACCTCCTGAATAACTCGGCCACGCAAAAGGGTCATATCAGATGTATTTGGAATTTGCTTTCGCTCAGAGGAAACGGAGATGCGGTGGAGGTCGACGCTGAGCCATGCTGTAGGGATTGAGTAGGCGTTGGAGAGTTTAGCCCATTCATTCTCCAGTGCTGCCAACGAGCTAGAGCACCGGGAGCACTGACATATTATGCCAGGCCTTGTCAGATGGGATAAGTCCATTGCGCGACCAGTGTGAGGAACAGGTAAGAATGTGCTTGAACCGCACCTTACCATCCATGGATGGATCGCAAAAACGCTGAGGTAAGCGGTCGAGGCGGTCGAATCACGCTAGTCCAAATTAGGTTATCGATAATGTGCAATGTCGTCATTGTCGAATATGGAATTGTGCCTCACACATGATCAGCGTTGGATCAATGTAGCACTAAGACTAATCTTAAAAGTCATTCTTGTTCTCTATGTACAATTCGATATCAAGCCTCGTGCCCTGAAATGGTAGCGTTCTAGTTAGCCTCGGATCACGTGTCGACATCCGCTCCTAATCAAAGCCCCTCTTTCCCTCTGAGCACAGATCCCCTCTCTGTGCTCAGTGCTGCAGCATGAATCGCTTAATACACTCGTTTCATCGCCCCTCTTCAGTTCATGCGTTATTCTCCTTGCAAAGGCCAACAGTTTTTTATCCAATTGCCATGGCGCAACTTTCAACTGATGCTATGGCTCATGCCTCGGCAGTTGCCGATGACAGCGATACAAAGCCTAGCTCCTGGCATGGGGCTGGAGCTGCTGCGTTTGACCTTCGAAGTATGAAGAACCCGAGTCTTACCTGAGACCAATTCGACTGTGAGGTTTGGAAAGGAGCTAATCCGGTCCAGGCGATACAATGACCAAGCCTACCCCATCTATGCTCGCCGCCATTTGCCAAACGACTCTCCTCGATGACGTTTTCAACGAGGACCCAGTCACCAACGAGCTGCAGCGTTATGTTGCCGAAATAACAAAACATGAAGCGAGTCTATTGGTTCTTTCTGGAACAATGGGAAACCAGGTAGCTATTCGTTCGCATCTTGCGCAGCCACCGCATGCAGTGTTATGTGATTATCGATCCCATATCATTTGCTATGAAGCAGGTGGTGTGAGCGCATGGACTGGAGCCACCATGCAGACTGTGGTGCCCAAAAACGGGGTCCACTTGACTTTGGAGGACATCCAGAAGCATGCAGTCCTCGATGATGACATCCACCATTGCCCCACGAAACTGATTAGCTTGGAGAATACACTTGATGGAATGATAATGCCGCTCACTGAGGTTAAGCGTATTGTGGAATGGGCTCATTCTAATGATATCAAGGTTCACCTCGACGGTGCCCGTTTGTGGGAGGCTGTCGCGGCTGGTGCAGGAAGCTTGCCCGAATATGCTAGTGTGTTCGATAGCGTCAGTCTTTGCTTTTCCAAGGGCCTGGGTGCTCCCATTGGAAGTATCATTGTTGGCTCTCAAGCGTTCATTAAAAAAGCACGCTGGTTCCGTAAGTCTATTGGTGGCGGTGCCCGCCAAACGGGTGTAATTGCAGCCGCCGCCCAGATTGCACTTAATGAAACTTTCGGCACAGACCTCACAGGGAAGAGTGGAAAGCTTGCAGCAACTCATGAAAAAGCCAAGCGAGTTGCTGACCTATGGACCAGCCGTGGTGGAAAGCTGGACAAACCTTTGCAAACAAATATGGTCTGGCTGGATCTCGAGGGTTCCGGAGTTGGGCCGAATGACTTGACTGAGATTGGCCAGGAAAATGGGCTGAGATTGATGGGTGGTCGCGTTGTGGTGCATTACCGTAAGTATTTGATTTATCACAAGAAGCAATCAAATCTGACCTGTCACAGAGGTATCGGACGAAGCGATCACAAGGCTGGAGCAAGTATTTGATACCGCACTCAAGGGTGATTATAAGCGCAGCGAGGATACCAGCAAGCCATATGGAAGTAGATAGTAAATAAAGTGTGTACTCACGAGAGTCCTATCTACTCCCGAGGTCCGTACACACCACAACATGATCCACAGTTTCCCAAAATGGTTAAATGTTTTTATAGATCTCTACCAGATACATAATTAATTAGATCAGCCAATAAGCGTGGCCACAGGTCTGCTGCCTGATGAGTCAGAGTTTGCGCGCTCTGGGCCTTAGGAAAATGTTTACGCCTTGTTGCCTGAGGTCTCCACCAAAGTCGCGATCGCGGCTTAATTCCTATTCTTGTTCCTCGGACGACGACCTTCCCAAGAGTCCGAACTTGCTCAGTCCCGGTATCCCCAGTTTCATCTGTCCAACTTCTAAATTCAACCAATGGATCGATTGACAGGGAATCCACCAAGCTGTGTGAGTTGATTCTGGATCTCAAGTCGAGTCTAAACAAGAACTCATTTAAGCTTCTAAACGATCTATGCTAACATGTTGAATTTAAATTTGATAGAAATACGTCTCGATTCTTCCACGCATTCGTTGAAACTCTCGTCTTTCCCTTAATACGATAACCCTCAATAAAGAACAACCATCGGGTTTAGCTTCTCATTGATTAGTACCTCAAGGGTCCGATATCCATCCTCGACTTTGCATCTTCGAAACGAACATCCAAGTCAATATTCCTACAGTTTGAGTCAAAATTTGGATGGCCTAACATCCTCTTCGTTCTCCACCTCCTAATCTGGGTTCATCAACACGCAACTCAGTGAGAGACTGCCCACTCCTACAGTTCATCAGTTGTTAATACCCCATTTTGTTCACTCGTTGTGTTCTGCGAACATCAAGCTCGTGGCACCTTGAGCGGAATATACCGTGGTGAATGTGTGATTGAATTCACAACATATTGCCTTCTTGCCCAGGTTTTGCCCGGGTGTCTGGTTCATCGGCTCTGGGACCACCGGATTCACAAGGTATATATACATCAACCCTTCACACTTTTGTCAGTTCATGTCTCACTCACGTCTGTCTTGTTTAGTCCACGATATTAATGACCTTGTTATGCACATTCCATTTGCTCTTTTCGCAGCAGCACATATACCCTACACCATTGGATTTTCATCCTCACCTGTAACTACTTTCTCTTGCTTTCCACTATCTTAGCACCGCTGCTTCCTTCATTTGTGTTATTCATAATGGAGGCCACACAGGAATCCACTCAGCCATGCGCTGATCCTCGCCGAATGGGAATGAATAACTCTGGCATTCAAGATGAAGATTTGTCTGACATTATTTGTACCCTCCATCCTAATTCTCATGCTGCTCACGATGCAGTCAGCGCCACAGCAACGCTCGGTCCACAGCATATACTCCAACGAGACATACTGGAGCAAGGGGGATTTCACACAGCGGATCTGGATGTGGCATTGAGGCTCTCGTCAAATGTTCACAATCTTGGCCTGGGATTCTGCTTTGGTCGTAATCGTGCGCGCTGTGACGTGCTTTTGGCGGTTGATGACGAAGCCAAGCGTGTATCGAACACTCACTTTCGCATTTATCTGACGGGAGATGGAATCCTCATGCTCCAGGATACATCTACCAATGGTACCATCGTGGAAAATTGCCGTCTGCGAAAGACCCAAAAGGAGAACAGCCGGATGCTCACAAACGGATCAGTGATCCAGGTGGTGACGGGAATCGGTTCTGAGGAGGTTCGCTTCGTGGTTCGAATTCCATCAAGAGAAGGATTTGCTGTTCAATACCAGGAGAATGTCCGTCAGTACTTTGAACGAGTTCAAGCCCATGCACCAGCACAAAAGACTCGACAGGGCCCGCCTCCGTCTGTTCTGACATGGTCATCCGCGAACGCGTTCGGTATGCATTGGGCCGGCGGTGCAATGTACAACGTGACTGGGCAGATTGGCAAGGGAGCTTTTGCTACAGTTTACAAGATCGCAACTAAGTCGCACGGAGCCATCTACGCCGCCAAGGAGCTCGATAAGCGTCGATTCATGAAAAATGGTATTTTGGATCAAAAGGTCGACAACGAAATGAAAATCATGAGAGACTTGACGCATGTAAGTGATGTTTCCTTGGCCTTCGTCCAATTGGTATAACTGACGCATACCAGCCGAATATTGTTCAATATATTGACCACCACGAGCATGACCGATGGATTTACATCATCATGGAGTATGTTCCAGGCGGCGAGCTGTCAACATACCTGCAGACCCAGGGCAGAATTGCTGAGGAAATGGTGAGAACAATTGCACGCCAAGTGTTGCGAGCTCTCCACTACCTGCACAAACGCCGAATTACACATCGAGATATAAAGCCAGACAACATCTTGATCGCCTCGCTCGATCCGCTCAAAATTAAGTTATCGGACTTCGGATTATCGAAAGTAGTGGAACAGGAAACTTTCTTGAAGACCTTTTGCGGTACTTTGTTGTACTGCGCACCCGAGGTATACCCGGACTATGAACAATATCGCCGTGGTGAGCTTAGAAAGAGACGCCGTGCTGGTGATCCGTAAGTCCATCATGAACGTTTTCGTACCATGAGCTTTTGCTAATTGCCAGACCTCCGAAAACCTCTCCATACAGCCAATCGGTCGATATCTGGTCTCTTGGGGCAGTTCTGTTCCATATCTTGTCGGGTGTTCCGCCATTTTCTGGTCGCGCTGAAGATCGAGGTGTCCATATGCTAAAACAAATCATGACAAGTGATGCTGACTTCAACGTCCTACGCCAAGCAGGCGTGTCTGAATCTGGAATTGACTTTGTCTCTCAACTTCTCAACCGGGACCCATTTTCCCGCCCGACAGAAAAGGAGTGTTTTCAGCACCCTTGGATCGCTGAAGTCGCAGATGTAGATGAGTATGAGGACGACAAAGACCTGTTGTTTGACCCTAGCGACCACCATGACGGCCTTTCAGTCATCGGTGAGGATGCAGAGGGTGAGCTAGATGCGTCACAGTTGTCCATCGCCGACGGTACCTGGAACAATCATGGAGCCGACGGCGAGGACAGAAGTAGCATGGAGGCAGTAGCCAAAAAGCCGCGGATTGAGTACATTCCCACCGATGTACGATATCCCAGTCTCCCAAACATTGAGAGTTTTCAAGATGGACAAGCTGTAGTGGACGACCACGCAAAACGCTTATTCGGTGAAGTCTCCTCTTCGGCTTTGCGAAGCTCTCACGCATTGGGCAACGTGGGTGGTTATGACGATTTTGATCAATTTCCACCTGAGGAATCTCACTCTTCTGGTGAGTCGATGATGAGCGACGATCCCAACGAGTCAATTATCTCCCTCCCAGTCGAGCCCTTTGGCGGCACCGCGCCGAGCTTGATGGGTGCAGAGAAACTCGTTGGGCAACTCAACATGAATTCCTTGGACTCCGTCCAGAACTCCAAAGCCGGCGCGGTTAACAGCTCTTCCTCGCGCCAGACCACCCCTGGATCCGCCAAGGAACCAACGACGCCAGCTAGTACCACCAACACCGATCCTTTCCACCCTACTTCGAGCTCCAAAGAGCCAGTTGCATCCAGTACCCAAGAGCCAACTCCGAAGGCCATTTTCAGGCGCCGAATCAATCTTGCACTGCCAGACACGGCCAGCGAGGCGTCCAGCGACAGTAGCGCACGCAACAGTCACCGAAGCATCGCTCCCCACAACCCTCCTCAGGTCTCAGAGTCCCAATACAATCTTGAGTTCGCTACCACCCTTGATGCTGAAACAGGCCGAGTCATTTTGGATCAAATGCGTGCCGAAGAAGCGGACTCATCAGAACCGATTGTTCATCGACCTAACCCAACTGCAATCTCCTCTGCTCTCTTAGATCCAAAGTTTGCCAAACCGCCAAAGCGATTCGGAAAGTTGAAGACTGTTCCTGGTTCGATCCTCGACTTAACTCTTTATCTCGAAGAACGGCTCACCTCATGGGGTCGAGGCCCATTGGCGACCGTCAAGCATGCGGACCCTAGCGATACAAGAATCCCAGCCTATGCCCTCGAGGTTACATTTTGGGCGCCAGGGATCGAGCCCAAAATCGCAATGGGTGCCAATTGGGTGGATGTTCCCGGGGTCATGGCCATTCTTTCAACGAAAGCGCGCCACGGCATCTGGGTGAACGACATTCCCCTTCGTCGGGGCTTGAAGACCCAGGATGGCCCCGAAACCCTACAATTCGGCAAACTCTACACAGGCGACATCATCACAGTGTACCAAAGCAATGACCGAAAGAAGTTCCTCAAGTTGGAGTGCGAATTCACTCATGGCGATAGTGCCCGGTCTCGGCCCGATGACGAGCCCGGATTCATGCTTCGGCAGGCGTTGATGACCAAACCAAATGGCGCCAACCGGCTGCCGGCTCAGTCTCTGTGCAAAGATCGGAATTGATTTTACTTGTCTCTGCATTTGATTTAGATTGGAATAGCGTGGGAATTCAATGTTGCCTTCCATAGCCCTATCCGCATGCAGTATCGCAAAGTGGGCCCGATCTTCCAAGATGAGGCTCGTTAGACTGGTAGATCTGCAACTTAGTATTGTGAAATGTACAACGTAATTTCCATACAAGTATTTAGATATAAGTAGTAAGAAGATGAGTCAGTTATATGTATGTATGTTGGAGATAAATTCAAGAGATTCGAAATTCCTCGAACCTAAATCTGGTATACCTCGGAGTCGACATCCGCAGCGCCGCATTCATCCTCACAGGAGTACGACATTAATGGGGCTCGCGCTCAATCCGGAACCATGTGCAGTGTGATCGAGATCTTATCATCTTTACTCAACTTCCTTCCAGATTCAACTTCTAGTCGCTCCTGACTCACTGTTGTCACTCTGACCTTACCCGCAAATTCCATCCCTTCCCTCGCACTTGAAGATCGGCCAACGTCTCCAAGCTCGCACAAATCATTCCTATTGAAACTTATTGTTTCGCACCAATCATCCTCATGACCTTGTCGCGATCACCCTCTCCCCACCCGGGCGGAGGGTGGTCCAGCCCGGGATTCGTGCCGGCAAGCGGCAGCACATCACCGCGCCCATCGCCTGGCACATTATCACCAAACGGAATCTCCTGGGCCACTGCCAAAGCCAAGAGTGATGAAGTGCGCGGCTATCCCTCCTTTTCAACGCGGAATAGCGGGTTCTTTTCCCGACAAGGAAATAAGATATCGACTCGCTTGTCTAGCTTTCGGCGACTTTCTCCGCGCGAATACGTTGATAAAGATGACTATGGCCGGGATTGGAAGCCTGCTGATGGTCAGCGAGGGATTCTAGGTGCATCTGGATTGTGTATACGACGGGGTCGCTTTCGGCTATTGCTTGTTCTGTTCATGGTGTGGATTGGATACCTATTTTGCTGGTCTAGTAAGTGACCGTTGATTTTATCCAGCCTTCAGAACTTACTTCTAATCATGGTTTTAGCAATCGTTCAAATTTACCGGCGTTCGCCAATCGGCGGCGGCCGCAAATTCGTCATCATCCTCGGGTCGAACGTGGAGGGTGGTGTGATGGAGCTGAAGGGTGCTCGCGAATGGGCGATTGAACGCAACAGCATATGGAATAAGCAGAAATACGCCAACAAATGGGGTTACGAGCTGGAGCTCGCCAATCTTCTTGCAAAGAAACGTTATTCTCATGAATGGCGAGAGAGCTGGGAGAAAGGCGATGTTATCCGGGAAGCAATGCGCAAATACCCGGATGCAGAGTGGTTCTGGTGGCTGGACTTGAACACCTGGATTATGGAATACGACATCTCACTACAGGAACATATTTTCAATGATCTTGACTCGAACGTTTACCGCGACATCACAGCATACAACCCCATGAATCTCACACATCCGTTACCTGAGTTCTGGCTCGATGACCTAGGACGATCCCTCGAGGGAGACGGGAATCAAGACTCTCTGCAAATGCTTCTATCCCAAGACTGTGCCGGCTTCAATCTAGGATCCTTCTTCCTACGCCGCTCACTATGGACAGACCGGCTACTCGACGCCTGGTGGGATCCGGTCATGTATGAGCAGATGCATATGGACTGGGAACACAAGGAACAAGATGCGCTGGAATACATCTATCAGAGTCAACCCTGGGTTCGCAGTAGTGTTGGATTTCTCCCACAGCGCAGCATCAATGCTTTCCCGCCAGGGGCCTGCGGTGATGTAGAAAATCCAGTTTCGCATTACCAACAGAATGCCCGCGACTTTGTGGTCAACATGGCAGGATGTATGTTTGGCCGTGACTGTTGGTCTGAAATCTATTATTACCGTGAACTCAGCAAGTGGCTTAGCCGGTCAAAGTGGGCACGTTTCAAGGACGGTTTCCTTGATGTATACAATGAAGTGCGAGGAAAGGGAAAACAGGATGGATAGCTGCATTACTGCATTGCTGGTATTGCTTAATTTGCATCTGTCTATTCACATCACCAGAGTATGAAATCTGTTATCATGGAGTGGATGTGTCAAAATTTGCTTTGTACATTGTTTTTTGGTTTACATTATCTATGGGGCGTTGGAAGGTGGGCTGGTGTTGACTAAGTTTTCCAAAATGATATATTTCCCATCCAATTACTTCTGAAAGTCTCTCATCCTACTATCTCCTTGATTCTGAGCATACCAAACTTGGAATCTTAAATGTTGGGAGCCTGCGTCTGCGATTTCCATTTTTGGGTTCTATAGTTGCACGTGATTGTTTGATGACTCATCTCTAGATATGCCCAAATGGTCTTCTTCGTTCCCTGCACCGACAGTTCATCCACCGCCTTAAACCCATCCAATCACAAACCAGGCAATCCAACCTTCAAGATCAACGCCAGACCACCGCATTGAGCCCTTCAATCGACAAGTCTCCCCTCAACCACTCTTGCTGTTACTGTCCACCGCCTCAGCAAGCAAAGGCCCTCTCCCTCTTTCCAAAGCAAACACAAACCGCCCACAATGCCCACCGCCGAGTCCGCCGCCTTCCTCGCCAAAAAGCCCACCGTCCCCCCGACCTACGAGGGTGTCGACTTCGAGGACAACATCGCCGTTCACAACGCCCGTGATGCCATCATTCGTGAGCAATGGGTGCGCAGCATGATGGCGCGCCTTGTCGGCGAGGAATTGGGCAAGTGCTATGCGCGCGAGGGTGTGAACCACCTTGAGAAGTGCGGTGTCTTCAGAGGTGGGTTCCTTTCTCTGCCATTGAGCGTTTGAAGAAGATAACGGCGAGACGTCTGATTGGATGGCTTTTTGCCTGATCGGATCCGATCAAATTTGATTGCAGGCCTGTTTGGATTGCTTGCTGAATATATACTGACTGATCTATCCTATGCAGAGAAGTACTTCGAGCTCCTCAAGGAGCGCAAGGTCAAGGGTTACCTCGGCCAGGAGAAGAACCGCTTTGGTGGCGAGTCGGCATAAGCGCTTCCTCTTTTCTTGCGTGTTCAGCTGTGCGATTGCGTTTTGACATTCGGGGTTTTTGATGATTGAGATCAACGCCTCGGAGACTGGACAACTTACGACACCTATGATACGGGCGGGGTGAGTGTCAACTCAATGGCCCTGGTTGCTCTTTGTTTGAGCATGACCAAGATGCGCAGGTCACGTCCGTGTCAGAGACAAAAAAGATGGCAGAAGAAGGTCTGAGGAACCTCTCTTTTGCTCTTGTCCATTTGTATTGTACATATAGATATCACTTTGTTTGATCAATCTTCCTTTTTTTCCTTCTACGACTTGAATTTCTACCTGGAGAGATCGTAATCCATGGAGTGTCGAAATGTGCAGAAGTAACTTGGTTATGCACAGCGTCAAGCGACACCTAATTGCACATATAATCGCATTATATACTACCATGTTTCATGGCCTGCAGGTTCGTTGATACGCCGGGTATCAATCAGTAATAGACACTGGAAGCAGTTGCACTCCGGTCTGGGAACGCCCCTGGAAGGCCGCGCTGATCTCCCTGGGTTGCCTCCTCTTCACTGTCGTCATCATTTCCAAAATTCACGTCCTCTCGGTCATCTGGTGGAGCACGCATCCGCATCAGTTGATCTTCATCGAGAGAGGGTGGTTGGTACGGCGCTGGTGGCGAGTGGATATCTCGACCCGAAGGTAGGTTAGAGAGTAATGGCGCAGATGGCGGGACGAGCTGCGTGTTCATCTAGTTTATGTTAATGAATATGATCCAATGATGGCATAAAGAATAGGTTGCTTTTATTTGCGCTTACTGTATCATTCATTTTCACCCATTTCGCCTCAAGCATGGCGAGTACACGGCCCTCCTCACCCCGACCGGCGTCATCTCCAGCCTCTAATGGCCCTTTTTCGCCAGTGCTTCCGCCAGCGTCTTTCGCAACTTTACGATCCTCACGTCGCTCGGTCCATTCGCGCTTCAATCGCGACAGGCCACGCTTGGCGGAACCACCAGACGTAGAACCCTCATCTTGGGACGATTCCCCACGTAGCCCAAGTGAAGTGCGTGCAGCTCTGAGCCACGCAATTCCTTCGCCAGCTCTACCAGACAACTCGGCATCTACACCAAAAAACCGACAAGCACGAGCACGAGCCACGCGACCCAAAACGCCCGTGTATCGAACGACTTCTTCATCAACGCGACCGGAGCGGCCAGATGCAGAACCAACGGCACTGAAGCCCGCCGCAGCTTGTTCGGAGTACTCGGCGGCACGCACACATAGTCTCGCAAATAGCAACGCACGCACCTTTGGGATGTCAGGTGCGTTGATCATCCAATCTTTATCATTTGGGTTACGCAACTGGATACACGCAGTAATATATGCGTCATCCTTGAGTACTGCGAGTAGAGTTGCCTCAGCCATGGCAAGCGATGAAAGAGCAGACTGTGTGCCGGCATCCAGATCTGGTACCGTAGAAACAGTAGCTGCAGTGAAGGTAGGCGACGAGCTGAGGAAGTTATGCACCGCGCTAGCCTGCAATAGATACCGCGTGGCTGTCTGCACGGCCGTAGTTCGATCCTCAGCTGTGGGAGTGGAAGATGCATAAAGGGAGGCAACGACACCGGCGCGCGCGAGCCTGCTCAGCACATACCCTAGGGTTGTAAGCGTGAATGCCAATTCGAAGTGAATTCCTTGGCCACAAATGCGCCCATTATGCGTTTTCGGACCCTTCCCGCCTGTATTAATCTTCCCCGAAGAAAGATTGAACGCGCTCGACGACGACAATGTCGGTCTCCATGCGGACTCAATCTCCGCACCGGTGATTTCGATCGCCTCGGTGCGGAAGTTGGCTCCTACCACGTAGGTATCTTGAGAGGAATATGCATCTGTTGGAACGGATCGGCCGTTCAGTCCATTTGAAATCGCGAATAGGTAAGGAAGATATTCGTTGATAGCGGACAGAACCGCAGGTAGGTGGGCATCTTGACGCGGGCCGCGGGGTAATCGCTTGTGGGTCTTTAAGGCGAGACGAAGAGCATGGCGAGCCGTTGAGGCTGATTGAGGGAGGGATGGATGAGTAGGCGATAAAATGGATTTGAATGAGAGGGGAGATGTGGTTGGGAGGGTAAAAGCGTAAACCATGGTGATTGAAGAGTTGAAACGAGGAGAGCCCAGGGTTGCACGGCTAAGACTCGGGGCCGACAGTCATGAACTACTCTGTACAATGTTGGTCTTTTTTTATTTCGTACACATTATGAACACATCTATATTGTTTTAAAAAAATTGTGCGATATTTTGATGGTTTATCTACTTCTCAGCCAATATCCTTTTCACAAAATAACTTAAAAAGAAACATAGTGTATCTGATGTGTAGAACGAGCATTTGACATGTAGAGATGGAACACCAAGGACAAGAAACAGAAAACATATAGTGAAAAGCAAGAAAAACCAAGCAATCAAACAACCACCTTGAAAGATCCCTAGGTATCTGACAAATTAGGATCGAAGCTGCTGCTGGAAATACAATTATGGTTTTCAGCTAGCAGCGAGATTTGAACCCCAGGGTTGAATTTGGTAGGCAGGTATTGGTAGTAAACTGGATCGTCAGATGCATGTAGCAGCTGTACGGTACCATTTGGAACCGACGAAGTATAGAATCTATGTCGCAACCAAGGACCACCGCATCGTAATCCTCCACCACCTCCATCTGGGCCAACCGGTGAAACAACCACCGGGATTTTCTCATATTCCGGAAGTATCATTGCTCTGCCATTGGGGCCAAAGAAAAACAGGTTCACCTCCAGAAAGTATATAGGGTGGTACACTACTGTTCCATCGGCCAATTCAAGTCCTTGGACACAAACCCGGGGTGGACGTTGATCAAGCGTGCCATTCAATCGGGCCATTCGGTCAAAGTCAACTTCATCAATTTGCATGAAAGAAGCCCCCGTATCATCCATCATTTGGAATTCTAGGGGGAATCGTGTGCCAGGTGCTCTCATCCAAACGTGGAACTGCATAAGTCAGAGAGGTATCGCAAATTTGGTGACTGAACCTTACAGAAACGATGTATCTTTGATTTGGACGCGCTGGATTAGGACCAAATTCCATGATAGATGCCGCCTGAGGTGGATTCTGTTCAAAAAGCTATACATGTGTTAGTTTTGGGGCTATTTGAACATTAGATGAGAACTTACTCCTTCGACCCAAAAGCCATCTTGCCCATATTGACTAACGAGGTGGTCAAACTCGTCGAAGCGGAAAGGCCTTGGTTGAGAAATCTGCTTCCCTTGGGACCAGTAGGTAACAAGTGTTGGAGTCCAATCCAACGCGCCTGATCTGTACTCAGCCATGATGCTTTTAACAGTTGGAATGCAGCCATCGTCCTCTTTAAATGATTTTAGGATTCCACCAAGACTATTCAAGCGTTGGACAACGGGCCAACTCAATCCAGGCTCCAAGGCCATGATCGCACTAGGAATCGAATGATTTAGGAAATAGTCAAAAACATGAACTTAGGATTCTTACTCGCGCTTTTTCTTCTTTTTTAACAGATCCTCCAACCTGAACTCGAAGTGATCCGACATAATTCTATCTACGATACGTTCGAGACATCTTTGAATCTGAGCATCGAGATCACTAAAAGGAAAGAACATTTGAATTAGTAAACGTACTGATCTCTAGAATAGGATGAGATAAAAGTAAGGTAGAGGTGAGATAACATACTTGGGATCAAGATCAGGTTCATCCATGTTCCAACCCTTTGGAGTATCTTCAATATGCACAATTGGAGCCTTTGTTTCCGGCTGCGTCCATCTTTTCTGCCTTTGCGGCAGGCTTTTGGCAGGCTTGATAAGATCTTTATAAGAGATGTTGAGATCCTTTTTAAGCTCATCAGGGGTAAAAGATCTAGTTGAAAGGCCGAGCGGAAGATTGGGATCTTCTGTCTCAACGTCCGCATCTTTCATCTCCGTATCCGAGGATTTCTTCGTGCGACGCTTAGAGCGACCAGCAATAGCCTGACTCGCACTACGTTTCCGACTTGTAGGGTTGGCGGTATCTGCGTAGTGCCCTTTAGGCTTCATAGCAGCAGCTCGACGAGGACGTGGCATCTTGGGGGGCGGGATGAAATGGTTTCGGAGTTTAACAAAGTTGAGTTGAGAACTGATGAACCAAAAAAGAAACGTAGATTCGATACTTTTATTTGTATTTCAATATACAAAGCCCTATATACACCGAAGACACTGGGGCGAGAAGTCTAGGTCAAAGAAAATCAGCGAAGATGAGATCATAGAACCATATCGAGGTAAGTTCTTTGTGGTGAGCACTTTTTTCTTTGAGGGTTCAGCACCCAGGGTATATGCCATTGAACTCATGTTACGGGGACACGCGAGAGACTCTGGATAAACAAAGAAGGGCGATGTAGAATGAAAAGTGGTGGATATCAAACCAAGAATTGATTCATATTTCAAGTTTCAGAGTTACATCAGAAAGCATACAAATCACCCCGTCTGATTCAATGGCTCTTTAAGATCCCTCAAAGGATGACCCATGGGTTTTAGACTCAATGAATTTATATCTTATTTTGTCCGAGTGAACCAATTTATAGAAATGACAATTTTAAGTAATTTTAAGCAAGTGAAAGAGAGAAGTAAAGGGGACATAAAAAATGGCAAGTAAAAGTCAAGGTTAAGAGCTGCTCCCCGAAGCATCACTTGTAGATCAGCTTACTGGTGACTTGGACCCTTTGAAAATTGAATCAATTTTCGGATTGTTATGAATTAACATTTCAAGCCTGAAAACCTGCCAGAAAGTTAGCAGCATCGCTATCCTTCGTGAGTGCACAACAATAAACAATTCCTGACCCGTTATTTTTTGGTAAATACTGTACATTAACCGGGACGTTGCTAGTAGATGAAGATCCTGGGGACTAAAAAGGTCGTGTGATATAAGTGCTAGTATCATATACACTACATAGCTCATCATATTGCGATTCAGGACTCCGAGCTCTACTTATGTATACTCTCTGTCCTATATTTGTGCCTTGATTCCTCATTTTATTTTTGTATTAATTTTGGTAGAGAGATATACAACTACGTCTTAAACTGTAAATATGATAATTACCGAGGATTGCGGCATAGGAACAATAGATGAATGATTTGTGGAATTGTATGAATGGATGCCGATTTCTAACGCAGGTAAAAACGTTTTCCTTTGACAGAAGGAGATAGTGAGAAATTGATACATATGCATGACTTCGTGGCTTCCTTTTTCATTGAGAATTTGTTTCGAATCTGATTACAGGCCGATCATGTTTTCTTTCGTGTTTAAAATTGGTTGGCTTTTGTCAAAGAAACAGAGTACACCTGGTTTTTGCTGCTATAACAAACAATGGGAAAACTCGATAGAATCAACGAGATTGAGAAGAAAGTGTGATCATATTTGTCAAAGTATGGGGTTCACATGTTGTATGCAAATTGATGGAATTTCGCGAACCAAGGCCACTGACCACCAACCGAGGAACCTTCACTCGTAATGATGAGTCGGTCTGCTAAGCCACAAATAAGCGACCTTCTAAGTGTTCGGGAATATAATATGTACTTACCAAAGATATTGTCACTTTTGATTTCCGAAGGTGTTCTTCCACCGGATTCTGCGCTGCCCTCTCATCCGTCGCCAGTAATTTGTCGACCAAATGATCTCCGGGCATCCTTTGACAAGCCAGCCCCACTTCTGGAGGAATGTTTCCGTAACCTCCCAATTCATTGGATTCCAAGGGTCACCCCAAACAAGCATACAATTATCTTCCTCAGAAGGCATGGTATAAAATCCCATCAAATCGCGGCACAATTGCACATCATCCATGTCGTCTTCATGCAAGATGAGAACATCTCTGAGATTTGCAAAAGGAAAGAAATCCAACCACGGGTGATGTGGTCGACCTTCCTGCAACGGCGTTGGCTGAAGACTTGCCGGGATGGATTCTTGTGCCGGACCTTGGTGGGGCCCACAGACATTAAACCTCGAGAGGGCATCATCCGTCATCCATTCCCTTGTATATCCCAGGACGCCAATATTGCTCACAAAGGCACGGAAGACATTCAGTTTAACGAGTGTCATTCGGTGATCCGTACTTGGATTTCCGATGTAACTTTTATGGGCAGCCGACTCGAAGAGACGTAGAAGTTGATATATTTCCGGGCGCTCGATACGAGACCCTGCTTTCTTCTCATTTCGCTCATGCTGCTTTTGAACAAATAGGGCAAGCATAGTGAAGTCTGGAGTTGGACATTGGATCAAACAATGGTCATATTCTCTCAGATATATTGCTTGCTCTTGTACCTGGGGTTGATTCTCGGCCTGCTGTTCTAACTCTTTCTGGACTTTTTGCCTTCTCCCTGTGCCGAAAATTAGCTGATTACAACAAGAGACACCGGCTGCAGAAGGCTGGGGGATTACTTACGCCAGACTTGTTGGTTGTATCGGTTCTGATTCCTACGACGTTGCTGTTTGTTTAAGCCATTATATTGATCGGAAGGAATAGGTTCCGATAGGTGATGGGCATTATTTTGAGAAACGAGGGACACCTTGTTTAGGGACATGATAAAGAAATGCGTGGAAACTTGAGAGGTTTGAAAGAGAACTAGATTACATAGTGCAAGACGCCAAAGGCTGTTGTTTTCTTGGCAAATGCAATTGAATTCCTTCAAAAATCGGAATGAAATTGATGTTCGACAGTGAATCCGGAGTTGAAGAAGTTAAGTCCATTTCCAATTTCCAGGTGATCCACTTTGATTACGCGCTAGGGGTGGGTCTGGCATAATCACTATGATTGGATGAAGACCATCATTTATACTTGCTTCATGCTGTTTGGCAAATCTGGAGACAGCTCGTATTTAAGGTGATTCATTAAGTCCTCGGAAAAGCACTGAGGTGAAGTATGGAGAAGAATAAATTATCTCCGCACTACTCCCTAAATCCGAATTCCGTCATAGAACTGTAGGTTATAAAAAGTTATAAAACGACTATCAATTCCAGAATACTTGTAACAATCGAGGCTTTCTCATCATCTCTAGTCATCCCTTGTAAGTAGTGCATTCATCATCTTTATGCATCCACGCGATTGCCATCGTAACAATACTGATTTGATTATCAACAGATTATTTCAAATCTTGCATCTTTGTCAATACCCACTATGAGACATGTTCAACTTGGAACTAGCGGTCTCCGCATTGCCCCTATCGGAGTGGGATGTATGAGCTTCGGGAATCCCGATGGCCGATTCAAATGGGCAATCCCAGAAGAACAAGCTCTTCCAATTCTCAATCACTGTTATGAATCCGGCCTCAACTTTTTCGATACTGCCAACGCATATTCGAACGGTCAATCAGAGGAGATTTTGGGCAAGGCCATCAAGAAGTATGGCTGGCGTCGGGAGAGCCTCGTCATTGCAACCAAACTTTGGGCGCCCGTCGGTCGTGGGCTCGAAGAACCACTCGCGATGAGTGAGGATCAGCGGGACAACGGCGGTTACCTCAACCAATATGGTCTGAGTCGCAAGCACATTTTCGATGCTGTCGACGCGAGTCTGAAGAGACTTGATCTTCCATACGTCGACCTGCTGCAAATCCACCGATTCGACCCAAACACCCCAGTGAAAGAGACTATGGAGGCGCTCCATGATGTTGTCAAGTCTGGCAAAGTTCGCTATATTGGCGCCTCATCCATGTGGGCTCATCAACTGCTCGAATACCAATACACCGCGCGAATCCATGGGTTCACTGAGTTTATCTCGATGCAAAACCTCCACAACGCCATCTACCGAGAGGAAGAACGGGAAATGTACCCAGCCTGTCAAAAGTTTGGAATCGGTGGAATCCCCTGGAGTCCAGTCTCGATGGGTTTCTTGGCTAGGCCTTGGAACTCATTCTCTACTACCACGCGTGGTGAGGGTCAGAATGCAGGGTTCTTGGGCACCCCGTACTCTGATGCTGACAAGGCCATCAATCGTCAGATAGAAGAGATTGCTAAGAAACGAGGTGTGTCTATGGCTACTGTTGCCATCGCTTGGTCTTTGTCAAAGCCATTCATTACTGCGCCGATCTTGGGAATGAGCAAGAAGGAGCGGGTTGATGAGGCTGTGGCAGCTATTTCATTTGATTTAAGCGAGGAGGAGGTAAAGAGCATTGACGATATCTATGTACCTAAGAGGGTTACCGGACATCAGTGAAGGGATAAGGACAAGTCTGACAAATTACCAATATTGTAGAAGCAGTCATCTGATGTACTGATGAATTCGAAGCGTTGGCTGAATTTGACCAGACTTATACCATGATATCATTTGTCTCAGAGTCTTTCACCTCAATTCTCTTGGGTTTTAAAAATGCTTGGACGTGGTTTCCTTTCGGCAAATTGTTGAGTATATAGGGTCTATCGAATATCTCAAGTACTCGGCCTGTGGATCTCTTGCGGTATGGTCAACAATGAGTTTTCACAATGGGTTTTCACAATGGGCTTCAGTCGGTGACATTATGTTGCTTTCATTCAGAGAATGCCTTTGTAGCCAGCCATCTCGTATATAGCTCCAGTAATACCAGTCATCACTATATATTCTTCCCGTTTATTACCGCTAGAAAATCTCAGCCTTTCATTTTATTCCTTTTCCCCCACATTGCAACGATTAGATTAGAAAGCATTCAGATACTTTCTCCAATCATTTCTTCCTAAATTTTACGATCAAAATTTATCACCACGCCTGCAGATATGTTTTACGGACCTCATTCGACCTCTAGCCTTGATTATGAGCGCGCTTCTATAATCTATCTCGTACAAAATCAGATTGACAATCTCAAATTCAAGGCTTGGCCATGTGGGGAGGTGATTAATAGCCTAGATAAACTTCATCGCGACTTGAGACTCCGGGTGGCTTGGGATGAGAGCAGGCCCGAGCGCGCTAATCTCATGGGTTATGCCGAATTCCAACGCTTCTCTCTTACGCTGAGAATGTATCTCCTTGAGGCAATAACTATTTTAGAGAGTCATCGAACTAGTTATTGGACAGGGGGCTGGAAGAGTGAATGGGTGGATCACTATGACATTGAACACGAGGCTACATGCATTCTGGAGCAGGCACTTATTGCCGCGAACTCTACCGAATCGTATATCTAGTATATAAAGTTTCTTTGCAATTTGAATTTGTTCACCTGTAGTGATGTCGCCCGCGAAGTAGTTACGGAGGGTGGATATGATAAATGGGCCAGAGGTCAAAGAATTTTCTTTCATGGGCTTGATGCCTGAGGATGCCTCATTCAAGATAGCAGAAATCTATATACGTAGATTCCCAGTATACGGATGCCTTAATGAGTAGAGTGCATTACCTAGGCAAGGAACTCGTCTTTATAATGGTTAAAATTTAGAAACATTTTATAGGTCAGAGGAATAGTTTTAACTTCTAAAGATGGAAGAAGATAGAGATATCAACAAAGATATAAACAAAGATATCATAAAAGAGGTAAAAAGAGAACATTTTTGTTCATGGGAATATTCACAATGACTATATGGTGTAGATCAGTCTAGAATAGGGCATTTAGGTATCAATCCTTTAATCCCTGGCCGCTATACACCTTCGCACTCAGTGTTTATCTCATGATGTCACTGACCCCGAGCTCACATTTGCTTCCCTAGTATATTTAAATTCCACTAGCCTTCTTTGATATTCTTTTAATCCGGTGGATATATAATTTAGGAAACAGGGCAGGTGCCTAATAATAATCGGCGATTGTTCCTAATATGTGAGGGCTAAATACACTAGCGCAGCCAATCACCGACTTCTAAAATTCGGTTTTACTAACAGATACTGGCGAAGCTTAACCACATTAAGAAATGAAGACTCCACTTTGAACCGGCTAAGGAGGCCGAGTGGATGTATACAGTAGCGTGAGGCCAAGCATTTGCTACGCGTTCGGAGATAAACTGATTTTCATGAAATTACTATTCAACTGGATAGATCGGCTAATAACTCTTTTGACGCTAACCTCGAACAAGCATAGATAGCGTTCTAATTACGACTTTCTCGATAACTCTACCCTCGCTTATTGACCTCCTTATTCTTGCTTTAGCTAGTCATGGCAGATTTTTCAGTCTCAACTCTCAATTCTACGCTCGCTTTCGTTCTCTGTTCATGATATGATTCTATAAAGGCGCTTGGTAATCTCATTGGATCCCTTACCATTTCGTAGCACCAGGCTGCAGAAATTGTTGTTGAACAAAAGTGTGTGGGTTCATCCGGACCGGACCGAACAAACCGCGTTTCAGAGATCTCGACTGTCACCATGGGGGCTTGGATCTCCTTTTTTTGGTTCTGTTGACGGCGCTTTATGCCGTAACCAATGCTGAGTATACTGGAACGACTTGCAACCCTTTAGACACCAATACAACATGCAGCGCCGACCCTGCCCTCGGGACTGAGCACACATGGCTGTTCAATTCCACTTTAGACAGCACACTTTGGAACATGGAAACGGGCTCGATCGACTACACATCCGAAGGCGCCGATTTCTCGATCAAAACCGAAAATGCCTCCACCCTCCTAGTATCAAACTTTTACATCTTTTTCGGTGTGATGGAAGCCCACGTCAAGATGGCCAAAGGAGCCGGCATTATCAGCAGTGTGATTTTACAATCTGACGACCTGGATGAAATTGATTGGGAGTGGGTGGGTTACAACACGAGCGGAGTGCAATCCGACTTCTTCGGCAAAGGCAACACAACTACCAGTGATCGCGGTGGATACCATGCCGTCTCGAATGCAGATACCGAGTTCCACAACTACACCTCTTACTGGGATAAGGACCGCCTTGAGTGGTGGATTGACGGTGACTTGGTGCGGACTGTGAATTATTCTGAGCCAAAGACTGTTTACGGCAAGAATTATCCCCAAACACCTTGCCAGGTTAAGGTTAGCAACTGGCCGGTTGGTATCAAGGGACAGTCTGTAGGAAATTTGGAATGGGGTGGTGGTTATGTCAACTGGACTGATGTGCCGTTCACAATGACTGTTTCAAAAATCCGCGTTCAGGATTTCCATTCTGGAAAAGAGTACAAGTACAACGGAACTTCAGGCACTTATAAGAGCATCGAAGTCATTAGGTGAGCTTTTGAATTTCCCAGTGGTGCCTTTTCAGACTTTCAGATTTCCTTTCTTTGCAAGGCTCTATTGCTAACAGTGCCTCTCAGTGGAAACTCGACTGCCCAGACAGAAATCAATAAAAAGCCAGCCGAGACCCTGAGCCAGAAATGGAATGATCTTTCCGAAGGGGCGCATATCGGTGTGTATGTTGGTGCCGCTGTTGTTGGTGCTCTTGCAATCGGAGCCTTCGGGTGGTATTGTGCAAAGCAACGCCGAAACGGTCGTCTTCAACGTGCGCTGGACGATGGCCAATACAGCGAAGAGCTCACGACGTTGGAGCAAACCAAGCTGAGGTGGAGACAAAGTGAATTGGGTCGCAGGGACTACCAACCGGTTCCTTGATTGATGCCGACGCGATGTATAATAATTTTTCCTGCCCATTTGTAATTTTAATGCCCCAAATTGTATGTCCTGATGGCTTTGTTGGAATTTGCCAAGTCTGATTATCGGAAAATAGTCTCGCATAGATAAAGCGGATCGTAAAGTGTCAATTAATCATATAATATTTCGTATATTGTTTACCTATTGGGTAGGTCGAAATTGATCAATATCATCTTCTGTTGTATTTTGACTGAATGAAAGACTACAAATCAAGTTTTGTCTTTATTTTTAAGTATAGGCGAGATATTCTAATATTTTCTAGGGTACACTGTATTAACCCCTATAGGTATATTGCCGTGAGCTGTCATTATTGTTGGCTAAAAATAGGGCGAGAGGGCTCGGTTAAGTAGTGATACTAACCCTGAAGGGAGAGAAAGCCAGCGATTCAATGCTGCCTGATATGAATAATGATCCCAGTGAAGAGTAATTATAGCAAATTACGACCCCATTCATGTATTTAATCCGTCCTATCTCGCCATAATCTTTGGGTACAAGGGCCAGGAATCGAACTATCCCACTTTTTCTTGCCACCTTTCAATTATCAGATAAAGAAACGTAGCTCGGCGGCGAACCTTCCATTAGATCAAACGGGTTGCCATAGCTCTTAGAGCCAACGCTCACAAAGCTCACTACTGTCAGCCTGCTGTGGGACGACTGAGCTTAATTGTCGGTGTCGTTGAGGTATAAGGAAACTGCTTTCGTCCATAATTCTGGGCTCAATCTAAAGCCTCGAGCTTTCTCATAACATAAACGCTCAACGGTGCAATGCCTGGCAGCAAACATTCATTCGGGTGTATTGTGACGATTGGAGCATGCAGCATCCGCAGCTTGTTGCACAACACCCTTCTTTTTCAGCGCATTGGTTGCGAATATTTCCGTGCATATACCACTTCGGGTGATAGCACCATAGTTCGAACGTTCTGGACAAAATTCCGTCGCGAAACAAAGATCTGATAGTCCACCACTGTTGTTCCAACATCCAGATATTTCTCTTGGCGTCGAAACGCCATTATTGTAATTCCACAAGAAGAAGAAGGTGTTCGAATCAGGCATGTGCACCGTAAATCTCACAAATCTTAGTACATATTCTTTCGCTGGTTAAGGAAGCTTAAATAAAGGATTTAGCAGCTAAGGGTTGTGTTCTCTAAAGCCGCAGATGTAAGTGCAGGTTGAACCAGCATTGCCTGTGACTCACAGGTAACTAACCACATACATAAGTTTAAATGTGGTCGCTGTCCGTGTCTCAAAAGGGATTGGCCCAGCGCGCATCGACCACCTGGGCATAGTGACATACATATGTATATAGCTATATACATGTAGCCATCGCGCGGCTTGACCCTAGATATTCGGATTTCCGTAGATTCGCTCAAGATAAGCAATTACTGCGGCGACGCAGTGTCCTTTGACTGTTGCATTAATGCCGTCGTGTTTTTCCATGCCACTTTCTCAAGACGTGTAAAAATGTGGATCACTTGGTCCGAAGCGGACCCGATTACTTTACTATCGACATGTAGTTTACTAGATATAGTGACTTTCCACGATGGCCAGTCAGACGTCGATCTAGCAAACTTCGCTGGGTCCGGTAGCCTCGCGCGCGGGCGTCTTGTAATCACTTCTGGGTATTCTGTTGAGTCAGGGGTATAAATCGCGGTCGTTTCGGGCGCTAGACGAGAGGGTTCTGCTGTAGCAATTTGAAGTAGTCCTAGCTAGCGAGTTTGTTCATGCTTAGTTGCTTCTCTTGTAAGAGTTCGGTAGAGAGAGCTTCCAATTTATGCATTGTCATTTGTGCCCACTGGGGGCGACCCCGGTAGGGAACCTTGGAAGAATACACGTATCCTTCTTAATTCGACATAGTTCAAATGTTGATTCGTACGCATTGCAACATGCCTCCATTAACTGAGGGCTCAATTATGGTAGGATCTCGAATTACACGCCATTTCTCATGGTATCGTTCCTGCTTCAGTGGCAGCTTTCACCCAACTCTCTCTCTTTTGCAATTCTTTGAACCAATTGTCCACGTTCGGATACTTTTCGAACACCTCTTTCCATTTACCTGCTTTCAAGGCCGCTCCATTAGGCAAGTGAAACAAATCTGCCAAAGTCAATTCGTCTCCGACAAGATATTTCTGTCTAGCTAAGATCTTGTCATAAACAGAAAGAACTGTATCAAGGTCGTTTTCAGCTTGTGCGACCCTTGCTTCGTCAGGGAGACCAAGACCTTTCATTCTTTGTAGCCCCTAATTAGTTAATAGGCAAGGAGAATAGAGAGAAATATACGTACGGCTTAATCATAAGTTCAGTTCCTATAGTTTCGGAAGCGCCTGCAAAATAGCTTTGTTCGACAGAACAAGCTTGTTCAAAGCGACCATAGGCCTCGGCATCATCTTCTGGGATAAGCTTCTTTCCAGAAGGATACTTCCTACCGGAATATGTTACTAAGCTTTTCCCTTCCTAGTTGTGATCTTATCGACTTTCTCCCGTGCACACACGAAAGACACATACGAAAGACTTACTTAGCAAGATACTTGCAAATAGCCCTACTTTCAAATAACAGAAATCCGTCATCATCCAGTGCAGGCACCTTGCCAAAAGGCTGAAGCTTTTTATACCCCTCACTCTTTTGTTCACCTTTTGCAATATCGACGAGGATAAATTCGTATGGTAATTCCTTCTCCAGAAGCGTGACCAAGACACGGGAAGTGGCCATAGCAGAGCCATAGACTTTGAGGACCATGTTGGCTGTCAAAACTCTAGAGACAGTGTTGGTCTGTTGAAGTGTTCTTCAAAAGATCCAAAGGGAATTAAGGGCAGAAGTACCAAAAGGTGCTGCGAGCTATTATTTTCGTCATCCTCTTTTCTTTGTTCTGCTCAAACGTGCCAAGAACTAGAACCAGTCTAGTGAGCACTACTGCGTAAGGTTGAAAAAGGCTAGCAATGATGTAAGCACTAAAGAGGGGGTCGGATACTATTCGCAGTGATCGATGTACCTGCTACATAGTGCTTACACTGGTAATTAGAGTCATAAGCACTAGCTTGTAGAGTCAATCTCGTCGAGCACAAGATCGGCACCAAGTTTAGCCGAAGAAACAATTCCAATAGATCCCTAGGTGGAGAGACAAGCTCAATCATGTGCTAGATTATTTCCGCGAATCTACAAACTATAATTCTACAAATAAGTTTGAATTTTCGATAGAAAGACGGGCTTTCTGGATCATTATCGAACATATCGAAGATACCTACTCCCCAACAACAAATCCGAATTACGCGGAATCATTCTTCCACCCAAACGCCAGCAACAGACATAAGGTTTGGCTACCAAGGGCGGTCATTTCCTTGAGCTGAATCCGCATGCATTTGATGCAGCATTTTTCAACAACACGGCAGCCGAACCGATGGCATTTGACCCAAAACAGCGCATAGCAGTGGAGGTTGTCTATGAAGCTCCAAGAAGTTGCAGGCACTCAAACTGCTTGCTATATTATATCCGAGATGAATTTTTATCGAGATGCTGTTGTGTGAGATCTTGGAAACAACAATTTTGGAAACAACCCCAAATATTATATGCGTCTACGAAGACAGCGGGTTCCAGGACAAGGTTGCTAGCTGCTAGTTGGTCTGAATATTGTCAGATTTCATTGAAATCTATGGATTTCCTACAGCTCAAATCTATGCTGGAATGTCAGGGCAGCATTTGTTGTCTCCGCGATCTAACCGTTCATATTCCGTATGACAAAATCAAATTCAATCGGCCTTGTACCATTTGTTTCCCTGCCAATGCATCAATGCCATCGGGATAAATCCCGCGCCCATTATCAAAGCGGCAGCCACACCAGCGCTAGCAGCGATACCAACACTCTCAAACATGGACGTAAACCTGGATTGAAGTTAGTCGGACGAAGGCAAATGTTACCGATTTCCTCGCTTACCAGAAAGGTCCAATGAAGCCCCAGGTCGAGCGCACAAAGTTGATGAATACGCCCACACTGCCTGCATCCTGGGGATACGTGTCGACCGCATAGGTAGTGAGCACAGTAGTTACAACCTGATTGCCAAAAGCAGCAACGCCTGTGCCAACTATAGGTCGGACATCCCATTTACCAGTGGCAGCTTGCTCTGTGCAGACCAAAAACACAGCCATACCAGCAATACTTAACAGGAAGCCAATATAGCTCAGCCATAGGCGGTATTCTGGAGCAGGCTTCTCTCCAATCTTGCGAGCACGAGTATTCATCCACAGATCAGACATATATCCACCGAGTTGTTCACCAAGAAGGGAACCGATGATCAAGCCCAAAAATGAAAGACCGAGTTGTTGAGCATTGAGTTCGAACTTGCTCTGCAGAAGCTGGGGTACCTCGACTGAGTTCAGAACCGAGCAGAATAGGAAGACCATCGAGTAGGCGATTGCTGCAAGTAGGACGGGGATGTTTGTGAACAAAGTGAGCGGGTGCCAAAACTCGTTCATTTTGAATGGTGTAGGATCGATTCGCCGAAAAGACATATACTCAGCCTTGAAAGCGGATGACTTGGATTGGATATCGGCGCCGATATAGCGGGTTTCAGGGCCGAAGAAGACATATAGGATAAACTCGACGGCATTAGTCTGGATAAAGAGTTAGCGTTGGTTGTGACGTAATGGTTGAAAAATAACAAACAATTGCCAATATCCAATAGATCCAGCGATATCCGACGCGTTGAGCCACGAAGCCAAAGATGAAAGGACCGACCGGCACACCGAGAGTTACCATGAGAGTCCAGACGCCCATATAGCGTGCCCTTTCATGCTTGAAGAATGTCTCGGTAACAACACCACTGCCAATAGCCATGGCTGGGGAGATGAAGAAAGCCACAAGAGCTCGGCATGCCGCCATGGTGGCGTAGTCTGTGCTCTTTGCGCAGCCAACATTACAGACACAGCTCAGAAGCAAGGACAAGAGGAAGATTGGACGTCGCCCAAAACGGTGGGAAAGTGGCTTCCAGAATAAGGGGGCTCCTCCTAGGATAGCAATCTGCAGCGAGGTGAGATAACTCACCCGCTGAATTGAAACCTCCAAATCTTCGGCAATGTTCTCGTAGGCGCAAATGATGGCTGCGGCAGTGAAGGTACCCATGCAGGCATGGAATGCAACTAGACTTAAATTGGCTGTTTTCTGTCATACTGTCAGTTTGGAAATCACGCTGCATGGTTACGGCTTTGAGACTAACCTTCCAAGAAGCCCAATTATATGGATCGGCCGGATCCATGCTAGGGATCGGATCAAGGTCGAAAGTGCCATGTCGTGCAATCAGGTATGATTTGTGCGGTTCTGAGAGAAATGCACTAGGTGAAGAGACTTCCACTCCGACGTCTTTCTCTTCAAGGTAATCCGAATCATATTTGGTCGGACCTCCGGGAGTTTTCTGATTCATCGAAGACATATTTCAAGAATCATACGATCAAGTATCGTACCACTTTGTTCTCTCAGAAATCAGCGGGGATCCCAGACAAAAGGGGCACGTCGACCCCGCTGTCCTGGTGGATTCGTAATCAGGATTTTCCGGGGTCTGGGGTCATTGTTGAGTCAATGGGTGGGAATGGCTGGGGGAGTGGGGAGCTCCGGGGTAAGAATGGCCGAATTGCACCTTTGAAGGGACGATAAAGGACTCAAGTGGAGCTTCATGGCCTGTTGAACCACGAAGTAAATGAAAGTGGCGCCCATTCCGGTAGTTGCAGATATCTCGGATTTGCCGGAAAATACAGGAATTCAGGGCCGTTGCATTACGGGGAGTGGTGCTTTTATTATAGAGCACCGGCTTGTCAATTACTAGGGCTGAACCGAAAAAAAACAGCCCGACCGAGGCCTGTGGGTGATCCTGGGTCCAACTGCCGATGTCAGATTCCGACGGTTTGACTTGACTTTTCTCGGGCAATTGTGTATACTTCTCCAGCCAAGTCAGCCAAGTCGGGGTGGCGTACCAAGGCCGATCTTCAGGACTCTCCCATGTCGACTTTTCTTGTGTCGCAAACAGAAATTAACCATGAATGTACACATTTTCTCAAGGTGAACGGTTGAATGGTGAACGGGCCCGTTTGGAAGACAAATCGCGGGGAACTCCGGGGATCGTAACTCCACTCTATCCACTGGCCAATGGATACATCGATGTACGGAGTGGCGACAATATCGAAGGTGGTTTTAAGCATCCAATTAACAGTATTAGCAGTTGTGTGGCTTTTCCACACATTCAAAGCATTGACAGCTTTGCTAGGTACTCTTTTACTCTACCTGATCTGGATGCGGATTGGATGGATCGAATACACTTTGAAAAGGGTTCTAGTCTTACTCTCATTGGAGTTTCATAAAGAGACAATACCACCCGGCAACCTCCCATAAAAACCGACAGTAACATCATCCTCGTTTTTCAGAAGTTGCAAAAAATAAACTCCGTTGGATAGCCTAAACGCACTTAAGCGACATGGCTGGGAATCAGTTGGGAAAAATTGCAGTGAACAACAATCTATGTATCCATGCCTCTTTCATTTTCGCTTCAGGGCGTCCAGGGTGGAATGAATGGTGCACCAGATTGAGCTGTTCGAGATGACACCAAATACTATCTTTGCCGCTAGGAATTGTGCTTTTAAGTCAGCCATTCTTAGCCTTAGTGGCATCAGAAGTTTCCAATTTGTCGTGGGTCTCTCAAGCTAAATCTTCTTGCAAAGTAGCATTGGAATAAATATCATGCATCGGATGCGGTTTGGTATCATTGGGAGATTTGGTGGGCAATTTGCGAGGGTCGCGGCTGACGGGAGCGCGGCCAAAAGATGCAGGCAAAGACACAATGGCTTTGAGATGAATGAAGTTATCCGACGAAAGGCCAATGGGTGGGCTGAGGTGTGGTCGGGTTCACTGTATAATGTATTGTCGGTGTGGTCATGGTTCAAGAATGTGATTGAGCGTGGCGTGTCGTGGAATCCTTCACGCTCCCATGACTTCCTCGTCGGACAGATGACTTGGAGCACTACTGACACCTGAAGTGTCGCTGTCCATGCCACCACTCTCAGAGGCACGTGCGCGAACCTGAGCTCCCCATTCTTGGATGCTTGGGGCGCCGCCCTCAATGACGATAGGGTGTTCCTCGCCACCCTTGCCAATAACAGTTCCAGCATAACGAGATTCCTCGCCAGTCTTGCTGTGCTTTTTCTTCAAGGCTGTCAAAAAGTCCTCTTTCTTGACTGCGTCAGGATCCACGATATCGCCCTCGCTAGGGAGGAAGCCGGCAACTCGTAGGATTTCAGCGTGCACTGGGCCTTTGATCCAACCGAGGAAAGACTGGAGACCGCGCATGTCTTCTTCGCCTTGCCAATCCTCCTCCACTTCGCGTAGTTGAGGACGTATAGCTCCTGCGTCCTGCAAAGCTTGGTAGAAATCTTCGAGCTCCGGGACGGGATCTTCAGGGTGCGCATTTGCTGCATGTTCGGCGGCTGATGAGGCGAGAATCTGGATGTATCTTCCGGTCAGATCTTGGAGAGACTCCAAGACAGAAGGACGCGTGGAGTGGAAACCTTGTGCGCGAAGAATTTGGATAATCGGAGGCCGGAGGAGAGCATTATAAAGGTTTGCACCTGACATTCTGATGGAAAAGTGAGAGCGGCTGATGAGACGATAGACAAAATGAAACCTCGTAGATTATGAGAGTAGCAGCGAAGAGAAGAAGAAGAAGAAGAAGAAGAAAAAGAAGAAGGACAAGAAAAAGAGACGTAGTGAATGAAGTTGGAGGAAAGTCGCAGAACAAACAAAAAGCCAAAGCTCGGCCGCCATCCAAAGCGGAGAATTCGGTCTTCCCGCAACCTCACTTTCTACACATACGCGACCTCCCACATCATCTCATTACTTCCACCTACTTCCTACCTGTACTTCTCTCGGAATCAGGTCCCTTGACAGCATGCCTCTGAAGATCAAGTTCTCAAGGAGACCGGATCCTCCAGAAGAATCCGCCGCACCACTACCACCTCCGACTCCTGCGCCTGCGCCTGCCACCTCCGAAACCCCTCAACCCCAGCGCAAGCTCACCCTGAAGATCGCGCGCAAGCCACAGCCAGAACCGAGCGAAGAGAAATCGAAGAGGAAGAAGTCTACAAAAAAGCGCCCAGCGGAAAACGTTGCATTACCAGAGCCAGAACCCGAACTGATACAGCAAGCACCCAAACGACTAAAAATTAATCCATCGAAGAAGCCTGGACTACAATCAATCCGCATCAAAAACAAGGGGCAGGTTCCCACGCGACCGGTTGGCGTTGGCTATGACTCCGAGGCCTCGGATAATGAAGTTGACCCTGCCATCGAAGAGCAATTCATTCTACGAATGCTTCCAGGGGAAGACTGTGAATACTTGCAGAAAACCATCAACGAACGAAATTTTAACCATTCCGAGTTTGCATTCAAACCTCTCACCCGCGAGGGTCGGCGCGCGGTTCTGAAGGTCCGAGACAAGCAGTATGCAGCGGCACTGGTAGATCTACCATGCATCATCGAAGGCATGAAGAGTTGGGACCGGCGAGGCTGGTACAAATCAGCAGACATATGTCAGATGCTCTTGGTTCTTGGGCGAGTCGAAAATGACCACGAGGCCATGGAATACCCACTGCCTCCGGAAGTCCAAATTCTTGACGACAAGACACTCCAATACCCTCACGGCCTCGCGCCTCCCCTGCGCTGGGTTCGTAAGCGCCGATTCCGCAACCGCTTGAGCACTCGCACGATCGAACAAGTCGAGAAAGCCGTGGAAGATTTGATGGCCCAGGATGAAACTTCCATCTTCCCGCCCAAGTTTGAGCTGGTGGATAGCGCATCCCTGAATCGTGCTGAAGGATTAGTACAAAATGAAGGCTACGTGGAGGACTACGATGATGAGCAGGATGCCGACGGCGACATGGAAGAAGACATGATGGACGACTTCGAAGACGCCTTGGCAGCTGAAATGGAAGCCGCATTGGCGGCTGGCGATGACGACGCTCCTGGACCCGGACCGGACCAGGCGGACACACCATCTATGCAACCGTTCACACCAGGGGGTGGCCAGACAGGCGACACATCCGCTGACGAGAGCAATATCTCTGATGAAGATGATGATGGTCCTGATGATGATATGGATGAGGATGAGATCGAGCAGCAGCAACAGCTCCAGCAACAGCGCGAGGAAGTAGTTGAGCTTGAAGGTCTCATTCGCACTGAAACAGCACAGTGGGAGAAAGTCCAGAACCATATTCTTCGCAACAAGATGGGTCGCCGTATCCAGGAACTAAAGAAGGATCTGGAGTTGAAGAAGGTGTCCATGGGAATGCCAAGTGGGGATGATATCTGATCTCGTTCCTTGAAGCATTGCCATCTCAAATTGAGATTTTTCTTTCGGCGCAATTGTTTAAATAATCATACCCAGTTTGTCAGACCAAGTGGAAATGCCGGTCTCTATGTTCATACAAGCAGATTACTTAACTAGCTTGAAATCCCTAATGAAAGTCATGTCCAATAAATCATCGTTCGCAAACAAGTAATCTATGTCTTTCCACCACACGTCTGTATACATCAAATATCATAGTGTGAGGTTCTGAGGTTAAGCACCCACGACTGGATCGCCGGTCGCTTCTTTCACCGCCCCCTGAACATCAAGATGTCGATCTTGTTCCAACTTGTGTCTTCTCACTGACTCCCGCTCAGCAACCTCTTCATCAGGTGGAGCGGGACTATGGCCAATCCTCTCACCCAGGATTTTGTCATGTTCATCCCGCTTCCGACCGATATTGGCCAAGAGATCATCCGCCTCTCCAAATCCAGGATGACCAGGACCACCAGCACTTCCAACTGGACCAGAATGAGCACCTGCTTGTGCACGTTGAATGCCCATTCCTTTTTTCTGGACTGTCTCTGCGATATATCCCTCTGAGGGCTGCTGCTCAACACCATACTCTAGATCAACGTTCGATGCGTTGTGCAGCTCCTGTTCATGCTGCTTATGTTGGTTCTCTAGACGAGCTCGGGCTTCATCGCTGGAGGGGTTTGACTTGGCGGTTCGGGTTATAGCTGCAATTGAATCTCCGTGGTGGCGGCTTGGCTCCGTAGGTGCACGTTGTTCCTGTGGCGTATGCGAGACTGGATTGACCGATTGTGCATAGACCGCTTCCTTAGGAGGTTGAGCCGGCTGTCCAGTTTGGGAACGGGTTTGCATGATGAATTTAGTACAATATGGAATGTAATTGTTGAACCATAAATGCTGAAGAAGTCGTGAAGAAAGTGACAACCCCACAGCATCCTCTTTGACGTCACCCGACTAACCTGTTTTGGAACATATGAACCAGGGCTGCGACATTAGCTTACGCCATAACCACATGGACATTTTGCTTTTTTTGTTTACTTTGCATGTTTTGTCTGGGTTATCCATTTTGGATCATATGCATATGATATATGCAATATATGACCCAAATTATCAATGTGATTAGAATATCCCATGTTTACCGACAGTGTGGTACTGATATCTAGATCCCACAAAAATGCGACCCAACTAGAAGGCTACCGACTGCATAATTATTTTGGCGGGACAGCAACAAGCCTGGCGCCGCACAGATCGCCCGACCCAATCCCTCGGGTCACCCATAGACTCGGCATTTCATCTGCTACTCAGCTAATCTCAGCGTCCGAAGCGTAATAGTCGGTGAAAACTCGCAGTTCAGATACAACCCGAACACGAACTACTCATCGCTCTCCAATAGATGCAAGATCCGCACAGGAAACATGACTCGTCCCTTCTTCCATTTACTCAGAAACTCTGTCCGAAGGCTAATTAGAGAAACTTTATTCGACTCCACACCGCGTTCTCCCCGCTCGCTCGTTTGCTCATGATGATAGTCTTCCTCCTTGTTTTCACACAGCAACGACACAATATACCATATCGACGGCATGGCTGATGAACTTTACTGTCTTCCCCATGGCTCACGAATCCTGGTGACTGGAGCGAATGGCTTCGTTGGGAGTAATCTTGTTCACTGTCTGCTAGAACTAGGTTTCAAGGTCCGCGGGACTGTCCGCAAGCCGAAGCCATGGCTCGATGAGCTGTTCTGGGACAAGTTCGGAGAGGATTCGTTTGAGTCGGCCGTTCTTCCTAACTTTGAGGACAAGGAATTACTGTTCCAGGTGATGCAAAACATCTCTGGTGTGGCCCATGTGGTATGGTTTCTATTGGTGTTGAAGTATAACTCATGGTTTGCTAATATGTATCATATGGATGTGCAGGTATCAGATGTCAGCTTCAACTCGAATCCGGAAGAGGTCGTGCCTTGGGTGATTCAGGCAATTCATAACGTGCTAGAGGCTGCATCCAAGCAGCGTGAGATTCAACGAGTCGTCTTAACCTCTTCGGCACTCGCAGCACGGTTTCCGGAACATAACAAAGAGGGTATTGTTGTTCGTGAGAGTGAGTGGGGATTCTGATTGCGCTGTTATACAATGATGTGAACATCGAAACGAAGAGCATCTTGACTTATGCTGGATACAGACTCCTGGAACGACAGCGCCATAAAGGAAGCCTTCAATCCAGACACTCCAGCTCACCTGAAGGGTTTCTTCTGTTACGCCGCGTCCAAAACTGAAGCGGAGAAGGCTGCATGGAACTGGGTCAAAGAAAATAAGCCCGACTTTCAATTCAACACTGTCCTACCAGACTTTACTGTGAGTGCAGTGCTTGGATGGTGATTCGATATCGAAGCATCTATTAACTCCATGAAATAGCTTGGAAGGATTTTGCACCCAGAGATCCACGGCTCAACGATGGGCTGGGTCCGCTCCCTCACCAAGGGTGACAGAAAGATTTTCCAGACATTTGAACCCCGTAAGCCAAAGGCGCATCCGTATGGTGGATGGTTCATGGTTGGCTGATTTCCAAGACAGAATACTTTTGCGATGTGGGTGACATTGCACGTCTTCACGCAGCGGCCCTCCTCGATCCCAAGACAGTCTCTCGACGCCTGTTCGGATTCGCCAATCGTTTCAACCTCACCGAGATCATTTGGATTATTCGAAAACTCAGACCTGACAACACTTTTATCCCGGATCCTCCTGTTGATGATGGGAGTGACCTGAGCGAGGTCATTCCCGCCAAGGACGCGGAAAAACTCCTGCAGGATTTCTTTGGACAAGAGGGGTGGAAATCCATCGAGGAAAGTATTTCTGACGGACTAGAGGGGTGGTAGATACGTGTTCTTATGTTGTAGGTTCCCCGTTCCTTTTAGACTCCGCTTGTCTTGCGATTCATTGCCATGAAGTATGGGCTAGCTCATTCAGGTTATATCGAAATCCTTCCAATGAGACCATATTGTAAGATTCTCTATCGCTATAACGTGATAATTCGAAGATAATATCATAGGGATGCTGAAAAGACCCTGTAAAACATGAGTGGTAAAGGTAGAAGCATAAATGCCTAGAGAGCACATCTGAATAAGATATGTCGCCAGACTTGCTAGGCGAGATGTAAATTCTAACTCTACAGTTGCTTTTCTGAAAAAATTATGCACAACGCATATTGTATTGTTGCATTTATGATTTAGTTGCATACCAAACTCATTGTGGCAATGTAACCACTGCTCTTCCCGTAATGCCGTCTTCTCTTAGCTTACCTATCAATGTCGGCACTGACGAGAATTCAAATACCTCAATAGACGGATCAATCTTGCCAGAAAGTGCTGCTTGTAATAGTTCCCTCATTTGATCTTCCGTTCCCACGGAAGAGCCGATAAAAGTCAACCCTTTATTCAAGATGTTGTTAGAATATATCCTGCGTGTTTTCAGCTTCATAGTTGGCTTCTCTTACCTCGAGCTGTGCAAAGCGTCGCAGAAAGTGGAATATGCAGGTCATTTTGTGGCAGACCAACATTCACAACAAATCCCATGTTTCTCACAAGATTAGGTGCCATTTCCAATGCATCCTTGGTTCCAGGAACAACGATCGTCGCATGTGCACCCTCTCCAGTCAAATCACGAACTCGGGCTATGACATCTTCAGTCTTATAATCGAGGAATATTTCGGCTCCAGACTTCAGACTAAGAGCTTTCTTATCCTCTCCACTATCGATGGCGATAACGCGCCAATGTTTCATCCTCGATGCTATTTGAACGCCGATGTGGCCGAGGCCTCCGCCAGACCCAGAAATCACGATAAAGTCACCCGCGTGGAGCTCATTGTCTAGCTTTGATAGCGCACCGATCATCGTAAGCCCGGCGCAAAGTAATGGGGCAGCGATCTCATCAGCCACTCCGTCCGGGATGAGGGTCACGAACCGCGCGTCAGCGATGACATATTGCTGCAGTGTTCCAGGCACATGGCGGCTTGTATTGAGTTGTTGGGTGCAGTTGTGTGGATAGCCACGCTTGCAAACCGAGCACTGGTTGCAAGCGCTATACAGCCATTTGACTCCGACGCGTTGTCCAAGAAGAGAGTGGGAAGCTTCGGGTCCTGCTTCCACTACTATTCCCACCCCTTCATGGCCGATAATAGAGTTATAAGCGCCCCAGGCTAAAGCTGCACGAAGTTCAGAGCGGCTTTAGGGATGCGGATTTGTTAGCATTTCATATGCTTGATCTTGTTAAGTGAGTTCTCACCACAGGCCAGTACATGTTAACTTGACAAGAACCTCGTTCTCCCGAGGCTTCGCGACAGGTATGTCGCTTTGAAGTGAGACATTATAACTCGGTCCTGGATTTAACACAACAGCTGCCTGTTGTAGAAGGGGGATGGAATTGGTCATCGCAGCAGGTAATATCTGATCTCGGCGCTCTGTAAAACTGCCGTTTCTCGACGTAAAATTTGAACCTTGTGTCTTTGGACAATGACGCTGGGCTCATGAGACGTTGCTGTATTCCTGTTTAGCGAATAAAAAATAATTGTACGGTTTACCGAGGTAATTGCAGTTGTCGGGCAGGAAACCGGCAAGTAAGGTGATAAGAGGTTGCCACTAATGAAAACAACAAAAATGCATTTACAACTTTACATTCCCTGTGTAATTGACTACGAAAGTAATTAAACTGTTCTCACTGATATTTTGCAAACAAAATTACCAAATTGACCTCTGCAAAACCCACCATTTCATTGGACGAGAAGCTAACAAGCTTTGTTCTCGCTCTGATCATCCTTTTTATCCCTTTTTTTCAGGCTTCATCATATATTACTTAGTCACATAGTCTGCATATTTTTCATGATACTGACAAGATTCAATGATACAAAAGAAGGCAATATTTATGTAGTTGTTCATCGTAGCAGAATGCCCGCTCGGAAGGTCGGAGATGGAATGAACGATCATAAAGATGAGGAAATCCGGGGATAGTGGAGCTGAGCTTTTATGCACGATCTTCGGAATAAATATGTGGGGACCATCATTTATTTTAAAGACTCCTGCGAGGAGGCAAAAAGCCGCTTTCGGAGATATTTTTGAGATTACGATCGGGCCATAGTAGGTCTAAAACCAAATATGTGTAGAGAACATGGGTGTATCATACCATGCATAATATGTACATAGTTGAGTTAGTATGATGGAGCATGCCGAACAATCGGGGTGGCTGCCCCAGATCGCCGCGATCATCTACCACCCGAGAATCGGCTTACAGGTTTCTCTCAGTAACTCCTGATTTTTGCCAAAGAAAAAAAGAAGTAATGCGTTCACAGCTTTATCAGCTTTATCAGCTTTATGGTGCTATCACGTGACGGTGTGATAGGCATGTGATGCGGCCGAGGTTGATTAGTATTCATAAAGTATTCAGATGGGCCGAGAGAACCCCTTCAAGATAAAATCGATCACCGCCTTCTTAGTACCTTTTTCTTGCAACCATCTCCATCATGACATCGCTTTTCACTGTCCCGATCACTTCGACTGGAGGCTCGATCGTCTGCACAAACCCCAGCACGGCGAAAGAACATGAGACCATCTACGTGCTGACGTTCACTTCGCCCAAGGACAACCGACTGACGCCCGTCTTCATTGACGCACTGCTATTGGCCCTCGATATAATCGAGCACCGTTACCCCAAGGGTGTTGTGGTCACTACTAGTGGAATTGCCAAATTCTACAGCAATGGGCTCGATCTCGACATTGTGGGGAAGACCGAAGGGTTCCTCGAAAATTGGTTATGGAGACTTTTCCGACGATTCTTGACGTATGTATCACGGGGATATCCTAAGTACAATAAAATGTTGACTGGCGATTAAGGTACCCTATGCCAACTGTGTGTCTGTTGAATGGACACGCTTTTGCCGGTGGTTTTATGCTGGCCATGTATCATGACTACCGAATCATGAACCCAGACCGTGGCTTCCTATGTGTCAATGAGCTGGAGTTTGGAGTCCCACTTCAAACGCCCATGATGGCCATTTTCCGCGAGAAGTTGACGCCCGTCACATTCCGAAACGTTGTTTTGGAAGCCCATCGCTTTGGTGGACGAAACGCACTCCAGGTCGGTATTGTTGATGCCGTGGGGGGTGCCGAGGAAGCTCTGGCATTGATCCAGGAACGAAAGCTTCAGACCAAGGCTGCGACTGGTATCTACGGAACCATGAAGGAGGAGATGTATGCTCGGACTCTGAGTGGATTGGATGATCATGCCGGCAATTTGAAATGGCGTGAAAATGTTGAGGATAAAAACCATGCCGTCTCTAAAAGAGGACTAGAAGATGTGAAGGAATTTGAGCAAAAGGCAAAGGCGAAGCTTTGAAATCATGAGTTCTTTTTTGTTCATATCATAAAGCAATGTGTACATATGCATATACCATCTGAGCCACTCATTCCTAGGAGGAGAAAAAGATGGCATTCCAAATTAGACCGTGTTACCTTCACGGTCGAATGAATACTGGAAAGATAAAAGACACTTTCCCAAGAGGATGGCTCTTATCAAATGACTTCATTCACCAAGTGCAGAATTATAATGTATTTTCAACTCTTTGCTAATAAGCTTACTACATATCTCCAGATTCAAAAGCAAAGGAAAGCTGTGTCAGCCAATCACGAGTGCGAATGGATAGAAGTAGGAAGCGAAATTGGATTATATGAATTTGAGGGCCAGAATACTTGTGCGAATAGAACTTTGGGATAGTGTCAATGAACGCACCGAGCCGAATTTACAAACTATATATGTAGATCTTTCAATGGTAGATATTTCCTGTTTTTACTTATCACCGAGATATATACCCAATGGCCTTCCAAGGTTGTAATAACAAATTTTTTGAATCCTTGGGGTAGCTTTGGTGTCACAACATATATATAGTTGACTTTCCTTCATATAATGTTCACATATCATAGTAGAATATCTAGATTTAGGCCCACATTTCGCTTATAGGTGGCTCAAATAGCTATAGAATTAATTGGAAGTGATCTTAAAGTTCAAATAGGATTATATTTAGGGCTTTGCACGTTGAGGATCTATTCATCTTAGAAAGCAAAGCAAAAAGGAATAGCCATACGCATGAATGGTAGTAAAGTTCAATCTAAATACTTCAGTCAAAATCAAACCCTCATTTCAGTTAGAATAGGGTGGGTACTTGGTCCGAGTTAGATTGTCCATCATCATTGCACATTCAACTAATGAAATTGGACAAAATCGCCTTATAGAATAGCTATGGAACAATATCAGCTATTTGTTAAAGGCGAATGGGCTAAGTTCAGAGTTATTTTGCCTTCAGATAATAGTATATAGGCGGGAGTCGCGTTCTTGAAAGTATCTCGTCGCTACTTCAAACTTCCCATTTCTCAACACCAACCATTCTTTTCCTCTAAATTTTGTGCTTCACGATGCCGAGAGGTTTGCAAAATAAGACTGCGGACTAAGGCGCCTTGCCCTTCATCTTTCCTTCCACTCCCGCAAACCAATTCACAGGTAAGTTTCACCCATGGATTTCCTTCCGGTTGACCTTTTCCCTCTCATCACCACTCACCTCAACAAGAAACCATGTCCGTCCCAAAAATGGACAAGCGCCGCCGTATTGACCTTCCTTTCCGGGAACTCCTCGCTGCTCAATATGTAGAGACCGAGGACCACTACGAGGCTTGGAGAAAGGCAATGACCCAGTACCACCAACAGCAGGGCGAGCACGATGCCGCTGCAAACATCGCCACCACGGAGGGTGAGATCCCGCTGCCGCTCCCCGAGAGCATCTTGACCAACAAGAAGCCAGGTCCAGAAGGTCTCCCTGTTGTATGATATGATTCCCACATTTAGCTCATCAGGTTGTGTTCCATGCTGACAAAACCAACGAAGATCCACGAGAACCTCCCCGCCATCAATGCGGCTGGTCTCAACCACATCCTCTCCCAGTGCAAGCCCAACGATCCTAACTCACAGGAGATCATGAAACAGAACACTGCCCGTCTAGTGGAGTGCGGTCTGGTCGACAAGCTGGGACTTGGGACCCCTCAGCCTCAAACTCCTACCGCTGAAACCACAACCACACCTTCACCCAAAGAATTTGAAACTTCTGATAAACTCGAAGAAGAGCGCAAGACTCAGTCCTCTGGTGAACCTGGAAGAGAGCGCAACATCGATCTTTCTCGCGTTCAGACTGCGCACCAGCGCTACTGGTCTGCCATGGGTGGTTCGACTAAGGACTTCTTTTAGGATGACTCTGACCTTGGTCTGTCTTCCATCTTGACTATTGCTCCCATCCTGTTTTTGAAACGATATGATGCAGGTTTGACCCCGGTGTGATTGAGCAGGCCCTTATTGCACACATGGTTTTCTGGCGTTTTTGGCGCGAGGGATTTTGGTTCTTGCTGATCCTTCTCCCTTTCGCTTGTTTTCTGTCTTCTTTTTCGCTTGTCCTTTGCTCTTGCAAATTTTGCTATTTCTAAAGAAAAGAATGAGATTCACTCCGGGTGATCTCTTTGCCTGTGACCTTTCTTGTATCGTTTGTTAATTCTTCTCCTTGTCCTGTCTTTGCTTTTTCCTTGTGATGGTGATACCCACTTAAGTTGAGAAAGTCTTTACATCAACATTCTAGTGACATTTCTGATCCTCTGAAGCATTTCTAGTGAATTTGTAAGATATGAAGTCTGACACAAAGGGCGGGTAGTTGAATCACAGAGGCTGTCATGTAATTTTGCAGCGCGCAAACGAAAAGGGTGACAAACAGCCTGCTGACAGTATTATCTCTACCTCACGTCGGCACTACTAAATAAATCATAGCATGGAAGAAAGTTGAACAAGTTGAGTTTTATTCAATTGAATATAATAGCTACAAACTGAATTCCAACTTGTCTTGTTTTGAGCATAATTTGCGAGACTAATGTTGGGGCTCAGCCTCGGTGGTTGCCGAATGCAAGAGTGGATCTACAACATGAGGCATCACCCTGCCAATTTGCATGGAATTGAAGTGACTCAGCGATCTTGAACCATTCAGTCATTCTTTTGGAACCCTGCAAAATCAAATGTGCTTCTGCATCCCATTTTGTAATACCTTCTTGGGTATATTTGTCACATTTCTCTGCCAATTCCAATTCAAAATATCACATATAATTGGAAGGATAAGTCCTGCTGTCCGGTTAAGAGTAACACACAATGTCTCCAAAAGGCTACCGGGCCATCAGAACCAAACAGACGTCGAACACAATCATAGTCTGCCAAGCATATTCTGCCGAGATAACAGATCCGGCAATCAAAGCTCAAACATTTAGCTACCTTTTTCTCGTAAATGTATGAGCTGGATCAATCCCTCTTTCTTATGGATGGCCTACCGATCAGGATGGGCAACCAAAGTATGACAGGAACGAGTCTTGGCTATCGAAACTACTCGCGAGGGATTTGAATGGGCCTCTACGACACTCACCCATGCCATGAGTCACCATACAGCTGGCGATGGAACGGATCATGAAGAATGGCAGAGGAAGCTGCAGTCCAGTCCTGTGCGCGTACAATGGGTTCTCGAGAGGGACCTTTCACTGCGGTCTTTGGACTATCGAAGTATTCAGATCGGTTTAAGTGGAGAGGCTGTTGGGAAATATTTTGGTGAATGGGTTGTTTCGACTACTGATATGACTAATACAATGAGGAAAGTCGATCAATATCTCAAGGAAGGGAGGTTTGATGCTGCCAAGGAGTGTTTGCCTGAGGAGGAAATACATTTCTTGCCTGGAGATTTACTGCGGGCATTGAGGATGGACTAGCTGATACGTGACTGGTTGCTCTAACAACACATGTACGTATTTAACTGGGTATATAGCTTTCTAGGAGCATAGAAACTGCCAATTTTCCATCCCGCTATGTTGGGATTGGGAGAGAGTTGTCGACCATTTTTCTGCAAATTGGGATGAGTAGCAAGACATATGAAACAGTACCGATAGGAAGACCTATGTGCGGCTGAGAATCAGGTTATGGTAAGTCTTGGAACCTGCCAGTTGGGCGTACAATATTGTACGATATTGTACGGCCATGAGCACTTTATGTAGCTCCAGAATGCGGGAACCGTATTATCGGGCCATTATGTTTATCTTGAAAGATTAGAATTTGTTGTGCTAGTAGGGAAATGCACATTACATCTTTTTGTGAAGTTTTTAACAAAATCCCCTTTATCATCTACAATGTTGTACTTGTTCTCTGCTTCAATCGCCAAGCGAAGACCGTACTTATTTTTATCCAAAGGTTGGCGGTTCTGCTGTAAAAGTTGATCTGACTCCGATTTAGGAGCCCTTATGACTTCATCTTGCGATGTCATAATATGATCTCATGGTGGAGTTACTCAAAAAAAATTACAATCGTAGAGATATACCTTTGTATGTACCTACAAGGTAAGACGTAAGATATAAATTTTGAAAAGGGCCCACAACAGTCCTCGAGGCTATGGCGTAAGACCATGAGCATCACACTAGCTAGCTCAGACTAGAAGGGAAATGTGCATACTTCAAGGTCCGAGCGTGACCAACTCAACCAAGAATACAGTTGACAATAGATTACCCCTGATTTCAATAGTACAATAACTTTGAGATATGAATTGATGCTTATTTTTAAAATCTCTGCAGTGAGCCATGGTTGCCACACATAGATCACAAACTAGATAGGCCGAAGTGGAGATCGATAGAAATCTATCGCAATCTTGATTGAATGAAAAGAAAAACGGTCTCGGTTCAGGGCTTTGATTGGACGGAATCAGCAAGCGACCACTCAGCATCAACTATATCAGATAATATGGGTCTGATCAATTCAGACTTGACTGGGGTTACATTCATGGTACAATATTGTTCAAAAGAAAGATAATTACCATGTTTATTTCCAATTGAATAATGAATTGAGGGAAGTAAAACAAATACATCATATACGATATATACTACATTTTATCAACACCTTTGATAACAAAAAAAAGAAACATCAAGAAACATCAGGAAACATCAAGAAAAATCCAGTGGACCTTTTTTTATCTTCGGGCCTTTTGACCCAATCCCAGTCTTGGCACGGAAGCGAGCACCTACCAATCACAGAGGAGATGTCTTTTAAAAGCAAAACAGTATACCTATTCAAGTATTCCACCATGGACTTATTTTAACTCCTAAGGGGTTTTCCTAGGCCGCTTTGAACTGGTTGGTACCTTTTCTTTTACATGCTTACCTACACCTTTAGCACTGACTACTATGCATAGTGGGTTGCCAAGTTGCAATGGCTGACCGGCCATACCTCGACCCTTCCAATTCCAACTTTCATCCCTCTATTTCTCAAAGGGATTATCAGTCTTTTGCCGCAGAACCAAGTGTCGAAGACAATGACTCTTCGCCATCCACGCCTTTATCCCCACCGGTCATTTCAATAAGAGGCAATGCTCGAGATCCTCAGAGCATATCACGACTCACCTCAGGTGAACGACTAGTAAATGGCAAAGTTGCCATTCCCCGACTCGACCTTCCAGTTGCAAGCCACAATAGTCGAGTCAGTCGAGCATGTCATAATTGTCGCAAGCAGAAAAACAAGTGTACTGGTGATCGCCCTTCTTGCCTGCGGTGTCAGGAGATCAACGTGCCTTGTGTATACGTCGATGGGAAACGAGAGAGAAGTGCTAAGTACACTCTTTCCTTCCAAGTACTCACGCGGCATAGAATACTCACTAGGACAGACATCTCACGGTTGTGACTAGCCAACTCGAACATTACGAATCTCTCGTGCGCGATATCTATCCCAAGTTTGACCTTGAAATGGCTAAAATCGTCGACCAGGCCCTTGGAAAGGTGGGTGAGAATTCGTAACCCATCGACCACAATTTTTTGCACTTGCATTCCCGAATAGAACATGCTCGACCTAACAGTACTGATACCCCATAGATCTCCAGTCTTTCCATATCCTCACCGACCGTCGCTTCGATCCCCGATGATACACCTACCCCGACTACTCCTATCGTTTCATGTTTGGACCACACACTTGAAGATTACAACGGGGACGGCTCACTCCAAGCGCTTGGGTTTGTTGGGGAGCATTCAGCAACAAAATGGTTATACAGACTGAAGCAATGGGTCGGGCCAACAATTCTGAACACAAGCAATCAATTCGATCAACCGACAGGTCCATCACTATCTTCTTGTTGTTTCTTCCTTGATGATACCGCGCCATTGCTTGCAAATGGTCCCGACCTATTCGCATATCCCGCGCAAGCTGTCGCCGATGAACTTGTCGACAGGTATTTCCAAATGGTACATCCTTCGTTTCCTATTATTGGGAAAGAAATATTCCTTGGCCAATGCCGATCTTTCTATTCAAGCTCGATGACACAACCTGGAAATAAGTGGATGGCGCTATTGAATATGGTGTTCGCGATCGCTGCAAAACACTCCGAATTTTCGGGAGACCAACACCGCCTTGATCACAATAATCACACGGTGTACTTTTCTCGCGCCTGGCAATTGAGCATGAATAACAATGCAATATTGGAACATCCGAATCTGCAGACAACACAGATAGAGGGACTAATCTCGTTCTACTTGCTTTCCACCGGGCAGGTTAACAGGTTGGTTCCATAACGCGATCCCTTACTTTGACACTGATTTGTTTCTAGGTCATGGAGAATATGTGGTTTCGCAATTCAGTCAGCCGTTACTATGGGAATCCACCTTCGCAGCGAGGGTACACGCATCACCCATGTTTCCAAAGAAACAAGGTATCGACTGTGGTGGGGTTTGTACCTGTTAGATACTCTGCTCTGCGTGATGACTGGACGCATGCCTAGAATGCAGCCCGAACACTGTGCAACACCTCTTCCTGTACCTTATACGGAGGAAAGCTTTCGGGATGAGCGCGTGATGATGGTTATTCAAGATAATCAGGCTCGAGTCAACCTCATGAACTCTCTCCTTTCCCACGATTCCTCAAATGAGCCCACCGAACGTTCAAAACATTCGACTACTCATCAGCCAACTTCCCAGCAGCATTCACCCAGTCAGCACTCACAAGCCCATGTCTCCTTATACTTACTATATTCAATCGACCTGGCAGCTGTGATGAGAGAGGCAATGGAGATTTTGTACTCTCCCGGAGGGGCAAGGAAATCTGGAAATGAGACCGAACAAGCCATGAAGTCTCTCAACAACACTGCTGATAACTGGTTCTCTCGACTCTCTGCAACCTATCGTCTTACGGAAAACGAAACTGACCGCATCGTTGCCCGCCAACGCACGAGTTTGGCTTTTCAATATTACTCAACCAAACTCGTCATCACCCAACCCGCACTTCGCGCTCATGTCTCTGGTGACAACCCTCTAAATGCGGTCTATCATCAACTGGCGACCGTTTGCATCAATGCCGCAGCCCAAATGGTGGATCTCTTGCCAGATGATCCGAGTATAACCTGGTTCATGGAGTTCTCCCCTTGGTGGTGCGCTCTGCACTATCTCACCCAAAGCATCATAGTGCTGATCACCCAGCTGCTCTTTGAGAGTAAATCCAGGGCTAACCCAAACTCTAAGCCATTTGAAAGAGTCCAAAAGGCTCTACGTTGGTTGACTGAGTGTTCTACAAGGGATCTCTCTTTCAAACGGGCTTGGGAGAACTTCACGAACCTTTTATCATCCCAAGGAATAAATGCTGTGTAGTATAACCTTGATCTTCTTTATCCCTTCTCCCTTTCTATCTTGCTTCCCGGTTAACTATCCCATTGAACGCATGGGACAAGATTTACTAATTCCTTGCGATTTCCTGGTGGATCCTCGCTTGTCATCGATTCACTCAACAGTAGCTCACTTTTTAGTGGCCCATGCAGACTAACCTGGCCCATTCATCTTGACAAACACTTCGACAAGCAAGTATCTAAGTAGACCGTAAGGCCCGGTTCCGCTTTATGCCCACCGCTCGTCAAAATATATCATGGCTCAACCTCCATTTTAGATATCTGCCCTTTTATCTCAGAATACTCTATAATTAGAACCAGAATAATAGTTCTTGTATGGCTCATACACTCTACATAACTACATGTGACTAGCCCTGTACTGATACTTGTTTAGGGCTTGGTGGGTCATTCGGGTATACCGGCTATCAGTGGCCCATAGTCTATAGCCCATCGCTCTCATTGGCTGGATGTCTTTGCCGTTGCCCCGTTTTCCATCGTTGCATCGCGAAATATTCCATCGCAATACGGCATACCTCGGTACAGCTACACAATAGTAGAAAACTTTCAACAATTTTGGGAATAATGTTGAGTTTTGGATGAATTCAGCCCTGAGGGAATCACGGCTTGTAGAAAAAGAACCAGATATCGGTTTATCGAAATAGGATAGATAGCTACATAGAAAATCTACAATCTTCTGTCTTTGTATTCTTTGTATAATAACATGAATACATCCGCTACAAATTTGTATGTTGTGTTTAGGCGCCTGCCTAGATAAGTTTACCCCTGTGCCCGAAATACAAATAGGGCGAGATTTTTATCCAATCCTGTCCGTCCATGTATGTTTGGCGCGGCAGCTTATAGGAACTGTTTTTTGGAAGTTCCCCGGCGTATTTTCGGTTATGTTTGGATCCTTTGGTGGATCAATCTCATGAATTTATTGCTTCTTTGCACATAGGATACCTCTTGTATCTATAGGTCTCTGGGACACTTGGAAAATCTTCAAGCAATATATTTGTCAGTTCTTCTTCTGTGTCTGTCAAATCCTTCCTGGCTACTTATGGCGCAATTTGTCAGAAGCACGGTATTAGGTGGAAAGTTTGAAACACCAGAAAGGTGCAGTGTTCTTGAAGAACCTTTCTTTGAAGAAAACTTGCTAAAATTGTGTTCGTTATAGGTATACAAATCCAGAAACCCTGAGAATTGGTGTTTCTGGAATTGTTTGGTTGGTCGCCCTGTCTCAAACATGTACAAAAGTACTAATTATTTACTCCGACGCTAGCTCTTCGTGGGATCAGATAAACCAACAATATGTTGCAGTGAAAAAGATACTCGAGCCGTTCAGAACGCCAGCCACGACACAATCTGTTTTCAGAGAAATCAAACTTCTACAGCACCTAAAACATGAAAATGAACGTTCAAGCGGGAGGGGCCTTTCTGTGATCTATGCTAATTGGATAATAGGTCATTCGTCCGCTTGACATTTTCATATCCCCCACAGAGGATTTGTATGCAACTTCGGTTTGATTATAGCCTTTCGTGGTATTTACTGATTATGCGTAGATATCTCGTCACGGACCTCATGCAGACCGACCTGCGAACAATCCTAGCCGCAAAGTCTATTGGACATGAGTTCGTTCAATTCTTTTTGTATCAAATTTTGGTCAGTCTATGCCCTTGGAAATGATACTCACGGTACTAATTAAAGTCTAGAGGGGATTGAAATACATTCATTCGGCGGGAGTCGTTCACCGTGACCTGCACCCAGGAAATATCCTAATCAATCAAAATTGCGATCTCAAAATATGTGACTTCGGATTTGCACGGGTCCAAGAACCACTCATGACGGGCTACGTCTCCAACAGGTCCTATCGGGCTCCAGAAATTATGTTGACGTGGCAAAGGTATAACGAAAGAGTCGACATCTGGAGCGCGGGCTGCGTCTTTGCCGAAATGCTGCAGGGAAAGCCTCTTTTTGCAGGAAGAGACCATGTTGAGCAATTCTGTGCTATCACGGAGTTACTTGGCACACCAAACGAGGATCTTCTGGCTAGAATCACCTCACCACATGTCAGTTCAAATGCAATCTCGCTGTTTACTTTCACAACGGCAATCGATGGTCACTGTCTCGTTGACAAATGGCTGACAGGGTAATTACATGACAGATACTGGGTTTCGTCCAGTCTCTCCCCTACCGCGAGGGTACAGGTCTCTCAGCCGTGTTCCCTTGCATCGATTCAACAAGTACGTTTTTTTTTCTTTACATATACATATGGACCATTTTCTGATAATCAACAGTGCTTAACCTTCTCGAAAAAATGTTGGCATTCGACCCTCGTGGCCGAATCTGTGCCTCTGATGCTCTTTCGGCTCCTTATCTCGCCTCCTACCATGACCCCACAGATGAACCCCTAGCTGAGGAGGTATTTGATTGGTCGTTCAATGGAACTCCGGGTTCCAGTCATGGGTGGAAGCATAAACTGTATTTCAACTTGTCCCCCTTCATCAATAGTGTGCTAATTCCGTCCCAGGTACGCTGAGGTGTCAGGATATCACAAACAAGCAGAGACTCAACAGGCTGTGAAAAGATGGACGCAGACCGCTGGTGGCACTGAAACTGAAAATATGCCGCCATATTGAGCAACTGCATTTCTTCGTGTTTAGGTCTGATTATATCCAATTTTTAGTTTTATTTTTCAATGTTAGCTAGCTGAGCTTTTTTTTACATTTGATGAGGTTATTGAATCAATTATTTGTGGACTTATTCCTGTTTTCAAGTGATGATCTTTTGTGTTTTTCAGGGCTAGAATACAAAGTTAGACCCTCCTACAAAAATAGAACAAAATCACGTATTACTGCGCCCTCATTTGTCGTGCCCAGATAGCAAGCAAGTATTTCGTAGTAAGCTGATAATGTGTGTAAATGGACCCAATTTTCTTTACCAGAGCGAATGGTTCCCCCAATGATATTCACCAGTTGTGTAGCGGAAGATCAAGTTCCAGTCTATGACATCATTCTCTAGGCCGCCAATGAAGTATATAAACTACGTTGTATGTATGCTCTTGGATATCTCGAGACATAATTTATGCCCTAGACTTTCAATTCTAGTCCAACTTCGTCCAACTCTTTAACTCGTCTTCACCCGACAAAATGACCTCTGAATATATTGTAATTCTCACCCCATATCACCTCATCACCCCCCCATGAACAAAACAACTTACAAAGATAAGGTTACTTTCCAAGAATCGGCCACCACCGAGCATATCAATACCTATGTTCAAGAAATCGAAAAGAATGGCGGATCTATTACCAATAGATTTCCAGATATGATGGCCAGAGGTTTCTCGTATGTGCTTTTCTACCTGATTTCCCAAGCAACCTCCAACTAACCATGGGTTTAGAGCCTCTATCACAGACTCCGATGTTCGAAGGCTTCAACAGGATCCTTGCATTGAGCGTGTAACACGTAATGGCTCTTCCAATTCTCAGCCTTCGCTCTCATTTTTTGGGCTAGCGGCATAGTCTAGCTTGGTCCTCTTTTGTGCTCCCTGTACATTTAGCGATATAACGATTTAATGGCTACACAATCACTTTCATCATCAAACTTGCTTCATCAAACGGATCACCGTATTCTAGTTCCATGTTGTTTATAGGATTACGCCAAACAACATGAAAATTCCACTCTAGATCTGCTAAGAATTTCCCAGAGACTACGGAGTATGTACACTGTACATATTTATGCGAGTGGCGGATAATGGTTTGATTGGCTATTGGAATTGCAATGAACAGCCCCGCAAATAGCTAACAACATTGTACTATTCACAAAGCAACAAGCATCCTTTACCCCGTACGAGTAGCATAGGCTTCTAAGTTCCCTATGCTTCACTTTGGTACGAGTCAAAGTAATAATTTTGCGCTTGTTGGGGTTTGTATATAAGCTCCAATATCGCACCTCTACGTCACCAGATACATGTGACTGGAAGCTGAGATGGAAAATACGATTATGCCATATTTACTCAATCTAGCATTGGTAACGCTGGCCGATTCGATATCTAGTAATGCCTTGAAATATACCAGGGGCCCATCCAGCATACCGAAGCGTGGATACTGGAATCTCGGAACCATCAGCATAATCTTGTGCGGCGTTGCAGGTGCCTACTTACCTTACCTCCACCCTCCAAATATTGACTTCCTAACTCAAGGTGTAGATTTAAGCGGCGCAATGTTTACTAAGTATCTAGTTGGTTCCAAGAGATATAGGATTGCCATCTTGATCAACAATCTGAGCGTTTGCTTCGCGGCCATGTTCACCCTAATAACCTGTCCGTCTAAATTTAGTCTTTCTCTCAGGCAACACATACTTACAATTACAGTGCAATTCCTCAATCACTCCTCGTTCATCGTTTTAATAGTTGCTCCGTTGTTCAAACTTGTTGGAGGCGGCAGTCATGTTACTGCTTTCTTAATGCTTGTCCATCTTCATGAGCAAGAAGACCCTGAGATCACCCAGTGAGTCTTGCTTCAAGTTCTGACCTGTTTGACACTCTCTTCTCTTTTCTTTGCTCTTATCTACTAATATCCAATTTAGGACAATCTCATACTACATCACGGGAGGGGTGGTTGCCATAAGCCACTTAATTGGGTCCTTTATGTTGCCGCTACTCGCTAACAAAAGTGACCATTTACCTTATGCACTATCCGTGTTGTGCTGCGGGGTTTCATTATGTATTCTGGTCCGGATAGTTTCGCCTTCCGGTTTCTCTCAGTCAAATGAAAGACCGGATATCACGGAATATGATGCTCTGCTCGGTCCAAGAGAAACTATTTCCTCATCTGACGACAACACTTTTGGAATCTGTCATGGTCAAAATTCAAGTCAGACATTAGTCAATCAGAAGTATCTCATTGCAATAGCTCTTTGTCTAGGAGGAGTCCCAAAAGCAATGAGGCCACTGTTTTCAGCCTATATTCAACACAGAGCCGATCTTAATCCTCCACAGGTAATGACTCCATCTACTCATTATCATGTTGAGACGGAAAGCAAAATGCTGAATAATACACAGGCATATCAACTTTGCCTTCTCCAAGGCAGTTTGAGTGTTATCATACTCATACTAGGCTTTCCTTGTGTTCTCTGTTTGCTCCAATCTGGAGCCTCGGTCAGACCATCGCAGACAACTCTGTATGGCGCCAAACTCGGTTTCTTTCTCATGGGCATAGGTGCCTTGATGATTGGATTGGCCGGCTCGGCTTCACTACTTGTACCCGGTTTGTTCACCAAATTTCATAGCATTCACACACCATTTCATATAGTAGCCTCATTTCTCTGACATGGACCTTTAGCACTTATTATAGATAGCCTCGGGGTCGCAACCGAGTTGAGCTTACTGGCCTATCTGGCAAGTCTCATCAAAAGAACGGCTACTGGTCGGATGTTCATGCTCATTGCATCACTTGAGAGTTCCGGGTATCTTGTTGGCATAGCAATCCTGTACCCAGTATATCAATGGAGCGTCAGCCAAACATCCTTGTCTGGAGGAAGCCCTTATTACATTTGCGCCGTGAGTTTCCTTTCATTGACGGGTTGGCATGGACTAATCAAGGCCCGCAGGCTATTTACCTGGCGTTGAGCTGGCTAATTTGGGGGTTAGATATAATCACAGAATGAATCTTTGAGATGCGGCTTATCAAGTGGGGAGGGTTCCAAGAATTCATTTAGATCAAACATGATCAACTGTATTTCTGTTGTTTATTTCTCTTTTGGAATACGCCAATCCCATGAAGCACAGCGCCAGGCCACCCAAAAACCAAATGCAATGGTCAAGAAACATAAAGATGGCTCTATTCATAGGCCGAGTGTAAAATACATAACTTCGTGAAAGTCCATAATCCTGTAATCGTCAAAGCCCCAGTATGGGGTCACATCTTTTTGGCTTTGCCGGGACGTCCCAGCTTTGCAGGTGTGTCCAAGTGATCAACCAACGGGCGATATGGTGAGGCCAGTACATGCTCTGGCGCACGGTCTCGTCTCGGCTCTCCAGAATGCGGCCGGCGCAACTGCTCCTCGTGCATGCGATCAAGGGGTTCACCGACAACTTTGTATTTGGCCCAATTAATCGGCGGCATACGCACAATGTTCTGTGGAATAGGTATATGACCAAAGTTCGAAGCCGGTGAGCCGTCAGGATTTGTACGTTGTGGTTGTCCGTTGGCATCTTCGGTTTCCGTGGGATCGTCGTCGGAAAACTGAATCACCGCACCGCGGTCCTCGGTCTTTAGTCGTCCTGCCGCCAGCTCGGTCGCGAACCTCTCTGGTTCAGCCTCAGCCGCATCTTTCATGCGATCTAATGTTTGGATATCGCGCAAGGTTTGCTGCTTCTGCATCTGCAGAATGGAGATTGCCGACCGTAGCGCAATCGCATCTGGATTCTCACTCTCGGAAATGGGAACTGGTGGTGGCTCTGGTATATACACAGGCGGGCGGGCCGGTGGAGGATGATGTGAATAGTTATTTGATGGAGCGTGCGATGTCGGCGAAGGAGAGAGAGGTGGCGGAACGATTCTTGGCTCGGTGGAGGCGACCGGTACAAGTTGCGCAAATTCAGGAGTCACCGGGGAATATGGCGGACGAGGTGGTGTTCCCGGCGTATCCTGAGGCTCTTGCATGATCGAGTTGTTTAGAGAAGATCAAGTCAAAGTGGGGGGAGAGTTCGGTGATAAGAGATGCCGAATATGACGACAGCGGGCAGTTTGCCAGTCAAATTTGCCAGTTTGCGACAACGAGTTTAACAGCACCGAACGGTATCAATGTACATGCTACATGTGTGTAGCACTTGCCCAAGGGATTTAATGATGTACATTAACCAAAATCAGAGACGTGAGCCTTGAAAGACATCAAATCATGGCAAGTCGCAGTCAATTCTAAACGCTGACCGCCTCATGGGCCTCTCACCGCCTGGAAAAATTATACGAATGATCAGACCACTCACTGGTGAAGTCCATTTCCACTACAACTCCCAAAATGAAGCGCAAGACAGATATGCGAGGCTCCTTGGATGGCAATGCCATGCCAGAGTCCAAAAAGAGGGCTCTTTCCAGTGAGGAGGCTGCTTCCCGCTTCCGTGATGGCCTATTCGACACCGCGGAACAGCAGAAGTACACCAGCGAATACGCCAATTCTTCTCCGTATGTACACACCAGGACATATTTCAATGGCAGAAATGCTAATACTTCTGAAATCTTTAGCTACCTCCACGGCGTGATCCACCCCCTCATCGAGCCTAGCCTGCTCCGCTCAGTCCGCGAGGAGATCGAAACACAGGTATCCTTCACTGAGAAGGAAACCGACATCTACAAAATCTTCCAGTCTGGTGATCTCGCCAACCTCGATGGACTGGATGACTCTTCTCTTTCGAAGCTTCCTTCGGTTTTGAAGCTGCGCGATGCGATGTACTCGGCACGGTTCCGCGAGTATCTATCTTCCGTCACCGGCTCCGGCAAGCTGAGTGGGCAGAAGACCGACATGGCGATCAATGTTTACACTGAGGGCTGCCATCTCCTCTGCCACGACGACGTCATCGGGAGCCGCCGTCTCAGTTACATTCTCTATCTCACCGATCCCGAGACACCCTGGCAAGCTGAGTGGGGCGGTGCACTGCGCTTGTTCCCGACGACCACTGAGAAGGACGCCAAGGGTGAGGACGTCAAGATCCCCAGCCCAGACTACAGCTTGTCCATCCCGCCCGCCTTCAACCAACTCAGCTTCTTCACCGTTCAGCCCGGTGAAAGCTTCCACGACGTCGAGGAGGTGTACCACCCACGCGAAGATGAGGACAAGTCAAAGAAGCGCGTCCGTATGGCTATCAGTGGATGGTTCCACATTCCCCAAGAAGGCGAGGATGGATACGAGGAAGGACTAGAGGAGAAGCTTGCCGAACGCAGCAGTCTCGCCCAGCTCCAGGGCCGCGGTGATATCTACGACCTGCCCCAGCCCCAGCCTGTCTCCTGGGAAGAGCCGGAAGTCGAGGGCAAGGGCAAGGGCAAGGTTGAAGAACAAAACGATGGCGAGTTCAGCGCGTCTGAACTCGGCTTCTTGGTACAATACATTGCGCCCACGTACCTGACACCTGATATCGCTGAGGAGATGTCCGACGCATTCTCCGCCGAGTCTTCGCTCAGCCTAGAGAGCTTCTTGCATGACAAGTTTGCTTCACGCGTGCGTGCATACATCGAGGATCAAGAAAGGCAGGCGCTTCCTGCTTCCGCGGATGAAATTCAGAAACAGCGCGGGTGGACTGTTGCTCGCCCGCCTCACAAGCACAGATATCTTTATCAGCATGCATCCGGCAAGGAAGAGCCCGAGAACCCGCTTCAAGAGCTCCTGAATGTGCTGTTCCCTTCGCAGGCTTTCCGAAAGTGGCTCGGTATCATCACTGGTGTTGACCACCTCACTAGCCACGATTTGATGGCGCGACGATTCCGTCGTGGTGCGGATTACACTCTCGCCAGTGCTTACGAAGGCGAGGAGCCTCGGCTTGAGTTCACGCTCTGCCTCACTCCCAGCACAGGCTGGGAGAAGCAGGAAGAGGAGGAAGAAGATGAGGACGAGAATGAGAGCGAGAATGAGAACCCAGAATCCAAACCGTCATCTGCCAAGGTACCTGAGCCAAAAGACAAAGCTAATGCCGATGAAGTTGAGGGACCTGCACTTGGTGGCTATGAGATCTACATGGCTGGCGACGATGAAGAAGAGGAAGATGAAGAAGACGCCGAGAATGCAGACCAAGTTCTCGGAAAGAAGAAGACCAAGGCCGATCCCGCTATTTACCGCTCCCGCTGGCGCAGATGAGGACGACGGTATTCTCTTCAGCACACAGGCTGGATGGAACCGACTCAGCATTGTGCTGCGTGATAGTGGGACTCTCAAATTCGTCAAGTACGTCAGTGCAGCGGCTAAGGGCGACCGCTGGGATATCACTGGTGATATTGGCGTTGAGTTTGAAGAAGAGGATGACGATGATGAGGATGAAGAGGATGAGGATGAAGATTGAATCATGCACATGAACATGACAACATATATGCTCTTTCAGCAATGTATACGGCCCAAAGATTATTGTAGATATTTTATATACTTGGCGCTTATTGATCGGATCTCACATGCAAAATAAAATTTGGATATAGCACTTTTGGAGACATGCCTAACTCAGCTGGATTTTCTCCATATACTTGTCGTTTATCACAGATCGCGCCTGCGTGGCTGATGATGTGGATAATGATCGGCAAACCCAACGGAATAAGAGCGGGTCATCGTGGAGTCGTTCCGATATACTTTTCTTTTCCACCAATAGAAGTTTCAAACAACACACAATGTAGAACTCTCCAGGACTCAGAACCCTCTAGCCTCTCAACTCGAACCTGAAACTCGTCCATGGCGAGAACGGCCCAGAGTGCACCTCGTAATGCGAGCCCCTGTCAATGGCGCCAGCGATAATAGCAACCCTGTCATTCTTGGCAAATTGCCCAGAGACCGCGCTTTTTATACATTGGAGCTGAGAGAGATACAAAACTCAAGATCTACAGCAAAGCTCCGATGCAGCCTGTCTACTTCGGAGAGCTCTATGAGTATCTTTCTCCACTTTCAGAGGACAACATTCTTGTGGACATCTACACATGTAACCAAGCTGATGCATTTGCCTCTGTCGGTTCCAAAATTCAATATCACCGGATCGCCTAGCCACTCCACACCCACATTTGACCCAGGCGCCTATCTGCTCCTAGCGTCGGACAGTACGGTGCTGGCCGCAACCGGGAGAAAAGGGACGAACTTCAAACAGGCCCACGCAAGAATCCATGAATAGAAATTTGCAGTTTATGATTGACAACTTGCAAACGAAAGGGGATGGTGGATGGAAATTGACTATGAAATCGAAGAGCCAAATTCCGTGCAGACGAAATGAGATGCTCAACAGGTTAAGGAAATTCTTAATGAGCAATGTACTGAACGCCTCAGATCTGTGCAACCCGATAAGTTCTCCGTGAGCAAACGTCCTCGGGATACAGAACTCAATTTTAAAAACCCACTCTTCGGAAGAAAACAATCTCCAGTATGTGATCTATGTTCAATTCCTAGCGGAAATTATAGACCCAGCCCTATTTAGAAACCGCGGGCCGTCTATTCACAGCGCATATCGTTTCCAACCCCGACATTTGTTGCAGAACCAGGTGAGCTTTTCTCTCGAACGACGTGAGACCAGACGATGTCAGAGATCACAGATAGCCCATCGCCGAGGTTCGATGCAGCGCTGGGAAATCTGCGGTCACAAGGAGGCGTGCTATGCTGGGGCTGGAAAAGCTCCGTGGGAATTGCCCGAAGAGAGAGGTCACGAAAGATAACCGTCGGTCTCTGTTGGGTCTTTCTTTGGAGAAGTACCAGTCTGCATTGTTCGCGGCACAACAATAATGAAGCAGTGAAGCTTGGTCTGGATGTTGTGATTTAGTGATGATGAGGTCGAGGATGGTTTGGACAATAATTGTCGAGGTTCCTTGGAAAAACATACGACGAGTTGCTCATCCTGTAGCTGGACCGTCGCCCCGTGAGCGCTTTCGTTGCCTCTTACTTCTGCTTATGAATTGCTTCAGTTGGTGAAAGCATTTATTCACTACACATGTACCTAGGTATATAGTGATAGGTTTTAGCGCTGCCGGTTTTGCCGCGGGGCGCCAGATATGGCAGAGATATATATTTACAACGGTCTATACCAACGCTATTTATAACCTAACTGATTTATTTAGATTCATTATGAATACCAGGTTATCTTAATGTAACAAGTATGGTCCTGGAATCCAGGTAATATGTAGAGGAGAAGTAACCAGGTGGTTCAATCAATATCCATGGGCTCTATCAATATTCAATGCCTTTCGCGATTACGATTTTAAACTTCCCGCCTATTTACATGTAGTTGCTTCGAACCAACCCATAAAAGTAATCCTCCCCCCCCCCCAAAAAGGTCTAGTTAATTAATTTAGAAACTTCCTTAATTATATTAATTACATTTAATGCTTCGAGATTATCAAGGTAAGGATCGAGTTTATTGGTCAATCTGTCTAGTGTACCTATAGTCCACAGATGTTCAACCGGGTTAAGACCAGGTGAATCTAGCGCCCAATCGATCGAATAAATGTTATTCTCCTATAACTACATATTTAAATTACCGGGAAAGGTACCAGTACCTAGGGCCATGCACACATGGTCAGAAAATGACCAGTGAATGGTGCCAAAGGAAGCGGCGCAGACTCCCCGTGGAATCTCAGACATGCAAGACAAGACATGTTTGGGGCGGCGATATCCACTTTTCGGCGAGTAATTCAATTACAATTGAAATGTTTCCGCTGGGACTATTCCCACTCGACACGCGACAGCCAACGAAAAGACGGGAATACCCCCAGCGAAGTTTATCTGGCAAGGGATATGCCACGATGCAGAAGGGAGGGAGATCATGGAATGATTTACCAATCATAGCGGACTCTTGGGGTCTTCTCCATAGTGGAGTCAATGCAGTATGCGCTGTGTTCGTCCTGGTATGATCTCTCTCAACCATATATGCGCTCATGTAACCTTTAACCTTTCGCTGTGCGCCCCAGCTTCGGGGTTGAGGAGGCCGGTGCCGGTGAGAGGATCGACGGCGCATGGGTTTTGGTTAGTACTGTTCATATATACAACGTAGGCAGCAGCCCCGGATGGCTATACAGCATAAAAGGTATGTGTAGCTAAGCAAAAGGCAAAAATTTCAGATACATAAAAAATAAGACATTGCATGCAGGAAATTACAGACGACTGGGAGTGTGATTTCGAGGACGAAGCTATTGCCATACCAACGATGCCATGCGGAAAAGGGGCAGGACCATGTGAGGGAAAATGGAAATGAAATTCAAAGGGAAACCACTGTACCCCCTGGACGGTACGACCCGTGTGTCAAGACAGACTATTTGGAGGGCAGCAAGGCACGGCCCATGACCACGACTTCAGAAAGGCGTGGGTGGAATTCCAGGGGGAGAGAGGGCCACGGTATTGCCATGGGGCTTGGGAGCAAATGGAGGAGCATGGTCGGCCATGGGAGCCATGAGCGAGGGTCGAGTATGAACCACTAAACCATGCACTATTGACATGACCGAGTCAGTTCTCGCGATACCGATCGCATCCCTTGATGGCGGAATTGGACCCGGCTGCCGACAGTGTGTACAACATTGTAGGCGATAGAGTCGTACCAGGAATTCCCGTTGCGATTGAGCCTTTCTCCCCGGCAGATGGCAAGACGAGTCTGAGATAAGCCGCGGCTTCGAGTTCTGAGTGCTCAAGTATGGAGGAGTGCTACCGTGTCAGAGGTTCGAGGAATGTGCCGTAGATCGGGTGGCGATCTTCAAGACATTCTGCAAGGCGACGATGGTGCCATGTGGCATGGGCCTGAAAGGGAGATGATGAACATGGTGGTACTTGACATGCAGATGTATTGAACTGTGTTGCCTACTCTGTAGTAAATTGATGAAGACGTTTTACAGCCACAGTGTGGCGCTGTCGGCGAGACCGTCGGATGGTCCGATGCCCAGATGGTTTATTCCCGTTACTAGTTTAGTACGGGCATCTAATTTTCATGGTCATTGGTACCGCCCAGTTTGATGCAAACGAACTGCAGATCTATTCTTGGGATCAACCTGGCAAGTAAATTCGATCAAACAGTTTGTGTGGAGTTGAGATTCGACACATCAAAAGCCACCTACCATGATACCCGGGCAACGGCTTTTTTTTTTCTCTCGGTGGCGAAGGCGGCTACCCCTTGGGTAAAAAAATAAACAACCCCAGTCTTAAAACAATTGGGACAAGGACAAGGTGGTATAACTAGTATAGCATAAGTAACTAGTATATATCCAGGAGCTAGACAAATCGAATTTTTCCAAATAACTCGGCATATCAAGGGCCAGATCCAGAACATGAGCTCGGTCATTATGGCCAAGTCTCTAGGTCACACTGAGCTATCCCGGAAGAATAGCCAAGTCACTAAGACAGCCGGTAGAATAATAAGAATATTCAGGTTAATATAGCCGCGCGACATGGTTAGAGGACCATGTAACCCCTCTTTGACAGGTCGACATGTGATGATTTGGGCGGCAGGGCGGGTGGTTGCATGGTTTCCGGTATGAAGCTCAAGCTCATGGAAGCGTGGGTCGTCTGTGACACTTCAAGGGGCCTCTGCTTGTGTCCGAGGTGTTACAAACAAAAATATGTAGGGGAGGAAGTGGATCATCACGGTTTTAGCTGGGGAGGTAATAATAATAATGTTGACAATAATAATAATAATAATAATAATGGATATAAATGAGGAAGAGTAATATAGAAATATATTTTACATACCTCTAATATATCTTTTGTATAATGATACATAATTTTATGATGTATGATATATATGATGTTTGATATTGCTATATTATATAGTACCACGTTGTAAAAGAAAGAATAATATACCTTCGGTGAGTAAAGAGGAACCTAAAAAGCCATGTGAAGAAAGTGAGCATGGGGCTTTGTAGACAGTACTTGGGAATCTCCTCGATGAAACTAGTGAGTAAATGTATACGCTACTAATCTACCCTGCAATATGCCATGTGTCCAACGTCAAAGGTTTCAATACGGTATTTGATACGGAACTATGCAGATCGCCCCGGTCGCAAATGCAGTTTGACCGGATGGAAAGAGAAGGAGACTCCAATAGTCGAGTAGAAGGCAAGGGAGATGACCACGTGAAGGATCGGCGTACGGTGTATTTAAGTAACAATGGTATTATACCTAATATGTCTTATTTATCTACAATTTAAAAATGTTAGGGCAATAAATCGTTGAATAGTTTATTAAGTCAGAATATAGTAATAGGCTAATATGTTAGGAGTATGAATAGTTCATCAAACATAACTATGTATATGTATAAATATAAAGAATAAACCCTAAAAGAAAAGAGTGACGTGAAGACTGAGCCAATGCAACATTAAAAAACGTGTTCTCCTTGCGTTTCCCAGGGATCCGGCTATTCTTCAAAGAAGAATGTGGAAAAGTACATGTGGGATGGTGTGATTCATTTACCTTGGTGAATTTTTAGATAAATTTTGAAATAGATAATGTATGATAGTAGTAGAATCAAGAGAGAAATAAGGTAGTGATGTACAAGTCAAAGTTCTCCTACACCTAGTACTCTACAATATGTATACCGATGTAATATATTGCATGTGGTTATGCAATTACCAAAAGTAATAATACATCCTTACTCCCCAGGGTCAGCCTCGTGGCACACAGTTGCAGTAGTGGGCTTGGCGGTAATATATTACATTCCTGTAATATTTCACTAATATTTTCTTATATTTTCACATTTTATTGGGGATTTCATTGCTGACGCGGACCAAGAAAGGGGCCCCATCAACCAAAAAAGAAGGTTAAAAAAGTAAAATAAAAAAGTTCCTTTATAAAGAAATCAAAATACCGAGTTTCAAAAGCGGAGGTTTCGAGTCTTCCAGCCAAAAATTGGAGATTGGGAAAAAAACACCTCTGGATCTTTTTTTTACCTTTTAACTTCTTCATATACTACTTGGTGAGTAAAGAACTTCCCTTACACTTCCCTTTCTTCTCCCCTCCCATTTCATACTCTAACATATTTAGCCTCGTTTTCGTTTCTTTTCTTTCCTTTTTACACAATTACTACCAATTGGTCAACCTCGGATATGCAATAGTGTGAATGTGATAGATTCTTTCACTCTTCTTCTACCCGTTACCCGCCTGCATACACATACACACACCACACACCACACACCACACATCATGGACCCTTCTGTCGCACATCGCCCATGGGAGGCCGTCTCAGGGCCGCAAACTCCTGGCTCCTCACAAACGTTACCATCCATCTCGACCTTGACCGCGAATATGCCTGGCACCGGGGCTTCTGCGGAGAAATCCCCCGGCAACTCGTCCTTGAACACGATCGAGCGGGACTCAGGAAATTGGTCAATGCCTCAAAGCACAAGTAGGAGACCTTCGCCCGGCATGGATTGGGAGCGGCGCGGTGCTGACCATGTAGGATCGTCCACCTACTCTACCACCACCAATGGCACAGGCAACTATCCCTCCCTCAGCTTCATCTCTGCGTCGCAACCATCCCCGAATCGCGGCCACCCCGCTGTCGATCGGTCTCCTTACTCTCATGATCAATCAAATACCCCCTCCTCTGCCGGCACTCAACAGCCCTCCCCAAACTTCAATACCCAATCAAACTCCGCCCTCCCCTCCATCAATCAAAATTATGAAGCTCCCTCCCAGCGCGCTAGCATGGCCGAGACAACGACAACAACGACAGAGTCTCGGCGCAGCAGTGTTGACAGTCGTGTCAACCAAGGAATCAGCTCCCTGGCCATCAATCCAGCCTCGCCATACCACAGCACTAATGCATCCCAATCCTCGATCGTGTCCAGTCTACAAAGAGAGAGGGGGATTCCTACCGACATGAACTCATACCGGGGACCGCGATACTCCGGCGGAAGCCAGCCACTGTCTCCGTTGGGCCCTCATGCCAGCGATCCACAGCGCGGCAGCTTCGCAGCCGGTCGCACTGCCCCTGCCATCTCTTCCAACCCTCGGTCGGAGATTTACAACGCTGAGGCACCGACCGCGGGTATGGCATATGCTTTCCCAGACCCGGATATGGCCCGCTCCAGTTCTGTCTCCTCAAAGGGGGGATCGACCCACACGTTCTCCAGAAAAGGCAGCATGGCAGAGTCTATGAACAGCATGTATTCCGAACGGATGCCGCGAGGACAACACGGTAAGATTCATTCACTCGCCCGATGCCCGCGCATCGATACTAATGAGCTTCTGTTTTTACTAGACCTACCCCAAAATGTACACCACCATCACTCCCTACAACACAAAGCAGTGCGCGACCTGATCGGCGAGGAAGACGGCCCCCCGGGCAGCACGCCATACAGTCGGACCCCCGAACTACGCGTAACACACAAACTTGCCGAGCGCAAACGCCGCAGCGAAATGAAAGACTGCTTCGAAGCGCTTCGACTGCGCCTGCCAGCAGGCCAAACCAACAAATCTAGCAAGTGGGAAACCCTCACTCGCGCAATCGACTATATAACACTACTGGAAAAAACAGTCGCTCAATCGCGACGCGACCACAATATAATGCAATCCGAGTTGGACGAGATGCGCGCCCAACTAAACCAGCAAAACGGCGCTTCCCGCCCACCCTCTATCTTCGAGCATCATCAAATGAATCCCAACCAAGTGAACGGACAGCCCCAAGGCCCCGTGTTCGGTGCGTTCGGCAACGGCCAGGTCGCCCAGGAACAGCCGCGCACATTACCGCCACTCATGAATGGCTCGGTCGCGCCCATGCAGGGCATTCAATATACGGATGAGCGGCGGTAGTGAACGCGCAGGATTGGGCTTTCGTTGAGATGCGCTCGGAAGCTGTGTATGAGATATGACGATATGTAGCCATGCTGCAAACCCTATCATCAACGACTTGTTATTCATGTTCTGATATCAATATATCCCCCTAGATGCCCCTGGTCCTGATCTGGGGCTCGTTGAACTTTTGCTTTTCACTCCGAGGAGTTTTACGTGCTTTTATCCATACCCGCAATGTCTGTTTTCTTTTTTGTTTTTGCATCTACCTACTGCATTACTTGAACATGGTGAGAATTGGCTGAGGGGGTTTATATGAACTAAGGAATAAGGAATATGCAAGTGGACTCGAACCCGAGTATGTATCAATTCAAAAAAAGCATCACTTGATGTATTATTTCTCGAGTTTCAAATAAATGTCAAGTCCAATCTCACTGTAAAACATCTGTAGATGAGTACGTACCTGGGCTACTATATGTATGATACTATATCGAGATCAAATTATACATTCAACGCCAACTCTAAGCGTCAGGATTGTTTCAGACTGACGAAAACATCTCTTCACACAATTAGATTATGCCCAAGCACAAAGAAGATAGTGATCTATTTTCGTCGGGTTGAACGATTGGCCCCTCGAAACGCCCAGGCCCCGGCCCGGCGCGTACAAACCGGCCTCAGTCTAGCACTTGCATTAACAACATCCAATCCATCATACTCCCTTCCTCTGCCCCTGGTGATCATTCTGCCAGTCTGCCAATGACGGAACTTCGATCTGTTCACTGCAGCCGCAGGTTGTTTGAGATTGCTGCAGAAACTAACCTGCGACGACAGTTATTGGATGTTAGCGCTCAGGTTGTTTATAGCTCGAGCTTTGCTGCAATGCAGTGATCGGGCTGGACTCTGTACTGCGGGTGATGCTTGACGCAGAAATAAAGCTATTTCCTTTAATCTCGGAGCATTTCTAGTTTCTGGTTGTTTCTTATTTTCTCTTCCTGTCCTTTGCTCTTCACCCTTCACTCTTTATTGTCTTGTTTAGCATCAATAGACCCCATTCAGTTTATTGTACATTGTCTATATTCTTTGAGATCATTGGTTCATATGCGTCATCATCCGAATCAGCCGGAATAATATATATAGGAACGTCTTTGTTCTCAAAGTGCAGTCAACTTCTACTCTTTCATACGCATGTTTCCCTGACACATGGTATGCATCAATCTCGAATCCTACATATCACCAACTAACATCGACCAAACAGATTTCGCTATCATAATCTACTGAGACAGTCTCAATATGATAACTAAACGTCAGACCCCGCAGCCAGCACTGCAAGTCCCAGTTCCGAATTTCCCTTTCTCGTCGCCAATCACCGAGGAAATCGCAAGCCCATCATGTTCCTCGGCAGAGGGACACGACGAACAGAACCGACCATTTGCTTTCTTGTCGAAGGCTACACGGCAAAAGATCGAGGTGCAAACTGCCCAACGGGAAAGTCGCATGCCGGCTACAACACGGGATGCGTCGAGATTGAATATCCGCGGCATTACGAAGAAACGGAAAAGCGTCGCTAAGCCAATCGGGTTGAATCTCGTCACAGACTTTACCTTACCCCCAGCGGCCGCAGCGCAAAAACACATGGTTGCAGAGATAGAGCCAGCGGCGGCGCCATTCGTTGATTTGAATGATCTCAAGCTTCTATGTAAAAGACGAGAACAGGAACGAACTGGGCAAAGATCGAAAGACACATTCAAAAAGAGGATTTCACGCGGATTCAAGCGTGTGCCCAAGGAAACAGATCAGAGGCAAGACGGAATAGGGAATGGTAATCCGTATCTTAATCCCGGAGCCCAAGACCCATTCAATGATATACACGAACAGGCCTTCTCACCATCGGACCGCAATGTCATGATTGGACTCGCTGTACCGAGCGATGAGTCGATCGAGCGATTCAGGGAGGCTGATAGCTCAGGCACACCGCTTACGCCTTCAATTTTCGTTACTTCAGCAAACGAGGAAGCAACTTGGAACTTGTATTCCAATACGAGCAGCGAGATGCTTCGCCCCAGAGTAGCTTCCAGTGTTTACTCCCAACCCACACCGCGCGTTTCGCAATTTGACGCAGATGTTCCACCTGTACCAACCATACCAGCTCAGCACTCAGGTACACAAAACAACGACAAGCAACTGGGTGTGGTAACAAGAAATCAACGCGCATTGTCAGTTGATACCTGGGAAGACATTAGCCTACCGCCGACACCAAACAAAACAGGACAGACACTCACCGTCAACACTAGCCTGGAGCCCGATAGACCCCAATCCCAGGGATGGTGGACATATCTCCTTTCGCCGATTCTTAGCCGCTCTGTCAAATCCCCACTCAGCCCATCTTTCCCCCGGGATTCACCCTCTACTCCGTCAACATCAACCACGCCAGCACGAATAGCACCAAAGGAATGGTGGGACAAGAAGAAAGAAGTTTCCTGCTTCTCGCCGGACACACCGGCAACAATAGCTCCCATCGGCGAACGGGGACGCACGAGTGAATGGCGTGACAGGGAAAAAGAAATCTCATGCTTTTCACCAGATACGCCGGAGACAACAGCTCCCATGGACGAGAAAGCATTTGAGATCACTCAGTCAATGGAAGCCGAAAAGCATCAAAAAGTTGACACCCTGGAACGAGAACGATCTCCCCCGCCAGCCTACGTTTCAAATACCTCAAGCAGACAAAATATAATGTCTTTCATGTTTAGCAACGGTCAAACAATCCAAGGCGAGGCAGCGGAGTATTACCAAGCATGTGCACATGAATTGTTCAGCAAAACGCCCTATTTTCCATGCTTGAACCACGTCTGCTCCATAACGCCTGTCAACGTTACTATCCCCGCAGGAGCGGATGGCAATCGAAGGTTGGCTTTTGCCGGAGTCGATGCATCGCATCCGTATGATGGACTGTCAAGTCTCGAAGAGACAAGCGGAAACTACACGCCAGTGGCCAATTCGACTACAACAACCAAAGATGCCGGGTTGCTTATTGATGTTGACTCGCCACGCTCTATCAGTGTTACCCCTACTATGGCTCCGTCTGCACATGCGGTTCATGCGAAGGAGGCGCAGGTCCAGTCGCCTGCATCTGCTACAAGTGTTGATTCTTGGGATGCTTCCATTACCAGCGATGATGAGAAAGATCATGTACCACCACCTATTTCCAGAAAGGCTCCGCCACAGCGTTCTTCTCAGCCTGTTGTTGCGGCTCCCGTTCCTGTGCCAATTGAACCGACCGAAGGAGAGCTTCCAGCTCAAACTACGCCAGCTCCAGTTCCAGCTGCTATTCCCATGCCCGGGCCCGCCCAGGTCGCTCCGCAGATTGTTACCAACGTGCACTACCCCTCGCCCCCGCCACAGCTGGTTCAGCAGCAACCGATGATTGTGTCACACTATGTGCCTTTTTTCCCTCCAAATCAACCTGGACAGCCGACAGGTCCGTTAGTGCCGGAAGCAGTGCCCCAAGAGCAACAGGGTCCACAGGAGCAGTCACGAGGAATTTCAGATGGACCGCTTACCCAAGAAGCTCCGTTAATGTCATCAGGGTCGGAGTGGCCATGGGGAAAACGGGGACAGGCAGGGAAAACGCCTCCCCAACCACAGCGTCAAACATCTATTCCCCAAGAGCAATTCAACGGGTTTGAATGGGCGTACGATCAACAGGAAACATCGCACTCAGCTCCGGGTACGCAAGCGTCACCTCAAACTTCTCAGGTTCCTCCTGCCAGTGATGAGAAACCAGCTCCCCAACAATTGCGGCGAGCTTCCACTCAACGACCAAACCATTTGCAAAGACCGGTTGTTGTTCAGGGCCGGCAATCTGGGTCTGGATGGCCGTTCGTCGAAAAGGCTCATCCTCACTCGAACGCACCGCCGGTACCAGCTATGCCTCAAACATTGCCCAATGAGCCAGCGCTTCAGCGACAAGTACAACAATCAGAACAATCCGTCGATCAAGATCAACCAATTGTGTCCGACGTGCCGCATGGAGAGCGAGAACTACCCGACGGGTCTGAATTGATTCCTCCCCAGGCACACTTGCCAAAGTCTGAACCCATCTCTCCCGGTTTCCAGCGTGCAGCTGGTGGCCCAGGCTCCATTCCAATGGATTATATGCCGGCACCGGCTCCTGCATACACGCAATTGCCCAAAATTGCTTCCATTCCGCCACAGTATGGGCTCCATCCACCCTACCAGCCTACATATGTAGAAAATGCGACGATTGTTAATCCTGGTGGTGCGATTGGACCCCATGAAGCTCGACGCCGCAGGCTGGAGGAAGAGGACAAAATAGGCCGAAAGACCTGTGGCCTGCTCAGCCTATTCAATAAGAAAAACGGACGTCCTGGGCGCGAAGGTCGAACTCGACGCAGATGGTACTTTCTTATCTTTATTTTTTTCTTCGCCATTGTGATCATTGCCATTGTTTTGGCGGTCACATTGTCAAGGAAAGGAGCCTCTTCAATCGTTCAATCTCAGTGGCTTAATCTCACCGGGTACCCGCCCATGCCAACGGGCATTGCGACACTCGCTGGCACTGAGGCTCAGGTTGAAAAGTCAACATGTATCACCCCGTCTTCAATGTGGAGTTGTGCTTTACCCAAGGCCCAACAGGAGTCCAATGAACCATACGATGCAAATCAACCCAACTTCCGCGTCTTCATCGGCTTCCGCAATGGCACCTATGATAACAGCACTGATTTGTCTAACTCGACCCACAGTCTACGCAGGAGAGATGACCAATTCGCTTTTTCACCCGCTGCCCCCAGCAATGCGGATCAAAGCTTCTTGGGTCAATACACAGACAACAATACCATACCCTACTCGGGCGAAGAGACACCATTCTATATGTCAATGCTTTCACCTGTATCCCTCTTATCAACAGATATCTATCGTCGTTCCGTCAAATCCAATGAAACATACTTCCCTAACATCTCATCTATCATTCTCGCACCAGACGAGAACTACGACGGTTCAGCAGCAGCCGCGATGCTCTATCCACTCCCTTCAGCGCAGCCGGTCCGTCTTTACAACCGGGGCCAGTCTAGCGAGCACTACGGCTTCTACACTTACTTTGACAAGTCGATTTTCCTGACCTCCCAGACCACCATCGAGGTAGGCGACACCAACGGTGGGACAACACGAGACAAGGCAAAATACCGCTGCACCTGGTCGCAAACCCGATTCCTGGTCCAGATTTGGACACAGGGTAGCAAAATGAACCGCCAATTATTTCCCTACAGCAATATTACAGCAACAAGTACCTCATCCGCCGCAACACCGACGTCAACAAGCTCCAACTCCACATCATCCTCTTCAGCAACGGACTTCTCCCGCCCAGGCTCATTCCCATACCCAGTCACCATAACGGTCGACCGACATGGTGGTGCGGAGAAAAAGAAAATGGTATACTGCTACCCCGTTGAAGACGACGGACACTACAATATCACGGGTGGGCAGCTGCAAATCGAGGATCGGGGTGTGGGTGGTGAACTGGTCAACCCTGCTGAGGGTCTTTTCAAGGGTGTTAGTGGGATTACGAATACCACGACGGAAGATTACGGGGGTGTCGACGGTGGCACTGGGGGTTGTGGGTGTCAGTGGGTGAACTGGATTTCGACTTTGTAGGAAATCTTTTTCCGATCATGAAGCGGTCTGCATGACTGGTGTTCAAAATTACGTTCTCTTTTTTCCTTTCTTTTTTCATGCTTCTACTTTACTGCGTTGCATTGCCTCTAGCGTTGGTGGTTATCTGCTCATTTTTCTTGTGACCCATTCCAGGAATGTTATTCATACGAGGATCCTGGATACCCATCCGAAAATGCAAATAATTACATTTCATATATGTCCGGAGTGTTCATCAATTGTATCAAATCATTGACCAAGCTCGCCATAAATACATATATGTACGAATGTAGTTAGATGTAGTTCGAAGCAAATCCCGAACCCAATGTTACATCAAACCTAGATCCAAAGCTTAAATCAAAGCTAATCTGCGCTTTTTATATCCGCTTAAAAGCTTTCAACGGCTTTTGGATTTTTCTGCTTTTCTATCAATAGCATATGACCATGAGAGTACCTGATGTTGCATTTTGCCACCGAGTTTAGAGTTTGCTATCAAAGTCTATGAGTCGATGAGTTTTGCAATCTGAAGCGTAGTAGGAATGGCTGAGAGGGGGTTCCAGGGGGCACAATCTGCCCTGGAGTCTGTTGAAAAATTCTCAATTCTATCTTTGGTTTGCCCTGGGCTTTCTACTTGCGGACGGGCGTAGATTTAGAGACTATTTCGCCAAATTTGAGAACCTGCTACGCTACAACCACAAAGATTCAATCATTGAGAAAGCGATGTTTGAAAGAGCTTTTTTGGATTATAATTATATTAAGCACTAATTAGTTCCCACAAAATCAAATAAAAAAGAAGACAATAAGACATTGTAAACACAAAATCCTCCAACGCCTGCCTAAAGATTCCAGTACTCTTCCTCCAAATCTCCAACACAATCCTTGAACAGCAGTCATTGAATTCATCGCAAGATCGGAGAAGAGACACCAGTCATCACCAGAGCAAAACACCGGCATCAAAGTCATAGCCATAGAGATTAATTAAAGGCGAGACATTTATGCCAGGAACATGACAGCACCGTAGGCCATAGCAGCGCCCATAGCACCGACCTGGGGAATGGTGACCTTGGAGCCGGGGTTGGATGGGGTGAAGCCGGTAGAGCTGGGGGAAGCAGGGGTGTTGCCAGAGCCAGAGCCGGAGCCCGAGCCGGAGCCAGAGCCAGAGCCAGAGCCAGAGCCGGAGCCAGAGCCGGAGCCAGAAGATCCAGAGCCAGAGCCGGAAGATCCAGAGCCTGAGCCAGAGCCGGAGGATCCAGAGCCTGAGCCAGAGCCGCCGCCAACAACGCCGGAAGCACCGGGGGTCTTGCTAGGGACGGAGACAGGGATGGTAGAGCTACCGTGGAGGCAGCTGAAGCAAGGGGCAGTGGAGGTGACAATGACAGTGCCGTTCTTGCCTCCGTGGGTGCCGTTGTTGGGGGTACCGGTGATGATGGGGTGGGTGCCGGTAGAGACACCGGTATGGATACCGGTATGGATACCGGTGGCACCGGTAGCCTGGTGCTTGCCGACGCTCTTGCCGCCGTGGGCAGGGGGCTCGTTCTGCTTGTTGGCAATGCCAGCAGAGACACCGGCAGCGAGGGCCAGGATGGCAACAGAGGGGGCAGTGAAGTGCATGTTGATTGAGCGAGAAAAAGCGATTGAATTAAGAAGTCAGATGGCCTGTCTTAGCGAATGACGAAGCTAATTGAAGGTTAGTATAGAGGCTTGATAATGAGGCACCGCGAGGCCGTAAAAGACTGTGCACAGCTTACCTCGAGTAATAATGCTGATGCGAGTGGGATGGGAATCGGAGTTGAAGTTGAGGCGATGAGCACCCCATACTTATAGACGAGTTAGCTGTCCAAATCCGGTTGATAGATCAATTAAGGTTAATTGGTGATGACATGCAACGACAAAAATTTTCAACTCAAGTATGTGCCTCTCAATTGCCTGTCTGTTCCTACCTGCCCTCGATGGGACCCTTGGTAAAGAGAGCGAAATTCCCATCTTGAGTTCCGCATCCGGAGGTGGGAAGGCAAATGTCACATTGGGGCTCCGGCTGAGGCTCCACCTTACGACCTTGGTACGGTCGGGTTTATCCCGGCGCCGACAGCTTCATGAATTGGCTGTTCGTCCGAGCGAACAGTGGAGATCACTGGGCAAGGTGGAAGATTTCTCCGCGCACGGTAGGGTGAGTGTCACGTGATATGATTTCCCAAATAGGAAACCCAGGAATCGCTTTCAGCCATTTTGCATACAGCACCGCACCATCGAGGAATTCCAGGGAGATCAACGCTACAGCTGTCACATTGAATCCCAAGTGTGGGCCTCTTTGTCTGTTGTCTGGTTTCGGGCAAAAGTTCTCGAAACACGTTGCCCGTCGGCATGTGTGGTGTCTTTGAGACAATGAGTGGGGGAACATCAACCACTCTCAAAGGGTTGTCAATATCTGGATGAGGATCCATAGAACGGCACTAGAAGGCTAGAGTTCCATGGTCTGCTGAGCATATCGATTGTCAATCATGCTTGGTTGTTATGGGCTATAAACACAGATGGATTCGCACTAGATTCGCGAAGTGAGCACCACAAATTATCTATTACTTGTGGCTCCCAGAGAGGAGCAGATTTTGAGAAATACGATTCTGCTCTGGCAATGGATCAATACTCCTTTCTCGGGCCTGTTGTCACAGAACATCCCAGCCATCCCTTTCGTCGTAAGGCTGACATTTCGGCCTCTCAACTAGGAACTAAGTAGCAGCACTGCATCCGGCATTCAGTGGTTTCAATCAACCAAAGATCAAGTCGGTTCAGCTCGGTTTGACTGTAAGCAGAAGGCCAGTGCAGAAGAATCTGTCAGTTGTCACACCCAAAAGCTTCTTTGTATTTGGGCGTCAGCGGCGTTCACGTCAGATCTGCCACCTCCAATTATTGTCATTTTCGATAAACAGAAAGAATGTTGCTACCACCCAAGGTTTGCAGATCGACGCTTCAGGTTGGTGATAGCGTTGGATGTCTTGCACCTTCGTTCTCAGGGGTGAGGGCCACAGTCGTCGTCAGCAGAAATAGATAGACGTGGAGGGATTTATCCCGGTCGCATAATGACCGAGCTCGAATTTTCAATGCTCGCAAATTTGGTGAAAGTCCAAGCTGTTTGCTTTTTGCAGAGAACAAAGCTTGTGTGGAGAAGAAGCGTAGCAACGCAAACGTCTTCAGGGGACAACACCACAAGTAAACATACTATTCTACCTTGACAACTCGTGAAATACACGGAGTCTTCTCTTCCTAATAAATTGAAGTCTTCCTAATAACTTGAAGATCATATTATGTATAGCATTGATAGTCAAAAAGAACACTCAGTACAATTGCAAGTCATGAAGTGCGTAGATCAAACCGTTACGGGTCTTGGCGCTCTCCCCGGCCGATCTCCCTTTCTCCGAATGCCGACGGCCTCTTCTCGTACGTTGTCCACGTCTTCATGAGCAATGCGACGCCAAGACCTTAGTCCTTCTCTCCTTTCACCCGCAAATTACGACAACGATGCATCTTCGTTGCGGTCGCCCTCCGAGCAGGACTCCGACTCCGACGATGATGCCCTCCTCCATCAAAACCGCAGCACCTTGGAACTAGCGGAACATGACCGGGCCGTGCTAGAAGATGAGGAGGAATTGGAGAACCTTTTGACTCGCGGTACCGGACAAGGGATTCGGAGGATATTCAGTCCCCATGGGGGTAGTGTAAGAATCGGAAAAAAGAAAAAGGAACGGCGATCACGGAGGGGGTCCCGCCGTGAGCGAGTCAGTGAAGATGGTGAGCTGATGTATGAGATGGAGGAGGGCATTGGAGATGATAATGCTTCCCTCTTGAGCTGTTCATCACTGGATTCCGTCGACAAGGAAGAGTACACATATGAGCCGGTAAGATGGACTAAGGCCCAAGTTCTACACTCCCTGCTAACACGCATGTTGTCTAGCCACCGAGACCCTCATGGCGGAAGATCTTGTTTATCTCTGCCCTTGTGGTTGTATTGTTCCTCATCCTCGTACTCGGCGCGTACAGAGCCTCCAACGGCGTCCGGGCTTCCCACGCTCATCCTCCGCCCCTTCTCTCAAACGGCACGGCCCTATTCGCACCGACTACCATCGTGATATCTCTTGATGGTTTCCGAGCCGACTTTCTCGGCCGCGGCCTCACCCCAGCGCTGAACTCTCTCGTCGCAAATGGCGTCTCCCCGCAATACATGACCCCCAGCTTTCCGAGCGTTACTTTCCCAAATCACTTCACACTCATGACAGGACTCTACCCCGAGAGCCATGGAATCGTGGGCAATTCATTTTGGGACCCTGTGATGGGTGAGGAATTCTACTACACCAACGCTGCTGTCAGCATGCAACCAAAGTGGTGGATGGCAGAACCGCTCTGGGTAACAGCTGAAAAGCAACACGTAAAAACCGCCATCCACATGTGGCCCGGCTCTGAAGCGCATATTGGAGATGTAGAACCGAGCTTTGTGGACAATTACAACGGCACGGAGGCCTTGTCTCGCAAAGTCAAACGCATTCTTGAATTTTTGGATCTCCCCGGCTCTGAAGATGACCTGCAGGTGGTACCCGAGCGGCCGCAGTTTATCGCGGCTTATGTTCCTGACGTGGATCGGGATGGACACAAATTCGGGCCTAATAGCACGGAGATCCGAACAACAATTTCCGAGGCCGATAAATTGATAGCTGCACTAATGACTGGGTTGGAACAACGCAATCTGACAGATATAGTCAACATTGTGGTTGTATCAGACCATGGGATGGCCTCCACTTCTACTGAGAGACTCATCCAGTTGGACGATCTGATCGATTATGATTTGATAGATCATATTGACGGGTGGCCATCTGCCGGGCTGCGCCCTAAGCGCCCCGAAGATCTGGAAAGCCTCCAGAGGCAACTCGAGAAGATAGCCCCAGATTGGGAGCATGCATTCGAGTTTTATACGAGAGAAACGATGCCTAAACGGTATCATTTCTCGATTAACGAACGCATTGCGCCGTTGTGGGTCATTCCCAAAACGGGCTGGGCTATTGTCAATCACTCAGAGTTCAATGTCAAAGATGCTTTGAAAACCGGTGAGGTATACCACCCCCGGGGAATCCATGGCTATGACCATGAGAATCCGCTCATGCGAGCAATCTTCATTGCACGCGGCCCAGCTTTTCCACATAAGCCCAACAGCCGCGTGGAAGTTTTCCGTAAGTATTCTAATCATTGGTGGAGCGTAATTTGTTCTAATATATCGATTCAGAAAACGTCGAGGTCTACAACATTGTCTGCGACTCTCTCGGCGTCAACCCCCTGCCGAACAATGGCACACTGCGTCTCCCGCTGATGCCAGTCGGTCTCCACTCTGACGAGAGCGCACCTATGCTGGGCACACCTCCTGATCCCCCGGCTCAACCCGCTACAGCCGAAGGGCCACGGACACAAACATCGGTGCCACCATCGGAGCACACTCAGCCACCAAACGACACCCCACACGGTACAGACCACAAGAGTGACGACGAAAAAGGCACAAACTGGTGGGGCCAGCTCTGGAATAAATTCGAAGACTTGAAGAATTGGGCTGGTGGTGTTGCTGATGCCGTAAAGGGCAACCATCCAGAGTCGGAGAGCGAATAATTTTGGTCAATTCTGTCCTTTTGGACTTGTGTTTTGATAGATACCCATACCCATATTTACGTATATAATGTATAAATTTTCGCTGCAATTGATCAGACAGCCTGAGTCAGTTGGGCACAAACAAAGCATTCCTGCTTAAGAAAATAATTGTTTCATCGCCGGTCAAGGATATTACTTTTCAACTGCAGATCATCAGATGGACTTGGTAATCTCTCGCATTGCAACAAAGTCTCGTAACAGTTAATTCCTACCCCATGGACAGTATACTTGATTAATAACGGAGCAAGTTGACCTCGGGAGTTTTAGAGGAAGGCGTGTGGGCGATATATATATGTACAAGGAGGAAGTAAATACTGCACAAAATAGGAAACATTAATTCCCAGGTAGATACGATGAGATTAACGTGCGTATAACCCCCCCTATCTTCTCCTTACGAAGTTATCACTTATTCGGATATTTAGGGATAGCCTAGCCACCAAAGTCTTATAAAGAGCCTAAAATCGCAATCGGCCTATAAATGGTAGCCATGATGCGCTTCACCACAATATGTCGCCTGACGGTGTGCGTCAGACTTTTGTAAATAGTGATCAGATGGGCGAATACTATTGACCAAGGAAAGAGAGACCAGGCCATAACAAAGACTAGTATACCTAGGTAGCCCTGCCAAGGTCAGCCAGCCTTGTAGTCGGCATGAGCGTGCTATAGTCCCAGAGAGAACCGTGGTTGCGATAGATGTTTTCGTGATAACCTCTTAGTTCTAGACCTGTGGTAAGTAATATGCTAGTTGTATATGTCCTTTTTCTAAGAAGTTGTTATTCTCCTTTAGTTTTCGATTACTAGAGGCGTAAAAATGCATCTCACCGTTACGGGCTTAGATCAACGAACACCGTGAATAATAGGATGCGTATTGATAAGCAGGTGCAAATGCCGAGCCTCATTATTTCAAAATTTCGATAACTATATAGCTCTGGAAAATTCCTATTAAAATAGGCGTAAAATGGAGCGTAATAGATTGACTATACCTGGGTCGCCATATGAAGTCGGAGGAATGTTTATACTCGTTTGTTCAAAAAAACAAGGAATGGGTGCCTATCATATCAACCAGCCAAGTGGCCGAGCAGTAACTCGACCATTCCATCTTCCTTGGTCTAGTGGTGATGATTTCCGCTTGTCATTAAAACCGATAAGCGCGGGAGACCGGGGTTCGATTCCCCGAGGGAGAGATTTCTTTTTTATCCAATATTTTTAGTCTGGATCACATACAATATCCCGTTTCGCAAACGATCGACTGATTTTAGAAACAATAGCCTACTACTGTATGACCAACGTGCGGCAGTGCCACCGCGCTTTGGTCAGTCCCACCTTAGATAATTTTCTGACCTTGGACAAAACACGGGCTTTAGGTATCTTTTGTATATGATTTACATATAAAGGGTACTTATTAAATATTCATAACATATCTCACAATACAAGCCATATTTGAGTATTCAAATTAGCTCATGACATCGAAGTAGAGTTCCTCTTATCTTTCATCACCTTGAACATCGATCTTTTTCTAATATATAAATATGTATGCGAAGGTCTCTCAGAGCGTCCGAAAACTATCTGCTTTTAGAAACTTTATACTTCTTATTTTGATATTCTAGAACTAATATAATTGAAATTGTAGCAAAACAAATATGATACTAGATTGATTAATATACTTCTATCTACTTTACGTTCTAACATATTCGAGGATGCTTGATATGTACCTTTGTGTAACTTTATTTACAAACCTCATACAAAAGATACATGAAATCTGAATTTTGTCAAAGGTGAGAAAATTGTCTAAGTTGAGACAGACAAATGTGCGGGAGGCAGTGGTCATATGGTCAGACGGCCCCGGGGCTACTCAATATCTTGTAGTACATATTCCCCCGGAGGCGTCATCATTGCTGCAGCGTAGGAGCTGCCTGCGCCGCCAATGACTCAACTTAGGCAGAAGCCGAAGCCAACAGCGCAACATCAATCCACCCAGGCCAATCCTGGCTTACCACAATGTGTCAGTCGGTACCCAGATGCAGCTTCCAGCTGAACGATCAGCACGAGCGGGCTCTGGATCGGGTGTCCGAGCGTAGATGATACCTAACTGTCATTGAGGCTCTACTGGTTCTGAATTATTATAAAAGAGGCGCAACCTCACTTGATAACTACTGACAATCATCCAAGGGCATCCCATCCCATTTTTTTTTTCTCTTCAATTGGGTTGGTATACCCCAATAACCCCCATCAACACATTTGAAATTATTCGGGGGTTAACCACGGGCCATTTGAGAGCCCACGGATCATGGGTTTCAACCAGACCTCAACCACGGCGGGGCCGCTGTCCACCTCGGATTCAGCAATGCTGGAGGCCCTTGTCCCCGGCTTCGGTTTTATTTCACAAATGTTGATGTCTTATCTCAATTTTGACATCAACGCCTACTTTCAACTCTTTGTTGCGCTCACGGTCTTTAGTGCAACCATTCGATATGTTTTCTTTTACGTTTGGGAGCGCTTCAGTGAATTTTTTATCTCAACCGCGGAGATTCGTTTAGATGATGAGATCTTTAATTATCTTATGTATTGGGTCTCACGTCAGCCGCAAATGAAGCAAACAAATCGGTTTGTCGCTGGTGTCAAGGCTAATGCCTACCTAAGCGACGATGACAGCGACAACGAAGACGCAGATGATATGGACGACTTCGAGTGGGAGGAGGAGACTGTTGGGAGCACAAAAGAGTCCTCCTTCGATACATACTGGGCCAAGGTCGTCAGTCGCGACAAGTACAAGACCTTGCAATTCACACCCGCCGAGGGCTCTCACTACTTCTGGTACAAGAACCGTCCGTTGATGCTCACGCGCTCCAATCAAGAAGGGAGTACACGATACATATTGAACAATGAGCGGCTGTACCTTTCTTCCTTCGGTCGGAACCCAGGAATTCTCAAACAGCTCCTGGCCGATGCACAACAGGCCTACGTCGAACGCGATGGGAACATGACCGTCATCTATCGCGGTGGGAGGTATTCCGCCGGGCATTCGTACTATTGGATCCGGTGTATGGCTCGTGTACCACGTCCTCTTTCCACCGTCATTTTGGATCAAAGCCAGAAGGACGATTTTGTTGATGATATCAAGGAATACTTGCACCCTCGCACGCGGCGCTGGTACTCTAACCGCGGAATTCCATATCGTCGCGGATACCTACTCCACGGCCCACCAGGTACTGGCAAAACCAGTCTTTGCTTTGCCGCAGCAGGACTTCTTGGATTGAAGCTCTACCTGCTCGATCTGAACTCCACATCTTTGGACGAGGAGAGTTTGTCCACTCTTTTCTCTGACCTGCCGCGTCGATGCATCATCCTTCTCGAAGATGTCGATTCAGCAGGTATCACGAAAACTCGGGGGGCCACATCTGCGACCGATACCCCAGCGATTGTCGCTACCACCGATGATCTCAAAGCCGCGGCAGATGGAAAAGTCGTGACCGAAGAGCCAAAGAAGGGCGGAGTTACTCTGTCGGGACTTTTGAATGTGATTGATGGTGTTGCTGCTACGGAGGGCCGGATCCTCGTTATGACCACCAACCACGCCGAAAAGCTGGACCCTGCCCTTCTACGCCCCGGGCGTGTCGACATGACTATCACATTCGGATACACAAGTGAAGCAGATATCAAGGAGATGTTCACCTCGATCTATATGACGATGGAGAGTGACATGGTACGTGCAGCGGGGTCGGTAACATTCACCAACGGATTCGCGAAGTCTCCCACAAACAGCATCCTGGCCAAGATTACGAAGACAAAGGGGGAAATTGACCAGAAGCCCAATGGTGTCATCGGGACGGAAAAGAAAGACAAGAAAAAAGAGCTCCAGACTCACCTCGAATCTCTTCGCTCACGCATCTCCGCCTTGGCAGTCGAGTTTGCAGCGGTTGTTCCAGCTGGCGAGTTCACTGCTGCCGAAATCCAGGGTTATCTCCTCAATCACAAAGAGGTTCCCGAGAAGGCGATTGAGGGTGCAGCCGAGTGGGTGCAAGCTTTGCTTGAGAAGAAGCGTGCCAGAGAGGAACAGGAAAAATCTTCTTAGATGCGTGCGGGCATGCCTAAAATAATACAATTACCTACAAAATAACTTGATTCTTCTTGTTCCGTTGAGTGCTAGTCTTCCTCTATCAAATATGTAAATCACCATATCCCCCCTGGGTGACCGGAACGAGGGAACTTGTCAACCGCACCCGCGATTTCCGATTTTACATAAGATATATCCCAAGATACCTTATGGAGGCTGGATTCGGGAATAGTCCTATCTGCGAAAAAAATATCAACGAGTGCCATTGGTATCATATATCATCATCATGTGCAAGCCCTGAAGCCTGGGGTATATAATCAGTAGCATCAGAGAAACAAAAATTCAATCAGAAACAGAAACTCCACAAGAGACAATCAAAACACATCAAGCAATGAATGGTGTTTGCCCAGTGATAGTCACATCTGCGGCATACATGCAGCGACTGGTCTTCGCATCAGAGCAGAAACCGTGGAACAGCATACGATCGCCACAACCACAGACTGTTGCACCGCCAGGCGAAATCAAACCAGTGTTCGCGGAGTTAATCAGGGGAACGTTGGTCTTAGTGTAAGGACCAGTGATACTGGAAGCAGTTGCCCAGCGAACATCGTACTTAGGATCCGTGAAGCAGTGCGTAGAGTAGAAGAGGAAGTAGGTATCCCCGTGCAAGATAAGATTGGGCGCCTCAACAAGCGGGCCATCATTATCAGCAGTACTGCGATCGAGAATTTGCACTGCATCGCCCACGGGGGTTACGGCATCATCGGCAAGCCTCTGCAGCAAGATAGGTGTTGCGACAAGTGGCTCGACGCCATTGTTGCAGTCACCCCCGTTTCCGATGCTATTGCCATCAACTTTGAAGACTACGTATCGCGTGCCATCCTTATCCAAGAACCCTGCTGGATCGATTGATCCACCCTGGTCAAGACGACAAGAGAGAGGCGAGTTGCTTGGCACGTATGGACCTGCAGGGTAGTCTGATACGGCAGTTCCAACGCAGTGATGCCTGACCATTGATTTAGCTTCTCCAGAGTAGTACATGACATACTTTCCGTCGTTCTGTGGAAGTTAACATTTGCTCTCGGTGGGCTAGTCTCTTTCTCCTTTTGGAAGCAGGGGTAACTTACTCGCAGAATGACATCTGGAGCCCAGTGATCGATGGCTGTCTCCCATGTTGAAAGGGTGGGGAGGGCTTCAACATCAAGTAGCGTCCATGTAATAAAATCGTCTGATCTTGCGACTTGGATCCGCTTGCCGTTGCCGTTGGTGCCAAAAGCGTACCATTTGTTATCTGCGGCTTTCATGAAGCTAGGATCGGGAAAATCGCTGTTCAGACCCAGCCATGGCCCCTTTGCTCGCTTTTGGAATAATGGAGAGCCCAGTACGGCTGGGAGTAGACATAGGGTTACCAAAACCCACATGGAGGGGAATATGATTGTAGATCGATACATGTTGGTCGACTAGTTAGGGCAAGGAAAAATAAATTAAAAGATTTGCTGATTCTGAAGATCCCAACATGATAGACATGACAGGGAAGGGGAGGCCTTCTTATATGTAGATTCAAGCGCCATTGCTCGAATTTGATGGGACAGGCTCCAAATTGGACTTAGGGTACCAAGAAGCCCAAAAAAAGTAAGACTAGACCCTCGGGGTCTACTTGGCTCCGAGAGGGATGGGTGTGCAGTGGACAGCAAAGGGAGAGAATAAACAGCCGCACGCCTGATATGGAGATCCCATCAGGTGGCACACGAGAGCCGGCTAAGACTAGTCTAGGGGATCCACTCATGTACGAGCTCGTGCTGGGTTGTGTTAATTTTCAAGAGCCCAACTATCAGGATGCGTTGTTTATTGTTTAGTAGCTGAAAGCTAAAAGATAGGGTGGAAGTAGGGCACAGCCGGGGGGGGGGGGGAAGATGCACGGGGCCAAGGGAAAGGGTCCATCCAGGATTCAACTAGGTACAAAGAAGAGATGTGGGGACGTCTCTGACTATTAATTTGTTGAGGTCAAGAATAAATCCGATGATTATGAAAATGATTGGGTAGTGCCATGCGGAACCACGTTGGTGGAGTCTATATCCATGTCCTTTGCCACGACATACATATCTAGTCTATAAAGGCAGTGAGATCTTGCGAGATTCTAGAGACTCAGGGATTAATTTGAGACGGTCTCATTCCCGGGATCTGTTTCCCATGGCTATGTATGATGCAATGGGGAATCCACATTTGAAGCTCGCTAGAATACACTTGGTGAAATCAGAGGATACAACTATTAGGTTGGTAGATCCTCTATGAGGGAATCGGAGTTAATCTGCATGTGGGGGATGACGGACGGTACTTGGATCACATCGCCAAGATCGGCCACATACGGCAAGGCACTATGGACGCAGCCCTAGTTGGTTAGGTTACGGTGATCCTAAAGGTCAAAGCTTTGCGAAACCCAGTAATAGGAAGTATGCCTTGAGTTTGGGATATCCATTATTGTTATTGGCGAAAAATCGGATCGGAGTTATGATGCAAGGGCGAGAAAAATAAACCCCTCGCACCAGATGTTGGAAATCGAGACAGAAAAGCGCGAGGTCGGCTGAGATATTAATGCATACATATGCACTTCTAAGCGACAAAGACGTATGGTACATCAGACGTACCCGATCTTACTGATAAATGTATGTACTTAGACCGCCTCGGCCTTTCCCCGGGCCAGAAGAACATTTTGATTGGGGCATCCAGCCACCCCGAAGGCCCCAGGGGCTAACAAGGGGTTAGGTTAGGGCTTGGCTCAGTTACACGAAGCACATGGCTTCCGACCGTGGCTTCCGGGATGTGTTGGCACAACAGCTCGTGGTCTTCGGAAGATAGGATAGTGATTACACTATTATGAATTTGATTGGAAGTTATTGTACAAGATTTTGAATATTGAACTTTCGAGTGAATTTTGTTAATTTCAATTTTTAGCCTCATTGTCCAGAAATGTTCCACGGTTGAGACAAAGAACTCATGATAAAGAATCCTCTTCCCTTTTACTAGGCACTCCCATGGTCAAAAATCTGATATTTCTTTTGTGACACACAGATCAAAGAGAAGCAGATCTCAGAATTCCTTGAAAAATGATACTTCAGCATGACAAACCTTGCCTTTGATCGTCAAATCTCGTACCAAGTTCGGGCGCGACTTCAAAGATCGGGTTGTTGATTCGATAAACGAAGCAAATCGCCTTTCGTTGGTCCTATTTACCCCGTATGAATCCACTGCAGCTGATACATTATATTCAAATGGTCCCGAGGTCATCAGTCGGTGAACACTTTCCGCTCCAGGTCGGCCACTATATATGATGTCATGCGTGCTCTGCTGATCGACAGCTCACATGACAGGGATGAAAATGACAACGGACTGGGTTTTGGTGATCTCAAAATGCGGGGAATACCCATCACGGTTGTTCTGAAGTTGTGAAGTAAGGATGCAAAAAAGGAAGGCAATGACGGTGTGACACGGCCGAATGGAAGACCTCGGAAGAGAGAGAACTTGACAAAAATACAGGCATAAACAACAGGAAGTAAACAAAAAGCCAATGGTCACAAGCCAGAAAATCTTACTGCAAATTGAAAATTGCTGGAGATCGAATTTAGTCAAGCCCGCTTCATTTTCCAGTATTTTATTGTCGGTTCCAACTCGTCCACTATTTTCTATTGAGTTCACCAGATTTAGGCCATTCAAACCAAAGGAATTTAAACATATCACACCCAGTGAAAATTATGGTGTGAAATTAGCTTTTTTAGTGAGTTATGTTCCCACCTGTAAGCGAAAAATTTCGGACACGCCTCTTCCATCCCAAGAGCTCGATGCTTCATGCGATTTATCCAGACAGAAGGGATGATAGAGTAGCTTGGATTAGATAGTGTGCAAATCATAGCTCAATTAATAACTCTCAATGTCACATCAAGACCCCAAAAGACTTGTCCAAGCTGCGATCCAGGCTCAAAAAGTCCACAAGTCGACCAAAGTGGTCGATACCCCAGAAATTTTCAGTCTCTCCCTCCGGATGGACGCAATTGAGCCAAGGCAGCCCGAAAGCTCCAGATTTAAACGCCTTCTGTGTAGTGTCATCCAACATTGCTTTCGCCTCGGGAGTTTTGGCCTGCCAATCACAAATGACATAATGTTAGAGATGCAACATCATATAAGAAGGAGCAGAATATATCACCTTTCGCAGAATGTAATTTGCGAGTTCTGTGCCAAGATGCTCCTCGAAGATAGCAGAGAAGCCATCTGGAATCAAAACTTGCGAGTTCCCTTCTGCCCAGTACTCTCGGTAGATCTTTTCGACAGTAGTAACTAGTTTATCAGGCTTCTCTTTGGCAAGAAGACAAAGAGAAAGCTGGACATCGGTAGTGGATGCAGGGAATCCGACGGGGATTGATTCAGACATAGGTACGTCGAATCGGCGGGCCCAATAGATACGTTCCCGGTTGATCCATTGGAACTTGTCTGCGATGGAAAGTCAGAGCCTGTGGTATGTGATGGCTCGATCCTAGAGATTGAAAAGTAATGACTGACTCTTGACTGCAATCGGGGGCGTGTTCTGGCATATCTGAAACAAGTCTCTCAGGGAGACGGGCACATAATCAATCTCGCAATTTGAGAAGACAGGGGAAGTCTTTTAAACACATATCAGTTCAATGGGACTTTCAAGAAGCGAAAGAAGTTTTGACTTGCTCTCAGAATATGGAAGGCAATACAGCTAAAAGGACTGCCAATGTCGAAATAGAAAGTTATCTTGGGGGCCGACATGATTAATAGAAAGTGAATGTTCCTGGTTTTCACAAGACCCTGGGAATTGATGTCCTTTATAGGGCATCCTGGATGATTTTGTGATTATTCATGGATAACATTGGAGCCAGCTTGAGTCATACTATATTCCCAACAAACCTCTCTGCCTTAGTATGACATCGAGCTACAACTGATTTAGGTTCGGGTGGATCCGTTGGCGTCCATCCGGTGTTCGCCCTCCCTTGTTGGGAAGGGGTATATTTGATACCGGGGCTAATCGCGTTGGATTGTACCCCAATGTGCGCTTGGTATATTGAGAACAGGGTAGTTATGACCTGTGCGGAGTTTTTGAACTAAGTTAAGTGAAGTAGAGTAAATCATTTTTGTTGATCATTGCTTGAGGCATTCTATAAATTATTGTATATTCGTTCCCATGGGACTTAAACTATATACATCGATAGGTGTTATTTATCCGACAGCGTTTCAATGAGCTTTTAAGCAAATTACCCCTGGCTCTCCGCTGTTTCATATTTACTAAGTGATCTCAGCTTCTTTCCAGCCTTAAAAAAGACCCAAGGCACGGGCAGCAGAGCAATGGCGATAAAGCCAAGTAAGCTCGAGGCCCAACCTGTGCCGAGTTTGGTATACACTATAAACGTGGTTAGAGTGAAGATTTGGAAGCAAATGAGAAAGGACAATGCTGACTTTGAATGGTGAAAAGAGGAAACGCAGCCGCAAGAACGTATCTCGCTAAACTATTAGCACTCATTGTGCTCGCAACAGTAAGCCCATGGTAAGTATCGACGAAATACATCGTAGTGCTGACAAAAACACACAAATTTCCCCATGCAAAGACCATGAGGGCAAGAGTCGGACTGGCCCATGATATTTCGGCTCTTGCAGTCCAGGCAAACCAAAAGAGGCCTATTGGTAGTCCAACACTGCCAATGAGAGCAGGGTAGAGGCGATGCTCAGGTGGGATCTGCTTGCCTGGGAACTTTGCAGCTTGTGGGAGATAAAAGAAGACATTGCACAGTAGTACCGTCATAACACCCAATAGACATCCAACGACAATAGCTAAAAATATCAAGCCAGAGACTTCCAAGGACATACGATACACTGTTTGGAATATCAATGGGATGGCAGCGAAGAATGAGAACAAGGTTGCAAATTCACATGCGACATAGAGACAGATCAAAGAGACAATGGGCTCCGTAATCAGCATGCGAAGAGGACGGAGGAGAGCAACAGTCGCGAAAAGTCGTATCTTCGAGGCGAGTGGTAAGCTTGGAGGAAGTTCATGACCCAGTTCTTTAGCGCGACGACGCTTAATAACAGGATGAAAAGTCTCTCTGGCAAGACCAATTGTGAGCATGGTGGCAATGGAAAAGAAAACTATTGTCCATTGGGTCCAGCGCCAACCCTTTCGATTGACAACAAAGCTTCCGATGACGGGCCTAAAAGGTACTTAGCACGATGAACCGACAAAGCCATAGCTAAGAAATACACTCACCCTAAACCAGGACCCAAGAATGGCATGAGAATGAAGATAGTCGATGGAATCGCACGTTTCACAGGCCGGAAGATCTCGTTGATGGTGCCCGCAGCAATGGCCAAAGTCGGCGCATAGCAGAACCCAGCGAGGAAACGCAGAACGCAGAGTCCAGCAAAAGTAGGAGTGAAACCGGCACCCATGGTAAACAAAGTGCCGAGAAGCATCATGATAATATATACTGGATATCTCCCGACTGTCTCAGAAAGTGGTCCTCCAACGACAGGACCGAGGCCCAGCGCAAGGACATAGAGCGACAATGGTAAGATAGCGACCGTGCTGCCAACTCCAAACTCTTCCATAAATTGGGAGTGTGCGGGACTCAATATCGATACATTAATTGAACTGGACTTTTAGTTAATTCCATTTTGTTCATACTGATAGCGGAGAGGAGGCTAACGTTGTGAAAGCCGCAGCTGAAATCATAACGGTTTGTTGAACTTTTTGCCTTGATGGCCAGTTGTAAGGATTATTAGGATCATCGTCCCATTTCCAAGTTTGATCATCATTTAGCTTCTCTGGCGTGACAGCGTGTTCATCGTCGAATGTATATTCACCATCGTCTATAGTGCCACGCGCACCAGCTTCCAGGTCTTTGTTCACTTCAGACATCTGGACAGGCGTTTTGAGACCAGGTGGTTAAAGTTGTAAAATCGGCTAAAGTTGAAAAATCCAAGCAGAAAATTGTAGTACCATGTCCCCCTTTAAATGAACATTGAAGATATGATGATAGCGTGATCGCGATGCGTATCGGTTGCGAACTTGGGTATTGGGTTTAGGTTGCTGATAAAGCCATTAAGACAGACCTGACCGAGGTCCTAACCAACAGGTGTATGATTTGATTATTTGTCCAGGAACATCGTTTTCTCCAAAGCCTTTCCCTCCATATGGACGCTACCAGGTGTTCTTTATTAAAGATTACAGAATTGTAGAACGGATGCGGTATTTGATTGGCCAGAACGGAATAAACGGCCCATCCCGAAGTAATATCCGATTATTCAACATTGTCAGATTATTCAACAATCGACGTGCATTTTTCAGACTGTCGAATTAGAAAAAAATATATGGCGTTAACGTTAATATGTTGAGGTCAGCTTGTTGAGAAGATGGCAGTCTTTGTCATTTTCGTTATCGACGTGAAGCTCATATTTGGAGGTGGATTAGGTTGCACAGCAGTAGGTTCAGTTCAGCTCAGATCTTATGCACGGACATATGTTGTACTAAATTTGTAAATCATCGCGAGGGAGTCTGGAAATTTGAAACAGGCAAAGCTCCAGGGATGATCAACCATTAATTAAGAATATATCAAGATCTCATCACATGATGTTTTTCCAATACAAAGCTTGGAAAGCTGCTCATGTTTTGACAATGGACTTCTTATCGTCCACCGAAAGAAAGTCGTCGGTATCCTGAACATGATCACCGGGGAGTCCTGCCCAACTGCGATCTTTCAGAACACCCCACAGATCCATCATTAACCCCATCTCCTTTCCCCAACCAGGCCACAATTTATTATAACTCTCGAGTGAGACTTTGACAACCATGGTAGAATCGGGCTGGGGGCAAGACCACTTGCACGGCCCCAAATAGTCAGATACTCGTCAAGAGAAGAATGGAATTCCACATCACATCGAACAAACGTGCCGCCAGCCTTTGGTGGGTTCTTGACAATCGCATGCGCGAATATACCGGCATTAGTACGGTGGTCACCGACTGACCTAATCGGCGTGGAGGGATTGGCGGGACACAGTTGGATGTACTTTTGAAAACTGTTCTGCAGTGGTAATTGGAACGTAATCTTCGATGATCGCACAACTTGTTACAACATATATTGGAGCAATTACCGGAGCGAGCAGATTACTGGCACAAAACCCAAACCAGAGGGAGGTGGTCTCTGCAAGTAAACGATTATCCTGCCTGATGAAATCATCAATACGGCTTCTCGCTTCGAAATGAGGCACCATGAATTTCCCCTGAGTTGACTAGCTGCCATTTGGGAGTGTACTCCAGAGGAAGTGCTGAAGACCTGGGCTATTTGATGCAGCGTGCGCAATGTTTCGTCCTGCTCGAACTCAATATCGATCGCCTTTTGAGCTCCGAGGTTGGCAAAGGGTTGGAAGCAATCAGTCATCGCGAAGATGGAAAAAGCCCCACCAATGCTTCCTCAAGATTCTTTCCATCGAGAACATCTCCCACAACTATCTCAACCCCCAAGTCGGTCAACTACTGCGCCTTTGCACTTTGGGTCTGGCGAGTCATACCCCGAACTGCGTAGTCGCCATCTTTGAGAAACGCGTCGACGACAGACTTCCCCTAACCACCTGTTGCACCTAGCACTGCAATCAGTTTTTTGATCAGCAGAAGACCCCATCTTTCTTGTAAATTGGTGTTTGGATTGAAATAGAGTATCAGGAACATGAAAGGTAATACTACATATATTGTGCAGAATGCGTTCAGCCACTTACACCAAGACTCCCACTCCGGATCTCCGGGCCAGATATACGAGGAAGGCAAGCGATCTATAAAATCTAGAAGCTTACGGGTTCCAAGGTTTGTTTTGGCGCGGAGTAAGCCCGTGGTTAACTTGTCCCAAATAGGAAGAATTTCAGCCTTACGATTAGGGCGAAAAAGTCGACTCAAAACGGAACAGCGCCAGATCCACCCTGGACATTCTTTAGTTTGCATAAGCTGACACTTTTCTTAATGTCTTCGTCTGACAGGGGGGAAAAATTCGAACATTCGATCTCATTCTTGATAATTGGCATTGAGATCGGCCCCCTGTGAGCTTAAAATACTTAATCTGACTTCATCGGATACTTTTCGGCCTCACCGGTATCCACTTACAATTCTTCATCTGTCTTGGGTATTTGATGCTGATTTTATTATTTTTTTTGACTCATTTTGGCTACGATCGCGTACCTTTAAAGGTTGTGTATTAGCCCTTCTTATACTCCCGCGTGTTCCGATTCCAATTCAGCTGCGATCGAGCTATCGCTCCCTAAGCCAGATGAAGTTCTACCCCAAAGCGCGAGAGCAGCGGCCTAGCATCCACCACCCGTCCGTTCGGCCGCGTCGATTGGCTTTGCTAAGAGCTGCTGGCGTGAACCTTCTTCTACTTCAATTCCTCTTCCTCGGATTGTTTTGTTACATCTTTGGATCCCTCTTCCAGCAGTCAACACACATCCGCGGTGTCAATGTCCTATTCGTTGATTACGATGGCGGTGCGATAGGCGATGCAATTCGCGACGCCTATAAAAAACTAGAGGCGCCAGGGTTTCCAACTTTAATTGAGAGACCCACCTCTGCATATCCCCAACCTGGCTCCATTGATGGTGCTGTGTGCGACATCAAATACTGGGGAGCCGTCTATACCACGGCAAATGCGTCGAATGCCTTGACTGCCGCATTTGCGGGAGGATTAGCTGCCTCATCATACAATAAAGACGATGTTCTCACTATGGTGTGGAATGAAGCGCGCTATCCCACGGTGGCTGACTCGGCCCTCGAAACCAGCCTAAAGTTACTGTCCGAAACTGCTCGCGTCGTATATTCCGAAGCCAACGGGAAACATACACTTCAAAGTTTGAACACCTCTGATCCCGCCGCCCTTGCCATCTTCTATGACCCTTGGACATTGGCATCGGTCAACTTCCAGCCCACATCCCAAGGATCCCGGCTCATCTATAACACTCTTGTCATCATTTTGATCATGATCCAGGAGTTCTTTTACCTTGGTTATGTCAACGGTCTCTACGTGCAGTTCAAACTGTACACATCAGTAACCCCTCACCGAATCGCCATCGCTCGTCTCATCATATCGGCTGTCTACACCCTCGCTGGGTCCTTGAGTACAGCAGGCGCCATCTGGGCTTTCCGAAATGGCTGGCATGTCAATGGAAACCAGTTCGCACTATCATGGGCAGCATTGTGGCTCTTCGCGCATCTCAACTTCCTCGTACTGGATGTATTCACTGTCTGGCTCCCACCTCCCTACGTCCCAATGGCGTTGATTACTTGGATTATCACCAATGTCACTTCGATTCTTCTTCCATTTGAGCTATCACCGGGCTTCTACAAAATTGGGTATGGTTTGCCAGCGCATGCCATCTTCCAAGTCCTCATCGATATTTGGTCCGGTGGCTGCAACCCCCAACTCTACTATGCGCTACCTGTCCTCTTTGTATACGAGGTCCTCGGCGTAATCCTCAGCTCTATAGGTGTCTATCGCCGCGCGCATTATGCAAGCATCAAAGCAGAGACGGAGGAAAAGGCGTGCGAAGATCGTGTTGCAGCTGCGCTTGCCCAACAGCAAGAGGCTCGGCTTGTACGGCACGAAACCATACGCGATACCCAGGGCAGTGGAACATCAGATACCGATAACGAAGAGACCGGTAGTTTGCAAAGACGGGGAACTATGGGCACGATTACTGATCAAGAGGAACTGGCTGGCATCATTCGACGGGAGATGTCTCGACCGAGAGTTGAAGGCCCAGAAGATACCCGAGATAGCACCGGGCCCTCCTTCTCCCTGCCTTTCAAGGAGTAATACTCTGATTTGGCAGGCAAAAAAGCGGTATGCTATATTAATCAATACACTAATTCCCATGCATTTTGTCTAGTATTTCAGTTTAAATGCGGAGTGTATAAAAGCTTTCTGCACTTTCATCTAGCGAACCACTGAATTGAATCAACATTTTCAGTTATATAACTACACTTCGAATACACAATCTATCTAAAGCTTCATACCGTTAGCTCTGTACCCCTGGGCCAGATCAATAGTATTTGCGGCAGCTTGGGCGCTAGCGCTCAAAGAGACAGTCGGTATAGCTCCCTGGACATTGACTTGTTCACCTGTCGTAGCAATGGCAGCAGCACTTCTGTTAACGCCAATAGTGATATATCCAATCAGCCCATCAGCAAGAGTCTGACCAAGCAATTCGGTAGAGATGATCGCATTGTTTCCATCAGAGTTGGCAGTGGGGTAAAGCGAATCCTCGGAGTTGAGAGTGCGGTTCAGGGTAGCCAGATGCGCATGGTAAGGAGCTAGCTGATAGACAGAGTTGATGAGCTCTTCGGGGAAGAACAGCTGACCAACATGCTGAATGGCTGCAGCAGAGTAGCTGGTGTCGTCTTCGTCAACATTCGTCTGCACAGTGACGTGAATGTGGGTAGTGCGGGAGGAGTAGTAACCCGGGAAGATGGTCAGGAACTCGCCGATTCCGGCCTCGTTCGTCTTTGAGATTCCGCGCAGGAAGGTAGAGTCGTCGGTTGTGCCATCGGATCTCGTGGTCCAGCCGTCATATGGCTCGACGGTGTCGGGGTCGATACCAATGTAGCCGGAGTAAGTTCCAGTAGCATTGCAGGACTAGAGTTCTTGTTAGTGATAGTTTACAATCCAAGAAAATAAATTCGTACCCAAATAGTCAACCAGGCATCTGACACAGGCTCGCAGGTCTCAACATCAATCAAGCCAAGATCAAGATAGAGTTCGACACCCTCCTGTCCCTCTCTCACATCGTGGCGATGAAGCTCGCCGTCCACGTCATAGGGACCGAAGATAGTGTCAGGGGCAAGAGTGCAAGTTTTGTTTTGCAGCTCTTTGTACATGAACCGATTGGCGTTGGAACTCGAACGCTTGCCCAATGCATTGCGACGTTTCATGAAGGCCATATCGCGGCGCTGCTCAATGTGGCGAGCGCATTTGTCTGTGCCTCTCGCTTTGATAGATGGCGCATGAGCCTTGGAGTTGTCATGACGCTCAGGGTGAGCTGGAAATCAATGTCAGTTGATGAGTATTTCTCAGTGTTGCCATTTCTCTTACCAACCACACCAGTGATGGCGGAAGCACATGTAAGTGCTGTGAGGAGAAAGTTGCGCATATTGATTGTCTGTATCTTTGACCTGTGGATGGATGGAGAAGAGGTAGTCAAGGAGGGAAATGGAGAGCATGATATATCTACTTATTCAATCATCAAGTCGCGGCTTTAGATTCTAGAACCCCAAACCGTCAACGGTGCTTACGACGGCTGTTTAGCAAGCTCCTTATTTGTTACCGTCCGCCCAGAGAGATTGCGCCCGTAATGTGGAGACACTAGAAGGGCCCTATGGCCGGGGCAATAGCTTTCCTTTTGGATTGTGAGTTGAGAACTATTTCATGCTTGCACGGAAATCGAGGATCGCAAATTCAAAGGAAATGAATGTCTTGATAAGATTCTGAGTTCCTGATACAATTACAAGGTCATACACTTCACTAGAATATTAGGCATCCCCAAGTTTGCCGCCAAAAAGCAAGATATGAAGAGCCAAGCATTGTAAGGGGCTATTCGTCAGGCGTCGCGTCACTGCGTCAGGAAGGCCAGGAACAGAGACTAGAGCCACACTTACTAATCGGAGATCATCGACCGACAAGGACTTTGACTGGACGAATTGGATAAGCCTCTGCCAAGACCACAAAGTGTCTATCTTGAGGATTTTAAATGATACATACACTAGTTGCTTCACCAATGAGCTTTCCCTTTGAACATAATTAGGCATCTCTTCTTGATTAGTGCTTGGAGGAAACTCAACGCGGGTTTGAAATATTGTGCATACTCCGTCTCCTCGGCCGCGAATATTTCCCGGAGTGCTTCGAATCGTGGTTCTTGGCATAGGGTTGAGGGCTAGAGGGTAAACCTCGGAGGCTGTAAATTGGTAACGATTTCCTTTCCTCCTTGCCAAGGTGCTTCCACGCACACAAACCCACTACGTTAAGCTTAATCTGGGTGTATGGGCCCGCACCATTCCGTTCTGGATTAGACCATGTCGATCCTTTATATCCGCCACCACCCGCGTTCTAGAAGAAATACATTCTTAGACCCGTGTGAGGTATTTTGATGGATATAGCATCGTTTGCTTGTTTACGCATTCGCATTGTTTGCTTACATATGTTTGTCACGCCTCCCTATGCATAGGTAGAGAGCTTTTCTCCTTACAGAATCTCAGAATATCACTATTCTCCATCGTTCCTTCACATCACCATTTCACACATAGTAAACCGTTATATCGTTATGCCTACATGTATGATACTCATATTAGGCATAGCCCTGATAAAAAATCTGGGTGCGTATCGTGAGTATGTACGATGACGAAGTTAACAGTCGGCATAATAAATCAATTGCTTATTCCGGTCCTTCCATGCCAGAAGCACATGTTGCAGAGCTAGTAAGGATCCGCCTGCTCAGGAACGGTGGAAATCTTTCGAAAATTACAATAGATAGATTGCTCTCATCCCTTGAGGGGAAAATAAAATTAAGGAAGCATTTGGAACAAGAGGATAATGCACATGGACGGTTATAAATGTTCAATTAAAGCAATATCGAGCGAGAAAAAACAATTGAAACTTGGATGAACCGTACAAAGCTAGATTGACTGAAGCTACTATAAAGAATAAGATGGAGACTCTATAACCTTGGAACGCTTAAGCACCAACGGAACATTTAGATTTGAATTTAGAGAAGTACGCACCTAAATTATGTAGTCCAACTCTGATGAGCGCGTAAGACGTATTTAGCTGCTCTATAAATTTTGTCCTGCAAGTCTCGCCAAGTATGATCCAAAGACTATGCTGGTGAGATCATCCTCATCTTGCATGCCATAATCTTCAGTAAGTGTAATTTCCTCGATGTGATTTCTGGGTTGATCGAAGTCATACTCTTTGTATGCAGAACGGAAAAGCAAAGATACACCGAGTGCCATTCGGGCGAGGGCATCTGCAACCTTTCGATCATTGTTCGCGTCACTTTTGAGAAGTGCAATTTGCCCAGGGAGCTCCTTCTGCAAAGTCAATGAGAGCTGCCCGAGCCGTGATGTATTTCCAACCTGTGCATCAGCACGCGCAAGCCGTAATAGGGCTTCTAGCCTCCCGATCACCCGGGGACGGGCCTCGGGGTTGGTTCGGAGATATTCAATTTGACGGTGAATTGCGTGCAGCATGTGATCGCGCTGCTCGCGCTCATTCATCTGTGCCATGCCAACGTCAGATGGTCAGAATTCCGAGTTGGTGTTGAACAGCCTATCAAATCTTGACTCGCGAATCTGTTAGCATTACCTCACTTCAGACAATTCGACCAGTATTCTCAAGCCAAGAGCAGCAGTGCTCGTATTTAAAGATTTCCTCGATATGATCTCAGACAAAGAAACAGACAATAAACACCGAGAGCGAGACATATAAAGGTATTGTTGGCTATCTTTGTGATCTTAGACAAAGGACAACAATGAAGAAATAATTTTTCAGTCTTCCAGATGGACACCTACAGGATGAACCCCAGTGCACTAACGGCCGATAATCTTCTTATCACCGAAAGGAGGCAGCAGCGAAGATTGTATGGGATAAGATTGATGCAAGTGCTTGAAATTATCTGTCGCCGGGATGGGGTTTCGCCTGCCCAAAGCAATGTTTGGTCTTCCACCTCGGTTTCTCTACACCTATTGGGGGATTTGTGAAAGCTATTACTTCGTGTCAGAAGAACATGGACTCAACTACTCTCTCAGTCCGCGATCTTGACTTGCCCACACAGGACAACGTCTTCCCCAAAGGGGTACCATTTGACATTTTTCAATCTCGCTGCAGACATTGCATTTCCTCCCTCGTCAAATCGTCGAGCGGGAGAGACGACCACACCACCTTGACCAAGCCAAGTGGGAGCAATCGTCACAATCACGCTGTTCAACAAAGACATATAAACTGGACTTAAAAGAGAGTTGATGACTTGGCCACCGCCCTCCACCATGACGCTCTCGAGACCATTTGATTTCAAGGTGACAAGCAAATCTTGCCAGTCAACTTGATGCCCACCAGTATGTGTTCTGATCATTTTCGTCGATATAAATCGGCCCCCATATTTCGCGAGCAGAGCTTTCTTTTCTGGGTCGGGGTTTTCTGTAGCTGTGATGATCCATGGTGCTCGGCCGCGTCCCTCTTTGCAAAGTTGAAACAGCTTACTGTTTTCCGAAAACTCCCAACGGGCTGTTGGATCTATGACCACTGGCCGAGGTTGACCAGTTAAACCATCTTGACCATAGCCTCCGACTCCTGTGATGCGACAATTCAGACCAGGATCATCGGCGACTGCTGTACCGACTCCAATGAGAATTCCATCGTGACGCGATCGCAGATAATGTGTCATTGCTTTGGACTGGGGACCTGAAAGTACTGTACGTGCGCCCGGGGATAAAGCTAGAGACGAGTCAAGCGATGTAGCGAAAGTGAGTGTTGTGAAGGGGAGATCGAGATTAGATGCCGAGCTGGCCTGGGGCGGCAGATGGGGTTCGAGGAAGCCCCTGTCGGACTCGGAAAATTCCAATGCATCTCTCGTAGTCTCTGTCGTAGTCATGTTTGTTGTGAGTTGAACCTTGGAAGTGGGTTATGTTTGCGGGGAAAGACCAATTTGTTGGGCGGTGAAGAGGCCCAGATATTTCTGCCTCAGGCATGAAGGACAACCACCAATTTCGCATTTATGCTGACTTCTTAGCAAATTCAACTGCACCTGAACCCATGTTGAACCCATGTTGAACCCGTAGCCGCTATATCTCTTCAAGGCTCTCAGGTCCACATCCATGCCCAAAGACAAACCATGCAGCAATCGGAGAAAAGGAAAAGGGCTAGTGCCGCGAAGGTCCGCACAGGTTGTTTGACATGCAAGTGAGTATTTGAGACTAGGTAGAGTGGTGTTTGCACTGCGTAAATACCATCCCGATTTTTTAGCAGTCGGCCTTTTGCTATGATTTTCATTTACCCGATCCGATACTCATTCGTACAAAGATCTCGACATAAAAAATGCGATGAAACCCATCCCTCGTGCTTGATGTGTACCAACAGTGGACGGGAATGCCAAGGGTATACGGTAACCTTGGACAGAAGGACCCGTGAAGCTCGAGATGCACGAGCCTCAAACAGGCGCAATGCTGTCCTCATTGAACATTCGCACCAGCAACTCGCGCCGCGTTTGACTGACGGAGGTCAAGTTGACTTGTCACCGATGGAGCGCGATTATCTGCACTTATTTCGCTCTCGAACTGCCACGCAATGCGCTGGATATGGGTTCGACCAATTTTGGCAGATCCTCGTTCATCAAGCTGGTGAATCTTACCCGGTGGTCCGCCACGGGATTATTGCGATTAGTGCCTTGCACCAGCAATTCGTGAATCCTGCCTCTCATCAAAATGACACGTTCGCCATTCGACAATGCAATAAAGCTATCGCTCAACTCCGGACTGGCATCATGACCAATGCACATCCAGACTCAGCGCACATGGAAAGAATATTAATCGCTTGTGTCGTTCTCATTGCTTTTGGACTTTTTCAAGGCGACATTGAAGCAGTTCGCTCCCATCTCCGATCTGGCACTAAGATGCTGTATGAATGGAGGAAAAGGGAGGGCAAAAAAAGCGTGTTCGCTTCAGTTCTATTGCATACTTTTGTACAACTCCACATTCATTGGGCAACGGCGACAGCTTTCAAAGACCACATTCGGGGAGAATATCCCTATCTTGGCGAGCTCATGTCTGAAAACCTGTCGGATATATCTGCCCATGCAGAAAAAGATGAGCGCGCCAGAACAACGCTCCTCCTGTCCGTCCGAGCCTGGATGGTAATGATTACCGATCACACCCAGTCCAAGGGGCACACTACTAGTCTTGATGAAATGGAGGATTTCTTGTTAGATGCTCCATCTAAGAGACACAATCGCTTCCAGCTGCAACTAGAACACTGTGCCGCGATTGATAAACACACGGCTTCTCTTGGCGAGAAGCGAGCTGTATTGATGGTGAAATTAAACAAAAAAACCTTCCAAATCTTGGATGCTTCGACGAAGTTCTCAGGAGGCGAAACAGAATGGGACACTCTTCTTCCACAGTTCGAAGAATTGGTCGACACAATTGAAACCATGTTGACATCTTTCGAGCAACTGCCTGATATGTCATTTTCCGTGAAAGAAGGCTTCATCGGGTCTCTGATGCTGTGCGGATTTAAATGTCGCAACTGGCCTCTGCGGCAAAGAGTGATCAGTCTCTTCCAAAAATATAAACGACGAGAGGGTGTTTCTTCCACTGCTGAAAGCCTTGCCATATTGAAGCGAGTATATGCGCTCGAGTCGGCTGGGAGCTGGCTCAAAGGCGTAATCCCGGAATCCCATCGCATCACCATGGTGATGGTAGAACAGCATGCGAACTTTTCCCACCCAAATCCCCAGGTTCATCTAAAGTACCAGGATGTCAAGCGGGAATGGCAAAGCGAATGGTTGCCACTTTGATGAATGTTGCATATTATGTGATACTATCGCAATACGTACATGGGCTCAAGCGTTGGTTAGATTTTCATGTGAAAATGAACTTACGACGATAAATGTACTCAGGGATAGAGCGAATCCTTGGAGTTAAAGAGATAATTAAACGCTTACATTTTTCTGACCCAACATCCCAAGGTCTCTGAGCTTTTCGCCAATAAATTCCCAACCAGTGCCTCAAGTTACTAAAGATCTCATAGCCCAGTGGGACAAAGTGGACCGTACTGTTTTCCATCCAAATACTTCTGGTACCACTCCGGACTGCCTACACAAGTTGGGCAGTAAAAGACGCCGATAGGGTCGTACTTTTTCTTGATAATGGTGAGTGGTACGTAGTTTGTGCCATAGAAGTTCGTTGTCCACAGAGGATCATATCGATTTCCCTAAATAGCTGTCAACACAAACCCAAATCAAAGTAGGAGGTGATCGACATACCTCATTCATGTAACCACCTAAATGTGGCGTCAGCTTCATCATAGCCCCGCCTTTATTGTACGTTATATCGTCCCTGATAGCTTTGGAAGAGGTAGAGTCGGCGCATTGCCGGGCTACGATATTGACAATGTAGGTAGACCGCCAAGCAGGATTGACGCCAGAGTATCTGTCGCCTCCATCGGTTAAAACCTTACCGCCACCAACAAGCTCCACGTTGTTGACTGTCTGCTCATTAACCTCCCCGGCGATGACTTTTATCATAGCCCGCAGAGAACACGGGTCATTCGTCAAAGCAGATTTGTCAAGCATTCGTGACGACATAGCCCCGTTCATCGAACCTACCGGTTGACGCACACCAGACATTGCTTGATAATATGCCCCATATGTCTGAAATTCGAACCAACTTATCGAAATATGCAGTGAAGTACCATTGTACTTCTCCAAAACGTAAAGAAGCGGTTCAAATGCTTTGTGGGCATCAGTGAGTGACTGGTTCATAGCCGCAGCAGTGTGGAAATAGCCAATATCCTGATCAGCGAAGAGAGGCGAGGGGCTGTTAATAGACCAAGCACCGTACCCTGAAAAGCCCGCATCCATGATATTTGGGTATTCTTGGTAGATCTCGGTAATAGCATCCAAAAGTGATTGACCGTCTTCACTTAACGGGACGATTGTGAGAGATTGCGCCACAACAGGTTTGCTTGGATACACTTTGACTGTCATGGAGGTGACAACGCCGTAGGTACCGCCGCCGCCCCCGCGGATAGCAAAATAGAGGTCGGAATAGTGACAGGAGTTAGCCGTCACAATCCGACCATTGGCAAGCACAACTTGGGCCTCCAGAACTTGATCCGCCGCGAGACCATAGTCGTGACTGGCAGGCGAGTGACCACCACCCTGGGTGTAACCACCAATGCAGCCAACAGTCTTAAGGATTCATATTAAGAAATAGCTCGCTTTCCCAAAAAGGAATCACTTACCGGGTCACCACCACCAACGACGGTCAAGTTACGTTCGAAGGCGAGCTTGTAGATATCTTCCCAAACGTACCCTCCACCGATAGTCATAGCACCACCCTTCCATCCTTTGCTGGTGCATCCATCGGAAGGGATATAATGTTCTTGGAAGAAAATTCCTTTTTGTATGTGCTTGATCCAGACCTGAAGTGAACCGTAACCTTGAGATCTACAGCGAAGTCAGTGAAGTAGGCCACGATGTTCGTTCGAGAAAACTCACTTTCCCAAGATGTCATGGCCAGTATTTCTTATCACTAGACGAATGTTGTTACTTTGTGCGAATGCAATCCCGGCAGCAACATGCTCAGGCTCTGTTGCGTTGATTGTGTAGACTGGGGCTGGTCCTAGCTCACACGTGCCCGGTGCTTGCCCCGAGCGCAAATCAACAGGAGGGCAAGAGTCATGAGTTGGATAGGAATACCCAACGGGGGAGAACTCTTGAAAAGTGGAGTTTGACCACTGGGAAAATTTGTTGGCGCATTCTCTCGGGTCCTGGTAAATTCCGGGATAGCACGAAACAGCCAGCGGATGATTGCGAATCAAGGTCCCTGAGATGGATGTATTGAGGGCATTCCATTTTTGGATTGAAGGCCAACACAGCGAATCCGGAGTCTGTTATAGCCTCAGCCGGTTAGATTCCTCAGGTCTTCACTGTGGTGAGTTAGTGTCAACTCACGCATTTACAGGATTCGTTCAGCTTCGCGTAGCCACAGGCAGCAAGCGTAAAAATTACTGAGAATATCGATTTCATAACAGGTCACCTTGATAAATTGTCAATCTCGCAAGTTGTGCGATCGAAGAAGAGAACGTTGAGGCAACAATATTACTGTGAAGAATTCAACAAATCGCCGGTGCGCGGGGCCCAAAAGCAACCCGATCAACATCGCATATGCAAGATATATGCGTCTCCACCCTCTCTCATTTTGATTCCCCTGAAGATATCTTTCTCCTATCGAACACAAAGCCCTGATATTCCCGCATCTTTCTTCTTCAAAACCGCCAAACACTGAAATTCTCACGAACTGTAATTTGCGATGCACGTGAAACCTCGAATACGGCAATAGATGAGAATTTCTTTGCTAGCAAAATGTGCTGGCATGATACCCTTTGATTTGCTATGCGAGGGGTAACTCACATAACGGCGGGGCGATATTGCATAAAGCCGATGCGCAAACCGTCGTGCAGAGACTAGACTTCACTAAATCGCAGCCAATGCTAAAGTCTATAGCGAATTAAATGATCGCAAGATGAGTCTAAAATCCAGAAAAAAGATGCAAATACAATCCTCCGTGTCAAAATGGGGCTTCGCCTCCTTCCTGGCTGATCCGGATGGTTGGTCGCACAAACTCCTCTTTTTCGGACTTTGACCTCATTCTTTTTTTGTCATTCGTCCGCTTTTAGAAACGCCAAAAAGCGATACACTCCGTTCTATCTGAATTTTGCCTCATCGAATACTCCGAACAAGCCCTCGAAGCAAATGTTCCTAGATGCACCACTACAGGAGGCGTCCCAACTCTTCAACCTTTATCAACAAGAGAAATTGGAAACACGGCTACAACGATTCACAGACCCCTCCATTTGAATTTGGCCTGCAATCCAAGTGACAGTCCCCTTGGTATTAGGGCACCTCGGCCCCAGTGTCGAATGTACATGTTTCGTGGGATTAGGACGTAAGCCGCATTCTTTAGTGTGAGATTCAGGTGCTCCTAGACTTACAGAGTCACCACAATCGATACTTTATATCAATATACTCCGAAATATAATATTGTTTCACGTCCGCTTCGCTACCCTTCAGCCGCGTCCCGGCCTGACAAGGTCCCCCAGTCTGGTGTTCTATCGATGGAAATCAAACATACAGGCGTTGTCATATTTTCTCATTGCCGGTTATACATAGCCCAATGTCCAAATTATCCGGCATAGTTTTTCTACTTATATGCTGTGGTAAATAGTTCACAGACTGAAAAGACCACATCCTAACCCGCTCCAAGCAAACCTACGACATAGCGACGATGACGACTCCACCTCAGGGTGTGATCGGCCACCTGTCAGCTAATGGCCTGATCGGAATAACCTGGGGAGGAGCTGGCTTCGGGATCATTTTCACATCTGCTCGCATAATGATTCGCATAAAGTACATGAAGCGCCTGCTTGCTGATGATTATTTCATGCTCCTCGCACTGATCCTGCTTATCGCCAACGCCATACTACAGACGCTACAGACACCTCATCTTTACTATTTTGTGTTTCATCCCACTGGTCCCGACGTCGAATACCACGTGCTACACTACTTATATTATGAATTTACTATCATCGGAATATTCTGGTCGGTGCTATGGAGTGTGAAAGCGTCTTTTTTAGCCCTCTTTTGGATGATATCTAATGGACTGCCGGTATACCGTCGTGCATGGTGGTGTACTGTGGTGTTTACATCTTTAGCATATATCGGCTGTTGGATTGGGTCAGTTTGGACGTGCCATCCGCCGTCGAGTTACTTCAAGATTGGTACGGGCGCAATATTTTCTTTGCCAATCATCACTAATTTACTTCTAAAATCGTCAGGCCAGTGTGGGAAACCGATTGATCGAGAAGGATCTACCATCTCTATATCCTACAGTACAGCAGTGGACATATTTACCGACTTGTTGAGTATGGCTGTTCTCGCTTGAGTGTCTTTAGCATTTTGAAGCTCCAGAGCTAACACAGTGGGTTAGTCATGTCCCTTCCCCTCCGCATATTATGGGTAGCAAAAATCAACTTCAAGCAAAAGCTCGGTCTAGCTCTCGTCTTCTGTCTAGGGTTCGCTATCATTGCGGCAGCAATCATCAGAGCCATTGAAATAACTGGCAAAACGTTCTCAGACCAAGCAGCGCTGGCAGTTTGGGGTATTGTTGAATCATCAATCTGTAAGTTCCCCATTACCGACTGTCCAATAGTGCTGACTCAATAAAACGATCTCGATAGCTGTGGTCGTCGGAAGCCTGCCTCCATTCCGAGCTATTATATCTACCTCTTCAAGTGCAGTTCATTCTCCATACGGATCTTCCGGCATCTCACCAACTTCATATGATCGGAACACTTCAGCACGCGGTAAGCATCCTGCGGCAGCAATAGAATGGAATGATATTCCCTCGCCGGACCTACACTATACCGGAAACAACAGCGTCGACTATGAGATGTATGCGCAGAATGTGCAAATTACTGGAGGGAATGAAGTTAGAAATTCCCGAAATTTGCGACCAAGTGTATCGGAGGAAAAGCTTCGGAGGGATATCAAAATGGTACAAGAATTTGTGAGTCAATCCTACCAGAGAAGTTTCTTCGCAAGTAGTTCAAGCTGACTATCAGTTCAAAGAGCGTTATGTCTTCCTCTTGATGTCTTAAAAGTGAGTTATATATAGCGGCTTGGGTAGAGCTTCTGAAGGATACCAAGTCAAAAGTTCATAGGAAGTTGTTCGAACACTGGTCATCTTCTGCATAATGCCAAGTAGAAAATACCCACAAGATTAAAAGGGCATATCACGATTCGCCGCATTATATACTGCGGTGGCTGAAATTTGGCTGCGGGCTAGAAGTCGATCATTACCAACTGAGGCAGCAATCGGCAGCAAAGAGAGTCGGTTCGGATACTCGCGAAGACCCTGTCCCGCTGGACCAATCACCATCTTGAATTCCACGTCAGCCCCCAAAGTCCCGTGCATGAGGACTGACATAGTGCAGTAGAATTGCTCTTTTTCCTTGGACAACATGGGGCCAAGCCTCTTGGCAAGTGGTCAGCCCAGCTCTTGTTTCTGATCAATAGAGCACTTCCCCTCGTCGAACCTCGGGTTGCTTCTTGTTTGCGCCATGGTCAACAAAAAATGGTCGTTTCTCACGTTCGCACTAGCAGTACTGCCATGGTGGTCGGTGCTAGCTATGGCCGATATCAATTGTTACAATCCCGATGGGACCCAAGCGGTCGATGACGTACCTTGCACGCCTGATGCAACGACATTCTGCTGTAACAAGGGTGATGTTTGCATGTCAAATGGCCTATGCTATCTTCAAGGAAAGCGTGGATTTGCGCTTTCTCGTGCAAGCTGTACTGACCGAAGCTGGGATTTATGCGGATCATACACATATTGCAGTGGGTGTTGTTCCGACAAAAGGTCCATGCTCATGGATCCAACTGACCAAACTGCCCCTAGTGCCTTATAACAAGAAATCCGGCTTTCCTATCGTCGCAGCACAATATAACGGCAGTAAAACCTCCTATTGCTGTGGCACAGCCTCCTGGAATAACCAGACAAACAAAATCGACTGCGGAAACTTCGAATCCGTCAGCATTCCAAGCGGCACAGCCATACCAGGCGTTGCTGGACTTTCAGTGAAGTCGCCCGCAACTGAAAGTGCTACCAACACGACTACACCAGGGTCTAGCAATGGCGGCTCTAGCTCCAACACCTCGCGTGAGGCGGCGATCGGCGCAGGTGTTGGGGTTCCACTCGGAGTGATAGCCGTCGCTTCTATAATATGGGCCTTGTGGGAGCGTCGGACGCGTCTCAAGGCTATTTCAACGCCACTTCCGATGCCAGTTGCCGAATCTGCCGTGGGGACATTCCATCAACCAGGAACACCCCAACGTTTTGTGGAGCTGGGGGCTGCTCATGTGTCAGAGATAGCAACCAGTGATCGCCCTAAAAGTCACACTGAGAGTCAATGATGACAAAACTTGGTTCTTCGTCGCACGATTGTGACTTCCTTGTCGGAGAAAGTCGTTGTCGTGGCTGGGCATGATCCTATCCTACATTGGCTTTGTACATCATGTTCTGTAAAGTTTAGTGTCATTATTCAGGACCTCTACTTTCATTTGATTTTGCACTCATTGTGTGGCGATTTCCATCTCTGTCTTGATAGATATTTGCATTTTAACACATCATGTTTCGAACTGCATATGCGATTATCCGTTGAGTTTTCTTTGGTATTTCGCAAGTAGACTACAATATATCATGCACATATGCAGACAATCTGACTCTGATGGTCTCAGGAGCACACAAATGTTATCATTGAGTGGGCGGGGATCACATACTTGAAAGTGTCATCATTTCCAACACGAATGAACTTGAGAGGCGTAAGGTCGTGGTCATTGTTTGTCACCCAGGGCTGCGCAGTACCAATATGCCCACGTGTATGGACCTTGAAGCTGACCTCGTACGCTTGTGTGTTATTGTTGATTGCTTGAGTGGCGATACTTCCGTCGATGTTCAAAAATGAACTGACATACAGCAAAGAATCGGAACTGCTAGCATCCACCCGACGGGCACCTGGCCACGCTAGACGACTAAACTGGGCGAAGGCCCAGAAGCGCTTGCTAGGAATGACTTCATCCCCGATGAGATTGATGAGTCCACTGTCTGTGGTCGAATTCTCTGCTCCAATTCAGTAAAGAAAGCCGCTGACATTGGCTTTCACAAGCCCAACTTGAATATTTCGCGCCCAGGTCAATCCCTCCCCTGACCCACCATTCCCAAAGAATGTGTAAGGGGTAAAGCCACCCGAGAGGTTAGCCCATTCCGTGACCCATGTCTTCTCTGTGGTCGTGAGCGAGAAATCCGGGACCGAGTTATACCCGTGACCTGAGACAACACTCAGGTAGGCTTCCGCCGGGTCAGGACCCGCCTGGAGGCCAGCCATCATCGCCTCTTGCTCTTCCCAACCAATACCATCGCATCAGTTCATTGCAAGGTTCATAAAAGAAGCCTTAACAGCCTTTGCTAACACTCGGATAAACTCTGCAGCATGAACTCCGTCGGACAGCATGTCGGCATAAGTTGCGGCAAACTCGGGCTCATTCAAAAAGCCGATATTAGGCACCTTCACATCAGACTGTTTGTAAAAGCGCGCCCATTGAACTATATAGTCCGCGTACGCCTGCATCCAACTCGCAGGTTCACAGCAGGCATCTGTGACTCCACATAAATACCCCGTTATTCTCGTCGCCATTTATTTTCATGTATCCAGGTGCCGACCACGCATTGCTGTACAAGTTAACGAGACCGCGGTCATATGCCGCCTGAGCTAACGGAAATTGGCCGCTGTCGTTGCGATCCCAGACATAGTGCGGGCCTGCGCTCGGTGATCCAGGACTGAAAGGCTCGATGGAGTTCATGAAATTGCTGGTTGAGCTGTTGCTAGAGCCAATTCCGTTGCGGAGAATCGTGAAACCGGCGCCTTTGTCGGTACTCAATAGAAGGTCCAGCACCAACGTGGTGTTTTTGCTGGACAGACCTTCCTTGCCGTATATATCCTCGGCACGTTGGAACGCCTGCGACACACCAAAGCCACCAGCTCTTGAATTTGACGTTGGTATTTATAGACACAGTCGCAACATTCGAGTTGATTACGGTGGCTTGAGTACAAGCTATTGCTGCTGCCAGACTGACAGCGATCTGAGTGAATGGTGGCATTGTCGAAGACACGGTATGGGATGCCTGAATCAGTCCCTTAATTCCCAGAATGCAGTAGCAATGCAGTAGCAGAACTGTCGATCCAATTTTCTTCAGTTTCTCGTTGCTGACTCCCTTTTTTATCGAGAAAATTGTGTCTGCTATATTGACTGGGCGATCAATCCCTTTAAAAGCTCTTGATGAGCTCCACGATTAGCTTGTGACGGTGCTGCCCCTCAAGCTTAACACAATTAGGCTGAATGCCAACAACATAGCACATTTGCATTCTCTGCCACCAATCGTATTTCGAGAGTCGCGGGGTCAATTTCAATCTTCCTTCCTCCATGAGAACACGATCGTTATGCATCTTTCTTGTTCTGCTTTGTTTATAAAAAATACTCCAGCCTGGAACGCGGAAAGATCCTCCAACTTCGGTAAAATTCGAGAGTAATACTATCAAGTTGTGAGCCCCATGTTGTCGTTATCCAATATTGGCGGCACTCTGAGCCAAAGAACGGAATAGCCAGTTCCCACAGGAAGCCTGATCACGATCGCCATCGGGTACTGGGCTCGAATGGATCGGGGGCGTATTGGTCGATTGGTATTAGGTTGGGACCAGATTCCCCTTCGGGTAAATGATCGAAGTCTTCGCTCCGCGATGGCTCGGTGACAGCGCAGACAATCGAAGAGGAAGCTGATTCCTCATCTGTTTTGAGATCCATGGTGGGGTTTCGTTAATAATTGAGATATTTGAAGAGGCGAACTCAATTTGTGGGTGGAGAAAAAGAGAGGTTTGTCTATCACGAACTTAAATACAGGGTGTAATTTCCAATCCCAGCTATATATGACTGGCTTTTTGTCATCGGAGAAATCTTCATTTTGCATAAGCATAATATACTCCCAAGAGATACAGCCAAATGTCTCTTCAAGTAGCTGCTAATGGTGAGTCGAGAAGAATGATTTGACCTTGACAGCATCAATAGTGCCACCTTGAATCGCCGTCTGTCCGGTGTGCACTTCTAAGAATTCTAGCTGTTAGATCCATTGCAGCGTGACTTAGGCAACAAGGAATGCAAAAGAAGGCTGATAGCATAAGATAATGCTAACGGAATTTGTCTACAACAGTTCTCATATCATACAATTCATGAAGGTATCCCGAAAGGCGTCAAGTTGTACCTGTTCTCTCACTGCATTATCAGCCCTATCCATTCTGAACCAAACCACCCTGCACCCCAATCGATCACTTTCCCGTCACTTGACTCGCATTTGCACTTCAATTTTGCATATATCCACCTAATCATAACTCGCCGTAATTGTTCTTTCTACTCTTTCATCGAAATCATTTTTCTTCCACTTGACTTCTTGACTGCTGTTACCTCTGCTCCTTTTTTCCTCTCCTCATTTTATGTCCAACCTCACGGAACAATAGATTCGTCACTTCCTGCTTTTCAAGAACCTGATTTTGCCTCCACAAGTCCGCTTACCATCCTGTTTCCTCTTATTTTCCGCATTTCCCGCCTCAAACACCCCGCATCGATAATCATCTTTCTCATCTACAAACCTTTATTTCTTTCTAACCTCCACGCCGACATATCGCAAACTTTGAAGTGCCAGCTCCTCATCTAAAGGAGAACTGGAGTTCTAGGTGCGGTTCTGCCACAACTACGCTCCTGCACCCACGTCTTACTTTCTGCACTCTTCGTCCAGCGCTGAACAGCGCCTCTGCTCCCATTGCCAGCTAGTAGCCGCCTTCATTGCTTTTCTCGACCCAAATCTGAATCACTTCAAGGTTACTTCCTCTAGAGTACTTTCATTGCGTTTCAGAGAACATGTTGACTCATATGAAAAGGCCTCCGTCACACTGCGTTCGTCGATCTCTCTCCTATCCATCAAAATGGCCCACCAAGAAGAGTTGAGAGTTCCATATTGGCTCCCGAGGCTCGTGGGAAAGCCGAATTGGGTGAGCTGGCGAAAAAACCTTGAAGAGGCGATTTACGAGGTTGACCATACTGGCACATACTGGGATATCATCATGGACAGACCGTCAGATGATATCAAGAAAGAACCCGAAATCTCCGAACGCAAAAGTTTAACAAAGCCGGAACCGCTTTTTTGCTCCGCCAATGAGTCCGACACTGATTCCGATGTGGTGATCACAGGAATCTCCTGCAATGGTTCCTCTAACGAGGAGGGGGGTCTCAATCCCGCAACCGACGCGTGTTAAATATTCGCGCTAGGGAGATTCTAGGCTCGAGCCTTGAAGATGAACCCCGGAACATGATTGATCGAATCTCAGATGCTCGCGAAGCGTATCTGAAACTTGAGGTGCTCTACGGTGACACATCTGCGCAGTCAATCTTTGTTGCATGGGACAAATGGGGGAAGGTAAAATATCATCGGAGAATGCCTCCTGGTGACTTCGTGGAAAGATTCAAGAACGGTCTTCAAGACGTCAGAGAGCAGTCGGTCGAAGTTCCGTCTACTGTGGTGCTGGCCGTGTTCCAACAGGCCATTAAATCGCATCCGGAGTCAACCAAATATATGGCGGACATGAGGGTCGATGCCCATGATCCAGAACTCATGGAAAAGGTTTATCCAGATTTTATCCGGAGCCAGCTTCCAGCACAAGGGTCCGTTTTAGGTGTGCACAAGCGCGTTAAGTGAACGACTATCCTAGCAGAGACAAGTTTGGGTCAGTTTGTCCTTTCATGTTCTGATAGTTATCTCTTGATTTATTTGGTTATGATCGGGAGGGTAATAGCTGTTTTTGATCTGTTAGCGACGAATTTCATATCAGCTGAATCTACGGCACATGTTTCATCCAGATAGGCTCACTGTACTGATCTAGCCTTAGGCATCGAACAAACCCTTTGCAAACAGTCTTAAGTCTGAGACTGAGATGTTCTCTTCTATATATCCTGTTTCCTGTTTTCGCATCGGTGAACTGGATCGTATTTATGTTGTGTTTGTTTCGATTCATATGTTCTTTGAATACGACTTTGGCAGACTAGCTGCATTCCGGGTGGCTAGAATTTGGAATCTCAACCAATGAGTCCATGGTGGAGGGACGTGATGCTATACATTTGAGATATAAGTTCGAGATAAATAAAAGAGATGTGAGAATTCTGTGAAATTTCTTGCGCGTGTTGCCCAAATATGTATATTCATTTATAGAGTAAACTCAATTATGTATGATATATGAGGCCCCAAGTCCCCGTTGCTTCACTTTCCTATCAGTGGAGATGGCTGTAAAATTTGTGTAGAGCTCGAAAGCGCTAGGCATATTTAACCCTTTTTGGCTGCTGCCGTTGCTTTTGACGGACTGAAGCTCCGCTCCGCCTCTCTGTGCACGATTTTGACCTTTATCCGACTTCTTTTCTTCCAACATCAAGAGATTCAGGACCAAGATTAATGCAGATTTGTGCAATTTGTCCTCCTCTACGTCCACTCTCTATCTGTCAGTCAGGCGTTATCCGAGCCTTATTCGGCCGTTTTATTGACTGATAATAGATCAAGAACGCATTATGAGAAGCCCATGAGCATGGGATATCACTGCTCCAAAGAATTTTTAAAGATGCGTACAATCCGTTCTCCGCTGTCCAATACTTCGAGTTTACGTGTGATATCCCACTGCTCCAAAGGATTCCAAGGATCCATTACCACTTTTATCTGCTGGCGTTACTTAGACGCTGCTAATGACGTTATACCTATGACCTTCTTTCTTCCACATTGAATTATCCTCCTTCCATTGAAAAACACAATGGCTGACAGTAAGCAATTGATGGTCTCTAAGCCACGACACACGTCCTGTTGTCCCCCGAGGAGAATAGCCGGAGTCACATTTGGTATCCCGTAGTCTAATCCTATGATGGCTTTGCTAACTTTGCATCGAAAGCAGAAGACTTTACCCCCGATCCTGCAATCGAAAACGTTATGCCCGACAGCATCGGTGTCACGATTCCAGTTTTACAAGGTGCTTCTAATTGGAATACCTGGCAGCAAAAGTTCCAATACGTCACCCGTACCATCAATCCAATCTACTGGGACATTTTCACTGGCAATTATACGGCCCCTGTTGCTGTTGAGCACACTCCGCAAATCGCGATTGACGCAATTGCAGTGAAGTACCATCTTTCGCCCAATGAGCTTACTAAACAAGCATTTGGGGAGTATCAAGAGCTCAATGCTGCAATCGGCAAGCAGATACGCTCACAAAATCACATTTCGCTCGCGTCTTGGAATTCCCTCGAAGTTGAGGCTCGTGCATATCTGGATTTTGCTCTTGCCAAACAGCCATTTCTTCAGATCGAGCGTACTTTCCATGCCAGAGAAGCATATTTGAAACTGGAAGCTCTATATTGCAAGGCTCCGCCTAAGCCAATTACAGGCGTATGGATGGAATGGCTTGAGCTTCGTTACCAGCGAACTTCTGCCGCCGCATTTGTTGCCCGATTTAAGTCCGCGCTCTATAATCTTCGCTCCCAAGGAATGAGATTGAGTACGGATGTTGAGCTTACTCAATTTAAACTTGCCATCGCTCAGAGACTTGGTTGCAAGTGCTTTCTAGCTAATCTGCATTGTGATACCGCAGACAAAGACTGCATGGAATATGTCTACTCAAACTTTATTCGAGACCAAACACACTCTGATCTTTGCTACCCACGTTAACGTCTAGTATTATCCGATCAACCTCTGACTGTGCGACTTAAGGGTGATTCCTTGGAAAATAATCGTTCTTCCTAACTCTATATCCATTTCTCTTGATCTCTTGCAGCGCGAAAAGAAGGTCAATGCCCCAACAATTTCCATTCTGTCTGTCAAACAGGCAGGATCTTTGCTGCATTCGCATCTTTTTTGACCATACTCCCGAGTACAAAAATGTTTTTGTTGCTTGAAAGTTGAGAGCTAGATCTTCTACATTCATTCGTTTTTTTATACCTTTTGCCTTTTTTTGCATTCTGATGAACGAGTTTGTTCACCTAACGAGAACTAACACGGAAACCATGTACAGCAGTTCTATGGGAAATAACCTTGTTCATAATTTTGAAAAGTAAAAACTGCAAACAGATGGAAATATAGGAAGAGTAAATGCCAAGCGCCGGGTCGCTATTGCGACACAGATTCGGGTATACGAGCGAGCAATGTGAACCATTCATTGGGTAGTCGCAATGCTTTGTATCCTTTGTCGCAATATACATAACGACTATTTCCGTCTAAACTGTAAACGGCGGACCTATGAATTACTACGTCGGGTCAATTTTGCCGTATTAAGTTTAACGCCCTAATACGTCGTCACGTAACCTCCCTTCAATGCTCCCGACATAAAAGACCCGTCTTCGCCGCTCGTCCTCCGCCTCTCTCACTTGCCCCACTTGTCACCCTTTCAAGTTTGGGCACGCCAGTCAGCCGCAGACTTCTGCCTCTTCTATAATCCGAAAGAATCAAAGTACTTAAAGCCGCATATCTTCGGCGGCACTTTTTGATATATATTCAGTTACGGTCAAATTGTATTAAGTCAAAAAAGACAGTGGCAGCTTTGGTGATACGAAACTGGGCAGAACCAAATCCATGCCCCTCTAATTTGTTAAGCCAAAGCACGTCACCCTTCATAAAGTTGCGGGACTCCAGAGTATTATCAAACATGAGTCTTCCCTTTCTTCATTTGGCGATGGCATCTAGTTCAGAAACCATACGAATTCCCTAAATGACAAGGATATCATTGAAGCGGATGCCAGCCAATAGTCAAGTGTACCCCACACCCGAGACCCGATCACTTCTGCATCCATTATGTCGACGGTAACACTACCACTCTCCTCACGACTGTCGAGTATAAGTCACTTCACAGTCTTCCCGTCGTAATCCTTCTGACGGGGCCTTGACTAATAGACTTGTAGAAGGATATGGCCAAATCGAATAAGACACCCACGAGTAAAGAAGCGAAGTTGAGGTACAATGCAGCGCGTGTCGTCTGTTGCGCTATTTTCTAAGAGTATCATGTGATAATCTAGGAAGGGCTCAAGTTCTCCTACGTGGCTAACGGGATTGTCCGGGTTCTCCTCCGTGTTCCATATGATGATCCTAGCACGCTTTATTACTTCCCGTGTGCTACTAACAGCGAGGTGAATGCAGAAGTTGAATATGATCTCTAAACACCGAAGACTTCTGTTGCCAGAACCCTATGTCTGTGTTAGATGGCCTTTCGCTCACCTACACGTGGCCAGGGATGGTAGAATTCTGAACAATAAAAGGCGATGGCTATTTGATAGGGTAAACGCTGTTTTCTACGATATCAATAAAACAAACGATAGACACGTAAGAGTGGTGAAAGCATGAAGTTCAACGGATAAGAGAAGATTTGCAGCCAGTGGTCAAACAATCGATTGTCTCAATAAATAATAAAGTGATTTACTCATTCATTCTCTTTTTGGACGCAGTGAAAGAAGTAAGGTTTATATAACCTGGAGGAACTATCTGAAGAAGGCTCAGTCTACTAGCAAATATGTATAAAAACATGTTCGTATGTACTAATTCCATGACAAGATTGAGATTAATTTGGTTCCCGCTGGCTCTTTATCTAGTGGCTCAAATTTCAGCACAACATACGCAGTTCTCTGAGAACATACATGACGCAATCTGTGCTTACCAGAAATAGTATGGTTTTGGTAGTAGGAGTGTGTTTGTATGAAGGTTTATAAATGAGTGTACTATCTCAGTGGGAGGGCAAATAAAAGAGAATAGAGAGTAGATGAACGAAAAAACTTCTAAGGGATGTGTGACGGCTGAGAAGTACTCCACGTGGCACAAAGCGCATAGCCTTATTCCGGGATGTATAGCTATCTGTCTGCCACCAGATGCCATTTGGTTAGATAGCCACGACATCAACCCAGAAGCGAGTGTCGTCGCTCAGGTACTTTTTGTCACTCTCGATCTGCTGTTGAATCCATGATACGCCATCCATATACGCTATCGATAAAGTCAGTAAAAAGATTCGTGAACTAGGGGTGATGATTATCAGATGAAACCCACTTTTGATATCAGCTGTGCCCGGGTTATTAACACCCGATTCTCCATTACGGTGACCACTGAACCAAATTTCATATCCGAAGTGCTTCTCGCCGTCGTGGCGAGCTTTAATGTCCTTTTTCAGGTTCGAACTAGCACTCGAGCATTAGCTTGACATACTTCGGCCTGTCGCCTATACCATAACTTACTTGAGAATAGCACCATTAGAGACCTGGTCTGCGGCCTGACCCCGGAATTCAGATGCAGAATTTCTCAGCATATACCAGTTCTGCTTGAACACGCCGAAATTTGTGCCATCACCTGTCTTTCCATCACCTATAAGTACGGATATTAGCACCACCACTTGTTTCGCTGGCTAACTCTTAGACATACCATAAGTGTAGGCCGTGGTCATGGTGTCGCTAGTAGTTGTAAGCTAGCTTATTAGGAACGAATACTAAACAAGTAGACTCACGTCTCCAGCATGGCAATGGCCATATCACGAGTGTTGCCACCAGCATGCAAGATCGCCTTCTTGCGAGCCCCGATCCCAGGACTGGTATAGCTGCCTCGATCGGCCGCGGAAACTACCGCAGCCATAAGAGCCAAAGAGCTAAAAAGAGAGAGAAGCTGCATCTTTTACCAAGTCAAAGAAGAATGAATTATTTGCTGGTCAATGTGGTTGGTAGATTTGTGATGCTCTGGAAACGTCGAGACTGACAGCTTCCTTTTATAATGGTGATTTGATACTACAGAAACCATGCATAATATAATATCTAAGACAACAGGACCGTACGATAGATTTGCTGTACCCTCCTCCCGTGTGAAAACTGGAAAGGATCATCTTTCTCATGTCTCAATTATAGTATACAACGGATTCAAACTCCCCACCCGCCTTTGTTTGTTCCGTGCGTATCTCTCTACATTAAACTGATATAGTTTCAGGTACAACAATAATCTCAGACTTCTACCAACAGCCTAAAGGAGACGCAAATACTCTCACAATCAAAAGGGAAGTAACTAACAAGAAGAGTCAAAGATGGACTTAAGGAAGACGTTCATCAGACTATATAGATAATTGATATGGCAAAGGACAAGGCGTTGGACTAAAGGGTATCATTTGGAATTGTTTTCTTCGATTAATAATGCAATCGTAGATCTACTCTTTAACGGCACATTGGTGGCACTCGGCGGAGTATCTTCGGAACTACACTAACCTATCTGTTTCAATCGGACTCAATCGGACTTCCGCCTGCTGTCAGCTCAAGTGGGGAATTCGACGACATAAACAGAGGCCACAGCTTGAAAGCACCGGCCAATCAACATTTCAGGTGATGTAGCCGGTAGTATGACAGGTTGTGTCGAATTCTAAGCTGAATACATGGTGGAGACAGGATATTGTGCCCAGAAATTATATGCCAACTGGTACCAGGCATACTTTACAAAAGTGTATGATACAGTGGGTTATCGATATCCGTACAGATTGTTAAATTAGCGGGTTTTATCATTTCAATTAGAGTCTTAAATATCATTGAGCCATACCATACATTTGCTGTACCGCTAGATCTCTAGTAGCTTCGAATGGGCGGATTAGGTATAAGTGTATAACAATTTCAAGCATAGTAATAATATAAGAGAGTCACCGATATCTCATTGGTCATATTAAGTGTAGGATCTAACTGAAAGGTGTTGCGTTAGCGAATAAACGAACTAGGGATATAAATAGCAGAACTGAGAAAACGAATACTGGTGGGTCTGACAATACCGACTGAGTAGCAGGCTTGAGCCTCAATATTGCACGTAGCGCCTTTATCTGCCATTCATGCCATACAATTTGTCGTACAGCTAGATTTTTGCCAGACTGTACAAAAGCACGCTGCGGCGAAAAGCCACACCACATAAGCATCTTCATAGCACCATACCCGGCATGCCGAATACAACTTTGTTGACGTATGCCACCACCTTAGTTCAACCACCCCCATGCCATCAATTCGCACTTAATTTTCTAAACGCTAGACACATTAAGAGGTTAGAACCTTATCAGCTACTTAGACTTTTAAGAATCAAGGAATCTCTTCAAAATTGATTCTCTCTCTAGTTTCTCGCGGAGTAGCCCCCGCGCTTCTACTATAGGTGATATAGCGGACCCTTTTTTTTTCTTAAAAGCGTAGATCTATTCTTCAAAATGATGGCCAGTGAGGTGCCCGTGAATTATGACTAGGGCTAATCAGAAGGGGATAATCGCCGCTTTGGCTTCGATATACTCCGCACAAAGTTTGCAACGGACCTTCCGTATTCCTTTTGGAAAAGATAGGTTATGGACATGCCAGTCACCAATCACATGTGGGAATGCGACCTACTGCGGGTTCCAGCTGGACGGGTACAAGTAGTTATCACATGATAGCCTAATATAGCTTAGCGTAAGTCTTTTCTACACTTGTCCAGCTGGGTGTCCACAACAGGGTACATCTGGCAATCATGTGATGGCCTAATAGGGCTTAATGCTGGGTGCCAATAAACGCAATCAACAAATCAAGGCAGTCACCATCGCAAGCTATACAAATATTATTAGAGCAAAAGAAACATCGTCAAACTAACCTTGCAAATTAGGTAAAAAGCCTGGTCTCCAGATTAATTATTATACTTACAAATTACCCATCTTTTTTGACATTACTTTCCTTCCCACACATAGTAATGAGTTTTGCTAGGAGTGTACCCAGGTTACTCCGAAACTTCACTTTAGCTTTTTCGCGTTGCGTACGTCTCCTAGGCAAAGAATCTGGCATCGAAATATAGCTCAACCTTTTTCCACGGTAAATACTACTCCTAGCCCTCTAAGCCAAATGGAAAAACACGCTCACCTGCTTAATCCCCCCCCCCCCCTTACAAAGCCTGTCTCCACGTATCCCGAGTAGGAGTCTCTAATCCAACGAGGCCGACTAAATCGAGCAATATCTCCACGAGTACGGCTATCTTGCCTATGGATTCGTTATTTACCGATAAACCTACGAGAGCGACACAGCCTAGGAGGAATTTATGCGTCTTCTACTCGTTAACACCAAGGAGACGCTAGAATAGGCCGGGGGGCTTGATTTACTTAATAATCTAGCCGTGACCGTATTCGAGGACTCGAGGATTGACGGGGCCACTGCGGCGGTGGTGACCATTCAAAGCGATGGGCGGCGACTGCAGCGCAATAGGAACAACGCACCGGCTCGGGATTTTCGGAACGATACTTGTGCTATATCCGGGTTACGCAGGATGTGTTAGATTCGGTTCTCGCTAATGAAGATGGGTTTGTGGGCCTGGTTCGTGGGAATTAGAAGGAGTATAATTCATACGAGGAGGGGAAAAGGGTAGAGGAGGAACATAAGGCGCTTAAAGGGTGCACTCTGGAGAATATGGGATGGATGCAGGTTCCGTTCCATGGTGTGATGGTTGTTCCATGATATTACTTGCATGGTTATGGTTGGGAGAGAGAGTATCGTCGTCCACCCACGGTTGCTTGTTTCTAGTTTTCTTTTGTCTACTGTTGTCTGCTCTTCATCGAACGCAATGGCCCCTAACTACTTCAAATTAGGGGGCGGAATATCCCGGCCCTAGCATGCCCCTCAGACCCCCTTTAATCTGTGACGAACATGGTTGAACTTTTCTTTTAACAGTGTTTTAATTTATCGCAATTGGTGAGTTCACAATGTGTGGAATTTCTGCTTGTGTTTCGCTTGCACCAGTAAGCAACAAGTGCCACAATGGTTGTACCCATCATGGAAGTGCCCCTTCCAACGCGGAAACCAAGTTGGACTCCCAATTTAGTGGTACGGCGAAGAGACTTGCGACGCAGCTCAAAGCCTCTGTTGATATCATCGCCCACCGTGGCCCTGATGACTCGGACATTTGGATCAGTGACAACGAGCAAGTAGGGCTGGCTCATTGTCGACTTTCCATCAATGACCTGTCCTCCGCGGGGCGACAGCCGCTCCATGGAAGCGACAACCAAATACATGCCGTGGTAAACGGCGAAATATATGACTATGATTCCATTCGCCGAGAGTGCGAAACGGTTCACGGTTACGTTTTCCAGAGCGACAGCGACAGCGAGCTGGTTTTGGCGCTCTACAAGATCTACGGCGCCCCGGGATTCTTCACCCATCTTCGGGGTGAATTTGCATTTGTCATTTATGATAACCGTGAAAGTTCTCGGCACGTGATCGCCGGACGCGACCGCTATGGCATCAAGCCATTGGTGTATACTCGCCTCGGGTCGACACTACTGGTTGCCTCCGAGGCCAAGGCATTCTTGCCTATGGGTTGGAAGCCGCGCTGGGATGTGCGCGCAATTTTCGACGCTGGCTGGATGTTAGATGACCGAACGCTGTTCCGCGGCGTTCGAAAGGTTCTGCCTGGACACTATCTTGATATTACAGAGCAAGGTGGTGTGCAGCAGGTCAAGTATTGGGATGCTGAGTATGAAGACAAGGTTGGTTGGTCGAAAATTTAAGCTGCGAGCGCCAACAACTGATTGTCTTGGTACAGACCAAACCCGAAACTCGCTCCATTGATGAGATGGTAAGTGGCGTTCGCGCGAGGCTAGTCGAATCTATCCGTCTTCGTCTGCGCGCTGACGTTCCTATTGGCGTTTACCTCTCTGGTGGCATCGACTCCTCTGCTATTGCTGGTATAGTCACTGAACTTTCACGCAAAGAACATGTTAAGCTTGGAAACGCAGAGAATTCTCGCGTCACCTGCTTCAGTGTGGCGTTTCCGGAGACATCTGGGTATGATGAATCACGTAAGTCTTGAGGGCTGCAGACCAGTGTTCTCACCAAGTATATCATGCGGAACTAACAGACAAAAGATATTGCCGAGCGCACAGCGGAGTGGCTTGGAGTAAAGACCATCAAGAAGATCATCACGGAAGATACATTGGCTGAAGACTTTGAAGACGCCGTGTTCCACTGCGAGCATCATCACTACGATCTTAATTCTGTGGCCAAATTCGCGCTCTCAACTCTCCCACAAGAACATGGAATCAAGGTCGTCCTGACCGGTGAAGGGTCTGACGAACATTTTGCTGGCTACCCTTGCTTCCCTGTCGAATTCCTTCGCGAGGCTGACGGAGCTTCCCCCGACTCTGAGTTGGCCAAAAACGGAGACCTTAGAGAAAACCTGTTCAAATCTGCACAGCAAGAGATGAAAGGAATTTGGGAAAAAATAGGTGGAACAGTCTTGGACAATATCCCCGTTCCTCATTCAAGCGCAGGACCGGGAGCATTCGACACGTGTGATACTCTGCTGGCATGGCATCCGACTGCCTCTCTCTTCGCCCCCTGGCTCCAAAGCCGACATGCGAATTTCGATTACCGCATGACGGTCCTCAATTCTCACTCGAGCGATGTACAAGCAAAGATGCGGTCAATGTGGCACCCCTTACACACTTCCATGTACATGTGGAACAAGAACGTGCTCGCGAACGTTTTCTTATCATGTCTTGGCGATCGCACGGAGATGGCACATAGTGTTGAAGCACGAACCCCATTCCTCGATCACCATCTCACCGAGTACCTGAATAGATTACCGCCCAGCGTTAAACTGCACTACTCGGTCGAAAACGCAAGCAGTTGTGGTGAATTGGGTCCTATCTGGACCAAATCCAGCCAAGCCTTGCAGTCAATCAATGAAAAATGGATCCTGCGTCAGGCGGTGCGTCCTTATATTACAGACGAGCTGTACAAACGGAAGAAGCACCCTTTCCTTGCGCCCACTAAATGGCCCAAGGATGGACCATTGCACCGCAAATTCAAGGGGTTATTGACACAAGAGGCTGTCGATGGGCTGGGCTTTGTTGACCCGGAGGCGATTCAGAAAGCAATGGAGAATGCCTGGGGCCAGACAGCAGACCCGAGAGCATTCCGATTCTTACTTTATTGTGGTTCTTGGGTGACCCTAAGCCAACGTATGGGCGTGGCACGAGCGGAGGAAACTGATTGGGAGATATAAAGGAAATAGGTAAAACACACAAATGGGCCGGATCTCACGTGAAAGGTAAATCTGTAGACTCCTGATCATGAAGCGGCTCCGGGGCTACCGAGTGGTGTGGAGTGCGGATTGCCTCCTGGCATCCGTTGGCATTGGGAAGGGTTCCAGGGCTCGAGGTGGCCGCGGGCCTTGAAGCGGAAGATCCCGATCGATCGAACCTTCAAAAGGGGGAAGAAATCACGTTTTGGATTCAGCCGTACACACAATTTTCAACACAAATGGAGTGATTGTCAAAGTCAAAGTCTACGCAGTAAATTGGCGGCTTTGGGTACCCAAATCAACTTCGGGGCACTAAATTCTGCGAACTACTGCGAACCACTAAATTTCAAAACACTCCGTACAGTATCGCTAATGGCCACTGGCGGTAAGAGCGTTGCCTAAATAGATCTGGGCACATTTAGCTCCATTGCCACTATGCATGGTGAGCAATGAGTATGCTGCGAAAATACGACGAAATTCTACGGGCTCACGCCAACACAAACGCCAGTTTGGAAGAACAGAATCAGTATTTGCTTGAACATATAAGTATAATTCAGCAAGATAATTGCGCCCTAGAGCTCAACAACAACAAGTTGAGGTCCAACTTGGCAGAAAACAGGCTGAATCACCCGCAACCGCCCGAGGAAAAGCAAGCTCACATTCGTCCAGGTCAGATTGACCAGATTTTATAGCCCATTTAGGATTTCAGAACAACCAATTTATTACAATCTACCGCGGATAACAGACAAGATATTCATAGGGACATGACATTATGAATGGTCAAAGGATCTCATAAGGGGGACAATCTCCAATTTGTATGTTACATGAAAGATGAAATTGCTGCGTCGACCAGTCCACTGAGCAGTCTTGTGGAGAGCATTTTCGTAATTGTTCGTTGAGCCCGCAATGAACAGCCGAAAACGACCGCCCCAATCCTATCACCATGACTAGAACCCAATTCATTGCTCGAAAAACAATGGCTACCCCACAGTAGCCCTACTTCCTCATAAGAAAAGGTGACTTCCCCCTCTAGGGTGCTACTTGAGATAATGCCCCCAACCGGGTCAAAGTGGTATCAATGGATTGCTGATACCTCTCTCCCTAACTTATACGCCGTTTCAGCGGCCATAATTATAGCGATCTGCCTAAATTACTGGGTTACGCGAGATGTATGGCACTGGGCATGGACAGGACACCATATGACCTCCCGTCGGCCTTTTCGAGCAAATGTCCTAGTCCCTTGCAGAAGCTTTGCCTTTGTTCATTTACCCAGATGCATGCGTTGGCTGGAAATCTCCAACTAGCGCTGATCATGGCTGTCATGCTAGCCGGGAACATCGTTGGTCTCCGGCTTCGAACCAATTCGTGGGCGCAAGCACAGAAAAGGGCTGGTTGCATGGTAGTCATCAACCTTGTGCCTCTGTGAACCGCCATCAGCTTTGGTCTTCCGGCAGATCTGCTCCACATAGACCGCCAGATGCTTGCGTGGTTCCATCGCTGGGTAGGTCGAATCTGTGTACTCCATTCTCTGTTACACTATTCACTGCCTGTTACTGCTGCCAGGACGACGAACCTGGCAAGCCCACGGAGTATTGTTCCACTAGCTGTAAGTCCAAGACATTCGAGGCAAGTGCGCCTGTTGCGTTGATTGATAATGATCAATCACATGTAGGGCGGTTGTGCTCTCATTCTCGTAATACCGACGACTTGTGCAGCTGTCCAACTACGATACATGCAGCTTGTGATGAGATGTCACTACCTTTTGGCAGTAACAGCAATTGGCGCGCTCATATAAAATCTCGTGGAGCAAAAGTCACTGTATCGGTGGTACGTGGTAGGTGCTATCTGCTTGTGGCTCTTCACCACCGCTGTTGTTTGTATAATGGCCACTCAAGCCAGAAAGGTTTGGATATCCTCTCAACATGAGGTAGTCATAAATTCGGTGAGCCAATTCCTCTGGCTGGACATAAAGCTACCCCGCAACCGAGCGATCCGCCCTGGTCAGTGCGTGCAGCTTTGGATGCCAGTCTTCGCCATCACGAAGATGCTTTTAAATAACATGCGAATATGAGACATCGGGCCTTTGTTCACAGAGATTCATGTAAATTCATACATTTAGGGGCTGAGGGCTGCAAGAATTTTCGAAGCCTAACTCAAAACGCGGAATACCCGCTTGGCGCGATAGTCTTAAGACACTGCTGTAGTAACTAGCGGACGTATGTGACCGCTCAAAATTTAGCTGTAACCGATATTCACCAGAATTGATCAATTAAAGACCACCGTTAACCTTAGAACCAGCCTCGAAGTCCACATATAACAGGCTGATGCTGCGGCGGTTGCGCTACGTACCCAAAGCTTTTTACTGGGCCAACAACAAATGACGAACAACAATACCCTCGGCGAGAGGCTATGAGGATGAGAAGGGAGACGGCCCACGGTAAAATTCCTAGCGCCTTGTAAAATGGCCAACAGAAATCAGCGAATTGTTGCTTGATATGCTATAGAGCCCTCTAACGTCCCAATCGGACGATCTGTTTTGGCGCCCGAATCCAACAAGAGAATCTAGTTAAATCGAGAAGAAAGAAAAAGTGAATCAACAGTGCAGATAACAGTCAACCCTGAAAAAAGCGCTCACACCAAACTACCTATCAATCAAACCTCCCTCTCAGCTTCTCAATGCGAGATCAACTGTTGATTGACACACCAAGCCCTTCTTCTTGTTGTCCCGCAACCAGGCGGTGGCGGACTGGAGACGCTCCTTTGAAACTTCAATCAGCAAGTGATGGCTCCTTTCCTTGGCTTCGAAGTACTTATTCAAGCTAGGGACTTACCATCTTTGCCAACTCAGCTCTTCCAGAGAACCTCTAACTTTCTCACCATCACCTCGCGCTTACGGCTGGCCTCCACCAACATCCCAATGTAGGACAGGGCTCGGAAAAACCCAATATCCTCCACCACGAAGAGGATCGTACCAAACCGGTGAAAATCGAGAGGTTGTCCGTAGGGGCCAAGTATAATGACCGGCTGCTTGGCTGGGGTGTCCAGAGCTCTGTGATACAGCCTTCGCATAAGCCCGATTTGAGGTTCCACTACCATACGGACGGTTCGCTGAGTTGGCCCATCTTCCTTACGATGATATTACCGTTGATTTCTTCTACACATGGCAAAATTACGTATGTAGCAAGATAGACAAAATGATTGATTCCTAAATCAGATATATACCAGTGACAGTTCCCCAAGTCCAAGCTTGATAGAGAAGTGCAACTGATTGATAGAAGCGGGACTTCTTGTGAGCTTTCTGGAAACCAAAATTCAATACAAATTCTTCGTCGTTTGCATGAACCTCAACAGTTCAATCAAGTCAACATTTAGCGCAGAACCGCGGCTGGGTTTCGAGCCACTTAGGACACAGTAATGGACGAATATCCGCTGCTTTGATACCCTTCAGTAGATACAATCTGGTAGTTGTGGGATCCGAGGCTCATTCCGAGGGACGCCCAGGCATTGAAGTGATTGGCAGTAGTGACAGTACCACTGGAGCGCTTGTTGCGACGAATGGACCAGTACTGGTTAAATGTAGCAGTGCCTGAGATGGAAGGCTGGTTGACCTGTTGGTGGGTGTAGATGTCGTAAACGGATCCATCGCTGGTAACAGTGCCCTTGTAGGTCATGCTGCTTCCGGGGTTGTAGGTACCATAGCTTTCCAAAATGTAGTACTCCACGAGGGGGCTCGTGGTCCAGCCGTAGACAGCGAGGTAAGCATTACCTGAGGGGCTGAAGGTGCCGGAAAAGTTGATGTTTCTTTTAATTTAAGCATGTTAGTGATTTATGCAAATAAAAATGGGTCAATCGATTTTACCGGGCGCTACCAGTAGCCCAGCCCTTGCCAGAGGTGAAGGATCCGCAATTGGTCCAGCTCACGGCGTATTGCCCTGAGGCACCGTTGGTGTAGGACACACTCCCACCACCGTTGGTCCAGAAAGAGTAGAAGTAGCCATTGCTGGTTCCTTGCTGGCTCGTGGTGATGCTTTGTCTTGTCGCCAAATCACTGGGAAGTGCAAAGGCGCTGACTGCCGCACAGGCAGCCACCAAAAGGCCTGTAAATGATACCATGATGAGAATTGGGCTTTCTTAGTATAGTAAATGAATTGAGAGCTGTTGTTTTATGATAAATTCTCGGTGGGAATCAGGGTCCCTTTTATATTGACCAGAACATGTGGGGCGAGCGTTTCTAGTTAGTTTCACCCTATGGTAGTCTCGATTTAATTTACCCAGCTCTCCATTTATCCCAAACTCACCCGTCTCCACAATCTTCACCACCGACGGACCTTGTTTCCTACCAAGTCTTAGTGGTGTTCCATCGTATCCATCACATCCACCCATATATCCGGGTCCCCTAATCACGTAGCCTAAATTCGAACCAACCAGTGGTTTAGGCGAGGTGACCGGAATGCACACTGTCAGTACGGCTAAATTTCTAAGCCAAAGGAAACAAGAATGATTGCAGAAATCAGCCACAAGCGTAGATGCCAATGCGGGGAAATTCATCACGGCTGTAATGGGTGTAGCTTGACTTAACCCAGGCTAAACGCAAGATCAGGCATTTTAGGCGGGAAAAAGCTCCAAACAGGAAAAAAGAAGTCATTGTTGTTTTCATGCGGAATTTTTGGGAAGTCAAATCAGTAGTAGAGTGAGCAAAACACGACGAAAAATGGATCCGTGGATCAGCAATGCTTATTTCGATCATTACCTTAAAATGATTAAGTCACTGCATTTCATATATATTATTGATTTACTCCCCTATTTATAATAAAACTCAAAATGGAAAAAAGGCTCGTCGGCGCTGAGTTCCATTGCTTTCTATTTCGTGCGTTGAAACAATTCTAAGGACTCGGCCGTTGGGCATTACACTTGAATTTCATTTTTCTCTTTCCTTTTTCCTCTTCTATACTCCTTACAACACATTTGATATGACACTTACATACCAGCAGATATTCTAAAACTTTGAAAGCCTGAAATGGCAATGTCAGGATCTATCCATTAATTCCTTGGAGAGATCAATTATCAATTTGACTACAAGTCTTTTCAGTTTCGGGTATCTCGGGAGCCTCAAATTAAATGTGGATTTTGAGGGAAAGATAACTTGGATCAAGAATGTGATGCTTTCTCAGCAACACATGCCCCTACCACGCTACCCCTCCAATCGTCCATCAATCGGGTGAGCATCCGGATCATATCCAGCAACGACCTCCCATGCCGGATTTCTCATCTTCTCCGCATACGGCTCGATACCCCGGCGCTGTCGAAAGCATCCACGTCAGTCACGCTGGTCGACCTCATCGCTCCCATGCGTATCACACCTACCACTTCAACCGTCGTCCCATGACTTTCCACGATATGCCACCAGGCATGGGATCAGGAATGACATCCGGAATGTCGTCTCCGATGTATAGCCAGTAGTCCATGCATGAACACGACCATGGTATCCCTCCATCCAGCTCCGCCTACATGCAAAACCAATATTCATCATCTCCATATGGTCAATCTTCCGATTATTCCCTGTCGGCATCGGAGTACGATCCCCCATCGGACTATCCACGAGAAGAGTCCCAATCCCGGGAGCCATCGCGGCATCGGTCCGCATGGATCTATGGGGCTCCACCGCCCCCACCGATGTACTCAGGAGCATACTCGCCATGGTATGATGAAGACCCGCCTTTGGAGCGTTATTCCTCGCGAGAGGTCCGTGGTCGTCCTTCTAAAAGCCACCAGGAACAGGATGAGGACTACTGCCGCATGCCTCCACCCCCACCGCCACCCCCAATGGCGAAACCAAAGCCCAGTTTAATCCGACGCGTCCAACAGGGGAAATGACCAGAGCGATCGGAAGCAAGGAAAAGCCAGACCAGCGCCGCGGCTGTCCCCTTTCAATTCCACGCCTCCAGAGGCATAAGGAAGGAACAGGATGTGGACAGAGATCACGATCGAATGGACCTGGCGGATCTGAGAGACGCCGTACCGGTGATCACGGATCGAGGACACTATCGAATGTCAAGAGATGCCCCTATTATAGAGAGAACCCACAGCTTACGAGATCGCCAACGCTGTGCGTCCTACCATGGCGATCGACTGTCTGCTCGGTTGGCTCTAGCTCAAGCATCGACTGCCGTATTGCCTCTCTTGCAAGCGTCATTGCTCTCTAACAAAACATCTAACCGTAACGGAAGTAAGAGCGGCAGCCAAAGGAGCTCTTCTAACAGCTGCCGCGGCAGCGGCAGAGGATCACGGATGGAAGACAAAAATACGACTCTAAAATTGAACAGATCGAAAATTGGATTTTCACAGGAAGCTGTTGCAGACAGATCCATTAACATTTCTTCCGGGGGAAATGGGGCTATAAGGCTGAACATCGGGGGCGGCCCTCGGCAGACCAAGCGGTATGTTAATAGCCCTGGCTCTGAGTATCCGGGTGGATCCAGCCGCCAGGAATTTGAAGATATAAGACGCTCTCGGGACGATGTCGGGGTCTCTCGTCACTACGTTGTCGCTCCCGACGTAACGATCACAATAACAAGCACCGTTAGGTCTGCCAGGCTAACAAGTGTAAAAAGAACAGAAACATACAACAGCTCCACTCTGCAATTCTCACCTAGCGCCCATTGTTTGGTGCTGGGGGACTCGCCGCTTTACGCAGTCGGCCTTCAGGCGAGTCCGGAAAGCAGTTCGCCCACCTGGATATTCTTCACCCCTCTGAATGAAGCCCTACCCCGAAATGTACAGAGGTACTCCCAAATGTGCTTTTGTACATTTTGATAAGAGACAGATTTCGCGATGCAGGAGGAGAAACCATGTACTTGCCTTCCAGGCAGCCACTGCCAGTTTTCCTTACCCCTTTCCACTTCCCTTCCACTTCACTCCTATCGCGCTGCTGTTTCCCTCTTGGTTTATACACTTTGAATGGCCCATGGTAGGTCAGTAGGCCCTGACAGACTGTGAGACCAAGCGAGATAATGTCTACCGCGCTCCTAATCACAGAAATTGGATCGCTCATGGAGAATAATAATTAGTGGCTTCGAAGGAATTCCATCCGATAGACGAGAGTCAAGCATTTGGAGGCTACCATAGTGTATATGCTGTTATTTATGGAGTAAAGAGCAGGCGTCTCTAGGTGGAAGCCTAATTGCCGATGGCAACCGCATTAAATTTCAGCTCAAAGGGTCACTGCAACGCTCGCGCTACAGTGGTGGCGCTTCCAAACACAGCCCGATCAAAGTCGCGCTAATCCCTTTTCTCACATCATGGTTATGCTAACTTTTTAAGCCGCAAGTCAATGGTCTAATACGAAAAGTATTATTGGGAGTTTGCAAGAGCATTTGCGTTCTTTGCAGGTTGTGAGCAGTACCAAAAATGAATTTTCGTTTGGAAAGATTGCAGTAGCACGGGACCAGGACAGCGGCAAGGTATTTTCTCATATTCATTCTTAGCGAATCAGGTTTACATGCAACCCCTCCTTCTTTTCCAAAACATCTTATCTCTACCGTATTCTCAAATGCAGTATTGTTGGCGCAGCAAATGGTTATGCAAGGTCAGTTTTCGGTCTAACGATATCAAAAGAAGAGAAAAAGAACCCAGGCACCAGACGGTATTCGCAGGCAGCCAACCCAATCCAGGCTATATCTCATTGGCAGCGGCAATCAGATATCTGAACCTGAGCGTTTCAGGAGGATCAAAAAGACAGTAGATAATTTAGAGCAATATTCTCGCAACATTCTCTGCAAAATCTATTGCAGACATATGCAGTTTAACGGCCATTGTGCGAGGAACATAGAATCAGAGCGACCGACAGAAATATCCGCTATGGTCTCACGAGACCTGGGCTACAGGGCAAACATACCCGGGCAGAAACCACTTTTAGTGGCTGCGAGGGAAGAAAGAAGAGGGATGCAAATTTTCCTTGTCAACTTGACCGGTCATATCCAATCGCATTAGACAACATGTAGGGGGAGGGCAGGCAATGGTTTCTCATGTGCTCTGCGGCTTGTTTGGCTTTTTGGCAGGGCCCCTGCTGCTTGACATGGTAAATATAGAAGCGTCCAGCCTAAACACAGCGATGCTATCGGTTTCTTATATCCTGCATGTCATTTCGGTGAGGGATCAGGGTAATCGAATTATATACATGTAGAGAAAGCACGTCCGTATTTCACACTAGCTTCCATGCGTTCAGTTCCGTCGTTTCATGCTTAGGTCTTCAATTGAGTTTAGGTGCGATCATTAGTTCGGTGCGTGTCGCCCGGGTGAGAAATGGGTGAGCGCCACTTCACGGTTGCGCCAGCGGGGCTGACAAGGGTAAGTGCGCTAAAGACAGCGTGAGAATTTGGGTGTGAATCACCCAAGTCGCGCAACTACTGTATTGACCGGATCAATCATTTTGATCTTTGTCCTGCGTGGTAGACTCAGAGCGTGGACAGTCAGCGAACTGTGTGGCGAACACGTCAGTGATACAAACTACCCCAGCTCATGCGTCTAAATCCTTAGGTATGACTCGCCAGACTATTTCGCTTGATTTTATCTAAAGTAACCGATCAGCTGCGCAATCTCTTTCCCCTCTCTGAAATGTCAAAAATTCTTTTTGCTTGACGATTGTCCGGCCCTGCGATCTTGAATTTAAAGGACCAAGCCCCCGAAGTATTTAGGAGCCGAGTTAGCTTTTTCTCTCTCTATTGCTATTTCTGATAATCAAGAGTATGCCATATCTCAGGCCCACTTCCGTTCTCAGGTTCTGCTGACATAGCAGAACCTGGAAACCTTAGGGGATCACAGTCCAAAAGCCTGCGGTCGATCTCCAGCACCATTCGAACTTGTATTTCACCAATACAGTATCCAACCACATTTATATAAGCAGCTAGTTATATAGTCAACTATATTCAATGAAGTATGTTTCTTTCCAGGCAACCGTAACCAATCACAAGAGACTGTTTGTACAGACATATAATATATCGGTGATAGTGACCGTCTGTACTTGTCTAGCGCCAAAGCGGGTTCCAGCACCACTAATTCAGCTAATCAACCACAAAACGGCCCTTCTACCATATACAGCTGTGTACATAATGATCAAGGCGTTCGGAAAAAGGCACGCATTATATACAGGATGATTTCCCCACGAGATGCGTATGAATAGTAATGCTCACCACGCGGCGAAAGAGATCAGAGAATAAATTATAGAAAATTTTCAGCCTCCTAATCCTTACGAGGTCTGCCGCGCATGAGCGACACTATCGAACCTCCGTTCCATTACTACCCCCGTTTCCCTCATTCGTACCTACTTTTCCTGGTAGAACATGCAGTGTGCAGTATGCCAGTCTCTCAGGCGCCAGAAGCTACCTTCGCTGTCTGCAAGAAGTGCAACCTATGCCTTTCTAATCGGGGTGGTCCCGTTTGCATCTGCATAGTAGGGCCTGGACCCATCGAAGTTCAACCAATCGGTCGAGCTCCGACGGGTCCCTCTTGTGGGGAAGCCGATGAAGTATGGAACATCAACAAGCGCGTGGAAGCTGATGAGGCCTGGGAAATCAGTCAGTATATCTACTCGGACCCTTGACCCAAGAAGGTGCTAACCTTTATATGAGCACAAAGGCAAGCAGGAAAATTTTACTGTGACATCATTCGGGGGAACATGGATGATGATCAGAGTTTTCCAAGGGTTGTGAAGCATCACTGTTGATACCTGAGCAGATGAATGCGGATTTGGTATCAGTACTGCGAGTTGTTGGTGCTGTTGAAGAGTTCATATAGCCTTATGAATGCATATTGAACTGAACATTTCTTGATATATATTTCGTTACCTGACGCGATCAGTCGTTTCTGATTTGCTTATTCGGTCGAAAATATTAGGGTACATTTAGAAAACAATTGATGGAAAGAAAAGGTGAAACCTCGAAAGCGATCGGGTGTTCTGTTCCGTAAAAGCAGTGCCTTGTTGATATTGTTACAGGAAGCCTGATTCTGATATGCGTCCCAGTACCCATCTTTTGAGCAAGATCAGATCTTGCTCAGAGATGGTATATACTGGGCTGAAGATGGTTGTTGTGTAGAGGTCAGGTGAAACTCAACAAAGGGTCATGAGTCCAGTGGATATTGTCAAACCACGCCATGAAATCAAGATTACCGTCTAAATCACGACCGTCATACCAATCTTTAGACAAATCAATATCAGGTGTTAAGGGAACCGACTGGGGATATTCGGGTGAAAGAATCCGATCGAGCACCCGACGAATGAATCTCGCCCCTTGTTGAGCAATCTCATAACTCCCTTCATGTGGACGCACCCGCGAGGTCAGATGGGAGACAAAAAGAATGAGCTTTTGGATAGTAAGTGAACGAAAGTTGGCAGGTAACGGCGGTGGTGATGAATTTGATATCTGAGAGCTTTGCCCCGAGAGCAGGTTTGAAGTCAGGATGCCTGCAGCAGGAAGGCCAATATAGCATAACTGGAGAAAGATTATGTTATAAGAGACGCCCTATATCAGTATTGAGGGGGCAGAGCAGTCTTACATCCCACGACATATTCGCCACCAAGTGAGCAGACCGGGTCTGCATAGCAATAATGTCTAATAGCGTGGTCACTATTTCCATTGAGCTTTCAATAAGACCTTGTGAGTTTATCCCAAGGCGCTTTAGCAAGATCCGATGCAGCAGAAACTCCTGATACGTAAATTCTATGTGAACGAAGGCGCGGCCCTCGTCTCGTGTAGAGTTGTAAGCACCCGCTGCAGCGTCCTCGGGAGACCAGTGCATAAATGAAGGAAGGTCTTGTTGCGTTTGACGGGATTTCTGAATCAACTCTCTGTACAGTTTCTTAGGGTCAGATCCTGATATCAACATAATTTGAACTCTATGAGACACGAACTCAACTTTGGCTGCAATATGCTGAGTTGTAGGACTCAAAGACAACTCTAGGATACTTTCTCGCAACAAGCTCGTTAGTAGCACAACGCGAAGCCTGACGCCAATGGTCAGATTCCCTTCGGTGTTCCAACCATTCGCGTCGAGATTCTGTAGTGCCCTCTCTCCTCCGCTTCGTGAGAGAACCATCGTCTCGTAACTTATATCCAGTGGAGGCAGAATACTACAGTATCGAGAGCATATCCGTGGAGGACGCCCTAAGGAGGTCGCTAGCTCCTTATCAATAGCGTATGCGCACACCATGGCTCGCTTTCGTATCTCCACCAAGAAGAACGGAAAGCCGTTTTCAATGTCTTCATCGGATTGATGCAGGCCGATTGCGTATACGATAGTAGATAGATCTCCGAGCTTTTGCCAGACCCTATAGTCTATTCAAGTTTTAGCCATTTCCTCTCTTTACTAAAGGGCAATATCAAGGGGTGATTACCGCTGTCGCCGAACATCGAACTCAAGAGAACTAATTGCTGGGTTGTAAACCAGCAAAAGGGATCGCTAGTCGTTCCAGCACTACTGCAGAATTGGCAGCAAATCTCACAAACAGCGGTGGCGATAATTCTAAGTTGGCTCTTTTCAAGCTTCCAGGGGTTGCGATGCGTGAAGATCGGGTCATCATCGGGCGTATGGAATAATGCTGTCCCTAATAGGCCAAAGACAAGTCCAATTGTCTCCCATCTCGCCGTTATTGCATCGAAATACTCAGAAAAATCCATTGTTGATTGTGTCTGAATATCTTTTGATGTGTTGACAAATATTTGATGGGACAAGGTGGCTAGCGATGTATGCGTATCCTGAGAGTCGCGGACTGCGCAATCATACATTTGCTCCATGGAATTGCACAAGGCGCGAGTCAAGAGAGGGCCTAGAATCCATCCTGGGCATATCTTGTTCTTTAATTCAATGATCTCATGGAACCAACGGATCTTTTGCAGGTGTGATAGAACCTGAACTCCTAGAAGCACCTGATTGGAGTTGCTTAGTGAATATGTAGCTGTTGGCACTGTCACTGCTGGTAGACTGCCTGGTTCTTCAACACGCATGGTGTCTTCATACTCCTTGAAAATATCTTGGGGGGAGACCAACCCTAGAATTCCAGGTCCCAGAGTCTGTTTCTCCTTTGCAGTCCATTGCGCGATATGCTGATCGCCTAACTTATCCCCCGCATCTGTAACCAGTGGCAAACCTGACTGCGGGCTAGGCGTGGCTGTACTGGAGATCATTTTATCCACTCGAAAAACCGATTGATTGTCCGGGCGTTGCTGCCTCTTGGATCTCCGGGAGTCCACCCTCAAGGCACGTGCACGCGGCTGAGTTAGTGGAGCGGGATGGTAAAAGCAGCGTTCGGCCTGGTCATGACAGAGACATCGACCGCAGATGGGACTTTGATGGTCGCATCGTAATTTGGACTTTCGGCAAGGCTCGCATGATGACAGCTGTCCATTTCGACGAGGTGTTGCCATTTTCACTGACCGGATGTTTTGTACGGAGTACGGATAAGGATAGAAGCCTGGCTATAATCCAGTGACGCGACACTGTTAAGACTCAGTCTAGGGTTTGAGGACATGAAAGGGGGGGGAGGTACTAATGCTTTTGCTACAGTAGAGAATGGGGGTCCAGGGGCCTCGGCATCGGACCTCGGAGCTGGACCTCAGCATTAAATATCATATTTGGGTTAGATCCAACCGGAAATCCGATTGGACAGTGAAACAACACCGCTAGTGCCAGCAGTCATGGATGTGGCCAATGACCTTCGCTAAGCTCTGCCTCAGCACTACAACATCACTGGAAGGATCAACTTAGCACTTAGGATCTCCCTCGCAGCGAGATCAAAAGACTCGACAATGGTATTGTTATTTTCAGGTCACTCAAATGAGACATTCGGGTTGTTCATTGAGAATTTACACGGCCTCTTGATGAAGGACGGCACCCAATTAATTATCTAAATCAATGCCCAAATACCCACATACATCCGTGTGCTACTTTTTTTTCATCAGACAAAACTCTCGGTACTTTACTCCTATCCTGCTTTGCATTGATTTTACCAAAATAAAGGTACTTCTTCCGAGAGCTGTGATTGGGCTACAGCGATGCAGCGACGTGGTTGCTATGTTTTTCTGGGATGGAAAAAACAACCGAAATTAGGAAACAATCTACTCACAAGCGCATGTACTAATCGTTTTGCAAAGAAGGCTGTTGGTATCATTTGAAAAGGACAATGTTTAACCTTTAGGGTTTCGGGTAGAAGCCCCATAGATCGTCGTCGACCGTACCTCAACTCGTTACTGACAACTGGGCGGTTTGTGGGGCCGTAGTGAGTTTACGAGCCGAGCCTTGAAATGATTAATGTGTAGTAAATTGTATATAATCCAAAGTGACACTGTACATTGATCGACTTTACGCGTGCTAGGGCGCTACGCACAAGACAAAAGCTCGTATCGGACGAGTTCAGTGCACTCTGTACAACCCTTTTTGAATCCTGCCCCACCTAAACAGTGAGGGTATACGGAACGTTGACCGATTTCGACTGACTAAAATTTGAGATCTTGACAACAGGCCCGGATGTGACCGAAAGTGCAGCCTGCATATTTGGCTTTGTTCTAGTTAATTTGAGGCTCCTATTAGTATCAATACCGTAGAATACAATGTACGTATTTTCGTGGTCATCATCAACAAATGTGTATGTTTCTTGCAAGTTATTTGCAGTTGTAAGAAAAAAACAAGCCGTCTCCGACCCGGAGGCCGCGATAGCCAGAAGAATATCAAAGAATACCCATAGGTATAAGTGTGCAGTATAAGTGTGCAACACCTAGCAATGCGCACACCAGGCTAAACTGTATGTTTTTGGCGAGGGGATCAGCGGTCAACTAAGGCCGTTTGTCTTTAACATGATTGGCCCCTCGTTAGCAAACATTCTTTCTCAACGCATAAGCGATGCTGTCGAGTGCGAGGAAGACAGTAAGCAATAGTACCAAGATTGAGATATGTGTTCTAAGAACAGAATGATATGAGAAAATAAAGGGGTTGAGTGTACTGATTCAGCAGTTGGCGCCTTAAGAATCAGGAAAGAGTAGTGTTGAATAACTAGTTAAAATATGACGAGCGCTAGTAAAAACATGCCTCCGCATTTCTTCGACGGATGCCAATTAAATAAGAGGCTTTGCAAAAAGTGTTGCGCAAGAGGGCTGACTTTGGGGGTTATATATAGATGGCATCAGATATGTATCAAGCTACTGTGCTCCAGGATTGAATTCTAGCGCTGTTTTCCGAGCTAGCACCATGCAAGATCTCATCAATAAGTGCCATCGCTTGATAAAGCCTTCTCTCCTGTAATCGGGGAGCTACAACTTGAACTGATAGCTTCGTGTTCAAATATACAGTCCTATCCTTGAGGTTTGGGTGCCCTGATTCTGATGGATCAGCATAACATTTCAAGATAGGATTCACCACTGCTTCCACACTGGAAGGGAACGGGTAACCAGAGGTTTGAAACATGTAAGAGTGGTACGAAAGACAGAGTACGAGGGGGATGAAGGTAGAGAGCTTACACAAATCCCTGTTTCTCGAATCCCAGCCTCCAAGGACTTCCGATTCAGGCAGTTCGTCCTTTAAATCGTCATTTGAGACGTCTCTGACTGGCAG